GCCATGGGCAACACGCGGCATAATTGGTGCTGACCGACATCAAATCCTGATGCATAAAGTCTCCTCGCATGCAAGGTCTTGGGTGCAAGCTGAAGGGGGTGTAGAATGAGCGGTATTGTCTGAATGGGTCTTTGCCGCTTCAAGTTCACAATGATGTACTGCTTGCCAAGCGATAGACCATTGCATCGGTACAAATTCGGCCGCGTCCGGCGCATCTTGGATTTGGATCTCCCATCAAAGAGAGTCTTTTGTCCACCGAAGCCATTTTTGCGCAATCGTCACTCCGGTTTCTTGAGCACGTAATCCTTGGTCTATTTGCTCTCGGATTCGCATCTCGTCTCGCAGCGAAAACTGTGGACTCGTAGCACCGCAACAGCAAAGTGTGTACAAATGGCCCTCCTGCCACGGGATCAACTCCAATCGTGACAAATGCGTGAAAGTTTGGCATATATAGCTGCTGGCGTCGTCTTATTCAAGGATCCGCCAAGTGGCTTAGTGGACACTGGAGACGCGGCTTAGTTAGTAACCGTTCCCGCGAGGCGCACAATGAACCAATCCTTTGGGCTGATGCCGATGTCAGCGACAATTGACGAGACCTTCCGTGGGCCTGGCCTGCCGCGGCCTAACATGGCACGGATGGTATTGATCGGCAGGCAGGTGGCCCGGGCTCTCCCAAGCCATTCGCGTCAGTGATTGTCGCCGCACTGCTCCGTACAGAGGCGTACAATGAGAGGCCGCGACAGCATCAGCCCAAGGATATTCCCCCCCCTTCTTCAGGACCAGAGGTGTAGATACTTGGGCGTCCAGCGCATCTCAAGGCTGTTAAGAGAGCACCCATATACGCCAGTACCAGCGTCCGCGTCATGTATTGCTGCTTGGTGGCGTCCATAAACAGTGTACGATGGTGTCCGGTGGTATCGAAGCCGCTCATACGACGGAGTGGCGCACATAGTGTGATGCAACCAAAGAGCCATGTTTTGTTCTGTACCATGTCAGCCGTGGCCGGACTCCATGGCCCGAGTTTACGACCCGGAGCCCTAGCCAAGCAAGTCAGCAACTCCATTGCGCAGCATATGAGATTGCGACGGGCCATTTGGAATGCCCCGGAGAAGACTTGAGACTGGCACGACAGCCTTAAGCACCAAAAGTTTTGCAGGTGTGCAGAACCTAGCGTTAAATTGCGAAGCGCATTCTGGAAAAAGGATCGATGTGGATGCAGGAAACATGAAGTTGGACTGGATGGCAAAGAAAGGGCGGCAGTTGAAGGGCCCAGGCATGATGCATCATGGTTCCCGAGTCAGGACCTGGCAGGAGCCACCTATCGTAAGTTCATATCAGCGCCGGCTGGAAAGGCCAAGTCGACTCCGCAAGTCTCGTACTTAGTGTCAGTAAAACGAACTCACTGCCTAAGTACGACACACTATCCGCCCGTCGCTTTTGATACATTCTGCAAACTGACGTTGGAAGCTCGCGTTCTTGCATGGATCTGGGGTGTACTCCGTATGCGAACCAAGCTTGGACCCCCCCTCATCCCTTATGTCGTTGATAATCTCTTGGGGGCTGCAACAACTACTTTACATCGCCACTCGACCATGGCGCCAAGCTGTTGTGTCATTATACAAAGAGGGATGCATCACGTTCTGCGCTCTCGGTATGCTTCCGATGCACGACACCTCAAGTAGAAGCCCAGAGATGAGCCAAGCATGTAGTTACCAGAATGACACACTCAGGCCAAGTTTGTGTTTGTGCCCTGCTACCACTCACTTACTAGTCTCTGGTAAAGCTCTCATGTGCTTGCAAGCAACCGAAAACGTCGGCATCGCAGAAAAAGGAATTTTGAAAGCGCCAGACATCTGCAGGCAGGGGAGTGAGTGAGTGATGGTGATGGCGAGGGGCAGCAAGCCACGGGGTAGCTGTGGGCCGGTTGGTGCCTTGCACAGACAGTGCGGCAAGGCGACAGGCGACAAGAACATGAGCAGGAGCAGGCGGGGGGGCGGGAAGGCGGGCAAGCGAGGGTGGCTTGCTTTCTTCTTCTCCAACCAACTCCCGTGCAGAAGATGGCCCCAGACCAACCACGTCAACGAAGCGACGCGGAGCACAGAGGTTGGTTGATCCCCCTTGCGACAGACATCGGCTCCAACGAGCGCCCGGCCGGAGAAGAAACGGATTTCAGGAGCGAGAGGACGCACCAGACGGGAGGGAACCCAGCTGCATACGGAATACAGACGCGTACACTGTGCGCGAATGGAGCCGGCCTGTGTGAGTGAGGGGCGTTTGCCGTTGAGAGCTACATGACGTCGCATATTACGCAGGCCATACGGAGTAGACAAGCGCATATACGCAGACAAGCGTTTATTGTAAAGCAAGATTAGCAGTCTGTTGGTTGAAAGTAGTGTCCACTTCCACGTGCGCTTGGGAAGCTTAGGCTATGACTGAGTTCCCATGTTTAGCCTGCCGAAACTAGACTCGAAGGTAGTTCGGTGGGCATCGAGGGCTTGCCTGAGCGCCTAGTTAGGTAAGCAATGGCTGGGCGACTGGGACTTATTCGGGTTGGTTATGGGCGGGATTCATCTCGTTCAGCTTGGATTTCTCCCAGAACTTGCAACATACTTCATACTTGGGACTTTGCGTTAAATCATTGACTTTTCTAACGGGAGCCTTGTCGTGTATCGTTGCACCTTAAATGTAGCCCGCCGCATCTGGCGTTGTTATTGGGTTGTTGGACTCGCTAGCTCGCTTGTTCACCGGCTTGGTGGACGCACACCAGTCATAGTCATAGTCGTGGATTGAAACCGACAGCGCAACGTCGTCGCCCGGCACGGGATTATCAAGCGCCCCACGCTCCAAGGCCATCCGTACCCAAGGCCCGCCGCCACTGACGACCACACCAAGCGTGGCGTTCTCATCTTGTTCATGTCATGTCATGCGAGTCCAATGTCCAACGGCGCACCCAATCCCCGTGGGGCAAGCCCTCGACTTCTAGACTTGCATGTTGGCTGACTTCCAAGCCCGCAGGCCACCAGGGGCAAATTCTCCCAAGGAGCGGTTCGTTGCTGCTTGAATAGTTGAATTGGAAACTTGCTGCACACAAGTCTCCTGTCCATCCACCTGCATGAAGTAGGCGAGCTCGTCGACAAGCAGCGCCAGCAGCCAAGCGCAAGCGCAAGTGCAGGCGCAACCTGGGAAGTGCCAACGGCAAGAGCAAGCGCACGAGAAGAAGGCACGAGCACGAGAAGGGGAACGAGCAAGTGCCAACAAGCGCAAGTCCAGCAGCGGTGCAGCGGGTGAGTGGGCAGGACCGGCAAGACCAACGTCAGCGCCGGGGCTCTTCAGCAGCGTTGCGCCTTCCACAGTTGGCGCCAGCCGCCGGCTGCCACGGCCCAGTGCCTGCCAAGTGAAGAAGGGGCCACCCACTGGCCTGGGCAGGTCAACATATCGAACGGTGCGCTGCACCACGACGGGCCACTTGAGCATATCAAGTGGGCTGCCCTCACACCAAAAACCCCCAAACCCGGGGAACACAAGAGGCCCACGGGTCGGGACTCTCCCCGAGCAGGATCCTGACGCTCCGGAACTCCGCAAGTACCTGTGCGGCTCGGTCTGGTTCTTCCTTCCCTCCCAGCTCAGGTGCAGTTTATGTTTGGCCTCGAGGCAAACCGCTTGGCCCTGTCCTCAGCTCACCACGCACGCTTGGAGCGCGCGCACATCTGCATCACTTCGCAAAACACGCACGCCTCTGCGAGGGCACAGACTACCGTCCCAACGTCGTCGCCCGCCGGTTTCTACATGATATCCCACGTGTCCTTCTGCTGGCCACCAACCCTGGCCATCTACGGCCTCGTTAGGCGTATGCCTCTATTCAATCTATAAATATTCTCTCCTCCCCCCCTGACGCCGTTCGACGAGCCCTCGTTGTCCCTCTCGGTCCTGCCTGTCTGTTCCGCTCCTTGGCTAGGTGCTTGCGAAATCTCTCTGGATATCAACTGCCAACCCTGGCAGACTAATCAAGCCTTGCTTTGTATCAATTCCGCCTCTTCTGCCTGAACAACTGTCCTTGGGCCGTTCTTTCGACGGTATCTTGAACTCTCTGGAATACCTCGCCTCGCACCCCTGACTTCAGTTTCTTCAAGGCACGCCAGAACGAGGTAAGCCTCGTCATACAGCAGTTAGACGGAGGAAAACTAACCAGGCCGTCTCGTCAGCCAAAAAAGTCGCTGTTTTATCGCTTCAACTCACACCAGGACTTACAGACTTCTGCTCATACTCCGCCATTCTTGCCGCACAAGCCGCTTACCTTCTTCATATCCGCGAATTTAGCCGGCCACTCGTCTATTGACTTGGCTTCGGTTTCCCCATTGGAGCCGAGGCATTGCTACACAAGTAGGTGCTTCTCTACTTGTCCCTACTCCAATGTTTACGTACAGTCTCCTACATTCGCTTCTCCTGAACTATGCCCATGCCCCGATTCATGTCAACTTGTCCTCTTATGGCCATTTCTATTTTTATTTTCCCCCTTCCCACTGAAGCTCAGTACTTGGCTACTGCTGCTGCTGCTGCTGCCAGAGACTCTCTGGCCGAGCCGGACTTCCGGGATTCCCACCGCTTGGCTTTGCACTTTACGTCCTGCGGGCGCTACTGCAGAGCCCATTTCCCCCTGCATCATCTGTCACCATTTGCCTTTCCCTTCTCCTTGTCTGTCGCATGAAGAAGTACTAAACTAGAGGTAGAGTGCCTCTGGAGAAGTTTGTTTCTTTTTTTGTTTCTTTTTCACATACATGGTTCTCTGTCTTTCGGCTTGAAGCCATCGCTAACATGAGGGGTATAGTTCCTACTATTGGACAACTTGTGAGACCACGAAACCAAGTTATCAAGAACGCTCCACCGCCAACTAGTTTCACCGTCAAACCGAACCTCAAGGTTCTAGCCAAAATCAAACGTCTCAGTGCGTCACGCCGAACCTTCACGTGATCTCTGTGGCCAACTCGAGCAACGCGGCTAGGATGTCCCAAAATTCGAATTCGTATGCCTCCTTCGAAGCTCTTTATGCTATTTCGCTGAAGCAATGATGACTAACAAGACCTCGCCAGAGCCGCTCCCATTCACGGGACAGTTGAGAAATATGGCCGATTCTATGGATTATGGCGATATGAAAAATATCTACTTCCGATCGATGCGGTATGCCCTTGCTGTCTCATGCTCTTATTTTCGCTCTTGGTTGAGCCCTAACTCGATGGCACAGGAAGAGCTTGATAGGCTGGATATGTCTCACAAATTCTTTACAGTTGCACGGAACTATGCGCTCTATTCGCCCCGGCTGACTGATCAGCGACCGCTTCGAGTTCTGGATCTTGGCACTGGAACTGGTATCTGGGCCATCAGTTTTGCGGAAGCGTAGGTTGGCTGTCTCTCTTTTGGTTTTTCACGTTCTGACTGCATAACAGACATCGGCATCAGCCCGAGATCCAGGCTGTGGACCTTCATTTAATTCAGCCGGCTAGGTACGCTCCAGCCCTTATTCTCTCTCGCAGTCCCATAGCTAATCCGGAAAAGAATTCCTCGTGGAATGACAACAATACAATTTGACATTGAAGATGAAAATTGGGACGTCTTGATGACAAATTGCGATATAGTGTATCTTCGCGCGCTCTACGGAAGCATCCACCCCAGCTCGTGGCCGTCTATTTACCGCAATATATTCAAGTAAGTGAAACAAAGCCATCTTGCCACATCCTATCCTTTCGCTCCCTGCTCAGTAGCACTCACAATGTTGCAGCCACCTGCTCCCTAGATCGGGATACGTCGAGCACGTTGAGATAGACTGGGTAGCCCGTTGGGAGGGAAACGATATTCCACGGCAATCTGCTGTTAATGAGTGGTCAGACCTGCTTTTGAGGTCTTTGGAGAGGTTTGACCGCGATGCTAGAATCGATTCGGCTGCGATTCGACGGACAATCGAGGGTGCTGGATTTGTCGATTTCGAGGAAGTGACAATACCATGTTACATGACCCCCTGGATGGAGAACGAGCAGGCGCAAGATACTGCCAGGTGGTTCAACGTTAGCTTCTGTCAGGGATTGGTGGCCATGAGTCTGAGGCCTATGATCGAAGGCCTGGGCAAGGAGGATCGTTTTGTCCATGACCTTTGCAGGAGAGTCCACGAGGAAGTTTGCCAGCTGCGCCATCATGTATACTTTACTATGTAAGTCATCCGTTGGTGCACTGATAGGCGAGCCGGTACGAGATGATACTAATCAACATTGGTTGGGGCTAGGCATGTTTGGTGTGCACGCAAGCCATGACAGGGCCTCGCACGACCAAACATTGCCTATGCGAAGTTTTTGGAGGCTATGTAGGGGCGGTTGTAAATGAGCGAGGGAGGGGGGGCTGCACGAGGCAGCGATTCATTGGCCGAGATGCCACACAACGGAACACAAAAATGGCATGAAGTTCAGCAATCACAGTTACAGGTACTTGGTCGATCTGCCAAGGAATTAAAAGTCCAAGGCTCTGTATGGCTTGAAAATATCCATGGCGGGCCATGTTCTATACCATATCGTCGTTGTTATCAGTAGGTAGGGGTGAAGTCTTGACCAAGCAAACAGATGCATATTCCCGTGCAGCGGGTGATGGACAGCAGCATGTGACGCACGTGATGTCTTTTCCCCCTTTGTTTTCTGGTTTATCAGATTGTTGCATTGCCCTCATTGCGCGTTTACCACTACATGGCCACCAGCAGGCGGGAACGGGAACGGGAACGGGCCAGAAAAGGGCTGCCCAGGAGCGCGGGCGTACTCGGTACAGTGTGCAATTGGCCTCGGTCGGTCCATGACGGGTGCGGAAGAAGCCTCGCATGGCTCGCCGACATTTCACCTGGCCCCTCAGCGTTGGAACGGCCACCAGCTGCGTGGAATGCAGGGCAGGCACCAAGCAAGCGACAGAGGGCACGGCGGGCGCCGCGGCGCTGGCTTCCCGTTTTGTTCCTTTTCCCTTGTTTTGATTTTCTAGCCCGGGATTTAGAGTGCTCTCTGCGGGCGAGCAGGTTCCAGGGCTGGCGCGGCGAGCAGTGAGCAGTGAGCAGTGAGCAGTGAGCACTGCGCACCGAGCACAAGGGGCCAGGGGGGCAGGGTGGGAATGGAATCCGGGCCTAGACCTGGTCTGTCTGGATGACGCAGGACTGTGACGGTGACGGTGACGGTGACGGCAGGGTTGCTGCATGGTTGCACGCGTTGGGGCGGAGTCCCGGTCCTGGTCCTGGCCCTGGTCCCGGTCCCGGTTCCCGGGAGGAATCACGGCGGCAAGACGTCGGTGGCTGAGGGATCGGGGGAGCGGGAGTATTTGCCAGTATTTGCACCGGTGGAGTGAACAGGCTGAGACTGAGACTGAGACTGAGACTGACAGACTTTGGTCGGTGTGCTTTGTACGCACGCGCTGGCGGTTGGCCACGCCTGCGAGGCAGAAAGAGGCGCCTCCGCGACCCGTGCCGAGGGAGGGAGGCATGGCAGCGGCGTCGTCGGCGTCGTCTCGAGAGACGCCGAGGCGTGACGGGGCAATTCTTTGATTTTGCGTGACGGGCGGTTCTCCCGTCTTTCCCGGCGGGTTCGCGGCGTCGGTCGGCCGGCCGGTGCCGTTGGTACCGCGACTTTCGGGGGCGTCGAGCAAGGACCGGCCGGGCAGAGAGAGGCCCGAGTAACGTCGACACCGGCGCGGCTACGTGGCGTGGCGTGGCGTGGCTCCACTGTCTGTCTGGTTCTGGTCTAGTCTCGTCCAGTCCAGCCGAGTCACTCGAGGCGATTGACGGATGAGCGGATGGATGCCTGACCGACGACGGTCCATCTACTCTGCATGGAAGTAGCAAGTCCGGGAAAACATCAAGTCGCAGCAGTGCTGGAGGCGCCACGCAGATTATATCAGTCCCCGTTGATTGGCACGCCCGACGGCCACCCGCCGCGGCAGTGGTCATGCGTCTGATGTACAATAGATGTAACGGAAGCCAGAATAAATAAAAGGAAAAAGAAAAAGAAAAGTCTCAACCACATGATGCTTCTTGTCCCAGCGGCCTGGGCGGCAGACGCGCGCAAACTATTCGTCTAAAACGACGCAGCCTCCGCCACCAAAGTCCTCTTGCGTCTATTTTGCTCCTTGCTGCCCTGGTTGACGTCTATCCCGGCCCCCCTTTTTCTCTTCTTCTTCTTTTCAACTTTCGTCTTCCCGGCGCTCATGCCCGCCGGGTCGCTGCCGAGCTTCTGCTTCCCCCTGGCCACGTGCCGGAGAGGAAAAGGGTGTCGGATGTCCGTCTGCCCGCTGCTGCCGAGAGGACCCGGCGCTCAGTGGTGCGGGGCCGTCTGGCCGCGGTATCCGACAATCTTGAAGCGGCCCAGCATCTCGCCGACGGTGAAGAAGCCGAGGCACTCGGCGGCCACGACGCCGGCGGCAGCGAGCTGCGCGGTGCTGAGACTGCGCGCCTGCTGGAGCATGTTCTGGGGCGACGGGAAGAGCGTGCCTCGCCGCAGCGACCGCCACAGCGTCTGGTAGGTGTTTTGGAAGGTGGCGAGGGAGCTGGTCCGCATCTCTCGTCAGCCGCTTGCTTGCTTCACGCTCCAATCGGCCTTGCTGGGCGAAAAGGGCAACGGGGGGGGGACGCGTGGCTACGTACGGGGGGCTCATCTTCTGGCCCTGGAAGACCAGCTTGGCGACCTCGGCGCCGACCTTGGAGTAGTAGACCACAAAGGGGGTTTGGCCTGGCAGAGACCGTTAGCGTCGAGGCGAAACACACGAGCGTCGTCGGTGACGTGGCCACTTGGCAGGAGAGCAGGAGACGGATGCGCCGCGGCGGCCAACACACTCACGCTCGACGAGGGCAACCAGACGGCCGGTCCGGCCGCCAATCTTGCCCAGGGCATTGCCGACGCCTCTGGCGGCGCCGGCAATGGCAGGACCGGCGGCGCTGGTGACGCGCGACAGACCCTGCTGGGCCTTGGAGGCCGTGCCCCTGGCGGCCTCGGCGGCCTTGCTACTGGCAGCGGTGCTCTCGAGGCGGCGAGACGCCATCCGCAGAGCCGGCGAGCGCATCACGGGGCGGGCAAGCGACGTGGCCATTGTGTCGGTTTGCGGCACGGTCGGGAGGGACGGGGGGACGAAGCGGCCGGGAGGACGAGACGGTTCTGCCCGCGGGGTCGGGGGTGACACGGCGAGATGCCTTGCGGTGCGGATCGGTGCGCTGCGTGAGCAATTGGCGGCGGCTTGGGGCGCTCGTCGTCGGCTGCTTCTGGCTGAGGGAGAGGGAAAAAAAAAGGCTCGGGAGAATTCGTGAGGCGGTTTGCTGAGCTGAGCCGACTGGATTGGATCACATGGTTGGTTGGTTGGCCGCGTGGCGCTAGGCTGTTTTTGGATGCGCCCTGGCCGGGTGGCCGTGGGTGAGTTGGTGAGAGGCGACGGCCTATTCATGTGCAGCTTTATGCGTGCTCATTTTCACAAATCACAACTAATTATAAGTGGCAATATAACGTAATGCACAGAATACACTATAGGTAATACACATGTCAAAAGCGCTTGGAAACGCATCTAGAACGGTTGTGCGGCGGCGGCGGCGGCGGCACGCGCACGCACAAGGACTACGCTGCAGCCTCTCGTTGATGCTGTGAATGTCTGTCAGATTGGGGGTTCACGACGAGAGTGCCGTTGTCCGTTCTGCGCCGACCTTGTTCAGGCGGGCGGTAATTTGCTTCAGCTCGTCGTCGGTGATGATGTTGAGCCTCTGCCGACCGCGGGCAAACGTGATTGAGCCCGGGATGTCGGCGTGGCACGGGACCTCGTCGAAGGAGGGGGACTCGTTGAGCTGCACCATCACGTCGTCGAGGCCGCCTGCAGGAGACCAGTTAGCATGGCCTGCGTCTTTTATCGTGACTCGTGAGGCGGAGTTGGGCTGGCGGGCGCACTGCTAATCGCCTGCCCCAGAGAAAGACAAACGTAGACGCAAACGCGGAAGCCATCGTGGACAAAAGGCACAAGAGACTATGCGGTGATGACCATGGCTCTTGGCCGGTCAGACGGCTCTGCATCTGCATCTGAAAAGTCCGTGTGTAGACGCGAACAATGGTGACGGGCAAGGCAACGAGATTGGAGACCTGGAGTGGAGGGGCATCAAGTTGATAGTGGGGCCGCCGATGTCGGGCCGGGACCCAGGCGAGCGAGACGAGACACCAACGCCATCTCCCTCCCAACACGAGGGTGAGCAATCTATTAAGGCTTTGATCTAACGAGTAGAGCCATAGTCTGATAAAACAAGTCATCTAGTCAAAACTCTGAATCTGTACCTTGATGGCCCCGCTCCTGGGGTCTGCAGACGTCTCAAAGGCCTTCACAGCATCTTCCAGGGCGAACCTGTGCGTCACCAACCTGGACAAGTCAATGACACCGCTCTCCACCAGGCGTATGGCTCGGGGCCAAGTGTTGCTGTACCGATACTGCAGCTGAATGTCGACTTCACGCACGCTGGCGCGCATGAATGGAATGTTTATCTCGTTCTTTCCGACACCAATGATGAACACCTTGCCGCCAAACTTGGTCGCCCAGATGGCCGCACTGATGCTGCTTTCGACCCCGGTGCACTCCATGGTCAGGGCGGGCTCGACACCAGCAAAGGCCTTGACTATGGCCTTTGCTGTGTCCTCGGGGGAGCCTGGTTCGATCTTGTGCGTCACCGCGCGGGGGCAGAGCTCTTTGGCAAAAGCGAGCCTGCTTTCTGATATGTCTGTGATGACGAGCGGGCTGGCGCCGCCAGCGGCGCAGCACAGCAAGGTAACGAGGCCAATGGGGCCGGCGCCGCAGACCAGGACGGCGTCTCCAAGCTGCATCTTGGCCCGTTGCATGCCGGCGAGGGCGACACTGAGAGGCTCGAGAAGTGAGCCGTTCTCATACGACATGTGGCCAATCTGGTGGCACCAGACAGCTGGGTGGTTGACGTATCGGCGTAAAAGACCCGGCACGGGAGGAGTGGACAAGAACGCGACCTTCTCGCAGCCGTTGTAATGTCCTGTCAAGCAGGGCTCGCAGGATTTGCAGACGATGTTGGGCTCAACCGCCACGCGGTCCCCAACTTTCAAGCTTGTGACGGAGGGGTGGACTGCGATGACATCGCCAGCGGATTCGTGGCCCAGGATGTGGTTTCCCTCCACGACCATGGGGCCGATGGAGCCGGCATGCCAAAAATGAACATCGGAGCTAGTAAGTTGGTTTCCAGTTCGTCAGGTCTCACTTCCCGGGCAAGACGACAAGCGAGGCGTGAGCAAATGTAAAACTCACCCGCATATACCGGTACTCCGAATGGCCACAGTCACCTCGCCGGGTTTCAAATCCGCGCGAGCAGAGACACTCTCAGCTGTGGGCTGAGCCTCGCCAATCCACAAGTCATGCTTTGGGTTCGTATAAACACCGATATTCGGCTTCAGAGAAGGACGGGTGCCATCTCGGCCGGCACTGACGGCTGCGGAGGCCATTTCAAATAGCAAAGTCGAATATTCGACGGGGTGGCGTTGAAACAAGAGTTGGCGTCTGCTGTTCGCTCGCGTGAATCGAGGATGCGGGATGTGACTGTCTCTTATATTCCTCTGGACCGCGCTCGCTTTGCCGGCGGGAGAGGAACGCCGCAAAGACTGCCCTTGGTGTAGAGCAACAGATCCGAGGAGGCTTAGTGGCGAGGTCCTGCCTGCGTTGATGCCAGAGGCCCGGGCAGGCGGCCGGCGACTTCCCCGCTCCAGGTTGAAGTGGCCATGGTGGATTCCTCGGGGAAGGCGCAACCCACGAGCTTGCTAGCAGCTGCCTCGTGTTCGTGCTCGATAGGACCTCGAGCCAGCAAGCCGACTGCGCCGGCGTTTCCAACTCCCGCACCAATCACAGCCTCGCCTCGACTCGAACCAGAGAATCACTTCATTCGTCATGTCTTGACCGGTTGCAAGGCGCGCGCCCGACCCGGCCATCACGAGACTCCTTTTCCCGCCGCCTGCGGAGGAAACCACGCCGAACATCGCAGTCGGAAGTCAGGTCGTCATGGACTCGTGGACGTGCCGGCAGTCCAGAACATGTTGTGCAACCAAGCCACGGCGGGCTTGACACATCCCGTCGCTGGACCCCCGTCCTCTGCCGTCGCTTGAAATCAGCCATCTGCAGGACCGGCGACGGGGAGCCGCCAGGAGATTGTTCCGGAAAAGAAGAAGGCGACTGACTAGTCAGTCGACTAACTAACTAGTACTCCGTATGCGTCGGCCAATGGAGCACCGACGCGAATGAGCAGTGCCCGCTCGACGAACAAAGCAGCAACAAGACTTCCTTGCTGCTTTTTACCAGCCGCACCAATGGAAAATCCTACCGCAATCTTCCAGCGTGGCTGGTGTTGTTGCGGTGAAGAAAGATCCACCGCCGATCGCAACGTCTAAAGGCGGTCTTCTAAAAAGATTCTCTTGCCAGGCAAGACTGGCTTTAAAGACGACTCAAGTTACATCCGAGCACGCCCATCTCCACGATGCTACACCCAATATACCGCTACCTTGCCGCATCAAACTGTCTTGATTCCCTATTGACGCCTCCAGGATAGACAGATGGCAAGCGGAACAATGATCGCGCGGCATATCATGGCAAGGAATAGCCACGTCGACATAGCCACTTCTTCGCCCGGCTTTGGTCCGGACAACATGGCCTTGAATGATGGTCTTTTTATACCCGTACATGCCGTAGCTACCAATGGCCCATGTGACATGGCGCAGCCTCTGCTAGAAATGCGATCAAGCTCGGCTCCAACTGAGCAATTCGCCGACTCTGTGCCTCCCCAAACCGCTGTCAGTGGTCGGCCAGCAACCCTTGAGACTTTACAAAGCAGGGGTTTTCTGAAAGGGGGCAGACTGCACTATCCACGTCTGTGTTGAAGGGTCACGCTACGTCATTAAGCATCCCCCGACAGCCGCCCTTGTGGACGGACAATGAACTAGCCAGGTAGCCAGCTACGCGACATATCTGAGCAAATACAGAACCAACTCTGCCCATCAGAACGTATAAAGTCGACCTTTCGACGAGGCATATGTCCCAGAAAGGGGGCCATGTAGTTTCTCACCGCAGCCAGTCGACCAGACATGGCTGCCGTGGCTGTGGCTGTCTGCGTCATCCAGGGCGAGCAAGAAGAGTACATGACGCGAACTGCACCGGGACATGACGAAAGCCCATGACCACAGCCACGAATACAACTGCAGATGCACGGGGGAAGACGACACGACTCCCCAGGCAGACCCATCCGGCATTGAGGATACGCCGTACTCCGTACCGTTCTCGCGACTCGCAATCCCCAGCTTGGCGGCACACTGCCTGCAGCGCAGCGAAGCCCGGCCGGTCCCGAGACATCCCATCCCCGTCTCGTGACTCCCGTCAACCCAAGGGTTTTCGGCCACTGCCCACTGCCCACCGCCTGCACCTCTCGTAGGAAGCACGAGCTGCATCCGGACAAACAGAAGGACTCTGTCCCGGAGCGTTCAGGGCATGGCGGCGAACCAACGCCCGCCGACAGGGGTCATATCCGAGGCCGCACGACTCCTCGCAGTGGAGGGAAGCCCCTCGGCCACCGGTGCCAGCTTGGCCGCAGTCGTCTTCACAAACACAAAAGACCAACGCTTGCCGAGCTCGTGGGTCGTCGGAAAGAGGCCAAAATACCAGCAAGACCAGCAGACCTAGTCATGACCCTTGTCGCGTTGCCGCCTCTGGATTGAAGAGCGACACAGGCCGTAGTCCGCGCCTTGAGAAGGGGGCAACGAGGGAAAAACGGGGGGGCGCCTCGGCATGACTGGCTGTGTTTCCATTCGTGACATCCGAAGTGAACCAGAAATGGTTGCGTGCTCCGTTCAAACCGGAGACTTGTCAGTGGTCATCAACACTCTGGAAAAGGTACATACATATTGCAGGCATTAGTATTAATTATTCCGAGCAGAGTCACGAACTGGGTACCGAGTATGTGATGTAGGCTTGGCTGGCTGCCCTTTTTTCGCCCTGGCCCGCCGCCCCACCCGCCACAGCCCGGCAACAGCCGAATCCAGCGCGCCAAGCCAGCCGCCGCCAGCCGCCGCCACCCCAGCACACGTCAATCGGGCACCTCCCGAGGCTGGCGTGCGGAAAATCGCGACTCCCGATTCAGACAACGCTTAGTATTGCTTGATTACCCCGTCTGACAGTGAATACTACAACAACAAACCAAGTGGCTGGTGCAGGGGGCCCTCGCCGCACGCCAATCGTTTCAGCGCTTGCAGAGACCGACGGTGACCGCTGCCGTGCCACGTTTCGAACTTTAAAGGGACACCAAGAGAAAGCCCCAAGGCGTGGACGGACATGTCACAGACTTTGTCGAAAATCAAGCATTCAAGAGCGCTCTCGTTTCATCGTACAAGGCTCGCGCCCATTCCGTCTACCTGAAGACTAGACCAACCTGCGGCGAGTGGGTGTCAGTTTCGAAACCGGCATGACGGATGATGGACCGCCCAAAGAAGCCCACTGAGCCAAGCGGCTCATGCAGCGTAGTAACTAGCCTGTGCGCCTCCTTCATAATATTCGTGATATTGCAGACACCTTCTGCACCAATGCATATCCCGGGTGTCCGTACCCGAACGGTGAAGGACAAGAGAAAACAAGAGCAAAACAAAAAAGAGAGAAACGACGGGCCCTCCGTCGGTCCTGCCGCGCGACCGCCGGTGGCCAGCCATGCAACGTAGTTGCGCCCAAGACCAAAGGGACCTTTTATTTCTGTGACGAAAACGCCGGTAAACCACCCGCAACGGTAAAGAGAATTCGACGAGGCTGCCTGCCTCGTGAGTACCCGCGACGGCCTTGACTGGTTGTGGTCAAAGGGCCTTGTTACGCGCCGACGGAAATGACCACGTCGCCCTTGCAGGTTCCGTATGAACAACATGCTGAAGCGTCCAGCTCGCCCCTGAGGATGGCATCCACCTTGGACTGTGCACAAGACGTTAGAGGAGCCATGGCCAGCCGAGGGGGGGAGACGACAGCTCGGATACTCACGTCTGGGCATGGACCAGAAGGGCTGATGGGGGCTGCAAACGCGACGGCGGCAGCTGCTAGCAGAGACGGAAGCTTCATGGCTGCTGATGTGCGGAGGAGAAATGATTCTTGTCGACGAAATGCGTCAAACCATGTAGACTGTAGCTGTGGTCTTGCTTTGACATGGGAAAGTTGTGCTTTTCGTCTGGCGGCGCGCGTGTTTGCCAGGGAAACTGGGCTGGGCTGGGCTGGGTCCAGAGAGGGAAAGAAGGAAAGAATGGCAGCCGAGATCAGGGCGAGGAAAGAGTCGAGAGAGGGGCTTGATTTCTTTCTTTCTTGGACGACATTCGAAACCCGCGGCTGCGAGGCGAGGGCCGTGAGTCGGTATTATTATGCCTGGTGCAGACGCGCAGGCACTTGGACGAGCACTTGGACACTTGAGAGGAAGACCGCAAGCTGCACGGAATATCACAGTACTTGAATGATAACTACAAACCATGCCGCGTACATTGATTGTACTCTGCACTTGCTCGCGATGCTCCGAGAGGCTTGTCGGCTGAGGCAAAGCTCGGACAACCGGCGATTGCGGGGCGTTGCGTTGCACGTTTCACGCGGTGGCTAGACGACAGGGGGCTGCTGGGCTGTTCCGTGACTTCCGTCAATCAATGTCGGCTTTGGCTTGGCCATTGCCTGCACGGCTCGCCATGTGGGAGCACAATGCAACGCAAGCATTCCTACACGGAAATTGCTGCCGCTCGAGGCGTGAGGCTCGAGGCTCGATGGCGTGGCTAACGTTCCTGTCGATGTGCAGAGAGTACTCCAAGGTACCTGGGAACCTACTTAAGGTAGGTACCTCAAGTACTTCCTTGGGTACTTGGTACTTGACTGCAGCAAACGGCGGCGCCCGAGACCCTGCTTTGACCCGAGTCTTGGGGGGTCGGGGTTCTTGACATCTCGCAAGGGCAGGAGGGCAGGCAGCCAGGCACGAGGCCCGCTCCTTGCTCCTCAGTTCCTGACATGTGTGGGGGCTCCGGTCCGCCGCCGCGGATGAGCCGTGTTTGGGCTAGCGCAGAAGTTAGCCCCCCCCCAAATGCAAAACTCGTACGTCATGCCACAGCAAGTTCCGTGCCCTCAGTGCCACGTATGTAATAACGTTATGATATAACCACCAAAGTAATATTCGCCTCCAAAACGCACTCTGCCATCGCAGACGGCCACTGTTCCTCCGTTCCCGTACTTGGCGTCCAGCAGAGACGCAGCTTCACCCTCGCTTACTGCCCTTCTGCCGTCGTACCAAGCGCTAGCCCGTCGCACTGATCCTGGACAGGTTGCCTTGCCCTTGTTGGAGAGGCCAGGCAGACAGAGCCATTGTGCTGGACTTTCAAAGTTTGCCGTCGCTGCTGAATCGAATCGCGGACACCCAGTCAGCACACCACAACAGCCCTCTCGCCTGTCTCGCCACGAGATATGCTGTTCAGAGGCCACAGAAACGCCGTGAAACGTCAAGTCCACCGCACTCTTCGCAAAACAAAACAAGACGACACCATTCGTCCCGTCGGTGCGCTGCGCCCTTGTCGTCATCCCATCTCACGTGTCACATGTCGTTCGTTGCACAAGACTCCACGCCTCGACTCCGATCCCGCCCAGTATCATCACCGGTTGCAAGCTCCCTTCGTCGACAATCGCAACGTCACCGGGATCTGCCACGCCGCTTGTGACGCAACTCGCCAGTGTAGCTCGATCCGGATCGTGCTTCGCGATTCTCCAAACCTTGATGCGCTGATCGTTGCTGACGCTTACGCCCACGAGATTGTCCCGGCCTCCATCTCGATCCTGCGCCAGCAGTGCAACGCCATTGATGGATGCTGCATGAGCGTCGCGAACGATTCCGCGACGAGCAAACTCGTACTCCGTGTTGCCCGCATCGTCCCGGACCTCGGCAACTTGCGTCAAACCGAGGCCATTGTCATCACCCCCCGTCAGTATGTGAAATGTGTCTTCGTGCCTGGCCATGTCCAGGCTTTTGATGCTGCTCTGGTGTACTTGAGCTGCGGACCGCAGCGTGAGCCTGCCCGAGGCAAGGGATCCTGCGTCCGCCCTCCACAAAGCCATGTGCCCATCTGTAGACGTCGTCACTATCCAAAGTTGCCCATCCCCGTGGCCAAGATGTCTCAGTTGCGTGATACATGCTCCGGTGTAGACTCCCCTCGCGAGCAAGCTGAAGCCACGCCCGTTGTCATACGCATAAGTCTTGAGCGTCGAGTTGGAAAAGGCCAGCGTAATGACCAGCCCTCCTCCTTTTGCCACCCTCGTAACGTCAAATCCCATGATGCGCAAATCCCTGGTTGGACTCTTGTCCGCGAACGTGCCCTCGCAAACAACCGCGAGACCCTCGTACGCAGAATCTAGTGCCCGGACGCGCCATACAAAAAACTCCTCATTCCCGGCACTGCTCAACAGATAATCGTCTTCGAACCAGTGCAGTTTCTGGATTCCCGTGATGTGCGCCTTGAGACATGCCAAGCACCGCATCCCGGCACTCTTGTTCCTCTCCCCATCCGCAGCAGTATACTCCCATATCCTGATGGAGGTGTCTTCTGACCCCGACGCAACATATCGCTTGTTGGAGCTCAGGGCGCGTATCTCGCGACCGTGCGTGCCCGACTTTACCGTGCGATACGGCACACGAGTCTGCGAGTAGATGGAAAGCTTCGACGTCCGGGTATACGCGAGCCTGTATCGCTCCGGTTGCTCCGCGCTGTAGTTGAGTCGGAATGTGCGGTGCGCACCACCGCAGTTAATCGTCGCCAGCTCTTCCCTCGTAGATTCGTTCCAGATCACGAAATCTCGGCTCCTGAAGCCGTAGAGGACAAGTTGCGGGCTTTTTGTGTTTGAAAACCACGCTCCTTCTATCATGGGTCCAAAGGGGGGGCTCGTCTCGTGTACAAGGGCCAGGTCAAGCGTGGCGGTGACGCCCGTGGTCCGTCGGATCTGGTATATTCTGTATTTGCCGTCGCGGCTGGTGGCGAGGATATATCTTGAGTCTGATGCGAGAGTCTGGCTGGGCGGGAGGGGGAGGGGGACGATGGATGTGATTGCGTCGCGGCTGCGTGTTGCTAAGTCCAGAATCGAGCGCCACGTCTTGTCTCTCTGAACGAGGACAGACATCCATCCGTGGCGGGAACCCATGACGAGCAGGTCGTCCAGTCTTGTGGCGGAGACGGCGACGAACCGGGAGTCGAGACCCTCGACTTGGTGTTCCGAGACGAGGGACCCTGCTGGCGTGAGGGTTACGTACCGTGATGCCGAGGTTCCGTGGAGGTGAACCAGCAGCTCGATGGCGTCGGCGGTGCTCGCGAGGTGGTTGATTTCCACGATTCTCCCCGGGACGCTCCCTACCGGCCTGACTTGGCCAGCCTTGAAGGAGAAGAGGCTGCCGCTGGTAGTTCCTATTACCGCTGCGCCGTGGCCGATTTTCCGCAGGACATAGCACGACTTCAGGTCCCGCGCGACATCTTCGCCAACACCGACTTCTTCCCACGTGTGGGTTCCGGACAACGCGCCCAGGAACAGCCTGCCGAAGTTCGTGATGGCGAGCATGGTGTCGTCGAGAATAAAGTCGTACCGACTGATCATCTCGCGGGTACTAAACGAATCCGGAGTCGCCTGTAACAGATGCGGTACGTCAGTGGTGGTCAGCTGGGCGCCAGCCCCTGCAAAGGCAGCTGCTTCCTCGATGAGGCTTATCCTGCCGTCCGCGCCGCCGATGACGATATGAATCCAGCCGTGTCGCACGTCAAGCGCCCGCGCCCAGAGGTGTTTGCCGTCGTGTAGCGAGTGCGTCCGCCGGTGGGAGAGGGTGCCCCCGGACAGCGACTCACCGAGAGACAAGTCCCATCGCTGGGCGGTAGAGTCCTCCCCAAAGGAATACATTGGCAGCCTGCCATGCCGGACGACGTGGCCGTCTTGGACGCCGAATTTGACGCCCCAGATGCGAGAGGCGTGGCCCATTGCCACCGCAACGGGGACGACTTGTCCGTCTATACAGACGGCCTGCACCTCGTCATAGCGCTCGGCGGCCTTGAAGCCGGTTTCCGTGACGCCTTCCAGGGTGGATTCGTGGGGTCCCTCGTGGTTGCTTATGTCCCACACCCTGATTGTCCGGTCGTCACTGCAGCTGGCGAGCAGACGAGCCGTCGATCCATTCGGGAGCGTCAGCTCTGGCGAAATGTCGACGCCGTAGACGGAGCCCTCGTGGCCGCGAAGCACAAAGAGCATGGTGTGAGAGGCAGAGTCGGGGTGGCACTTCCAGACGATGACGTTGCCAAACACCGTTCCTGCCGCGACCAGGACGCACGTGGGCGATGTCCATCGTAGATGGGAGGCGTAGAGCATCGGTCTCGAGGGGGAGACGACGGCGCCCGTGGCCAGGACGCGGGTGTCGGCGTGATACGTCAACAGAACGACTTCGTTGTGAGCCGTCGCCAGGGCCGCGACAGACGAGTCCCCCGGGCACACGGCTGCGTCGTGGATCCAGTCTGGTGCGGACGAGGTTGCCACAAGCACAGGGCGGTTTGCGCCGTCGAGGGGGGTTCCGTCCAGGAGAGCTACGCACGAGGCCCCCCAGAGGAGAATGCTGACAGCCGACGATGTTCCATCCCTGTGGACGCGGATGCCATGGACGGGCTGGTCTTCAAACACGCAAATCCGATAGATGGGTTCCTCGGTCTCGGCGGCACGGCCATGGTACACGGTCAAGTCACCGTCCTCGCCGGCCAATATGTACACTTTGCCCGAGGGCGTCGTGTATAGCCCCACGGAGGTGATTGGGACCTGGGAGGCGTCCCGTTCGAGCCTGACGGAGCTGTTGGACTATGGATCTCGGTCAGGATGAAAGTGTCTGGAAACGTAGTCAATCGTGGGGTTGTGGAGGCAAGTACGGTAGCTGGCGTTTGAGCCATGGCGATCAATTGCGTGGTTCAGGGCGCCATAGGGAGTACATGCAAATGCAGAGATAAAGAGGGCCTCCCACATGCATGAGCGCATCGGAGTGGTGACCAGTCGGTTGCTGGGTTGGAGGGAGATTATAACTATTATTCTTGGTGATGTGGTGGTTGATTAGTAAGGCACTCACTCGACTGTGCACGAGTGAAAAGCTGTGGGCCAAAAAATTTTGATGGTTTGGTTGGGTTGGTGGTGCGCGAGACGCAAAACTCGGGTGTGGGCTTCACATTCGTCACAAGTGCAACCGGTGCATCGAGCCAATGAATACTCGATGCCAAGCAGAATGCGCCATGCAAGTGACGGTCAAGGAATAGTTATTCGTCATCTTCTTATTCTTCAGTAAAGTTCTATGGCATGTGCCCTGGGGACTCATTCGGACACCTTTTATCAGTCCAGAAGCAAAGGGGCCTTTATATCGTAGACGGTCCTAACGCCGGGAAGCAATGCCTGACTTAAATATCGCACAACACAGATGATCCTTTGCTCCGACGCGTTTCCAAAACAAATGCAAAAAAGACACGGATAAGTCGGGGCAGCTTATGCCCGATGAGAGTACGGTTCATACGCGAGGTCAGTTCGGTCATGGCCCGCAGGATGCCGGGGGCCAGATGAGTAACCGCCGTGAAACTGCTGGTTTGGGCTGTAGTAGTTGTCATTTTGACCGCTAGTCATCTCGTAGCTGTGGGAAATAGGACGATAGGCGCCTCCGTTGGGCATGAGCTTCTCGCCATCAGAATCGAGGTGCCGCTTGCCACCACTACGGCGGCTCTCGGGTTTGCAGCAGCAGATGGTGAATATCCAGAAGAAGCCAGCGGCCATGGAGAAAGCCGTAGCGATCCAAACGGTGGCCAGGAATCGGACGCCAATGTCGGCTTCGATGCCGTAGAATTTCTTTGAGCCCTTGATAGCGCCGACAACGACGGAAGCCATGGCAGTGGAAAGACCAGCAGCAATGCCAACCAAGATAGAGGTGAGGCCAGAGACGAGCCAGGTCACGCATGACGCAACGCGGGAGCAAATAGCCAAAATGCCAAGGGCCAACTGGATGCCGAGTGCCAGGAGGGCAACGATGAAGGCAACTTCGGTCCATTTGGCGACAGTGCGGAACGTCTTGAGGGCGCCCTGGATCTCGTTTGGAATTTTGAAACCCTCCACACCAGTAGACTTGCCCAGCTGCTCGATGTATGAGGTGTTGAGAGCACTGTTGGCCCAGTCAAATTTGGGCTTTGTACACTGGCGCTTGTTGTCACTATCGGTATAGCAGTAGCCCCAAAGATCGACTTCGTACACGTTGGACAAGCCGAGGTCGGCAGCGGTAATGTTGCTGGTCTTGTCGGCGCGGGGGTTAACGCCGAGTGAGCCAGCAAGATTGCGAAGGTCGGCTGGGCTGATGCTCATCGCTGTAACATTTACGCGGAACATGGATAGTTGGTTGTGAGCAACACCGGAGAGGGTGGCAATGAGAAGGGCGACAATGGAAGCAACTGTCAGGACCAACGGTAAGCCGACACAGATGACTCGGCCGGCACCCATTTTTGCGGTGTTGGGCGTGTTTGCAAGAGCGTTGATGTTTCTTCCTTGTCAATGTTCCGTTGGATAACGACTCGATTGCCGACGTGCCCAGGTATGTTTGAGCGGCGATGGTGAGAAGCTGGAAGCACGTAACCAACGCAGAAGACGGCCGAAGGATGAAATTTCAAGCAAGGTAGCCCATCGCCGGACCAGCAGTGTTTATATAAACGAGAGCGGGCTTGGTGTTGGTGCTGGTGCTGACATGGCGCAAGTTTGGGCCCGTCGACGCATGACAAGTCAACCCTTCGGACAAGTACGAAACCAGGAGTGGCGCAGCAACAAGAAACGAACAGCCATTGCGCGAGTACAGAATGAAAAGAGCGGAGCAGCGGGCGGCCTCGAATAACGTTGTGTCGCACACCACATTTGGGCGCAGCACCACGCAGGGCCACAGCGGCATGGCTGATTTGCTGACAGGGACGACTCCAAGCCTGATGTTGCGGGTCGTTGAGGTTCTGCCATACATGGCTTGATGCCAAAGACCAGGGAGGCCCTGGGAATTGCCAATGAGCTGTGTCAAACCTGCTGCACCCTGCGCGAGCGAATTCGGGGAGCCATGATGGATGTGTCGCTCATGTCCAACTTTTCTCACAAAAAAAGCCGTGCTCAGACCAGGCAAGGCAGCCAGCCTTTCACTTGGCGTGTTGCTGAGTTCACAACTTGCTCACTTCAGCCTCCATGCATTTATTGACGCTTCCGAACTAGGATGACGGAGCAGCTCAGAAATGCTGGCGCAGGTTCATCGAGTACTCTCTATGTTCGCAGGGAATGAAGCAGTGGCTGATGTTTGACGCGGCTGCCAGGCGTCGGTAAAGAATCCGGTAACGGGGACAATCACCGGCTGGCTTGTATTTTCTTCTCCTTTACTCCGTACTTTTGCTCCTTTTCACAGGAGCAGAGTAATGCACGAGGACGCGGCATCGTTTCCCCAGCCATGCGTACATTGTTGAATCCTTGCTGCGTGCATGACGACGCGCAGCAGTCTGCGGCCATGGGCATGGCCAGGAGCAGAGTGGGGGGAAACACTGGGCCACATCCCACTGATCAGCTCGATCAGCAACAGTCCCATCCATCTCTCATTACTAGTCGATGTTTCGAGGTGTTGCTTGGCAAGTGTGTGTACGGGGTTTGAGCACAGTCGCTGTGACAACGGATGAATGCTGCACTACTCCGTACGATGATGGGGGACTACACTTATTATTAGTGGCAGTGAAAAGAAATTCAGACATTCAGGATTGGCCATATCAACCGCATGCTGCGTTACTCGAGTTGTCACTTGAAGTGGTCATCAAGCGTTCATTGCTCATGTCGCTTCCTGTCGTCCGGATATGTAGCTGGCATTGCCCGTGTCGCACGGAGCAAAGCGGTGCCTCTGAGACCATGGCAAACGGCCCGAGAGGGAATCGGTGTGTGGCCCGGTGAATCTCGTGCCATCAACAACATCTGCTTCTGCCGGAGCAATGTTGAATGATTGATTGGAGTGCTTGACAATGCGGGCGGCTGGCGGTTGCCAAGTTTCCCGCACAGCCTCCACTGGTTTTGGGCAGAAGCCCAGTTTTATATTTTTAGAAGCCCCTGCCACCCATGAACGTGAACATGAGGCTCCCCTCAGCCGCGGGCAACTGCCAGCCACCATCCAGCCAGCAGGCGCGACCCGCCGACTTGACGCAAGCGGCAGGCGGCGATGATGATGCCCCAGGCCGCAATTTTGCGAACGGATACTCTAACGGCCCCAAAAGTTGGAGCAGACAACAGCCTCCTCTCGAGTCTCGCCAGCATCAGTGTCTGTACCGCCAAGAAAGAGTCAAGACTATTCAAGCCCCAGACTTCTCACCTCTGTCAGATGCTGACGAAGCATGACGTGCGACGCAGATGGCGGAGTATTTTACGAGCTTACCCCGGCCACAGCCCAGAGTCTTTGGTTACGACCCGTCTGTCTATCTATACGGTCGCCCAAGGCTTTCGAGGCTGAGTTACTGGAAATCCGCAGACCCTTGACCCTCAACGTGACGGAGCTGTATAAGTCGTCAACTGGCCTCCATCTGTTCAGGGTTCACCAGTTCTCGAGAGCTGACGGGATATTTAGGATGCTGCGCCACTAAGAAGATTTCTTGGCCTCGTTGAAGTGCCTTGGGTACAACGCACCAAGTGCGGTCAGTACTTCTTTCACTGCAGCGCTTAGACCGCCTACTCAAGTGCAATTAATCTTAAAGCGGCCCATCCACAGACCCTTGCTTGGACGTACGACATGTACCATGCCTCATCACCAAGCATTCCGCTGGTGCCAACATCTGGTGTTGTGCATGGACAGTTGCACAGGAAGACCAGACCAACCAATACTGGGTCTCGGTCTTGTTGGCGGTGAAACTGATTACGAAGAGCGTTGGGTGTCCTTGCTTGAGTCCTCGATTGCCCCGACATTTTCATTTGAATCATTTCAGCAATTCCATACCGATATCCCGCCCGCTCGCCAACTTGAGTCGAGTTGCCCTTATCAATAAAGTATCTACTATTTCAGTCAGTATCTTCGAAGAGGCCATGTCTTAGACAGAAAAAGCTTGGCACCAAGCGAAATAGAGTCGCAGCCCGCCTGTTGAGCCGCGGGGTTGTGTGAGTACTGCTGAACAACTACTCTGTCGCAGATTTCGATTGCGTATTCTGATTCTGATATTTCTCAAACGCCTTCAGGGCCGAAAGTGCAAAGAAGGTTGTGCGGCACGGGACGCTGATCTCTGCGTTGTCCTTTGCTTCCATCCCACGCGGCCTAACTCTTGGCCGTCCTTTTGCCAGGACTACGGAGTGCACCGTGTCCTGCATATGGCTGGGTCGATTCCAATTCCAAGTCGCGCAAACACCCGTGAGCGCCTCCCCTTATGCTTTTCGACAGAGTCCAGTGGCCAAGTTATCTTGATATTCAGCGATGGCACGATAGTGTTCATCAATCATCAATAGCTATCCCAACTTTGGACGTTGGGCACTTGAGCTGTCTACTCCGCTACTCATCTGACCCCGGACGTATGAAAGTTACGGCAGCGGAATCCGTCGTTACATTGGCTGTGACTGTGATGCTGTTTGTGTAGGACATGGAAATCTCGGATCCCTGACCAGAGTAGCGAACTACTACAAAGGAGAGCGAGCGAGGCCACATTGATGCATTCTTACATCGAAAACACTTGGAACAGAAAGCCTCGAGCTGAATAGGCACAACGGACACGACATCCTTTGGTGCTTTGGGACATACTAGTAGCATGTCGGAGAACGGAAGACAGGAAAACGAAAAGTCCTTGGTCTCGGGATAGTCTCTCGACTGACGGGGCCCAGCCGTTTGTCAGTGCCTCTCGCACAAAGAGGAAGGCGTCTTCAAGGATTTGAACAAGCGGCGCTCAGCTGTTCAGACTAGCTCAAAAACACGATGCACCATGCTACAGCGGTCTCATTATTCGATGCAGGCGACAAAATGAGTTGCAGATGAAATGTCGGGCTCCGCAGGCTCGTTTGTGAGTGGACAGCATGGAGCAGATCCGGGGAAGCAACTCAGCCAACAGCGGAAGTTGGAACAAGCCACCGTCAGAAACGACCCTTCATCGGGGCCGATGTGGGGGCCGTGATGGCTGATACCGGGACATGACGCGGGCAAAGATTACTCGGGCAAGAGGACAGCGTTGTGTTCACTCCGTTTCTTTCCCGTTCAGCCCCAATATAAAAGGCGGTATCGATGCTTCTGAGCCAGTCAGATGCGATATAGCTTGATCACGGCGATGGCGAGGTGAATCCGGAATCCAAAACACTCGGTTTCAAGTCTCTATGCATGGTACACCCAACCCACAGGGTTGCTACTAGTACCATCATAATTAGTATGAATGACTCCGTATCGGGGGGTGGCAGATGATGAAAAAAACAAGCGTCAACCCAACAACCCCACCGCCTTTGGGTGTTCACATTGGAGCCCAACAAGTATCTAATCTTAATTTTAATACCTGACTGACTACTGAAGACAAGCGGCCTATTTTAACCAGGAAGGCGAACAAGATGAGGAGCCGGCGAGCCGGAAGAGCGCATCAACAGAGCCATCGCTGCTTCGACGGGAGTGACAGTTGATATCTACTGAATACCTGGGCAAAGTAGTTGCTCTATTGCGCTTCAGGTCTGCCAGAGGCCAACGTGGCGTTGAGGGTCGCCTCAACCTCAAAAGCAAATATGCATATTTGCTACGAGTAGTACATACATGCGGCCGTTTGATTTATGCATGTCCGACTGGCCTTGAAATTGCCAGCAGGAGAAGTTTGAATGACAGGACGACAAGATTTGCGGGAGGAATCGGTGCCAGGGACGGCGAGGCGAGCAATCAAGAGGAACAAGGCAGGCATTTGCAGTAATACCAGAAGCATTGTTTGATCGGTGTGACGGGCGGAGGCGGCGAGAGCTGCCGTGAGATGGAGTGCGGACGGAGGCGCAGGTCGTGATGCAGGGAACATGGAATAGGGAAAAGGACATTGAAGCCGGGAAGAAGCTGCGCTGCAGGTGATGCTGAGTTGTGTTGCTCCAGGGATGGCGATAGACTGTCATGCGCCGAGTCAATGTCAGATGCTGGCTGCCAGGATGGTCATGGTCGTCGTAGGAGGAGGCGTGTGAGGGTACTGTCGTGACAGGGTCGACTGTTGGACGATGGTGGAGGAATGTTGGGATACTGGATATTGAGATTAAAGATTGGATGTTGGATGTTGGATGTAGAATGTTTAATCTCGGACCAGGCGTCAACTGTGGTCATTGATTGTATGGAGAGGACAGACCTTGACATGCAGCATTTATCTGGCAGATGGTTCGTTGCGAATTGGTACTTGGAAGGAGCGTCCAACGTTCTGGCATTTACAAAAGTTCAACGCAGCATTTGGAGCAACGACCAGAATCAGCCACAAGGTTGGGCCATGAGATCGGGGGGCTGCAGCAATGCAGACAGAGGTGCAGAGAGATGATGTTGAGATGGTCACGCGGGTAGCGGGAGCAACTTATGAATGCGCCGTGGTTTCGTCCAATGTCCCGGATGGCAGGCCGAGAGGGTCCACGAGTTCAGCTTTGACATGGATGATGATGCCCGACACCTCGTGAGTCGTGCAGACCAGAGTCTGCGAGTCAACCGGTACGTTGCCGGGCTAGGTGGCTGTGCAGAGTACGCAGGTAGCTGCTACCTACTACAACTTAAGTAAGCACCTAGCAAGTACTTGGCAAGGTCGTCGTCTTTCATCTGGCGGGGAGCAAGTCTGGGTTTTGATGTTTATTCTGGTTGCCCTTGTCCTCCCGCCTCCCTGTCATCCATCATCATCATCGTCAACGTCGTCGTCGTCGTCGTCAGTTCCTCCTCCTTTTCGTTGTTGTTGAGATTCCTCGTGCCCTTTTGTGCAACCTGGCCTCCTATTTAACCCATGCCCGCAAGCTGCCTCCTTCTGGCCCGTCCTTGATCAGCTGAGCGAGCGCCTGGTTGAGCGCGGCTCATCAGCCAACAGACCAGCTTCCATTCTGCAAAGCCCGGATCGAGTTGTTGAGACTGGTACGGAGTAGATATATGTATATCACGATTCGCAGCGCACCCACGGCTCCCCCGGCACCGGCGGCCACGCGTTTGTGCTCGTCATTGACTTTTCCTCGGGTGCTGCGCGCAACTCTGAAACGCTTCCGCTGTTTGATGGCGGCGGTATTGGCTGTCTTATCATTTAGTTCCAAGGAGGGTAGCTTGGGTTCTGCGTGCATACCATACTCTGCAGACTCCTAGACAGCTCCCATTCCGGCGACGGCCAGACGGGGGAGCTTGCTCCTTGAATGAATGAATGTTCCTCGCCCTTCTTTGTCAGTCTCCAGTCACCGCGGCTCACCTCAGCTCGGCTCACCTTGGCTCAATCGAGCCTGGCGCCAGAGAACTAGTTAAACAACGATTCAGTTCGGCCACGGTCAACCCAGATTAGATTGGAACCAGACCAGTCCCCGTCGCCTCTCATCACCACGGCCCACGGTCCACATCATCCATACCAGTTGGCCGGCTGAGTGAGTTGACAAGACTATCTCGTCTTGCCTGCCGTCATCTCTCCCAGTTGTCGCTGCCATTCATTCGTGCCAAGCGCGACGACTCGCTGCCATCCATCCATCGTCATCAGCCTTGGAGTCCTTCCTGGCAGCGTCTCTCCTCAACCTCGCTCTGGTCAGCCGTTTCTGGATCTACAGGTACTATTTTGATAGCCCTTTTTTTTCTTGTCCCCTCGTCTCGTCTCGATTTTGTCTTGTTCCCCCCATACTGTACACCATCCCCAACAGCCAGGGTCGGTCGCCGTCCGTCCTCGACTCCTTGCTCTCAGCCCTTTGCCTCAGCCCGCGACTTGGAGTCTCGGACGCTTGGCACATGAATCAAACCAAATCCGTTGCACCAGACAATCATCTGCATCCTGCATTCGCCGTGACCTGCATCTGCAGTCCGGCTGCTTGACTCGAGTGCGTCCTGGCTGTGGCCCGTGGCTGGCATGCGCGTGGTGCGTGCTGTGCCAGTCGGTCGCTTTTGCCTTGTCTCGCTCGCCCAGTGCGCCTACATTCCCGCATCTCGGCTCTGCATCGCCGCATCGTGATCCATCTTGTCTCTCCCTGTCGTCGGCCTGAGCCTCTGGCTGCTCGTTCATGCAACGCACTGGACCTGAACCACCCGGACCTGGCCCTGACTTGACCAGCGTCGCAGTCGGCAAGGGCCACTCTGCATGCGATATCCGAGTCCGTGTCCGCTGCCTCAGCTCAGTTGGGGATCCCCAGGCTGGCTGTACGGAGTTCTGTGATCGGTCGTGACGCAGCCACGGTCCTGGACTCCTGGACTCTTGGCCGCAGCCGGCTTCGGCTTCGGCGCCTGTTCCAGTTGCACTTTTCAATCCAATCCCCGTGCATTCACTCATTCATTCCATTCCACAGCCCATCACCAGCACCAGCATCAGCATCAGCGCCCGCAACGTCGCCGTCGCCGTCGCCGTCACCGTCACCGCGTTGCACACCAGACGCTGTCTTCCCGACCATCGGCCCTGCGCATTATCTGCATCTGCCCTCGCCTTCCTTGGACCTCAGGCAGGCAACAACGCCACCCATCTTCACCACAAACCAACCCCCCCGTCTCGCTATTCAATACGTCGAGCGCCTTGGCCTGGCATCCTGCACAAGCAAGGCGGCCGCATCCACGATTCCTCAATCTGCCGTCTTCTCTGTTCTTGGACGACTGTTCCACCCCCCCCCCCCCCAGTCATCCAACCCCGAGAAGGTGGGGGCAGGGGGGCAAAAATAGAGCGAGTTTGACTGACCGTTGCTAGTACTGCATTGATACGCCATCGCTGTGCTAGCATCCCTTCTTCCAGAAGTATCACCTCGCATCCATCCATCCTGCCCGTGCACGAGCGGTATACAGTGCGCTTCGAATAACTACCTACTGCTCAAAGTAGGTGGCTTTTTGGTACTTGGTCAACTTGGTGGTACACTCAGAGCCCGCCCGGATCGGTTCCAGACTCAAAAACGGTCGGCAGCCGAGACGAAGGGCACCGCCAGCCTGACCCCACGCTGCCACGCGACATTTGAGACACTCGTCACCGCAACCGTATCTGCGACCGGCTCATCCATCCCAGCGGAAGCCCCATTTCGATATCTCGAGAAAATCCCCTTACGCCGCCGCCGCCGTCGCCATCGTTGCTGCAGCATCCTCAACGACTCGACCGTCGAACCCCCGCGCGCGATGGGTAACCAGGCCTCCAAAGAAGGCGGTAGTCCTTCCACGCCCAAGGGCGCCGGCTCCGACGGCCCTCTTCAGTCTTATCCTTCCATCAGCAGGTCCGATACAAAGGAATCGTCTCGATCCTTTCGCTCGCTCCGGTCCAAGATTCCGGGCGGCAGCAGCGGCAAGTCCATGACCAATGTCGACAGCCCCAGGAATTCGGCCTCGCTTTCCAACGGCGAGTCCAGCAGCGACAGAACACCCGATGCCGCGTCGGTTCGGTCCGGCCGCAGCGGCCGTTCCAGCGCTTCTAGAAATAGCCGCGGCGACCTGCCCAACTCGAAGAACAACTCTGCAGATGTGTCGTCGCCCGACCCGGCCATCCTCCAAGATCAGCCGCCGCCCCCGTCTCCCGTATTGCATAGCGCAAAAGGTGCTGCGCACGACGTCGCTGCCGCCCAAGCCTCGGGCGAAGTCGACCATGTCTCCGACCAGCCTCCCACTGCAAGCAATGCCAGCGCCACCGCGCATCTGCTGTCGCCGGGACAGCCGATTCTAGTGAAGAGGGACAGCATCGTGAACAATGTGCGAAACTCACCTTCCATGGACTCCACGACCAGGATTGAATCTAATGGCAACATGGCCATGTCGGAGATCAAGGATATGGACCTTGATGACTACATTAAGCGGCTCCTAGACGCAGGCTATGCCGGCAAGGTGACCAAGAGTGCGTGTCTGAAGAACGCGGAAATCGTGGCCATTTGCCAGCGAGCTCGCGAGGTTTTTCTCTCGCAACCGGCATTGCTGGAACTCGATGCGCCCGTCAAGATCGTCGGGGACGTGCACGGTCAATATACCGATCTCATTCGCATGTTTGAAATGTGTGGCTTTCCGCCCATGGCCAACTATCTCTTTCTGGGAGACTACGTCGATCGGGGCAAGATGTCGCTGGAGACCATCCTGCTGCTGCTCTGCTACAAGCTCAAGTTTCCAGAAAATTTCTTTCTGCTCCGCGGGAATCACGAGTGCGCCAACGTGACACGAGTGTATGGGTTCTACGATGAGTGCAAACGAAGATGCAATGTCAAGATATGGAAGACCTTTATTGACTGCTTCAACACGTTGCCCATTGCAGCCATTGTAGCGGGCAAGATCTTTTGCGTGCATGGTGGGCTTTCACCAGCGCTCAGTCACATGGACGACATTCGAAATATCGCTCGACCGACAGATGTTCCCGACTACGGCTTGCTCAACGATTTGCTTTGGTCGGACCCCGCAGACATGGAGCAGGATTGGGAAGCGAATGAGAGGGGTGTGAGCTATTGTTTCGGCAAACGCGTCATTACCGAGTTTCTGGCCGTACACGACTTTGACCTCATATGCCGAGCACACATGGTGGTTGAAGACGGATATGAATTTTTCAATGACAGGGTCTTGGTCACCGTGTTCAGCGCGCCAAACGTGAGCTTGCACCCACCCGCAGGTTCCCGCGCTTGTATCCTTGGTCATGTGCTAACGAGGCTCTGCAGTACTGTGGCGAGTTCGACAATTGGGGAGCCGTCATGTCTGTATCTTCTGAGCTACTGTGCAGTTTCGAGCTCTTGAAACCGCTAGATTCGAGCGCTCTCAAGAGCCACATCAAAAAGGGACGCAACAAGCGACAGCAGATGCTCAACAGTCCTGTAAGACTAGTGTCCTCCGCCGTTGTCTCCAGAAAGCATTTGGCTAACTCTGCAACAGCCCGCGAGCGTACAGCCTCAAAGTGTGTAGCCACCCCCTTGCCGTGGATGTATAACAAGTGTGTGCCGTGATGCCCTGCACATTTCCAACGGCAGGGGATTTACGGCTTGACGGCACCGGCGCACTCGTCGGGTGTCCAGTGTCTGCTGTGCTCTGAGGTTGGCTCATAATCACCCATGGCTCCCAGCGACTGCACGAGAAATGGTTGTATTAAAAAGTTTTCAACAAGAAGCAGCGAGCTATTGTCAAGCTATTCCCACACGGGAGGAACATCCCATATACAGCGGGCGGCATCCACTCGCTTCTATCCCGCGACGTTTTCATCATGAGGCTTCGGGCCTCGGATCTGGAACGGTCCGGGATTTTATGCCTTGGTTTTCATCAGCCTCAAGTGTTTCTATCGATGACAATCCCGGGCGAAGACGGGCCGGGTCAGTCAGCCCTTGCAGTGCGCAATTGATGGCACAGACGAAGGGATTGGGATTGGCTTTGGACTTTGACCTTGAGAACTAGACAATTGTTTGTATTTTTGGGGGTAGTTGGAAGAGTAGGAGGCTATCAAACTCGGTCCTTTGGTGTACGATTTGTTTTATTCACACGGTATCTGCCTGACGATGGGACAGGAAATGGTTGCATTTATATGAAAAGAGGTGGGAATCCACGGTGGTTAGTAGCAGTAGCCTCGGCAAGAAAGTGCTACTCGCAGTGAGGAGTTTGGAGTTTTACCATTGCTGAGCTCTCACATAATGTTTGTAACTGGATGATGCAGGGGCTGTCTCATGATATACACGAACACGAAGTGACGTAATATCTGCCTGCTGCGGCTGTGTGTTGGGGTTACTTGTTACTTGCCCGTCACGGAGACGTTGCATAGATGATAGATGGTGTTTGTGTGAATTGGCGTTGTGTTGGGCTGGGGGGAAAGTGGGGTGGGGGTTGGCACTTGACCGCTTGCCTGATTAGGCAGCCACGCAGAAAATTGTCCCTGAGCATCAGAGCTCCCTCTCTCCGTGTCTACCGTCGTCCGAGGTCTCCGTCTCCAAACCACGCACACTCAAGCAACCATGAGATCCCAAGCTTTCCGCTCGGCATGCGCCCGAGCGAGAATGACCGAGGCCCAGCGAACCGGGCACGCGCTCAAAAACTACTTTCGCGACCTTTCCACATCCCAATCACTCGCGGCAGATGAAACCTCGTCGCCGACTCCCGCGCCGCAGCCGTCGGTGCGCCAGCGAACGAGAGAAACCGCCAATGAAATCAGCTCCCTGGCGAAGAGGGGCCCCAGCTCGAGCCAGAAGACACGCGCCGCCCAATCCCCGGCGGGGTCTGCTCCCAAGGTAATCGACGTCAGGAGCCTGCCCAGGGGCCTGTCGCGAGCAGCACGCGGCGGCTTTCGCGGGGGACGGGGACAGCTCGGTGCGCTGCCGTCGCAGGGGCAGCCTCCTCGCGCGCAGTCCCCTGCCGGGAGCAGATTCTCCCGGCCGTCCGGCGGGAGGGGAAGGCCCATGCTGCGCGGGGGTCGTGGCGGGCGAGGCGGGCGAGGCGGGCGGGCGAGAGGCGCGGACAGGGCACAGGACGACGCCAAGGACAAGCAGAAGAAGCTGGGCAAGCGGCAGGATCCGTTCGAGGCCATGGACCCGTACGAAGAGCAGTTTGACAGGGACATGCGGTTCGGGGTGGCGGCCGCGTACGCGCCGTGCCTGACGCGGGAGTCTCTGGCGCCCTTTGCGCCGGCGACGCCCACGGGCGCTGCGGGGAGGCGGGCCACCGTGCTGGAGAGCCTGAGCGCGCTCGGCACGGCGGACCCCGTCGGCGTGCCGCAGGACTTGCAGGCCCGGAGCTATGCGGCGGACCTGGAGAGCGAGGGGCGGCGCTTCTTTGCGGACGCCAAGGCGAGGGAGGCTGCGGAGCGCTACCTCCGGGGGAAGAGGGCCGGCGGCGACGGCGGCGACGGCGCCATCATCAGCGACGCGGAGGAGAGCGTGCGGCGCGTCGTCTTTGACAGGGCCGTTTGCGGGGAGCACGAGAAGATGGCGTTCAGGCAAGGGCCGGTTGGCGTGGCGAGGAACTGGCATCTGAGGGCGGAGACGTACACGGGGAGAGACGTCGAGAGCTTCGAGAAGAGGCTGACGTCGTTGGTGGGCAAGCGTGCTGGTTGAAGTGCCGCTGCCGGGGGGGCAGCAGCCAGGCCAGCTTTGCATCACGAGTGCACGTGGGAGTGTGTACTGTACAACATCGGGGCTAGACGGCTAGACGGCCAGACGGCCAGACGCATATTTCTCTACAGCTAAACGCTCTCTCTCTTCTTGACTTGTCCGAGGCACACGTGCCGTCCTAGTTCCGGTCCAGGCCCCTGATGGCGGCGGCCTCGTCGCGGTCAATCTCGGCCATCTTGGCGTCCTGCAGGCGCTGCAGCTCCCTCTCGGCGCGCCTCACCACGTCCACGAGCACGGTGCCGTCCCGCCGCCAGGCCTTGAGCACCTTGTCGTGCCGGGTCCGCGCCTGGCGCACCTTGTCCCGCCACGCGTGCGCCGTCTCCCTGACGCGCCGGGCCAGCTCCTCCCTCCGCTCGGGCTCCACCTTGAGCAGCAGCTCGAGGTCGTTGTCGCCCGACCGCTGCGGCTGCTGGTTGAACTCGCGGCTCGACTGGACCGCGCTCATGATGGGCTTGACGTAGGCCCTGTCGTTGACGAGGAGGGATATGCTCCGCCCGCCCCGGGGCACCACCTGCGCCAGCTCGCGGAGCGGGAAGACCGTCGACGGCTCCCCCGACGCGCTCCCGCTCCCGCTCCCGGACCTGGCGGCGACGGGGACGGCGACGGGGAGCGCCCCCAGCACCGACGGGTTGAAGCGCCCGCCGTGGAGGATCGTCCGCAGCGCCGACCTGTAGTGCGCGTCGTGGGGGGCCAGCGCGGCCTCGACCGACGAGAGGTCCAGCGGGTCCTGGGCGTTGGGGGCCGCCGCGGGAGGGCCCGTCGCCGGCGGGGAGTTGCTTGCCGCTGCGATCTTGCGCTTCTTGAGGGCCGCCGCCGAGGCGTGCAGCGGCCGCCGCGTGAGGGGGCTCCTGCGGTGCGCGTGCGTTAGACGGGCGGTTCTTCCGGCGGGGGACCCCGGGGGACGGTGGCTTACGTTTCAGTTGGGGCCGCGAGGCGGAAGGCTCGCCGGAGGAGCTGGAGCTGGAGCTGCCGGGCTGGGCTGGCGGGCGCCATGACGACTTGTGGCGAGGTTGGCTGCGCGTGGTGGACGAGCCGTCCGAGGCGAGGGTGAGGGTGACGTGACGGGGAGGGTGAGGTTGGTGTTTTTGCGATAAGATAAGCGGCGTCTTGGCGGTCAGCCCGGCCCCGAGACACGGACTAGCGAGAACAGCCGTCCGCCTTTCCCTCGACCCCACGCACTTCACGTCGGCGTGTCCTGTATTTACAGTAATCGTCAACATTGCTCGCAGAGTGAGCTGCAGGCATAGCCTTGAGGTATCAGAACACGTGCGCGAGGCCAGTCAGTCGTCAGTGCAAGTAGTCTGGGGTACTGCTGCAACTGACCAGAGCCTCGTTCAGAAGCTATATAACAGTCCGACAGTCGCCGCTAGCATGCACGTTCGTATGGTGTAGTGGCTTATCACATCTGTCTTACATGGTGCGGGGATGTCCCGGCGCAGTGCACAGAAGGTCCCAGGTTCGATCCCTGGTGCGAACAGCGGACGTTACGCGCCTTGATTTTTACAACTTTTTGCTGTACAATTTCCAATCACCGAGTCGCCCGTCTCAGTTGTTGCCTCGCATTGCGTGGCGTACGGCTCACCCACGCCGCCGTTTTGCTGAGCGAAACCTCTCTCCGTTGTACCGTGACCCGCCGATGTCTTCGTCTTCATGGAAGGGAAGTCAGTCCTCCTGGGCGACATTTATGCACGTGAATTACGAGGACGACGAGGTAAGCCGGCGGCCGAGGCCGCGACAGAAATATTATGATACGTACAAAGTTGGCGAGTTGTAGTCGTGGCGCTGGCTCCCTTTCCTTTTTGCCTTTGATCTGACCAATCTTCTTGCACAGTGTCGTGTATAAGCCATGGCAGTTTTCCAACTTTGACGTGCCCCTTGTCAGTCGTGCTAGCAGGCTCCTCGGGGATGATACAATGTTGGGTGATTTGAGCATACGTTTCCTGGTTCGTGCTCAGTATACTCCGACTATCAGGGCACTCTACGTTTTCGCTCACTCAAACCGCCCATTGCTCAGCGCGTCATGACACCACTCGCACACGACCCTCAGCTAGCTCTGCAAGGGCGACCCCATTCCGCCGCAGGTGATCATCTTGGTAACCTGGTACTCGGCAAGGCCATACTTGGATCCCTCACGACCGAACCCACTCTCCTTGACACCGCCAAATGGAGACGCAGGGTCAGAAATGATGCCCGTGTTGACGCCAACCATTCCCACCTCCAGCGCCTCGGCTATCCGGTGGACGCGGTGAAGGTCCCGTGAGAAGAAGTACCCAGCGAGGCCGACCTCGACCTTGTTCGCCATTTCGACGACCTCGGCTTCCGTCTTGAATGGGAACAGCCCGGCGACAGGGCCGAACGTCTCCTCTGTAGCCATGGCCATGTTGGGAGTCATGTCACGGATGACAGTTGGCTGGAAGAAGTTGGCTCCCAGTTCGGGCATCTTCTGGCCACCAGCGACAATCTTGCCACCTTTGGACTGGGCGTCCTTGACGTGAGCTTCTGCCTTGCTGACGGCGCGGTCGTGGATCAGAGGCCCGTGGGAAGTGTTGGCTTCGAAGCCATTGCCGACCTTGAACCCCTTCACCTTTTCGGTGAACTTCCTGGCAAACTCGTCGTAGATGCCCTCCTGAACGTAGATCCGGTTGGCGCAAACACAGGTTTGACCGGTGCCGCGGAACTTGGAGGCGACGGCGCCGGCGACGGCAGCGTCGACATCAGCGTCGTCGAAAACGATGAAGGGAGCATTGCCGCCCAATTCCAAGGATAGCTTCTTGAGGGTACTAGACGACTGCTTCATGAGAAGCTTTCCCACAGCGGTAGAGCCGGTGAAGGACACCTTCCTGACGGCGGGGTCGGTGGTGAGAACCTCGCCGACCTCTGGGGTGTTGGCGAGGGTGGTCACGACGTTGACGACGCCCTTGGGGATACCTGCACGGTGACCAAGTTCAGCGACGGCGAGCGCAGTGTACGGAGTCTCGCCGGGAGCTTTGCAGATGACGGTGCAGCCGGCAGCAAGCGCCGGGGCAACCTTTCGAGTGATCATGGCAGCAGGGAAGTTCCATCTATTCACGTTGTTAGGCCAGGTCAGGTCAAAAGTTGGGGGAGAAAAAGGAGAAGAAATAAAGAAAAATAAAGAGAAGAAAAAGGAAAGCAGGCAGTCATTCTTACGGAGTTATCAGTCCACAGACGCCGACGGGTTCCTTTGTCGTCCATACTCTGTTGCCGGGCACAGTTGCAGGAATGGTATCGCCATAGGTCCGTGGGGCTTCCTCGCTGAACCACTCGAAGAAGTTGGCAGCATAAGCAGCCTCGCCTTTGGCCTCGGCAACGGGCTTCCCGTTCTCCCAGGTGATGAGCTTGGCGATATCATCGGCATTCTCCACCATCAAATCGTACCACTTGCGAAGCATCCTGGCACGCTCACGACCGGTCAGGCTGCGAAAGGCAGGGAACGCATCAGCAGCAGCCTTGATGGCCAGCTTGGTGTCTTGGCCATCGCACTCGGCGCAGGTGCCAATCAAGGTGCCTGTGGACGGATCTACACACGTGAGCATCATCAGTTCACTCGAGCCCTCTCGTGATGGCGTCGTTGGGACCGGAAAATGCCTACCGTTGACCTCGAATGTCTTGCCAGACTTGGCAGCCCTCCATTGACCATTGATGTAAGCAACATTTTGCTTCAGCAACGAAGGGTCTTTCAACTACACGACATGGTTAGAACAAAGATGTGTGTGTGGCCGCGTCAGGATATCCGAGCGCGTGCCATACATACCTGGGGAGGCATAGTGGACGCCGGCCTAGCAAACATCAACGGATTACCTGGGGAGAAGCGCAACTTGGACGTTGGAGCTGCAAGTCTTTGCAGCAAGAGGGCCATTAGAGAGGACCGGGTACAACAAGAGAGCTCCGTCTCTCAGTCAGGACTCGGGACCTCGCCGGCTTCCAACAGCAGAGAAGAAGGCAACAGGAGACTGCGGCTTGTTGAGGCAGTGGACCCTAAAGCGGCCACGACTTGACGGAGCGCGAGCGCGAGCGTTGGTGGAAGTGCAAGCGGAAGCTGAATGAGTGCGTGATGTCTGGTCGGAAGCCCAGTCAGCAGTCGGTGGTGTGACCGGGGGCGTGGGAATTGACCGGCTCGGGGGGGAGATGCGGGGAAGAGCCAGGACGGCTTACTAACGAGGTCAACGACGTGGACTCCGCGGCCAAGTGGCGTCCACGTTCCAACCCTCCCAGCTTCGTTTTTGTCCACCACAGTTCGCGCCCCCGGTTCCCGTCAGGCGGTTCGCGGTCCACGGACGCCGACGCCGGCGTGGGTCGGTGCCGCGGCGATGCATGCGACAACGGGTCGCGACGGGTCACGACGGGTCACCATGGCTTGGCGGCGCTGGCCAAGCTGTACTGTACATTGATTGTATGCTCGTGGCTTGGTTGGCAATCCGGACGAGCATCCGAGGCGACGCTGTTGGGCTGTGCTCTGACCCCCATCGCCACGTCAAACTGACCCCCTCACTCCAACGTGATGCGGTCCGGTATATAAAACTTGACATGCTCCTTTTGCGGACGCCATGTGCCGCCAATAGAGAGCGAAAATGGCATTGTCAAGCCGCAGCTTCAAGCAAAACGAACAACCAGTTTCAATGCTCAGCATCTCGTCAACCAACATGGCTGAGACTGCGTCCCACGGGCCCTGCAAAACGACCCATGTATAAAGATCCATGAACTCAACAGACTGCACCTTGCGGCCAATGACGAAGCTTGTTCATGCCTCAAAAATGGATTGCTGGAAAATACATATCCAACTTGTGCTTATATCACGCTCTTTGCCACAATTCGTCCCAACCAGAGATCCGTCAATCAGCTGCCTTGTTTTGTCTCGCTCGGCCTGTATTTTCACACGGCTTCCTTTACCCACAAGTCCTCATACAAAGTCGTCAACCTTGCTGCTGTCGCAATGGAAACTGTCTGTCTAGAATATGGAAGGCCTGTGTTCTTGGAGTGAACGGTGACCCGCGCACAGCCACGGGCGATTTCATGCTATGCATCTCCCAAGTATCACGCTCCTTTTGATCCGAACTAGTCGAGATTCTGTCCTCTTCGTCCTCGTCCGCGTCGTTTCGTGGATTAGGCCACATGGCGTACATGGCAAAGCTCAAGTTCAGAACATAAACGACACTGCAAAACATGGTTAGATTTCTGGTTGACGTTTCAAAAAAGAAACTTGTGGTTGCAGTCGAGGCACACACACTTACAGCATGTAAAGAGTAATGAACAATGACGCCTGCGCAACCTGGCAAGCTCTGTACTTGCCATACCTCTGGGCAAGCCCACATCCCTGCCGAAAGTACCACGCTGCCGGCGCAGGATATCGGGGATCCGCATAGTCTGGCCCAATCTGACCGTATGTGCTAACGGTATAAAGCGCAACTAGAGCCAAGTTGATGAAAACGGCCACGGTGGGGTACCATAGCTTCATGATTTGTGAAATTAGCTTGGAAAGGAGGAAGAAGAGTGAGATGACAGAAATCGCCACATTGAAATCGGTGAGACTGGCGGAAATTGAGGGGTCAGTTTTTTGTGCTTTCTTCATCTCGTGGTCTAGAGGGAACGGGGTACATTCCATACGTTTGTGACCAAATAAGCGGAACGTTGGGCAACGGCCTGTAGTTGGCATATGCATAAAGAATCATATTGGGATTGGAATTGAGCTTATTCTCAAATCCAATCTGCCACATGTCTGTCCGGTACATATCTGGTTGCGCAATGCCGAAAATGACGAGTGTTGGTACTAGGCCGATGAGCTCAACAGGCATGAGCCATGTTGTAGCTTTCCTAGCCGCTCTAGGCCATACTCGGCGTAAAATTCGATACGAGTGCGACTTTCGCGACGTGAACATGGTGATCTTGATTCTAGAGCAAATGATGTCTTGGTCTCCTTCGTTTTGAAAGTCGGTTGGTCGAATTGGTCTCCGGTACGGGGAGTCGAGAAGGCCGTCTCCTCAGCGGGTTATCGCGCTGTCCATGGGAAACAATCCGCTGGGGTTGAGCGATGGCGAGCCGGGCGCATCCGCAGGACGAGGCGGTCAACGTACGGAGTATTGGTTTTGCCTCTTTTTTCTCTCCTTGGTGCCGTTGTTAGGGAAACATTGAGACGACGCAGAGGCCCGGCAGGTCGACAAGCCTAGAATCAGACCGGGGAGCAACCGGTTTAAGGGTCTTGGGCCTTCCCACCGATGAGCCAGGGACCAGGCCAGAGTACGTGATGATTTGATGGTGAGCTCTGTGCGAGGAGCCATGCACCCAGCATCACATCCATGGTGGCCAATGAAGTGGCGTAAGCCCAGGGGTCCCTAAGCGCCCGCAACTGCATGTGGTTGGCGATTGGCTCTGCCAGCTGCTGGTGATGCGCCCATCAGCCAATGAGCTGTTTCGAGATGCCGCGGAGCCAGATCCAGGCTTGCTGGCTCGTGAGGGGTTCACATGTTTGCGGACGACAATTGTCGATGGACATGTTGGGCCATCTTAGCAGCAGCAAAGTGCTCTTTTGTCGTTGGTTGATTCGACCGCCTTGTCTGTCACATGGTCCGATGAAGTGTAGCAACGTGCTCATGAAACGAGGCCAGCATTCTTTGTTCGGCTGGCCCTGCCGACGGCCAAATGTGGGGTCCAAAAGGTCAAGGACAGGTTGGTGTGAATGGCTTGATTGAGAGATGACATGTCGCGGGACAAAAACTCAAGGCTCCGTACGGAGTACAGAGTACCGAGTAGTTATCGCTGTATTATATGAAGTATTGATGAGCATAAACGTCGACGGTTTGGTAGTGCTAGCGGGTCGCCGAAAGGTATCGATGTGCAGAGTCGTATTCGCTAGATCTTCTGCTTGGTACGGAGTACCTTGGTGGACGCTTGTCGTCAGCTTATTAAAATCAACTCGGGCACTCCTCTGAAAGTTAGCGCGGTGCATGGAAGAGTAGGCGACTCTGAAAATGACATTACAATACTGGTGTTGCGTGACCGAGCCGGATCCTGGCAGCTACAAATGCATGTAGCGTGCTTTGCCCATCGAACAGTTCTTTCGGGAAGGGCGTTGTCAGACGCATTTCATTCCGGTGCCTCGGCGGTTGACTTTGTCCGTCTCAAATCGAGTTCTCCGTACGGAGTATTGAATGTCAAATTAGTGCGCCGCATCGCTGGGGAGCGCTTCAATATTATCGTAGCCATAACCAATTGGCATTGCGCGATATCTCAGGCAGCAAGCCACAGGTTGGAGATCGACCCCAAACAGCAAACTTTAATTCTTTCCCTTGAGGCGCTGGCGCACTACATTTCTTCAAGGGAACCGTTCGTAAACTGTTATATCGTGTACATGATCCAGCCGCCCACCAGGCTGGCCTCACAATGATTCTGCCGTTTGGTCGATTTTCAGGAGAGACAATGACGCGAAAATGAATTTTCCTTGCGGGACGCCGCAGATGCCACATGTCTCGGCGGCCAATTTCCAAAGGGCCTAGACTGCTCTACGGGCAGCAGCAGTGGAGACAAGTAAGTCCTCGAACAGGTTTCGGCGCATGTACTCCGTACGGAGTATGTATGTAGTATGCCTTGGCCATGACTCCCGCAGCCGCAGGGTTGGTTTACAGCCAGGGATCAAGGCGTGTGGTCGCGGGCGTCACCCTGCGAACCACGAGAATCGCTGAAAGTTGTGAACACTACCCGGTGTGGCATGTCGAATGCCATGACACAAAGTGAATGGCTTTTCTACCACGGCCATTGTGCTGCAAAGGGTTGTGCGTGTGCAAGCATCCAGTGCTCAATGACCTGGTCTCTCGTCAAAGTGCCCGCAGCGGCTGAAGATGTCGTTGAAATACCGTACTCCTCCTGACTCAATAAACATATCGTGAATCAAATACCAGCAGAAGGCTCTGATTGCGGCGGAGCGTCCCCATATGGTTGTTGGAAGCATTCCGGGGATAAAGCGTCAGACGCCGATCAATGAATATTGAAACCATAGAGTGTACATGGGTTTGTCTACTGCTGCTGCAGAGCTGCCAGATTCCTCAGGGCTTGGAGTGGTAAAGGTGCAAAAATTCTCCTGCAGGATTCGACCGGTACGCAGCATATAGGGTGTTCTTGACGGTCTGCAATTTTGACATCCGTGGGCACTCCCGTACCCGTCTCGCACCCGCCTCCATCCCGCTCCCACGTAGAACCCAGACGGAGGCTTCAGAGTACTTGTCAGCAACAGCAATGCCAATTGCCATGTGCTTGATGTGACCGGAGAGCAATTCCCCGACCGGAGAGCAAGGCTGCCCTGCCAGGCCTGCATGGGTAAGGTTCGTTGTGGACGGCAAAAGAAGAAGAGTCGGGCGAATCGTGCGTTACCGTTAGGATCGTACTTTGAGCGGGGCGCTCTGTCGACGGGAGAACTATTTGACCCAGTACTCCGTACTCCACTCCGTACTTCGGTGTCGTCGGAGAGTCAACGGTTGACTTGTAATACTAGTACGGAGAATGGAGTATGCAAAAGTTGTGTACGAAGGTTGAAACATCAAGTCAAGTGGTATGAAATTGGCCGGGGGGCGCCTTGCACTCAGCTTCATCCGTTTTGTAGGTACCTAGTAGGTAGGCAGATAGTTACCTGTATTTAATGTCCCTTCCTGGTGTGCATCGTACCTGCCTCATGGATGTTATGCTCCAGCGCGCATAACTGCCCTGAAGCCGCATTGCCCTGGGGCATTGATATAATCTACGCCGGGGAAGTACTTTGCAAGTAGTACCTGCAGCCCTGGACAATGCCAGATACCCCGCGGTACATGCATGCATGGAAAGTACTTCAAGTACTTGGGTACCCCGTACCTATTACGTCCAATCACCCAAGCGTGCATCGTCACCCGCGTCTCCGTGATCTGGATTTTGGACGGGAATCACCAAGACTCAATATCGTTCCACGGCACGGAGCACATTACCGATACTTGGGTACCCGGGCAAGGCCGATTTCTGGCATTGAAAATGCGCCGTTCTTTTGCTGGCGCCATCCTTCGACTCTAAACCGCACACTTTGACGCCCACGGGTGGCTAGCCTTGTGTCCCACCCAGAGTCAGATTTGTAACAGATGGCCACACAATGTCCTTGGCTTGAGGGCGCCCTTGCTCTTGCTCTTGCTGTTGCGCTCTGCAAGTCTCCCTCTACGTACTTACTTTCCAAAGTTTTTCTTTGCATTCTTTCAAAATGTCCCTGGCCTCCGACTCTTCCATACCCTCCTCCTGATTACCAACAAACTACACAACTTGCTTTTTTCCCAATCATCAGACCCCAAGAAGTTCGGAAGACTACCAAGCTGCAGAACTACTGCAGAGCTGAGAGCACGCCGCGCCATCCGCATCCGCAGCTGAGGGTTGGCATTACGCTCCTACTCGTGCACTCAATCGTTGAAATTGTCCATGTCGTCCGTCGGCCTCACCACCCTCTCTCGCTCTTCGTCTCGTGCCCAATTGCTTGACACATCCATGGTCCAGTTTGATGCGAACTTGTTGCCTCTAGTGGATATCCACGCGGTGCATCGGTTTATGCGTTAGCGGCACGACGTTTGCTCGCTATCAAGCTCCAATATAGGCCAACCCAACCCGTTGCGGTTCCCTTGTCATTATCCACACCAGCTGATCCGAATCCACCCCCTCGAATCTCGATCTTCACCAAGCTACCTAGCTTAGTACCAAGCAGCCAAGGTTCTGCATCTTCACCAAAGGCGAGCAGAGACGCAGGCCTAGGCCCGACAAGCCATACACGCGAACCAAGGTACCGGTCTCCGGCCCATACAATACGGTGGTCCCCGTCTTGCTCGCCCAATCCTCCAACGCCCAGCTGCCTCGTACATTTATTTACCGTCCTGGTAACGTCTTGTCTGATATTTCTGCTCTCATCATACTCCGGCTCTCTTACTTACTTGATTCCCACTCGGTGGAAGTACCTAGCGGCGCCTTGATGCAAGAGAGGGAAGACTTCCCCGTATCCCGCTTAGGCGCAGTTTCTCCATCTTCACTGAACTCCACCTCCGACACTCATTCATCATCACTCCCATGCGACAGCTCAGTGAGAGACTCAGGCTTCACCGACAATCCGCCTGTACCGGGAGCCTCTGCCGTCGGCTCATCCGCCTCCGAGGCTCATTACAGCCACCCAGATCACCCCAGGCGACTCTCATCGGGAACTCCCAGATCATGGGTACGGCCTGCTGAACGTCAAGGCCGCTCTGCGCCACCGGCTAGTATACACAGATCCCGTACAACAACAGACTCATGGCCAGCCAAGAGTTCTCTTCCACTTCCTTTGGGCCACCAGTCTTTAAACGCCATCAACCCCGCGCCTGACGGTGGACATTCACGTCCCGGCTCCCTTCTGAAGCGTCACTCTTTTCATCTACAGCATCAACAAGACGCCGCAATGGAACCCGCATCTTTCAAAAAGCCTCGAACCGACTCCCCCCCGCGGCGGCTTGACATCTCTCCTGCCGCATCTTGTCTTGCTGAGCCTACGACAAACCGCGACGGCTCATTTTCTCCCCTCTTCTTCTCACACACCCCATCAAGACGACTTGGACGGCCTACGAGCTCGTCACCTAATGTCAGTGCCAGCATGCTTTCGAGTACCAAGGAAGAGCCTTCGAGTGCCGTCACAACCGTGAAACTACCTCATGCTAATGTTCAACCGGCGGCATCAGCCATGTCTGGCAGCACACCACCTAGCATGGGTTCTTCAGTGGACATGTCTGCCCCTGCTTTGAGTCCAGATCTTCGAATTGCGTCTCCGAGCTTGCAGCTTATTCAAAGCATCGGGGCTATAGAGCTAGTAGAACAAGACACCAGGCCTACCTTTCTTATTGACATGCTAGCCCCGACAACCGCACCTCCCAATCAACCCTCTCTACATATATTGTACGGCAACACGGCACTGCGTTCATCGCGGGACATAGCTGAAATTGTCGGTTTGGAACCCGCTGAGTCCATGGATATAGTCAATTTCCAGCGTTTCGCAGCATGGGCGACATCTCTGCCTAGCAGCCGAGCCAGCCACGAACCTACGTCTCCGTTTCATGTGTACGGCGGTATCAATTGGACATATGCCACTATCCGGCGACGATTCCGCTTCATTAGCGGCAATGTCAGTGTTGGCCGCCCAAGTACTCGAGCGAGTTCTCCTGTACCGACTTCCAACGACTCTATCCCCGTTCCCACCACTACTTCCACCGTCTCTGACTTTACCCCGGTCACGCCGCAGCTTGGCTCCGTTGGCCCCATTGGCCCTCCGGATTACTTTGGAGATGCTGTACCTGAGGATGAACCGCTCATGAACACGATCCAAAAGAAACTAGGTGACGCCGCAGTATCCTTGACTCATCCGGATGAATTCACAAATCAGGTTTTGCAACAGGTGCAGCCAGTCACGCAGTCCTTTGACTGGACCGCGATACCACTGCATGGTAATCTTCCCGACCATATCAAATTTGCGAAGACACGGGATTGGGCTTCAACCGCACTCGGTCCGATGATTGACTGGGCGCCTGGTCTAAGAGCTATGTCTAGTCTTGTCATGGCTACCCCCCATCCTGCAGCCATGTACTGGGGCCAAGATATGGTGATAATATACAATGAAGCCTACGTATCCTTGGCTGGAAAGAAGCATCCCGACCTGATGGGAATGGCTTACACCGAGGGGTGGCCGGAAATCTGGGAGGAAATTGAGCCCGTCTTTGAAAATGCATGGAAATCTGGACAGTCGACAATGAAGCACGACAATCGACTTTTCATTAAGCGTGATGGATTCCTCGAGGAAACATTTTTTTCCTGGGCCATTGTTCCGCTACTTGGCAATGATGGCGAAGTGGTTGGGCTATATAACCCTTGTTTTGAAAACACACGCCGGACAATTAACGAGAGACGCATGCTCACGCTCCGCGAGATGGGTGAGAGGGTAGCCACAGCCACAACTGTGACCGGGTTCTGGCCCCAGGTGCAAGCCGGCTTAGAGTATAATGAGTTTGACGTACCGTTCAGCATCATCTACTCAGTCCGAGAGGAATATGAGAGTGAAGTATCCTCGCTTCACTCGGGCAGCCTGCTACCATCGTCGCAACTCGCTCTCGAGGGGGCTCCCGGTGTCCCTCACGGCCATGTCGCGGCGCCACCATCTATAGATCTCAAGTCATCCGATGAAGGCTTTGCGCCCTATATGCGCCAATGCATGGCCATGGGCGGTGCGCCGGTCGTTCTTTCCGAGGAAGGGGGAAACCTCCCGAAACATCTTTTGGAAGGACTTCAATACCGAGGTTTTCCTGCCCCTTGCTCAACCATCGTTATTTTCCCTGTTGTACCTACTACCACAACAGAGGCTATTGCCGGTTTTATCGTCATGGGAACAAATCCGAGGCGGCCTTACGACGAAGACTATAAGCTCTTTGTAGACCTTCTGTCTCGACAGCTCGCGACATCCCTGGCGTCGGTTTTATTGTTCGAAGAAGAAATCAAGCGAGGGCAGCGGGCAGCACGTCTGGCGGCTCTCGACAGGCAAGAACTTTCATTGCAGCTGATTCAGAGAACGCAAGAGGTCAACGAGAGTGAGTATCGATTCACCCGCATGGCTGAGTTTGCCCCAGTCGGCATGTTTATTGCTGATGCCCTTGGATCCATCAACTATTGCAATGACATGTGGTGGCAAATATCTCGGCACACCCGCTTGCAAGACGCCGAGAGCGGTTGGATGAATAGTGTTCGAGACGAGGACAGGCCAGCTCTGGAAGCTGCATGGGCTAAGCTGGTGAAGGAAAAAGTGACTATTTCGCTCGAGTTCCGATTTAAATGCTCACAGCAAAGTGGCTGCAATACAATCGACACGTGGGTATTGATGAGCGCCTTTCCGGAGAAGACACTAGATGGAGGATTGAAGTCTATTTTCGGCTGCATTACCGATATCTCGTCACAGAAATGGGCAGAAAAGGTTCAGAATGAGCGGAGGGAAGAGGCCGTGGAGCTCAAGAGACAACAAGAAAACTTCATTGACATTACAAGTCACGAAATGCGGAATCCGTTGTCAGCCATTCTCCAATGCGCTGATCAAATTGCGAATAATATTTCAGCTTTTACAGCACAGAAAGACAAAGACGAGGTAGAGAATCTACTAGAGGGTTGTTTGGATGCGGCCAACACCATCAATCTCTGTGCGAGTCATCAGAAGCGCATCGTGGATGACATATTAACCCTGTCAAAACTTGATTCCAACTTGCTGGCTGTCGCCCCTGCGGACGTGCAACCCATAAAACTGGTCAAGTCGACGCTGAAAATGTTTGAGCCTGAACTGGTCGCTCACGACATTGAGTTTGAATTCAACGTTGGCGACAGCTTTGCTCGCCATGATGTTACCTGGGCAAAATTGGATCCCTCGAGGTTGAACCAAGTCTTGATCAATCTCATGACCAATGCAATCAAATTTACACAAGGTCGTGAGCGCCGCAGTATTACTGTAAATGTCAGCACGTCAAGAGACATATCAGAGGTCACCAGCACTGGCATATCTTACTTTAGCCGAATCAATAATCAGCGAGCTCCTAATATGGATATCACCAACAAAGAAGAATGGGGCACGGGCGACGTTATTCATATACACTGCTCTGTGGAAGATACCGGGCCAGGCTTGGCGGAAGAAGAGATGAAGCTACTGTTCCAGCGATTCCAGCAAGCCACACCACGCACTCACGTACAATACGGCGGATCTGGACTCGGGCTCTTCATTTCTAGGATTCTTGCCGAGTTACAAGGTGGTCAGATTGGAGTCTCGTCAAAGGCAGGTGTCGGCAGCAAGTTCAACTTCTATATACAATGTCGGAAATGTGTCGACCCTCCCGCAAAGCACGACCGCATCTCGCCATTCAAAATTGGACGCAAGGTCATTGCTGCTGCTGCCGCCGCTGCTGCTCAGTCTCCTCCTCCTCATCCTCCCCCTCGTCTGCCAGTCCCAGAGACAGCGCCAAAGATCAAAGATCGCTTACCTCACCGAAATAGCGCCGCTCTGGGTAACCGATCCTCCTTCGACGTTCTTATTGTCGAAGACAATATCGTTAATCAAAAGGTCTTACAAAGGCAACTGAGGCATTGTGGAAATAACACATTTGTTGCAAACCATGGCTTCGAGGCGCTGCAAACACTCCAGAAATCGAGGTTCTGGGCAGGACAAGAACAAGATGGAGTCGACATTTCCGTAATTCTCATGGATTTGGAAATGCCGGTCATGGATGGAATGACATGTGCCAGAAAGATTCGGGAATTGGAGAGAGAAGGCACCATCATTACGCATATTCCGATCATAGCAGTTACCGCGTATGCACGACCTGAGCAGATTCAGAGTGCCAAAGCTGCTGGTATTGTAAGTCTCGGTGAAAATTGAAGGCGAGCTTTCCTGTTTATGCTAACCAAGTAAAAGGATGACGTCATATCCAAGCCTTTCCGCATCCCGGAGCTTCTTCCAAAGATTGAAGAGCTTGTCAGCAGGTACAAGAATCTTTCGTTGATCGGCGAAACATAGATGGGCATCAGCACGTCCTCAAGTCGACCTGTGAGCATGGCAGAACGTGTCGAGCCGGTAAATTCATCTTATTCCATCCATGATCCTACCACCAACAACAGGCGGCAAAAAAGAACTTTGCCGGCCTTTGGTTATTGTTTCCGGCGCGTTCCAAGGCAACGATAGTAAGACCTGGAATATACCTTGGGCCTGATTCCGGAGCCTTGCCTAGTAAATTACTGGGTAGTAATCGCCTTTACTTGTAATGTTCGATCATAGCATTGAAGTATTCAACGAGAAGTCAACACGGAAAAAAGAGCGATACACACTGTCTAGAGCAGGTGCATTCGGAGAGGCATCGCGGCAAACCATGATGGGTCGAGGGGTACAACAGAGCGAACATTTCTATCACTTATCGCTTTGAAAAGGCCCACCATATCTTGTTACCCTACAAACATGGTTATCTACCTGGGTAGGTTTCCTTGCTTGTGGGGTTTACGTTTTGATTGAAGGACTTCGCAATTTTCTTTATAACGGGTAGCAGAACAAAGTACGCGGATGAAAAGATTGGGTCATTGCATACATATACACGAACGGACTTGCATTGTTGGCGAACATTGTTTTCAGCGTTGATTTCGATGAGAATTTTGGATAAAGACGGTTGAGGATCGCATTGTTTCATGGACGACATGTGTAAGGCATGTATCATTGACGAACCGGATATATACATATAACGTTACATTACATACCCATTTGAACATGAGCAACCAGTCAGCTTCGTGATGCTGTGAACTGTGCAACCGCTGTGCAATCCAGCAACTACAAAATAACTACTGTCCAACGTCTTGGCTCGACATCAGTTCCAGGCCAACTGGTAACGCCAAAGTTGTATGAGCGGTGGTTTGATACAAGGTACCAACCATGTGACCTACCATTCAACCATGAACTAGAAACAAGATCACTCTTGATGGGTGGGAGGCGTCACGACTTTGACGTGCTAGTTTTGGAACGAGTCACCACGTACATAAATCAACATGCAGCAGTTGTATTAGTTATTACTATCCTCTCCTCCCCGGGTATCGAACAAAACAGCGAATGCAGAATACTGGTAAGTTAAAGCTTTAATCTGTTTTTCTCCTTTTCTTTGACGAAACGATCGTCGGCTTGTCCATAAGACAATAAAACAAATAATATGGAAAGTGGTATCAACGAAAGCAGTCTTGACAGGGTATCTTTGGTATCTTATGAAGAAATGCGGAACCCTTCCTTCCACTCAACCTTTCAATTAGAAAGCTTTTTGGTCATTTGCTTCAAGATTTCCTAAAGTCGTGATTCTCACGTTCGCGTGCCTTCTAGGCGGCAGCAGTGACAGCAGGGGTGGCAGTGGCGACATTGTCGGGCTTATTCTCCGCTTCGGTCTCGGTCGTCTTGGCGGGTCCCTCGACAGGGTCCGCGGCCTCAGAAGTAGTTGCCCCTTCCTTGACGGCCTCTCCAGAGGGCTTCTCCTCAGTCTTGGCGCCGGACTTGCCCTTGATAGTAGCACGGAGCTTGGAGAAAGCACTCAGGCCGCCCTTCTCGGCTTTTTCTTCACCCTCAGCAGGTGAGGGGGACTTCTCACGCTTGCCGAAGTTGAAGGGAAGAGAAGACTTGCTTTTCTCCTTGACGTCCTTCTTGGCGGATTCGGCACCATTAGTGGCAGTGACCTCGGCGTTGTCAGCGGCAGAGCTGCCCTCTTGGAAAAGAGGGGCGCTAGACGCCACGGGGGGGATTACTGGAGCAGCAGTGTCGGCGACTGCCTCTCCCTCCCCTGGAGCAGCGCCCTCAGCCGGCTTCACTTCGGCAGCCTTCTTCTCCTTCTTGCTGAACACGTTGCCGAAAATGCTGTTGCGTTTGGGCATCGACGGCTTCTCTTTGGAGGTTTCGTCGTGTTTGTCCTCGGTGGCCGCTGGAGCCTCGCCCTCGGCAACCTGAGCATCGGCCTCAGTGGGTTCAGTGACCTCAGGGGCAACAGGCTCTTCATCCTTGGAATCATCCCTCTTCTCCTTGGCAGACTCCTTCTTTCCAAAGCCGAAGATGGAAGCACGCTTGCGACTGGCAGAGCGACGCTTTGGTTTCTCGGTAGTCTTCTCCTCGGTAGTGGCCGCGGCAGCAGCTTCGCCCTCGGGAGCAGGAGCTGCTTCGGACTTGGTGGCCTCCTCGGGCTTTGTTTCCTCTTCAGTCTTCTCTTCTTTGACAGCGGCAGACTTGGGCTTCAAGCTCTCCAGGGTATTTTTGTATGCTTCAGATTCGGTGACAGAAGCAACAAGCTCCTTTGCCTCGGTGATCTTGGCCCTGAGTCGAGCGACCCAATCGTCACGTTCAGCGGTAGTGACAGCCTTGAAACTGTGCTTGTTGCCTTTGTGATTTAGGTGGAATTTGTTGGAGCCGTCCAGCTCGGGCTCAGTGGTGTCGGCCTGTTTACATGTTAGCAGAAACGTATTTTGGGGATTTTTCTATCACGTACCAAATTAATGATGCTGGTTGGATTCTTTTTATCGCCCATGAACAGGAGGCCGTTTCCGGTGTGAGAAGCCCAGGAAATGTTATGATGAGCCTGCTCTGTGTTCTTCTCTGCCTTTAAGTACGAGGCAAGAGACTTGGGCTCGAAAGAGTCGGAACCAAAAAAGAAAAATTCCTTTGTTGGAATCAGGTTTCTTCGCCATATTAGTACATGCCACCAACTGTCGCCTCCTTATCTCTGGGTGGGGATCTTCAGCTCCAGCCCGAAACTTACTTTGGGAAGCCAGCACCCTGAGCCTTGTGGCCCAGGTGACCCTCCTCGACAGGCTTGACCTCCTCGGCGGCCTTGGCCTCGGGTCCTTCGGCGGGCTTTTCTTCGACGGCGAGAGCGGGAGTAGCCTCGGCGGCTTCAACAGCAGGTACGGGAGCGGTCTCCTCCTTGGGGAGCTCGACAACGGGTTTCTGTTCCTCGGCCATTCTGGATGATTAAAAGGGGGTATCTCAAGTGGATGGGTATCACAACAAACAAAAGACGAGATGGTATAAAAGGAAAGAAGATCCAGAAGCGGCTTTTGGAGTACAGCAGTGGATGGAGCACAAGCTGAGATTTGGGTGGGAGGAAAGAAAGGGAAGGAACAAACCTTTCCGAGAGGGACAGGTTGGGGTACTTATTTGATCGAGAAAGTCAGGTCACAGAAAGTCGAGGGGTCCACTGTAGAGGAAAGAGGGGCGTGGACGGAGAGGACCCAGAGGGCTGAGGGGCGCAAAAGAGTGGGTTAAAGGGGTTCCGAATATGCTCTGACCACGGAGAGGGTGACGCCAACAAGGCACAAGCGGACCCGATGCTTGCCGGGCGAGCTTGAGGGAGGCGTCTAACATGGGGGGGCTTCCAGAGCACAGACCACAGACTCACAAACGGGCGGAGGAACTGCTGACTCGGGAGGCGGGAGGTTGGAAAAGATTTCCCAACAGTCATTCATTCAATTTACGGTACGGAGTACAGAGTAGTTACCCAGGTAAAAAGCTATGTACTCCGTACACGCTGTATTGTTTGTTGCCCGTGCTCCGTCCTGCGTCCTCATTGCCGTCTGATTCAATGCCAGAGTACCTTTTTTTATCCTCCTCAGAATGCGCACGCCCAGCTGCCTCGACGCTCAAAATGACCAGAGGGTGCCAGACGCCACGCCCAGTCAACCTCTGCTGACTGCTGGATTGGATTGGCTCGGGGGCAACCATCAATGGGCGAAGCACCCTGATCTCGGGCGTGACGCTACTCGGCAGCTGCTGCGTGGTTGCTTGATTGATTTGGGGCCATGAGCCGTGGACCGTGGTGGCCCTCGACGGCCTGTGATGGGCTGGTCAGCTTCATTCAACACCCATCCATCCGCCACCCAGACAACCAGCCCAATGCCCATCCAATCCAATCGACTCGACCAGGGCAAAACCATGGCCAACATCCGGAGCGCCGAGAAGTCCCATGTGCGATGGAGTCTAGGGGACCTAACGACCACTAGGTTCTGGACTGCAAATACGACGTGCCGGCAAGACATGAATAGGAGATGCTTCGCCTCGAGGGCTCATCATGGAGGGGATAACTGCTTCATTACCGCCCAAGCACCCTCTATTGCCCTGCCCAACGGTTGACTGTGACGTGCGACGTGAGACCTCTTGGATGTCCGGCCCTGGTACGGAGCACCGGAGAGGGAAGAAGTACTAGCACCCACCAGCGGAGTTCTGAGGACGGCCTGCGAAGCATCGCACAGCGGGCGTGGCAACGAAGCCGACACCGACAGTCCTTGGTAATTACGGAGTAGCTACCTAGGTTTTCATGCGCCTGATGGGATTAAAACAATGCCATTCACACGAAGCGAATCGCAACCTGCCGAGTGTTTTGGTTGCGTCTCCAGAGTCCAGGGGCAGCTCGCCTCGGACGGTGTTTGGGCTGGGTACGGAGTATAGCTCCGTATGGATCAAGCAAATTTCGTCCACTCAGCCAGGCCGGGCGTGTGCCTGCAGAGTGCCTGTAGTGGACGCACGGCGCACGTTTTTGAACTGCAAGCTCTCACACGCCCCCTTCTTCCATCCAAACGGGCGCTGTGTACTCCGTAGTAGCGAGTGCCGTCGGCAGCACTGAGTAATGAGCACGGAGTACTCCGTACAGCGTACATACATACTCAAGTACGATAGTAATGAAGTATGTACGGAGTACTGCGTACGGAGCAGGGAGCAGCAAGTTGCCGCACGGTGGCAGTCTTGCTTCTCGTCTCGTCAAGATGCTGCTGGTAGCTTGCGTGGTGTCGGCGTGCCGAGTCCTTTCTGCCTGCCCTTGAATTTCAACCTTGGAACCGACGGCTCGGCCACAGGCTTGCAGTCAAGAGGAAGATGGTGTTGCGGAGCCGACTCTTGTCTTCAACAGGTTCAAGTCCTGGTTTCCCGTCCAACCGCCCACCCATCACATCAACCAGTCCATCCTTGCTTGCCCTGCCCTGGCGTTTGGCGTACGGAGTACGGAGTACCGGCGGGTGCATTGGACATTGGACGGACGCTGGACCCATCAGGTCCGCCCATCCCTTTCAACAAAGCCCTCCGCCGCCGTGCTGGTGGCCTGGTGCCCTGCTGCTTGCCATCTTGTTATATTAGCTTGTCAGGGAACTAGATTAGCATGCCACCCAAGTTAGTTACTCCGTAACTTACTCCGTACGTATGTGTATGTAACTATGTATCATGGGTGTCAGGTGTCAAGGATTGTCTGGTCCCTTGCCCGCCCCGTGCTTTAAGCGAAGTGGGGCCCAGATGCGGGTCCATCGACACGCCGGCGCTATCAGACCACCAGTTCAGTCGACTACGGACGGATAGGTGGTCCAAAAAAAGCTGCACCACCAAGCCGCACTTTTGTCGTGTTTCTGGGAACAGTCAACCGGACAAGACGCACGTCGTCTGGCACGCCGCACAGAGTATGGAGCACTCGGCAGCAACAGCTTGGTGAGCCAGTGGGTGAGCGAGTGGGTGAGTGATGGACTGATGCCGCTTGCCTGATCTTCAGCATCCCCCAGCGGCCTTGGGCCAGATGCGCTGACCTGCGTGCCGCGTGCAGACAACGCCCATCCGGAGTACGGAGTACGGAGTAGCTGGCTGGTCTTTTATCTGGGTCCGCGCCGACAAAGTAAATAACTACTTTGATCAAATCCCCGCCACCACCACGAAATGGTCTCGGATAACACACTCTTGTGCCTCGGGGCAGCGCCGGCAGAGCCACCCAGGCAGAGCACAGCCCTTAGGGAATACGGAATACGGAATCCTAGGGAGTACGGAGTACTGCCCAGCAGTACGGAGTATCGCATGTACGGAGTAGTATTATCGCAACGCCATTCTAGGGGTATCTGTGAGCGGGCTAGAGATCAGCTCCGACATCCGCATGCTACGCAAGTAACTACTCACTACCTAGCGTAGGTCGTTCCTGTTCCACCCAGACATCGACGCTTCTCACCAACGTTGCGACATTCACGCACAACCAACCCCCTTGCCGTGAAACAACCAAGCCAGGTCAAGGGCGAACGGCTTGCAGATAGCTCTTCAACCAACTGCACCGCCCTGTCCGGGGATTTTGTCGCTCAAAACTGCCAATTCCACGAATTGCTTCGTCCGTGCCAGCCGTCAACTTTGCGTACGGAGTACATCATGGCATTGCATTACACTCTTTTTCCAAGGCCGCAAGTCTCCCGCTGCCGGGGCGGATGCCAATGGCACACGGCCTTGCGAACAAAAATACGTCGAATGATGTTCCACCCTTTCCAGCAGACCAGGAACAGGGAGGGCGCTTCTTGTCCCATGCAATAGTCGCGGAACACTCCGTGCCGTAACGCGGAGTAGGAAATTCACCACGCTCCTCATTCCTGCTGGTATGGTTTTGTTCAAGGCACCAAGGCCCTCTGCGCTCGTGTCGCATATGCACTACATATCCTGTACGGAGTAAGTTACCTGGTGAGAACCCCGAGTCCCTGACTACTCAAGTACCTAAGGAGGCGCGTACCGAGGTACCCGGGCGCTACCAGGCCCTCAGTTGTCAAGTAGTAATTACTCAAGTAGCGTGCAGGGACCCCCCGACTCCGTGTCTTGGCAGCCATGGAGTGACTTCAGTCGAATTTCAGCCCGGCTCTTCCTGTGGATCACCCATTAAACACTTTTGGAGTAGCACTGTCAAAAGAAGGAAAGAAAGAAAGAAATTTTATGATTACGCGATCCAGGGGAAAATACAAAAACTCGCCAGCAATTGGGCTCCTCTTGTGTTGAAACGGTGGTCAGGAGGGCACCGACCGACCGACCGTCCGTCCGACCGTCCGTCCGTCCGTCTCGGTGGCAGGAGAGAATCTCGCGAAAGGATGGCCTTGGCTCTTGGGTTGATGCCCTCGTCAAAGGCAGACGACCCAGACCTGTCTTTACCTGTCACAGGTCACAGGTCACAGGTCCCGGGTCACGGGTCACGGGTCACGGGTCAGGGTGGGTGCAGCGGGAACGTCATGTCCACAACTGCAAACACGAGATGGTGGTCGTACCCACTCAAACAGATGCATTATCAGGGAGGAGTGGCTGCGCATGCTTTTTCTCATGCGGCTACGTATGTACGTTGCACCAGTACTGCGTACGGAGTAACTACTCACTTTGCTAACTGCTAGACGTCATGTACTTCTCCGTACAGAGCAACGCGGACGCCAGCGATTCAGTCAAAACACCTTGGCACCCCGCTCAACTGCCGGCGCAGTTTGATGCTGCTGACGAAGCCGCTCTTGACGCACCGAGTACTCCGTACAGCGCTCCTGGTATCGCTCGACGAGGGCGCCGCCGTCGCACTCGTCAAATTGGTGCGGAGGCTGAGAGGGACTCACTCTACGGAGTACGGAGTATCGTGAGTTGTGTTGGCCGGCGAAGTCACCCACCGGGCCCAGAAAACTAGTCAAGCTAGTGATTAAGCGGCCGTGCTGCCTGCGCAATGCCCAATGCGCTGCTCCACCAGACGTGGGCTCATACGTATCTGCGTGGAATGGCGTACTCCCGTCTCATGGGTTTGCCTGCCACGAGTACTCCGGAATTATGAGCAAAATCGAAGTACCGGAGCGACGGCAACTACCAACGACGCTTCCGCCCAGCGGGCGATACAAGCAATATTCGTAACGCCACATTGCAGGAGACCTTGTCATGGTCGACGTGACTCACTCTGCTCGGTGCAGCGGCGTGCGGCGTGCGACGTGCTCCGTACGTACATTATACTGTTGTATCCGAGATCACGCATGGATACTCCGTATAAATACCAAAAATCCCCAGGCGACGGCAACCGTCACCATGACCTGGCGGCTTGCGCTTCGGGCTCCCCGCTCTCATGAGAATTTGGACCTGGAGGCAACTGGCGCCACTGTTTATTACATACATACAGGTGGTTTCTACGGAGTACTAATAGGACATGCATCCCTTATTCAGCTTGCCGCCAGACTGAACTCTGTCCGCTGGTATGTCTTGCATGATTGGAGCGTCGGCTTGATATTGTTCCCCGATGCTCGTCTGAGACTTTCATCATTGCCTTGCAGTGTGTTGGAGCAAGCCCTGCTTCACCGACGGCCACAGACCAGCGCGAGTCGGAGGCAACTGAGGATGGAGAACCAGCACAAAATCGCGGAGCAGCCCCCAACAAAAGGTAATTCGGGCTGTGGCTTGTTCAATGTGGACTAGGGGGAATTCGCCAGGACCCGGCCGGGCCTGCGAGCCTGGGCGTGGCTGACCGCCGCCCTTGGAGATGGCATCGCATCGAACCGTCATGTGAGGAGAGGGCGTCAGCCTCGATGCGCAGGGCGGTTCTCTTCTCTAGGTTCAGTTCGGCTTCGGGCCTGAGGCAATGGTGTCTCCCTCCCGAAAGACATGCCCTGAGACATTGGGACGCATGTGCAAAGAATCACAGCTTCCTCGCAGCCTTCTGAAGGGCCAAGTTTCTGCAGGCCTCTCTCTCTTCCAGGGACTCGGTTCCGGAAATTTAACTTTTCGTCAAAGCCTCGCACCAAGAAGGGTCTGGGAAGGGAAAGACGAAAGACACCCAGCATACATGCGATGATGCCACAATCATGGCGTTCGACTCGCGGCGCTGTCCGACTGCATCTTCTCCCACCAAAGCGTGCCGCTAATGACAGACTTTGAACTTTAAACGCTGGACTGCGTGTATTGGAATATTGGAACCGTGGGTTGTCATGTATACAAGACGACGTGACAGGAATTGCGCCGCCACACAACCTCTCTCACCACCACAAGTTGTTTGGAGCAAAGGTGAGGCGAGAAGAATAACTTACCATGTACCGACTGCAACGACGTGACTTTCGACTGCTTTCCGCGACTCTTTGCCCGTATGTATAGTCGGGCAACCTCTGCTCACGTGATGAGTTGCTAAAAATCGACGTCGTGATTAGTTGGTTACCTGGCCGGCCACAGATGTTGCCTGCATATAGATCAGAAGCAACCCTGTCGTACTACGAGATTTACAACGACAAGGCGTTCGACTTGCTCGAGCCGCCCGAGAAGAGAACACCCACGTCACAACAACCCCCGATCATCACGACTCCTCGTCCCCTGGTCGCCTCAAATTAGATAGCCGAGCTCCCGATAGGCGTGAGTCGTAAGAATGAGAGTAGAGCCGGTAAACCCAAGGGCGGTCCTCGATTTCAACGATCCCATGGTGGTCAAATGTCAACGGACGGAGGACGGAATTCCGTGACCACTGCCAGCCTGGCATTGTCGGAACCTGTCCACTGCTTGGACTACCATTGCTCTTTCAACAGTCTACAGTCACTCCCGCAGCCGTAGTTGCAATTCGTAAACCGCAGACAGCTTCCAGAGACAGATGGAAATATCCAAGAGCCACCATGTGCGGCCGCAAGCCAAGCTCGAGTACAAATCAACTGTTTGGCTCCCATGTAACCGTGGACATGAAAAATCCCACTTGCTCATCCCCGCGGACGCATACTCCCTGGTGATGATGACTTTTGTCGAGAGAAGAAGACACGACGCGACGTGAGGTGTTGCATCCAACCTGTCATCAATATAGACGTCTTTCATTTACAGTGACGGAGGAGCTTGCCCCTCCGTGTATGTATCCTGCATAGGTGCGTGACGATAGACGAAGAACAAAAACGAGAGGCGGGCCACACACGTTTGTTTGCTGGCCATTATTGCGCCGTGCCTTGGCTGAATCTGGACGAACCATCCATCCATCATTGTCTAGGGCGAGACCGACTTACATTGACCTCGAGCTTATTTCGAGTCCATGCCGACTTTCCCTCTTTCTCTCCCAGGCATGGACTGACTACTCAAGTAGGCTTCCGTCGTCGAAAAAGCTGAAAGAATCCAGTTCGACTCTTGACAGAGCATCGCCTCGACAAGATCCAAGGAAGGCAAGACCAGGCCGACAACGATCCTACACGCAACTTCACCGGTAAGCAGGTTTTCTGTTTGAGCTTTTCATTCTTCTCATCATTTTGCCGCTGCCACCGAACCTGATGTCACGCACCAACCTTCTCAACCGCCCTCGCCCTCTTTGGCTCCCTCCCACGATCAAACCCTAGGGCTGGCATCTCTTGGAGCATTTTTAACTTGATAGCATGGTCAAGAGAGAGGCAACGAAAACGGGCTCGGTCGCATCCCATCGACAACAAGAACCAACATCATGCCGAAGAATCGTAACAAGAATAAGAAGGCCGCCTCTGCTGGCAACAGCAAGGGACCCTCGAAAAGACGTGATCATGGTATGTTCTATGAGTCGAGAGCAACGTGACCCGAGAAAATGAAACACAATACGATAAACTTGCAAAAAAAGAAGACGAAAATCTAACGCTTGATAGTTATTGAAAAATATGACATGGAGCAGTCTCAACAGAGACTTCTGAGAGAAGGCTTTCACCCTGCGGTGACGTCCAAGACGCCGGAGCAGGTTGAAAAGGCGTGGCTTGCCAGAGTCGATCGCCTCATCGACAGGCCAACCCGCGACGAGTTCGTGGGTCAGATGGGACCCTCCTCCCAGAGTTCTTATACTCGATGCTTGACTACGGTGAGATGGCAGACAGAGTCCGGTTGTCGACGTCTTGCTCACGTCGCAATAGGCCATGCTGTTGATGCGTCACGAGTCCAAATACGCTCACCCAGTAAAGAAGACCGCCCGCCCGGGTCAAGACTTGTTGGCCACCATGTTGAGCACCGTCGACATCGGTGGCGAGATCGCCAACGCCATATTCCAGCAGGGCCGGAGGTCGGTCTTCAACGCCGCCATCACTTCGTTGGCCACTTGGCACGCCGTTGCACATTGCGCCGTAAGCAGTCCACGCCAGCACGCTGGGAGTTGTAGAATCTGGTTAACCGTTTTGACAGAAGACTTGGGACTTCAACGCGTCGGATGAGAGGACCTTTGGGAGCTCGGGAGTGATGATGGCCGTCGCTCCCGAGTGCACAATCGGGGAGCTGAACATGGCCAACGACCTTGATCCCTACGGTATGGACTCGAGCAATATTCTGTCAAGCTGGTACAAAGAAGCCATGGACTTTGAGCGGGAGATTTACCTCTCAATCTACCTGATCCACGGTCGTCTCGCAGGTACACTTCGCCGCGGCAAGGCATCCCAGCAAAAGCGACAGGGCCACAAGATTATACCGGTCGAGTTTATGTCTGATGAAATCGTATCGGTCGTCAAGAAAATCCAGGAAACCAGATACCTTTGGGGCAGCAGCCAGTTCATCTCGAGTCCCCAAGGCCAGTTATTCGAGCCGCCCGTGATGTTTTCTGCAAACCGGTTGAGAAGAATGCGTGAGCACCGACTTCCCACCTGCTGTGGCTTGATGACACTATTCCTGCTTCTTCTAACCTTGATGATGCAGTCAAATACATATCCGGGCAAAGAACCGCACTTCAAGTCCTTTACTTTGAAAGGATTCCCCTCCTGGACCGCCGCATGATGGCTGTCATCCTGCGAGGGTGTCCCAACGTGCGCATGATTGGCATTTACGACTGCCCGCTCATTCACTTTGGTGATGTCCTGTGTCTCCTAGACCTCATCCACGAGGTCAATTGCAAAAGGCGTGAAGCCGGATTGCCCGAGATCAAGGGCTTTGACTTTTATCCCAGGTACAACCATGGCACACCCTTTCAGTCTGCCAGTTCGGCCACGTACGGCTTGACCTGGGGTCCGCATAAGCTGGACGTTGTGCAGCGAGGCTTCTTCGACGTTATCCTCAAGGCTTTCATGAAGACGAAGAAGATGAATCTCGACCTTTTGTTCGACAAAGACGAGGCGTTTTGCGAGTATCTTGGTCGAGTTCCGCTGCCCCCGCTGGCCGTTCCCACATTCCTGGATGCTCTTCACCGGTACATGGAGGTCAAGGACGGAGGACCGAAGAGAGAGGTGATTTATGATCTCGTGAAGCCGGTGCGGCTTGGCTTGGACCGTCACATGGACCGCGACTGGCAGAACGGCTACATGCTCACCCTGGCACAGAATCTAGTCTTCTGCTCCTCGTGTGGCTACGAAACGTTGGAGGAGTTCTACTCGGCCGCGGCCAGAGAAACGCAGCCTCACCGGAGAGTCTGCGCCGGCTGCACCCTGCAGCGATGGCTCGACGAAGAGGACGACCATCTCAAGTCGTACAAGAAACAGGCCCTGGACACGCTGTATCCCAAGTGGAAGGGTTTGGGCTTCAACCATGACGCCCCGATGCCAAGAGCTGCAAAGGCCATCATAAAGCTCCGATGCACGACATCAGAACGACCCGACACCAACCACACGACCGTGGACGGCGAAGGGGCCATGTACACGCGCCAGGTCATGTTGGACCTGCTGCGAGATAACAAGGTGCACTGGGACTCGTTGGCGGACCTGCCCACGCTTTCTGAGCTCCTGGACGATGGGAAGACTTGGGGGCATTTTTACAACAAATGCAACAACCTCGACGTTTACTGCAGAGCCGTGAGGTGTGCAGCCGAGCAGGGCGAGGGGGGGGAGGAGGGCAATTCCTTGCGACGGTCGAGGTTCGACGGCGGCGTGCCAGACACCGCTGAGGAGTTGCAGCCGTCCAGCAGCTTGGTGAGAGGCGTACCGTGCCACGACATTGCTTCCGCAGTCATGTTTCACGCAGGCCTCACGGCGAAGGGTTGGGGAGCGCGCGAAAAGCCGGCTGGGAATCTGGGCAATCTCGGCGTGGTGAATGGCGCCAACTTTTGGTGAGGGCCTTTTTTTTCAAGGACACGTTTGGGGGAGGGAGAATGCCGGCGCACCTGGGGGGGGACAAAATGGACTCGATTGACAGACATTTGGCTTGGGCACAACTATTTGCTGATCCGCGGGATGCCTAGTCGTTGGCATAACGGAGCGTGGGCGAGATACAAATACAAATACGTAACGTTACAACTAAGGATGCTCTGCAAGTTTCTGCGTGTTTGGGGTGCCCACTGCCCACTGCCCACTGCCCACGGCCAGGTGCCGAGTCACGTGAGATGCGAGGACGGCAGGAGGCTGCGTGCGCTGCGCCGACACGTAGGTCCGACGCCATCTCGCATCAACCTGCAACTGAGCGTCCGAAACAGCCACGATGGCCTCCTTCCTGCGCAGCCTGGCGCTCCCAGCACGGATATTCGCCCCGAGGCACTCGTTTCCCGCGCTCGTCGGCGCGTCCGGCCGCACGAACCCTCGCCTGGGCGGCGTGGTGGTACCGCACCAGCAGCAGCAGCAGCAGCAGCAGCAGCAGCAGCAGCCGGCGGCGCAGTGGCAGCAGACGAGGGGCATGAAGGTCCACAGCTCGGTGAAGAAGAGGTGCGAGCACTGCAAGGTCGGTCGGTCCGTCGGCAGGTTGAGCGGGCGCCGGGCGAGGGGCTGACTCTGACTGGCGGCAGGTCGTTCGACGAAAGGCCGGCAAGAGGCACAACGGGTACTTGTACGTCACTTGCAAGGCGAACCCGCGACACAAGCAGCGGCAGGGCTGAGGGGGAGGACGAGGACCGTTCTCGTGCGGGTGCGGGTGCGGGTGCCGGTGCGGGTGCTCGTGTACTGACTTGCGGGCTGTGCAGCTGGGGCTTTGGGGGGAGGACGGAGACGGAGACGGAGACGGAGACGAGGACGAGGACGAGGACGAGGACGAGAATACGCGTGGGCGGTGCTGGTGCTTGGACTTTTGGACTGGACTGGACTGGACTGGACTGGACGGGCCTGGACTGGACTTTGCACTGCCCTGTGTTGTGCACTTTATATTTTACGCTGTACGCTTACACTTTACACTTTACATGTACACTTTCCTCTTCACACTGGACGCTGCTTGGCGCTTACATGCCCCCGATATATCTCTCCATGCTCTCCCACTCCGTCTTGCCTGTTGACAGGAGATATCGTATATGTGACTGCGGGGTCAGCGTTCCGTGGGCGGAAGGAGACCAAGCAGACGGGAAGAAAGGACGCGACTCTTACAATGTCCGCAACGCCCCTGTGCCTTTCGAATTCGTCGCGTACGAATCTCCTCGTTTCGCTTTTCGTGCGCGCATCCTGGATCCGGCGTGTGCCGCGGAGTATTGTCCTGTACAGGGAGAGGACCCTTGCTCGCTGGAGGAACTGCGGTCCGGGCTCAGCCTTTCCTTCTCTTCTTCCTTGCATAGGGAGGAAGGAGCTCGTACGTGATCGAGGCTCAGGGCCTTGAGCGTGCCCCGACGGTGGTTGGCATAGCCGCGGATGCGTAGGAACGCCGTGTGTTTCATTGGCTATCTCATGGGCATCAGACGGATCGTAGTTGGTCATTCGCGGGTTGGTGATTTCTGCGGCGGCTGCTGCCGCGTTGGTGTGCTTTCCGGGAGCGGGAGAACCTCGGCTGTGGCGGCGGCGTCGATTTCATGTCATCCGTGAGATGCTGAGCCTGCAACAGGCAGACACACATTAATTTCCACTCCCGTGAACGGCTATTTCTTTGTCATTTGATGAGCCGGACCTGGCCCTGCTGTCGGGGGATCCCTTTTTGCCCCTTGTGCCAGGGATGAACATGGTGTTCCGGCAAAAGACCGTTGGCAGGGAGTCGTCACAGAATGCTGGCACACCCGGCGACCCTGTAGACCAGGTCAACGCCATGCCGGACGAGGCCTTCATCAAGGAATATCTGCCTTTACTGTATTCTGAAGATCCATATAACCTCCAAACACACCACATTTGTGGCGACGATGTCATCGAGGCTGACAGCTCTTGATTTCCCCTCCAGACCTTGCGAATGGAGGCACCCCGTGTCCGAAGCCAGCTATGCCATCTCGCTCGTGCAGGCGGCGAGTCTGACAGAGGCCCAGCTCAACAGGTGCTTTGCTATCATCGACCAAACAAGCGGCCAGGACTACCGCTCGTCGCTGCAGGGATGGCATCCGTCCGCCAAGAAGCAGGAGATGCGGTCCCCTGACCTGCGGTACATCTTGGTCCGGCGCGGGGAGGAGATTTGCGGATTCGTGTCGCTGATGCCGACGTGGGAGAATGGAGAGGCGGTGGTGTATTGCTATGAGATTCACCTGACGGATGAAGTCAAGGGGTATGTATGTACGCCACGATGTTTACATTTGCCGTGGCTTTCGCCCCGTTTTCTTTTCAGCCCTGGAAAAAGAGGCTAACGGGCATCTCACCCTTTGTTGTGACGAAAACGAAATAGAACGGGTTTGGGCAGCCAGTTGATGGGATATTTGACCGAGGTGGCTGAGCGGGCTGAAGGCATTGAAAAGGTCATGCTGACATGCTTCGTCAGGAATGAGCGTGCCAGGCGGTTTTACGAACGGCTCGGGTTCGGCGTGGATGCGCAATCGCCGAGGGAGAGGCGGTTGAGGGGGAAGCTGCTTGTCGCGGATTACGTGATTATGAGTCGGAGGGTGAAGAGGCGCGGGAGGAAGCCGGCGGCGGACGACGATGAATGATTCTGAAGTTGAAGTACGAGTACACATGGGCGGTACGGTACATCTTGTCCCAACCTGTGCCAAAGGCCGAAAGGCTGTCGATGAATACATCAGCCAAGACTTGAGTCGACCAATTGATGCCGATGCCATGGACCGGCCATCTTCATTGCCAAAGAGTCACCATGAACCCACCGAAAGAGACGAGATCAACTGGCGACTGCCGATGGAGGTGCGGAGCGGAACGCCAAGTCGCAGACGTGCAAAGTCTGCTGCCAAGAATAGCAACTCCTGACGAAGCAGCCACACGTCAACTTGGTTCGTAAGGCTGCATGCATGCATTCCAGCCACTTGACGTGTCCGCACCAAGGTCGAACGAGGTGCCCGCTCAGCTTCAGCTGAAAGAACGCACCAGCCAGATTGAGACTGTAGCGTAGCGTGTTTGATTGACTGTGTGTGTTTTTTTTTTTTTTTACTATGAAGAAAAAAAAGGGGAGAAAGAAATGAGTGCCCGAAAACACATCGACGTGGTGGCAGCTGAAAGAAGAAGGTTCTCCTTCCCTTTCCTCGCAACGTGCCTGCTCTGTTACTCTTTACACAGCAGTTGAAAACTACAATTTCCACCAGACTCATCTACAGCATCATTAGGACATCGCCGTTTGAGACTCAGAATGGAGCCTAAGCAGAATTACGCCCAGCAGCAGCAGCAGCAGCAGCAGCAGCAGCAGCAACAGCAACAGCAACAGCAATCTGTGCCAACGCCTCCTCACCACCAGCAGCAGAATGCGAATCTCAACCCCCGCAGCCGAGACTGGCAGTTTGGCCTATTCGACTGCTTCGCCGACATGGAGGCCTGTCTAGTAGCCTGCTTTCTGCCATGCATGCGTACGTGACGTAAACCTCACACCAAACCCGTCGTGAAGGCCAAAGAGATGGATCGCGGAAAGAACTAACAAGGCGGGAGGGAGCCAGTCCACGGAAAGACGATGGACCGTATGCGTGACCCGTCGCTGCAGTCTCACGAGCCTCTGAACAATGAGTGCCTGATCTGGGGTGGCATCCAGTGCTTTACCGGCTGCGGCTGTCTGTAAGTCTTGAGTCTCGACACCCAGTGCTACCGCGGCTGGACCGTGAACCAGGGCAGAAATGGGGAAAAAAAAAAGAGGAAAAAAAGAACAAGGCAGTGCTGACCAAGGCAAACCCAGCTACAACATGGTCAAGCGTACCGAGATACGCGAGAAATACGGCATCGACGGCTCCGCTGGCTCCGACTGCTGCACGTCTTATTGCTGCCTGTGCTGCGCGCTCATCCAGCAGGATCGCGAAGTCGCCCTGCGCGCCGGCCACTACGCGCCCGTCACCCAGGGATACCAGGGCCAAACTCAGGCCATGCAGATGCCTGCTCCTGCTCATCCTGCCGCTCACTCGGGCCCTCCACCTCAGCAGCAGTCGCCTCCTGTTCAACAGGCGTATCAATCTCCTCCGCCGCAAGGGTACCAGCAGCATCAGCAGCAGCCCATGCAGAGCGGTATCCAGAACGCTCACGAGCAGGGCATGCCTACTCATCCCCATGAAGGGCAATACGCGCAGAAGCAGTAAGGAGAAAGGGGGGAGGAAGGAAGGAAGAACGGGAGGCAGGGAAGGGGTATGAGAGACAAAGACAAACGCAAAGGTCAAATATGAGCCACCGGAAGCTGCGTAATGAGTCAATGGGACTCGATGGGTGCAGCTTTTAGTTGGCAAGCACCACGTTGCAGCCGTTCTTTTCTTTTCTTCTTTTCTTTTCCCTTTTGGTTGGACACGCTCGTCTTGGTTTCTTTCTTGTGCTCATATACCTGCGCTATTGGTTATTGCGCGCATAAATTTTTCCTAAATATGAGTCTACCTACTCTTCTGCATCAGTCGTCTGTCCCACATGACCCGTCACCGTAGTGCTGCACAGCATCTAAGGGGAATTCAAACCAAGTATTGATGTCAATGCCGATCCTGAGAAATGATATCCGCACAAAAGCTAGCAAGATTAGCCGCCTGCCAGATTCCACCGATGCTACTCCTACTCCTTACCCAGACAAAAAATGAAAATGAATGATAATGGAAAAACTCCGATAAATCATTTGAAGCAAAAATTCGACAGTTTTCCCGCCCCCATAACCATATGGCCATCACATCTCTTTTGGATTTAGGTCCGCTTACGCATAGAGTTTCTTTTCATATGCTTCCATGTTCACATTACCTTCCATCTGCGCACTGGAAGTCCGGAGCTCGAAGCGGACAGTGCCATTGGCGGCACCTTTGTGGAGCTCAGCCAGGCTTTTCATACCGCAGTCCTGCATGGAGTGCTTCAGGCCTGCAGCAAGGTAGGGGACAAACTTGTTGATAGAACTGTTGGACAAATTAGCAAACCCGTTCTAGGAGGGAAAAGGAACCCAAGTGTGCTAACGAACCCTCTGTGAGCAACGGATCCCGACACGCCCTGTGCAACTAGAACGCTGTCACCCTCGGAGAAGTATCGGGCAGTACCAGCGTTGCTCTTCTGGCTGTCCTTGCCACCACCGCCGGCCTTCTTGTCCTGCATAGCATCGATACTGCCCATGCCGCGGTAAGCCTTGACGAGCTTGCCCTCACGAGAAACAAACGAGGTGCCAGGAGACTCGGTGGTACCTGCCAAGAGACCTCCCATCATCACAGTGGACGCACCAAGGGCAAGGCCTTTGACAATGTGTCCAACGTTCTGAACACCACCGTCAGCAATGCAAGGTACGCCGAAGCGGGCGGCAAAGCTGCTGACGGAGTAGACGGCAGCGGCCTGAGGTCGACCGACGGCCATGACCTCCTGGGTAATGCAAGCAGAGCCACTGCCCATGCCGATTCGGAGGCCATCAGCACCAGCAGCAATGAGGGAGGCAGCCTGCTCCCGAGTAACGACGTTGCCACCGATGACATCGAGGCCAGGGAACTCCTTCTTGCACCACCGGATCATCTCAATCTGGTACATGCTATTACCCTGAGAGCTGTCTAGGATGACAACGTCAAGACCGGCATCGACAAGCTTCTGCAGACGAATTTTGTCCTCTGGGCGAGTGCCAATAGCAGCGGCGCAAAGAAGCTGCTTGCTGTCGGGCAGCTTCGATGCCAAAGGAAAGTGCTGGTTCTTGGTCAAATCGGAGCGGGAGATCATGGAGACAAGGTTGAAGTCCTTGTCGACGATGGGTAGCTTGCCCTTCTTTGACTTGGCCAAAATCTTGTTGGCCTCGGCCAGGGTGACGCCGTTGGGGGCAGTGACCAGGTCAGTCACCATGACATTAGCGACGGGAGCATCGATTTCGTCCTCAAACTGAAGGTCTCGGTTGGTTACAATACCAAGGAGCTTGGAGTTAAGCTTGCCGTCCTCTGTTTCCAATCACTTTAGCTGCGGCACGTGAAAACATGATTCGCCACGACGAATAACAAAAGCTGTGCAGTGGTCATAGTATGTCTCTCCCCATGAAGTGAAGTCTTTGCGGTGGAACGAAAGTTATAAATTGACTGGGTGATAATCACGTTGCACTGAAATGGTGTATTGGATTGCGCGCAAGTGAGCGGCATTGCCATGTAGATTATCAACTTACCAGTGACAGGAAAACCGCCGAATCCCCACTTCTCTTTGAGGGCCTTGGCCTCGCCAACGGTGGTGTTGCGGCCAATGACGACGGGGTCCAGGATGAAGCCATTTTCATACCGCTTCACCTTGCGGACCATGTCGGCCTGGGCATCGGGAGAGCAGTTGTGGTGAATGACACCGAGGCCTCCCTGGAGGGCCATGTGAATAGCCATTTCGTGCTCCGTGACAGTGTCCATGGGGGAAGACACGAAGGGAGTCTTGAGCGTGATGCGCTTGGTGATTGCGGAGTCGAGCGTCACCTCGGAGGCGGGGAAGCCAATGTAGCCAGGCATCAGCAGGAAATCATTGTAGGTGAGACCACCGTGCTTGGTAGTGTCCATGAGCTCATGAATATCGAGACCATCGGCGGTCTTGTACTCCTTGAGCACATCGAGGGCGGTGGAGTGGTCGAGCACCTTGACCGTGCCGAAGCCGTTGACAGCAGCCATTGCGAATCAAGACACAAGAGCTAGGGATAAGAACGAAAACGAAAGTCGAAGAAGAACTGGCGAGGACCTACTGTATCGACGGTTGAGGTCGATACGGCGCTTCTTCCCGTAGGAAAGAAGAAGGCCAACGCTAGCGCAAGGATGTAGGCCGAAATTTTTTTCTTTTATTTTTTTGGTGTTGGGACCCTGCAGAAGCGGAGCTCTCCTGAAAGCGGGGCAGCCGCTGGCAGGCAGGTTGGGTGCTCCTTCCTTACGTACATGTGCCACTGCCGCTGCGACCGGCTTTGCACTACATGACTTCTGGGCTGATGCTGGCCGAGGCAAAGATCACCCCACGTCTGAATTCACGCAAAATCCCCGATGACGCTCTATTACGTATCTCATAGACATTGCCACTCGAGGCTCCATGTCAAACTTTAACCCCCCAATCCGGGGAACCTTGGCTCTTTGTCACACCCACCATTAGTCACCACCAAATCAAGGCTGGAAACTCGCTTTTATTTGTACTTTCCCTCGCTGCATCGTGCTCACTGCCATCTCCTTCCAAGCTTTTTCAACATCGATTTCAAAGACGCGCTTATCGTCTCTGCTTCTCCTCACCGTGTCCAACGGAACAGGCTGGTCCTCAACTGCCACCATGAAGTCGTCTTCAATGTTCAAATAAGGAAGCGTGGAAATGTACAGGCCTATAGAGACACGTCAGCCTACAAAAATCACCCCTAAAACAGCGTGGTATCACTCACCAAGAGTACCCACTGCTTTAATGTTGCAAGTCACGACGACTCTGCCAGAATCCCGCTGAACTACAGAGCGGAACGTAACCGCAGCACATCCAGTCATCTTACCAACCAATCCCAGGACGCCAGCGTACCCATGGTCACATCGATCACTTGTAAAGGGCGTCACTGGGCAAGCCCAAAGTATTTCATACGCAGTCTCGTCAATCGACACGGCAATGACAGATTCTGCAGCTCCGAGTGACATGGGCGCCGAAGTTTGGCCCGTTGTATGTGCTCTAACGGCGTATTTTCCGCCTTGGAATACTCCACGAAAGAATGCCAGAGGCAAGACTTCGGTGAGATGCCCTCTAGAAACGTTGAAAACGCCAAGAATACCAGTGCCCGTCTGTGCCGCCCCTGTAGATCATCAGCGCACAGTCGGCAGCCTGAGTACATGTCGAAACTCACCATTGTAGCTGCCAATTTTCAGGAGCAAGTCGTCCTCATATCCGGCATAAGCGTATATTGATTTGCCCAGAACACTTGGTCTAAGAATAACTGTCTGACCAATCGGCGTAGTGGCAGTCATTTGCTTGATAAGGTGCATGTTGTGAACGCCTGGAGTATCCGTGATGTAAATGGGACCACCGCTTATGCATCGCGCCGCGGCATGGAATTCTGAGTAATTGTGCGCAGACTGGAACATGTCCCAATCCGGAATCGCGTTGAGGAACTGAGTGAGGATGACATTGTGTGCGTTGGCCCAGACGTGCCACGAATATGATTGTGGAATGTCTGGGAAGAAGTCATCCGAATTTCTGACGAAGAACACGGATCGAGTTCGGTGCAAATGACAGAAAAGAGAGTATGGGAATTGGGACATGCACGATATGGCCTTGGCACCAAAATACCGCTCTGAGGCCTGCGACCAGACATCGAGATAGGTGGATATCAAATCTCGACGATCCGGGGCGTCTCTCAGCCCGTCAACCATGACTTGTGCGTCAGCTTTGACGCCATCAATTCCAGACTCAGCCAAGAATCTGTAAAAGTCGTTGTATAGTCGCGACACGTCCGCTTTGTCCACAACCGTCAATGAAGCGCCGTCTTCGCCCTCTTGGGCTACCTTGATTGTGTCGTAAGTCTTCGCAATATGCCCATTGGGTGAGATGCCGCCCCAGTATCCCAGTAAGGCATGCCATACTATAACGTTCTCAATTCCTGGGTGCAAGTTCCGAATCTGTGCTACCACGTTTCTGAGACCGCTTGGAAAGGCCTTGCGGTCAGCTTCAAATTCTGTCCATCCGAGCTGTGATCGATCACTTCCCGCAAGGTCCAGAGACTGCCAGCTGTCGTCAATAATGAGATTCGTTACTTGTATCTTGTTTCTAGCAAGCTCTTGAACCGCATCGAGGATTTTGGTCTCGGAAAGCTGCTGTCCCAAAGAATTCCAAGTGCCCATGTGTGGGTTAACGTGGAGGACGCAATCTGTAATACGACGGGGGACAACATACAAAAACCTAAGCCGTCTTGCCATTGCGGCTTCCAGCCAGCTGTAGAAGGCGTCTTTGCGTCCCGTCTTGATCGACTACTGGTCCGGTTCCGTGACACGGCATGTGCCTCGGATACCATTGTTCTTGCGTGGTACATGACGGAAGCAACGGCGTGGTCGAAATCGATCCCCTCAGAAATTAGGACCACAGTTGTTTGCGATGACCCCGAATCGTTCCTTGCCTACCGAAATTAATCACCATCGTAAGACAACCAAGTGAAGACTCAGCATACATGTACAGCGACCAAGCCGCGGCCATTATTCCGCAAGGTTGTTGTCACATTACCCACGCCACTCACGGCAAGCAATGCCATGGTCTTGCCATGATGACTTAGAAAACAACATAAAATTGCGTCCTGATCTGGGAAGAAACGGGATTTGCCTTGTCGAGGGCCCAGCCAGGCCGCCCTATGTCGCACGAGAGCAAACCACCTACATTTTATTAGTAGCGTGGATACCCAAAGGACGGTTATACATTCACAGGTGGAGAAATTTTCACCTCACAAGGTTCGACTTGGGAGGACTTTGCAAATGGCGTTAGCCTACCTAATAAATGACCCCCATGGTATACCAATGTCAATATCTCGAAATGTTGAGCTTGTTCCTACGGAGGCAGGCAGTGAACAACTAAGTGACCATAGTTTAGTATTTGGGGACTGGCTACCGTGAGATGAGACCTTCCATTCCGTGTTCAAGTCCGGGATACATGGGCTTGAATCGTCAGAGGGCGAGGTGTGAGGTGCAGGTAGGATGATGATGATGGCGTCATTCAATCCCTCCTCTTCACGAGCCCACCTCCACGCCTCGTCACTTGCCAGTCGAAATTTAAGGGTGAACTGCGCAGATCTGTGAAGCGAAAGTGAAGCCGAGAAATATAGGAATGAGGAGGACCGTGACGTTTTATGACTGAGCATTGGCGGTTCGGCACCATGCTCCAGTCTGGTCAAAAGTATCTCACGCCAGGCCCCGTTGTCTACAGATATCCAAAGTACGACATCCCATTCTTCTTTTTGGAGGCTGTTGGATGTCTCCAAAACCGCCGTGAGCACGACTGCGCCGTCCTGGACGGTGGTGACCTGGCCGAGTGGGGGATAACTTTGAATGAGGGCTTTCATGGTTGTAACCTGGCACAGAAATTGCGGAATTCCCTGAAACTTGCATGGGTGTCTGTACGACACAATACATATGTGTACAGTCGAGTCCGTGTGGTGACAATGATTTGATGATTCAATATTCCCCGCTGGGAGTTGCTCTTGGTGCCACGGCCGGTTTGAGCGTGATTCTGGCCACAGTACGAGGCCTAGCTCTGGCACTGTCTTGCTGTGGCAGCGACAAACCTTGGACGCCGGTGACATCGTCGAGATTCCAAACCGAGAGTCACCTGTCTTGTAAGTTGTAACGCCGGCTAGCTTGAGCCATGATGTCTAGTGCAATGCGGCACTTTCTGAATCGAAGCTGCCTAGACACTGGGCAAGATGGGCTAAAATGAAGTCTGGGTACACCGTACGCTACACTGCTCGACGCTCTGTTGCCGGCTAAATCTGGACGTTGGAACACTGCGATAAAGTAATTAAATTCACTGCTGGCTTGGCCCACGTTGCAGTCTTTGGCTCGGCAGTCTTACTGCTCCACGCGACAACCTCGCACCTACTGCTCGTCGACTCCTAAAAGGCCTGGGAGCTGGACTTTTGGTACAAGATTGACGCGAGTTAGTTGTACATGAAAAGATTCGAGTATTCAGCTGATGGCCCTGTTGTTCGATGTTCGACGGGCTTGTCGCGTTAGTCAGTGGTAGGTTACTAATGCGGCCGTTTGATTGGCCAACCATGCCTCCTCGGAGCCGGTCGGAATGGCAAACGGCCGCCTGATTTATCAGGCCACAAGTTCTATCCCAGGAAAGCTTCTAACCGAGCGAGATGGAACGACTCCTTCAAACCACTCAGTACATCTCCGAGCCACCCAATCCTCCCCCATGGCGTCTCGCAGACTAGCTTTGAACCTCTCGCAGGGCCTGCGAAGCCGTGCTGGTCTGTCAGCCGCCGGTTCTCTTCGTCGGGGCTTCGCGACTCCTTCCAGCGTCGGCAATACTCAAACGACAACGCTCAAGAACGGCTTGACCGTGCGTACCATTCATCTGGCCTTGATTGGCCGCGATATGCCTCTCATGGGCTTGCTACTAATACATGAGAAATAGGTCGCTACCGAGCACTCGCCATGGGCCCAAACATCGACTGTGGGTGTCTGGATTGACGCCGGGTCCCGCGCCGAGACTGACGAGAACAACGGCACCGCACACTTCCTCGAGCATCTTGCTTTCAAGGTACAAACAACAATCACCAGCCATGGGGTGGCAATTAGTTGTCAGAATACTAAATACGCGTCCAGGGCACTTCCAGGCGATCGCAGCAGCAGTTGGAGCTCGAGATCGAGAATATGGGCGGTCACCTCAATGCCTACACCTCCGTACGTGGATGCAAACTCTTCAGGAAGACCATGGGACACCCGACTACTAACACTACCTATAGCGTGAGAACACCGTCTACTTTGCCAAGGCCTTCAACTCCGATGTTCCCCAATGCGTCGACATTCTGTCCGATATTTTGCAACATTCCAAGCTCGAGGAGTCTGCCATCGAGCGCGAGCGCGATGTCATCTTGCGCGAGTCCGAGGAGGTCGAGAAGCAAGTCGAAGAGGTTGTCTTTGACCATCTGCACGCCACTGCTTACCAGCACCAGCCACTGGGCCGTACAATCCTTGGCCCTCGCCAGAACATCCGCGACATCACCCGAACCGAGCTCACCAGCTACATCAAAAACAACTACACTGCCGACCGCATGGTCCTCGTGGGTGCCGGTGGCATTCCCCACGAGCAGCTGGTAGAGCTGGCTGAGAAGCACTTTGCCGGCCTCCCCAGCAAGGGCCCCGAGAACCATGCTTACCTCCTTTCCAAGCAGAAGGCCGACTTCATTGGCTCAGATGTCCGAGTCCGTGATGACACCATGGGCACCGCCAACGTCGCCTTGGCTGTTGAGGGTGTTAGCTGGAGCTCCGACGACTACTTCACTGCTCTGGTCACCCAGGCTATTGTCGGCAATTACGACAAGGCCATGGGCAACGCTCCCCACCAGGGCAGCAAGCTCAGTGGTCTCGTCCACCGACACGAGCTGGCCAACAGCTTTATGAGCTTCTCCACCAGCTACAGTGATACTGGGTATGATTGAGTAACTCTTGAAGCAAATTCGGGTCAGATTTCAGCTGACAAAACTTTTCTAGTCTCTGGGGTATCTATCTGACCACCGACAACATCACCCGCCTCGACGATCTTGTTCACTTCACCATGCGCGAGTGGATGCGCCTGTGCACCAACGTCAGTGGAGCTGAGGTTGAGCGCGCCAAGGCGCAGCTCAAGGCCTCTATACTCCTGTCCCTCGACGGTACCACTGCCGTTGCCGAGGACATTGGCCGCCAGCTCATCACGACTGGCCGCCGCATGATGCCCGGAGAGATTGAGCGCCGAATCGATGCCATTACGGAGAAGGAGGTTATGGATTTTGCCAACCGCAAACTGTGGGACAAGGATATTGCCATCAGCGCCGTTGGCAGCATTGAAGCATTGTTTGACTACCAGAGACTACGGAACACCATGAAGCCGAAGTTTTAAGGTAGCGTTGAGCCGGCAGGATTGGCAAAAGCAAGACTCGGGTATAGAGTGTATGAGATTACCGTTTTATCCAAAGGCCTAGTGTACCATAGAGTCCTCTCCTTGTTCATACAGTAGTTGTCAGAATCGGGTATACTAAAATGTGGTGCTTTATTTGTCTCTTCAACGTATCATGTCTTTCAATCTGTCCCCCTTGAAACATCCGACGCGGCATCGATTATGAAGGATGAAATTTCGGGCTCAAGAAATGCGCTCCCCGCTCAACAGGCACGAAGTCAACCGTAGACAGAGCCTCTGATGCATCGCCAAACGCCGTAAAAGCCACCGACAAAGGCCAGGTTACCAATGCCATTAAACATAAGACCACTCAAATTGGCCAAAACATCCGCGGGATGTGGCACCGACAATGGCGTCTACTCGGCCATCTCTTCATCCACATCGTCCCCAAAAACATCATCCACGGTGCCCCCCTCCACTCCGTCGCCGCCGACATCCTCGGGCTCTGGCGCCTCGATACCTTGCATGGCGTCACCGCCCTGTTGCTGTTGCTCTTCCTCGTCCTCGTCGTCGGCCTCATCCCACATGTCCTTGAGACCCCAGCTTGTCCCACTAAGAACAAACCGCTCGCTCGGTAGCCGGACGCCCCATTCGTTGGGGACTATCCTCGGCAAGGCCACCTTGTTTCGTTCTCTGGCAAGTTCTTGCATGTAATCTTTGCTGATGCCGCCTCCGCTGCTTCCTCCGCGGAACTGATACCCCAAGCGGGCACCAATGGCGAGCTTTACGCCGTTTGCTGTGATGGGCGCATCGCCTGCCGCGAGCGCTGATGCGCCTGAAGCCGCGGAAGGCTTCGATCCCGCTTGGGTGACGTATGGATCGCCCGAGAGGTGTAACGCGTCGTTGAGGATGGAGGATGTGTGGCGATATGCGAAGTCGAGGAGGAGCAGCGGAACTCGTTGTTCGTACGCTGTCACCCCCTGAGAGGTGAGGAGGAGTTCGATCAGTCGGGCATCGCGAGGTCGGGGGTCCGCGGTACCGGGAGTTTGAGCTGGGGGTTGCGGGGCGCCGGGCGGCGCAGCTGTGGTCGATTGCGCGTTTGGAGGGGGTTGAGGTGCATTGGCTGGGGCTGTGACGCCGTTGGGTTGAGGTTGGCTTGAAGCCATGGCGACGTACAGGGACGTGTGGTTGTTGACGGGGAAATGGAGGGTGACGGGCTGCGGCTTGCAACGCTGGGCTGCGCATCAAAGTGCCCCAGGATGAAGACACGGCGATGGTGCATGAAATGGCGCATACACGGGGAATATGCCAAATGGTGAGTCGCAACTCGTGGTGTGCGGGACGCTTGCAGTCTTGGGCCACAGCGACTGATTGCAGAAGCTGCAGCTGAGGATGCAACTCGCGAGGGCGTCGATGGGCTGCGCAGCAATTTGCGCCCGAGAAGGCAGTTGCGGTCGAAGTAGAAGGAACGGTTACACGTTGAGCCGGGGCCGGCAGTGTCTACAGGCCAATGACGCCCAAGTCAATGGTGTGGTCAGCGCTAGACCAGTGGTGGACAGATGACAGATGGAGGGGCGGGCCAAACAGTTGCACAGTTGCAGGGTCGGCGACCCCCACCACGATCAATTCATGGCTGAGTCACTCGCGTTGGCCATTTTTCATCATTCTCCCAATTGAACATTGAAGTACTCACGTCTCTCTAAGCGACAAATCGGGAGTTGTATCCTCGTTGCGCTCCTCGATCGGTACACGGGTCGCGTTTCTTCACAATGGCCACGGGGCTGCCTTTGCCGTTCCTCGTCAGCGTTTCCGTGCCGCCGGGCCTGGCCAACCTCGACGGCTTGACGCGCGAGGAAGTGTCGCTGCTTGGCAATCCCTTCTTGCAGGCAACACCAAAGATTCAAGATAAGCTCCTGCGCTTCTTAAACCGTCACAAGTACGAATTCCATGCTCATTTGGACGCCGCTGCCCTTGAATCGCAAGACGATGTCATTGCTCTGCTGGACCGCGGGGCCCGCAAAGTATTCGTCGCGCCAGATGCTTTGCCTCAATACGCCGACTTTGGAGACAGAGTGCTTCCTGTTGTTGGCAAGCCCGACCTCTCTGCAGCTTCGAAGCACGGGCTGTTGGTAAAGGACTTTGATCTCTCAGCCTCCGAGTCGGGCAAATTTATCCAGGCAGCTCAATCTGCAAAGGTCAAGAACCTCTACCTGCGTCCCATCGATGGAACGCCGCTTGACAAGTTTATCGACGCCGCTCACACGGCCAATGCCATCCCTATTCTTCCCTCAACTGGTCTGACGACGGATAAGTCCGCCACAGGAAAGCTTTTGATATCCGACGTTATTGCTAAGTACTGGAATTCCGACCGCCAGGATGGTCTCGTTCCCACCGTCGTCACGAACGAGGCTGGTGTAGCCCTTGGTCTTGCCTATTCCAGTGAAGAAAGCATTCTTGAAGCAATCAAAACGCAGACCGGGGTTTATCAAAGCCGCAAGAGGGGACTATGGGTCAAGGGTGCTACTTCCGGAGACACCCAGGAGCTCGTTCGAGTAGGCTTGGACTGCGATCACGACACCTTGAGGTTTGTTGTCAGGCAGGCCGGCCGGTTCTGCCACCTCCCGCAGTTTTCATGCTTTGGAAATCTGAATGGCATTCCTGCTCTAGAGCAGACGCTTGTTTCAAGGAAGAAGTCTGCCCCCAAAGGATCCTACACTGCCCGTCTCTTCTCTGACGAGAAGCTGCTTCGGGCCAAGATCATGGAAGAGGCCGAGGAGCTATGTGATGCCAAAACGCCCCAGGAGGTTGCCTTTGAAGCTGCTGACCTCATCTACTTTGCTTTAACCAAGGCCATTGGCTCTGGCGCCAGCTTAGCTGATATTGAGGCCAACTTGGATGCGAAGAGCCTCAAGGTCACCAGACGACCAGGCAATGCCAAAGGCATATGGGCAGAGAAGGTGGGCATCATGAGTCAAGGTGATGTCCCCAAGGCCCCTCCAGCCGAGCAGCTCGCAGACCGCAGAATTACCATGCAGCGAATCAACTCTTCCAAGGTTTCAGAGGCCGAGCTTCTCAAGGCGCTCCAGCGCCCATCTCAGAAGTCCCCCGAGGCTATCCTCAAAGTTGTCACTCCCATCATCGAAGACGTCCGCAAGAATGGCGACAAGGCCCTGCTGTCGTACACTCACAAGTTTGAGAAGGCAACTTCTCTCACCTCACCCGTCATCAAAGCTCCATTCCCTCAGGAACTCATGAAGCTGGACCCGGAGACCATCAAGGCCATAGACACCTCGTACGAGAACATCCAGAAGTTCCACGCTGCTCAAAAAGAAGACAAGCCTCTCCAAGTCGAGACGATGCCCGGCGTCGTCTGTGGTCGCTTCTCCCGTCCCATCGAACGGGTTGGTCTCTACATCCCCGGCGGCACAGCCGTCCTCCCCAGCACTGCTCTCATGCTCGGTGTTCCGGCCAAGGTCGCTGGATGCAAGAAGCTCGTCTTGGCCTCGCCGCCCCGGGCAGACGGCAGCATCACCCCGGAGATTGTCTACGTCGCCCATAAAGTCGGCGCTGAGAGCATAGTCCTCGCTGGCGGAGCTCAAGCCGTCGCTGCCATGGCCTACGGCACCGAGAGCGTCAGCAAGGTTGACAAGATCCTCGGCCCTGGTAACCAGTTCGTCACGGCTGCCAAGATGCATGTCAGCAACGACACCAACGCCGGTGTGAGCATCGACATGCCTGCTGGTCCGTCTGAAGTCCTCGTCATTGCTGACAAGGACGCCAATCCCGCGTTTGTGGCCTCCGACCTGCTCTCCCAGGCGGAGCACGGTGTTGACAGCCAAGTCATTCTCATTGCAGTCGACCTGACAGAGCAGCAGCTCATGGCCATTGACGACGAGGTCCACAACCAGGCCACTGCTCTCCCTCGCGTCGACATTGTCCGCGGCTCCATTGCTCACTCCGTCACCGTGCAAGTCGACACGGTCCAGGAGGCCATGCGTATCAGCAACGAATACGCCCCCGAACATCTCATCCTGCAGATCAAGGATGCTGCCAAGTCCGTAGACCAGGTCGTGAATGCCGGCAGTGTCTTTATCGGCGAATGGACACCCGAAAGTGTCGGCGATTACTCAGCCGGTGTAAACCACTCTCTGCGTACGTCTTTCCCCTTGTCCTGGACACAAAGCTTTGATTATCCCACTGACACGAGTTAGCGACGTATGGCTTCGCCAAGCAATACTCCGGCGTGAACCTCGCCTCCTTCATGAAACACATCACTTGCTCTAATCTTACAGCTGAGGGTCTCAGGAACGTTGGCTCAGCAGTCATGCAGCTAGCCAAGGTGGAAGAGTTGGAGGCTCACAGAAGGGCAGTCGAAATTCGCATCAAGCACATGGGTGGACAGTGAATTGCAAAACGGCAGGCGTCAAAAAGACAAGGTTATCCAGGTCGTAGTCCTTGTTGTGTACATGGGTATGGAACAAGCTAAATATTCGGATGATGAGGATGGATGCTGGTCGAAGGGGGGAATTTACAGGAACCAACTAGTCAACGACAGACAATGCTCGACAAAAAATGGGAAAATTTGAGTAAAAAATGATAATTGACTAGTTCTGCTTCAACACAAAAGGTTTCTATTCGCGACGCCAAAATGTAATGCCAACGCCCGCGCCATGCCATGCCTCTGCGAATACCATCAATGAATATTCATTCAGTGTGCCTCCTAGCAGAATGTGCCTCACGGTCGCCCCTCCTCTCGCCCCTCCTCCCGCGCCCCTATCGCCGTAGGTCCATTTGTATCTCCAAAGACTCCACTCCACATATTAGAGTATACTTCACCATGGAATGAATGCTTTCCCCCTAAGATGCTTGATCAGGTGTGGACGCGGCCGTGGGCCGAATCTCGACGGGCTCTTCAAAGTATGCTTCCTGTGATTCGATCGCAACGCCGTTGCCGCTCAACTGCTCCCATTTTTAGCTTTTTTATTTAGCCTTTTTTCTCTTGGGACAAGTGACCAACCCCCGTGATTAGTTCTGCGCCGACGTCTTCTTCGACGCCCTTGTTGGAAATCATGGACCTGGCCATGCGATCGACAAGCTGTGTTTCGTCGTCGTCAGACCCGGCGTAGTCCTCATCATATTCGCCTTCCTCGTCGTCCTCGTCGTACTCCTCGTCGTTTTCGACATTCTCATCGTCCAAGATTTCGTCTATAGACTCTCGTGAGATGTAGCTGTCGACGAGGCCGTCGCCAATCTCTTCGTCATCGTCAACAGTGTATGTGCTTTCGTTATCGCCCGGCACGTCTACTTCTTCGCTGTCGCTGGCTGAGAATTCGTCAAGCTCAAGGGGCTCGTCGCGCCAGTATTTAAAGTCGGTGTAGTCTTCTCCGCCACCCTTCACTAGCGTGGCGACGGGTGGGAAGTAGTGGTCAACGACCTCGTTGATGTTGACATAGCTCATCTTCAGCTTGTTGAGGCTCAAGAGATCCAGAGACACCTCAGAGTTGGAATTGATGGTAAAAATTCTGGTTCTGGGTACGTTGACAGTCCGGTACGAAATCTGATCAGTCAGACGGTTGCCGAATCCAGCGTAGAACGGATTGTGACCTGGTCCGTACAGGCTGCTGATGTCTCGAAGTGTGGCCATCTTGAACACGTGCGGCTGACGCAAGTAAACCTCTCGTCGCAGAGCTGCCATTGTGCGATCGGGTGACAAGATTGTAGGGCCATGGGGCATCCTGCATCCGCCTTGAACGATGCCATTGACATACGTTCTAGTTGTATCAGACTGACCAACGGATCGACTTGTCAAATACATGATGTTATATCCATTTTGAGCGATGTCGCTGTACAGCTTGGCAATGCCCGTGTGCGTCCAGTCGCGGCCAATCATGTTGAGCACATGGCCGAGGGCGTCTGACTTGGTAATGGTGCCGTCAATGTCGGAGATGACGACGGGAGTTTCATGCTTCCATAGGTACATGTTCGCGGCGCAGGTTGCTCGATTGACAGTGAAGCTCATGGAGTTCTCCCCCGGCTTCAGATCCAGCGCCTTCAGTTGATCGCTAGTCAAACGTAGCGTCTTGGCGTAGTTGACATTTGGGTTTGCAGCATATCCGGGAGGCGTGTGAGGGGGGGTCTGCATTCCGGACGGACCAGCGTCAGACTCTGTCCGCCGGTGTGAAGGAACACGGGGGCTGGTCGTAACATCGCTACCGTCACTGTGATATCCGGGGTCGGAGACGGCATCGGCGGCAGTGTCGTGGCGATGTGCCTTGAGCGACGACTCAATGGTTTTGTTCATGGCCGCCTGCTTCGCCTCCTCACTACTGTAAATCCACAGGTTGCCTTCCTCGTCAAAGCCGAAGAGGGAGCCAATATCGTAATTGCCTTCAAGCTCCTCAGAAAGAATCTTCCTAGCGAGTATCTCGGCCTGGAGCATGTCCTCTTCGCTGCTCTTGAAACCGGTCATATCGAGCATGAGATCGCCAGTTTCGGTGACGCGGCTAGGTATATTCACAGCAGACAGCTCCTTGGCCAGAGTTCTAGCTCGCTCCATTCCCAAAGGTGGGGGGCTATGCGATCTCTCGGACTCGTTCGGACCTCGAGGCTCGTCTTCGTCGTCACGGTGGAGAGCTCTTGCAGACCGCCTGAAAATATCGACGCTGTGCGGCCTGACCAGGGACGAAGTCCAGTCGTCAGACACCGGACGTGGATTTGACATGTTTGGCGAAGCAGATAGCGGAGTCATCATGCCTGATTTCACACTCAGCAACGTGCGAACACAAGAGGAAGAAGAGTAGTCTTGCAAGTAAAGCAGGGAAGCTAACCATTTGCGTCGGAGTGGGTTTGCAGCACGACCGCTGCCGGTCTAGCCGAGTTGCTCAGCTCTTGATCAAGTTCAAGAATGTCTGGGTCGTTGAGTCCAGCTGGCGCTTCCTCAGGACCCAGTCCGGGGCTGCTGTCTGGAGAAACTAGGGGAGACGTCTGAAGGGATGCAGGAACATTTTCGGTAGTTTCGAAGACGAAGAAGGCCTCGCCGCCTTCGCCGAGCTTCATAGAGTACTCCTGCTTGATGCCATTGACCTTGAACTCGACTTTTTTTTCAGACGGCCGCAAGAGCGAAAACTTGCCAAATCGTACGTGAAAGGGCGAGCAGGCGAGCGAGCCGTCTTCATGCTGGACAACGATGACATCAATAGCACCGCTCAGGGTGGCAGGATTGATGGAGTTCCATGCTGTCGAGACCGAGTCGCTGATGTTCCGAACGTACTGCATGCTTGTCGCTCGGCAGCGCGGGCTTCTCACGCCTCGGATGCGTAGCGGCGCGGTCGTTGCCAACCGTTGGCGTGGTGGGAAGTCGGGTGCCCAACGAAGCCCAGGAGCGGGTTGCAACGGCGAAACCGAACGCGCAAGGAGACTGTACGCAAACCTGGAGCCCTCCTCGGATACGCGCGCTGCAGTTTCGTCTGGCAAAAGGGCGAGACTCCTGGAGGCGGTGTTCTGGGGACTGGAGCGTGAGGTGAAGGCTTGAAGCGACGGCGCTGACGAGTGAGAGACGGATGTTGGTGGCGAGAGGAGCCAGCTGATGCGGGAGGGTTGGCGAGAGCCGAGATGGCAGGGAGCAGCAAATGCGATGCAATAAGTTGACTGATTAGAGAGGGCTGTGCGCTGAGGGGACTAAGGAATTCGAGATGCGGATGATGGGAGAGGCGGTCGCGAGGCATCAACCAGGAACCAGGGAAGCGGATTGCAAGGCGAAGGGTTGAAAGGCGAGTCGGTGGTTGTTGGGCCCCGTTGGTCGCATCTGTCAAGGGCGGGTTCAACACAAACGAAAACGCCAAGCGGAGCCGGGTCGCGGCTGCCGGAAGGCGCACAGGTGGAATAACCGGTGCAACGTCTTGTGCTCCTCCGGGCTCCTCCGGCCCGTCGCACTTGCTCCAGTGCCTGCCCAGGGAAGTACCGTGTGCTTACGACCGAAGTACCAACGCCAACTTTTCCGTACCGACATCTAGATGGAAGGCAGAGAATCCACAACGAGCACTCTCATGAAACTGCAACGAGGGAACTGACTCAAGTGTCAATGCTGCACAAAGCATCCGCCGTGCCTCATGACTCCTGCAGCACGAAGTTAGTAAATTCAAGTACCCAGCAATTACTTGCGACGGATTGAGCACTCGCGTCCAGCAGCGTACTTTAAGTACCTAGGTACTTAGTGAAGTAACTAGGGCAATAACGTTACACCTTGACTGCACCTCGCCATGCTGGGAGGATTACTACCGGATGTGCTACTACTTTGCGACTTGCCCTGTCTTTTTATACTTTTCCATTTTTTTTACGGTACCGCAAGTGACGACTTGGCAATCCATCACGCACGACGCCCGAGCCGCGGTACGAGGCATGTATGTCGTACTCGTTACGCCGTACTCCGTACTACTTACTACAAGGCCAAGCATTAAAGTCGTCATGCGGTCCAACTTTACGCCAAGACCACAATGACGGACAAATCCCCATTGCCTCGATGTCGGCATCACCGTGAATTGGCTGCATGGATTTCCACCATCCAGAGTGGCGGGCAAATTCGTCAACTTGCCAGGGCAGCAGGCGCGCAGGGCTGCCTTCTGATGTTGATCTCGACAAGGGCGCCAGCCGAAAGCCAAGATGACGCTAATGTGAGGTCCATCTGCAGCAAACATCAGGCCACCTGCAGCCCAAGCCTTTCAAAGCCTTTGTCGCGTCCATAAGTCCACTTCACATCATCAAAGGGTACGGGTCGGTGCCTCGATTTTATTGAAAGTGAGGCAGGCACAATTCATAATCTTGCCGCCACGGGTCTATGAGTGTTTTGATTCCTCACTTGTTTCTGGTGCTGTACGGACGGACGTACCTGCCAGCCACTACTGCATGTACGTCCGTATATCCCCAAGCACTGCAACTGCAGCACAGCGCCGTCTTTGCCAGTGTTTTATTTGCAAATACCAGTAACTATTTGCCCCCGCCCGCCGCCCGGGGGGCCCCAAGGTACCCGCGAAGCCTCCCCCCCCCAGAATTCCCCCAACTCCCGTCCGTCTGCTTCGTAGTTACTCGCTGCGCCCCAAGCCTTGACCCCCACATCGCGGGTCTTGCTTGCTTGCATGAACACTGCCACCACCACCACACCACCACCACCACTACCACCACCACCACCAACGACGATTTTCCTTTTTGCCCTCCGCCTTTGATTCCCAACTGCCGGCCGCCTCACCACCACACGCCTGGCCAGGTGATAATTCTTATTCTTTTTGCCGTCTCGATTCCCCTCCCCTCCTCTCAGCAGTGCTCGGAGGGCTGAGAATATGACATGGGAGCCCTTGTCCTTGATCACGCTCTTGGTCACTTTTCTCGCCCTCGGCTTGTGTCGTAGATACTTGTCCGGCTCAAGGACCCTTCTCTACGCAATTGTCACTGCCCTGCTTCTACGTCTCGATGGCCGCGCCGCCATGTATCGCATTTATTTCTTTGCTCACGATGCCGTCATCAATGCCTCGCCGGTTGCGCGCTTCAAGATGGGCCTGACTCTCGGGGCTGTCATCTGGTGAGTTGAAATCCCTTGCCTCGCCTTGGCCTGGTTTGCTGTCCCGTTTTCACGAACCACCTGGCCGCTCCAGGACCGCTATACCCCCCCAATCGCTTTGTACCACAGCTTTACGCTGCTTCTGTCGGAGAGGGCTAACGGTTTTTCTTTCCCCCCATCTCGTAGGCTGGTTCATCGCGCTATTCAAACCATTTGGAAACCCATTCCCGAGCTCGTCAATATTCTTGGACTTGACATCCCGCCACCCCCGGATGTCTGTCTCGCCGGAATTCGATCCGACTCGGCATATTTGACCTGGGACGCACGAACTGCCTCTCAGCGCCCTGTTCAGAAACTCTTAATACAGGTCAATGGCGTTGATGGTGGGTGCACTCCATTCACACAAGCCCAGAGTACTGCTCGGCGAAACACGCAGTGTCCCTTCCAGAGATGCTGACCAAGACTTGGATCAATAGTTGACGAAGTAGCCGGTAACGAAAAGGCCATAACAATTACTGGTCTGAGACCCAATCATTTTTACAACATCAGGGTTATAGCAGTTAGTCCAAATAACTTTCGATCCAACAGTACTGTCATCAGGCTACGCACGTTTGGTAAAGATGGTCGACCTCGACTGGGAAATTCTCGACTGCCTACCAGCTTCGTAGACCCGGGCCTTTCACGTGCGACCGCCAACGACGATGCCGATGATTCCGATGGACCCGGATTCCCGTACCCGACCGTTGAGGCTACACCAGTCAACGATGGAGTCACGGGCTCCTCCAGAGATCTTGCAACAGGAGTCCCTGGTCAGCGGCGAAATACGCTGCACAGACGACATTCTCCGTCAGTAGCGAGTACAGACCAGGGACAAGTCAAGTCTGCAGTATTAAACGAGCCAGAAATGTCACTGGCGGACTTGAATGAGAGGTTTGAAGCTATTCGAAGGGAGATAGATGACGTTGTGCAATTGGCAGCCAAGGAACAGGCCGAAGCTCTGCAACAAGAAGATGAACTGAAGAGGGAGAGGGACAGGAAGAGACAAGCTCTCAAAGAGAAGGAAGAATGCACCACCCAGCTAAAAGCCATGATGCGGACGACCATGGAGCAAATGCGAGCCGCAGAAAAGGAGCGAGCGAAGAAGGAGCAGCAGTTGAGAGAAAAGGAAACAAAAAAGTCGAAAATTAAGGATAGCATTTCCAAGTTCGAAAAAGAAGTGGAACGGATGAGAAAGGAGCGTGAAGACTTCCAAACGCAGAGAAGGGAAATGGAAGAGAAACGGGATCATGCCGTCAAAGGTCTCAATGCTCAGGTGGCATGTCTTCAGGAAAAATGCGCCGGGCTGGAAGCCGAGCTTGCCCAAAAAGGGAAACAGCTACAGGATCTCAAAGCAACACGGGAGCAGCTCCCTGACGCCAACGACGAGCAATGGAAAGAGGAGGACCAGCGGCTCAGGAGAGAGTGGGAGGTGAAGAGGCGAGACTTACATAACCGCCTTGTTACAGAGACCAAATTCGGGCACAATCTGGACCAGCAAATTCGGGCCCTGGCCGACCAGCTGGCCTTTCAGCAACAACAGGCTGGTCTGAATTTCTTCCCCCCGCTGTCGTCCACAGCGGTGGATTTTGACCCAGCTATGCTATCTCAAGCTGCGAAGCGCCTGAGCTTTCCAGGACCTGGCTTGGGCGGCACCCCGGTATCATCACCCCCTTTGGCTCACGCTGAACCACAACTTCAGGGCAACGTATCGTTTGGTGCTCCTACGTTCGGGCCTGGCCTTTTTATGGACATGTCGGAGAACAATCATGTTGAGGCGCAATCCGAGGCCGAGCTTAAGGCTGCTACTGGTCCCCTGAGCCCTTCTGCTCAGACTCTTCTCCCGTCAAACATTTTTGACGACACTGAGGAGCATGTGGATGTCAAGCAATCTCAGAATCCCATTCTGCCGCAATCTATCGTGGCCGAAGAGAACGGTCCGCAATCGCCAGTCTCCCCCGCCCCGTCTTTTCACGTCCTCCCAAGTCCCCACGGATCCGCGAATCATTTACCCTTCCATCAGTATGCAGACTCTGGTGATCAAATCTCTTTAAACATGCCCCAATCACCTCCTGCGCGCTCACCAGCCAGTGTTCATCGATTCTCGACCATCTTTTCGCCTTTTTCTCGCAGCACCAAAGCCCCAAAGACGTCTGATGAGGACGGCCCCCCCATTGGTAGTCTCAAAGTAGGCCAGAGTCAATCATTTCCGCGTGGTACGGAAGAAGGCGAGAATATGGAGTTTCGCCGGAGGCTATGGCCCTGGGGTATCAACAGCGGCAGAAATTCCACGGGTCAAGAGAGTCCGTCGGCAAGCTTAAACTACTTCTCTGCTCGTCGGGTCAATTCCTTGAAGGGATCTAGAATTTCCGCCATCTCGGACCGAGAACAGGATCCTTCTAGGCCGTCATCCATTATCTCTATCGATCATCCCCGTCCCTCTACCGACAGCGCATCCATATGGGGAGCTCCTGGAGATGCAGCCACCAACTTGAAGAACAGTAGGTTTTGGTCTCCAAGCCGAGGCGGGTCAAGAAGGCCGTCTTTGCACGGATCAACGACTGCGCTCACGACCACATTAGCGTCTGCAGACGACGAGATCTTGGAGGAGAGTGACCTGCGAGATCCTCATACATCTCCCAGCCAAATTGGAGTGATTGGATCCCGTCCGCCAGCAGCGTCGTCCAAATCTCTCATGAGCCAACGCTTGAACCCCACAGCTCCAACATTCATGGGCAACATCTTCCGCAAGGATAAGGACAAGGACGGAGGCAAGGACAAGCCCAAGGAAGATAAGGGCAAAGGCAAAGAGGTTGGAACACCAGCCAGCGACTTTCCGGAGATTCACGACGACTCGCTGTCGGACTCACGAATTTCCAGGGATACATGTTCTCTTCACACGGGCACGTCGGTGTCGGAGTCTCGTGAGTCGCTGCAACTAGACTTGACGCAGTCCAACACACCGTCAGATATGAATTCTGTCTCAACGTCGAACGCCAAAGACTCTGATAATGTAGTGCGAAAATTGTTCCGCAAAGGTAGCTCCAGCAAGTTCAGTCTTTCCTCTAGGCTTGGCAAGGACTCTGGGCTTTTTAAGAAAGGACCAGGCAGCACCTCCAACTCGGACAGAAATGCATCCGCCGAACAACGAACAAGCATTGGCAACGCAGATGACCTGGGCGAAGACGGCGCGGCGTTTGGGCGCAGTTATGACAGCATGACCAGCAGCCCATCTCTTGGTCCATCCAAGTCGAAAGACAGCAGGGAGGGACGAATGAGTTCGTGGCGCTTCTCTATGCGTAAGAAGACTAAGGACGCTCCGGCTAGGGACAAGGAGAGTCTGGAAATAGAACGGGCCCCAGATGACTTTGGGGTTGGGGGTAGTCACAGGGGGACCAGCGGAACATGATTATACTCTGGATTAGCCGGCAACATTGAATAAATAAAATGGTAGCTCTGACACACACGACGATGAGATGAAGCCATGCCATGTGTAGGACCGGCAGATGTGAATGAATGGGCGGTGTCGGACGGTCGCTGTGCCGTCGAATTGACCGCCACGCCATTGCAGCGCACACGCAGTTTTAATGTGCTGTAACCAGTCGAAGGTAACTTACAAGTACTCAAGTACTCCGTACCTGGCGGTCGATGTTGACGGAGCCCGGAAACGCCTGGCTGGGTTAGAGCCTTGGAGGTCAATTGGCAGTCAGACCCGCTTTTCGATGTCGCTGACAAGGAAATGTACTTGAGTACACGGACACGGACACGGAGGCGAGGCGGACATGGACAGGAAGCAGGAAACAGGCACAAACACACAGACATGAAGCTGCGGCATCCCGGCTCGCGAAGCGGAGGATAGGCCTTGACCTCTGCATTTCCCATCTACGATACCTTGTCATCAGGTGAAGCAGGCACAATGCCACTTCAGACGAACAGAGACACACCTGCAGCTTCGGCTCTGAGTGCAGGTAAGGGCCTCCCTCTTGCACGCAATGCTCAGTCAACCCTCCATCCTAACCACGGGTATTGCGTTGCAAAATAAAAAACAATAAACAGTCGACTACGATCCGATGGAGCATCTGAACATGCTGTTTTCGCATCCGTCTACCGTATCGTCGATCAGCCAAGTGTCGCAAACCCTCAAAGCTCACCAAACCGTGCTATCGAACGAAATCAACAACCTCGAACTAGAGCAAGCGTACAAGCCCGACTCCAGCCTGGAACGCATGCAGTCGGCGCAGACAGAGCTGGCTCGGCTCTTCCGGAAAATAGAAACTGTGCGATCACGGGCGATTGAGACGGAGCGGAACATCACGTCCATGACGGCGGAGATCAAGCGGCTGGACGGCACGAAACGTAACCTGACGCTTAGCATGACGGCGCTCAAACGCTTGCAGATGCTCACGACTGCTTATGAACAACTCCGCGGGCTTGCCAGAACGCGGCAGTATCGAGAGTGCGCTGGTCTTTTGCAGGCGGTGATTCAGCTGATGAAGCACTTTAACAGCTACAGAAGCATAGAGCAGATTGCGACCTTGAGCCGGCAAGTGTCGGAGCTCCAGAGGGAGCTGCTTGAGCAGGTGTGCGAGGACTTTGAAACGACTTTTGTCAAGGGCGAAGTGGCGACGAAGAGGAATATGCTTGTCGAGGCATGCCTGGTCATGGATGCCTTGGGAGACTCGGCCAAGTCGAGAATAATCACTTGGTACGTAAACACGGAGCTGAGAGAGTATCGGCAGGTATTCCGTGGGAATGACGAAGCTGGCAACCTCGATAACATTGGGCGGAGATATGCGTGGTTCAAGCGCACAGTGAAGACGTACGAGGACGAGCACGCAGCCATCTTCCCGTCGCACTGGCACGTCGGAGAGCTGCTGACCACGGCGTTTTGCGATGGCACCAGAGATGACTTCAAGGGGATTTTGGAGAGGAGCATGCGACGCGGGGACGGGAACAAGGTCGACGTCAACTTGTTGTTGCGCTGCTTGCAGGAAACGCTAGACTTTGAGCAAAGCCTCGAGAAGAAGTTCTCGGACGCGCCGAGGGCGAGCATCGATACTCTGAGCTCGACGGAGGGAAAGACGCACAACTTCAATGGCCTCATCTCGGTTGCGTTTGAACCGTACCTGAGCTTGTGGGTTGACTCGCAGGACAAGCAACTGGCGTCGTTGATGTCCAAGTACCGCAACCAGCCGCTCATTCCCGCCGGCGAGGAGTTCTCTCCTCAGGGGATCATCCCGTCTGCCATTGAGCTCTTCCACTTCTACAAGTTGACCCTGTCGCAGTGTGCGAAGCTGTCTACCAGCGACAGGTTGCTGGACCTGTCCAAGGTCTTGTCCAAGTACTTGGACGAATACGCGCAGCAGGTTCTGTTGCACATCCTCCAAGCCGGCGGGTCTCAGGGCCCGTCACTACACAATGCCATCTTGGTGCTCAATACTGCCGACTTTTGGCATGTAAACACTGGTCAGCTGGAGGAGAATATCAAGAAGCGCATCGACAATGAGCTCGTGCCAAAGGTGGACCTATCGTCGCAAGCTGATGCTTTCCTGGGCGTGGCTAGCGCCGCCGTGTTGGCATTGGTACACCTGGTTGAGCTGGAATGCGAGGGGACATGGCGTGAGATGAAGAATACAAACTGGAGCACCATGGACACTGCGGGCGACCAGAGCACCTACGTGGGTGAGTTGGTCAAGCATGTCAGCACAAAGACGGCAGAGATACTGGGCCTGGTGGGCAAGCAGCAATACGCCAGGGCGTTTTGTGACAATCTGGTTGAGCACCTGGCCGCAGCCTTTATCAACAGCATTGTGGCATGCCGACCCATATCAGAGGTTGGCGCGCAACAGGTAGGCCTTGCGCACTCGGGTCACGCGGCGTACAAGCCCAGTCGCTAATCATGTCGAACAGATGCTCGTGGACAAGTACGCGCTCACCAAGTCCTTTGGCAGCCTCCTCTCTCACCACAATCCCCTGTCGTCCTCAACAACGCAGCAAGCACCGCCCTCCAGCTTCGTCCGGCGCGTCGAGCACTCCATGAACCGCATGGACCCTCTCCTCAAAACCCTCCAAGTCCGGCCTTCACCCCCCGAGGGTCTCGTCCAAGCCTACCTCATCCACATCGGTGATGGCTCCGACACCAACTTTAAAAAGATACTCGAGCTCAAGGGCATCCGCAAGCAGGACCAACCCCACCTCATTGAACTATTTGGCATCCACCGCGACGGCAGTTCCCATGAGAAACTTGTCCCGAGCTCTCCCCTGCTGACGCCCATCATGACGACGACGGCGGCGGCGGCGGCGACGACAGGCATGGCAAGTGGTGCTGGGGTCGCCGGGATGAACCCTGGAGCTGCACTCACCGCGGCGGCTGCGGGGGCAAGGTTCGACGCAGGCCTTCTGGGAGAAAAGCTGCTCAGTGCGGCCAGGGACATTGGGAGCACTACGCAGAGTGCGGAGAAGGCTACAATCAATGAGAACTTGAGGAACTTTGGAAAGTTCTTCAAGAGGGACATTGGAGGTTTGGGGGTGAGGTTTGGCAAGGGGAGTGCTGACGACGGCGGAAGATAGTTTTTTTTACCCGACATGGGGAGGTATCCAAATAAAGACGGGCATTGCAATTTTTGCTTGTTTATGGAGAGCATGTGGTGGCATGTGATGAGGGCTTTGCTCGCCGCGGTTTCTATCTGGAGAAAAGGAGAGGAGATACGAATCGTCGTTTGGAGCCTCGGTGTTAGTCCAGTTGATAGTCGGCCGCGTCACGACGCCGCCGCATCGATGTGGAAACACGGAGGAAGCAATGACCAAACGGAAACATGGTCATGCACTCCTGACCTTTCCTGGAGGTCACTATCAACGACCTAGGCGATGACATGTCCTATCCGTCCCATCCAGGTCCAGTCCACGGCCGCTACATCATCAACGATTAGGGATGCTATTACAAAGCAAGGGTGCTGCTTACTTAATCCACAAGTCACTCGGGAGTCTGGACTCGGGACAACGAGCCCCCCGCCCGGTGACCGAAGAGGTGACCAAAACATTCACCGCCGCCCCTCCCTCTCCTGCTCTTCGGCTTGCGACCAGACTCCAAATATCACGACGCATACTTCTCCCGTTCAATACCGCCAAACTGTTGGCCTCAACGTTCCGACGGACCTTGCGCTCCAGTGCTGGGCTATCGATTGCGGCAGCGGCAGCGGCAGCGGCAGAGTTTAAACAAACCCGCCCTGGGGCGCACCAAGCAGGCGTACGAAAGATGCACGGCAAGGTCGTCAGTACGTGTCAAGTTGCCACCGCCAACGCCCTTCCATCAGGGGAAGCAATTGCTGACGGGAGACGACATGAAACAGTTATTGGCTCGGGGCCGGCCGCCCACACTGCCGCCGTCTACTTGGGCAGAGCAGAGCTGAAGCGTAAGTTGGACAACCCCCCCCCCCCGCGCGGTCGCCGGCCGACTAGACTCTATTCCTTCCGACACGCGCTCAACGAGAATTGGACACGCAGCCGTTTTATACGAGGGCTTCATGGCCAACGGCATCGCCGCAGGCGGCCAGCTGACGACCACGACCGAGGTCGAAAACTTCCCCGGCTTCCCCAAGGGCATCATGGGCCAAGAGTTAATGGTGACAACCGCCGCCCGTCCTCCCCCCACCCCCCAAGTAAGACTCGAGCACACGAGACGATCTGACACAGGCGGGCCGCAGGACAACATGCGCGCGCAATCTGAGCGCTTCGGCACCGAAATCGTCACCGACACCGTGACAAGGCTCGACCTCAGCAGCCGCCCCTTCCAGTACAGCACCGAGTTCTCGCCCGACGAGACGCACACGGCCGACGCGGTCATCATCGCGACGGGCGCCTCGGCCCGCCGCATGAACCTCCCCGGCGAGCAGGCGTACTGGCAAAACGGCATCTCGGCGTGCGCCGTGTGCGACGGCGCCCTCCCCCTCTTCCGCAACAAGCACCTGTTCGTCATCGGCGGCGGCGACTCGGCCGCCGAGGAGGCCACGTTCCTCACAAAGTACGGCAGCCACGTCACCGTGCTCGTGCGCCGCGACGTCCTGCGCGCCAGCAAGGCCATGGCCGCGCGCCTGCTCGGCAACCCAAAGGTGACGGTGCGCTTCAACACCGTCGCCACCGAGGTCCGCGGCGGCCCGGACAACCTCATGAGCCACCTCGTCGTCAGGGACACCGTCACCGGCAAGGAGGAGGTCGTCGAGGCCAGCGGCCTCTTCTACGCCATCGGCCACGATCCCGCCACCGCCCTCGTCAGGGGCCAGGTCGACATGGATGGCGACGGGTACATCGTCACCCGGCCTGGTACTACCATGACGAGCGTAGAGGGCGTCTATGCCGCCGGCGATGTGCAGGACAAGAGGTACAGACAGGCCATTACTAGTGCGGGTGAGCTTCGTCAATTCCCTCCTCGTGTTCCCCCAACTATGAATCTCAAGTCTTTGTCTCGTGCAAGAGGTGGTGACTTTGGCTAAAATTTGGTTCCACAGGTACGGGATGTATGGCTGCCCTCGAGGCCGAAAAGTTTATAAGCGAGCACGAATAGATCCGGGCATAAAGTATAGAATGCGGTGTTAGAACCTGGTAGAATGCGCAGATGATTCTATATATAGACTAGACATCCGGCCGGCAGGCCACAAACCAAGAGACCTCGCACCAGCTCACTTCAGGAAGCCCGACACGGGGAGAGCAATCATGCAATCTGTTCGAGCGGCCCTTTCCGATTGTCTGTACCTCAGTCACGGGAGACGACTGCAACACCAGCGCCATTTCGACACGCCAAAAAGCACAGCTAGCCTTTGTACGCATGCACGAATCTGCACCTACGCGACGCCGTGTAAATGCCTGTTTTTTCAACATCCGTATTTCGCCCAGTGTGACCCTCACAGCAAACGCCCACACATACGCACCAAAAGAGCCATTCCCTCGTCTTGACCCAAAAAGGGGATACTTTTATTCTCGCTCCAGAACGGCCGGAGCAGTAATTGTGGTACCGCTGAGCTTCTCGAGACCTTCGCCACCCTGTCAGACATCGCTGTTAGCACATGCGTCCACGGCCAGAGTGCGTCGGCACATGGTTTTGACTTACGTAGCTGATCAAAGGCGAAATCTCAATGCCACCTTCAGCCACGACAGTAGCTCCGGCCGCAGCCGCCCATCGCTGGCCCTGGCCCATGATGTCGGCCTTGCTGGTGTCGGGGTCGTCCTGGCCCTTGCCGCGGGCATTCTTCAGTGGCGAGAACTCGTCCTCGCGACGAACCTCCATGCATGCAAACTTGTCCAGAGACAGCATGGGGAAGACGTCAAAAACAAACTGCTCAAGCTTGATGCCGTTGGGAGTCTCCGGCTTGATGGGTTCGCCAGACTTAGTGTCTGCGTAGGGAATCTTCTTGCGAGCAATGTGGTGGGGCAGCTTGTGAGCCCACTGAGGAATGGATTCGAGGAAGCAGAAAGAGTAGTAGTGGTTCACAATGTTGGCAGCCCGGAACTTGAGGACGCCAGGGTGCTTGGGATCCTCTGCCTCAGAGGTGGCCTTGTCAATCTCGGAATACTCGACAACGTCGGGCTTGCCGTTCTTGGAGAGGATGAGGCCGACAGACTCGGTAGCGTCTCGCTTACGAACGACCTTGGTGGCAATGTCGACGTCGAGGGAGGAGGAGAAGCCAATGAAGACGGGGTCGGCAACCTTGACGAGACAGTTGTCGACGCAATAGGCATGGATGTGCTCGATGCCGCGCTTGCGCATGTCGTCGAGAACGCCAGAGACAACCAAGGCCCGGTAGATGCCGCCGTTGCCATCGGGGGCGACAGCGACCTTGCTCTTGCTCTCGAGGAGGATCTTTCCCTCGTTGGAAATGCAGGGCAAGACTCCTTGCTCGAAAATCTTGACATTGGCAGCATCTAGGCCAAAGTACTTGTTCTCCTCGAAAAAGGTCTCGGTAGGCTTGCGGGTTGGGCCGCTAGTCATGACGTACCAGGGAACGGCGACAGACGCGGCGCCGCTATGCTTGGCAGCAAGCTCCTGGATCTTGCGGATCCTCTCGGCCTGGATCTGGAACAGGCTCTTGTGGGAAGGCAGCCCAATGTCGTAACAACCCTTGGGCGCCGAGCTGCCCAAGCGAGTTCCCTGACCGCCAGCCATGAGAACCACGGCCACCTTGTTCTTGCCGATGAGGCCCAGGCCAGAGCTGTACCACTTGTTGATGTCATGGGGACTTGAATCGAGAATGCTGGCTTGAGCAGACTCGGGGAGGGGCTCGAGGGCGTCGGGGGTGTCTGACTTGGACTCGCCAAGGGCCCTCTTTGTGATTTCGTTGATGGAGGCAGGGTTGAAGCCGGACAGCTGGTCGTACAAGGCAGCCTTGTCTTGGGTGCTCAGAGAGTCGTAGAAAGTGAAGACGTGGTCCTGGCCAGCTTCGGTGTACTTGGCCTTGAGCTCAGCATAGGCCTCTGCCGAAGGCTCAGTTGGCTTGACGCCGACGCCGACGCCGACGGCCTCGGAGCCGGCGTTGAGGGCTTTCTTGACCTTTTCCATGGTGGGTGGACAGAGGGATAGACTGGGTGCCGACGGTGCGTCGTTGGGTTGCTACTTGTTCAAAGACGAGTGATGCAGCCAATTCGGCGGGAAACAGCACAGGACAGGACAGGGACAAGGCACGTCAAGACTCAAGCGGTCGAGGACGGCGAAGAGGCGGCGGTGAAATGTATACAAGTCGAGGTTGGAGACGGACACAGGCTTGGTCGATGAAAACGGCCGAGGTGTGCATGCGTGTTGATGATGATGTGGATGGGCAACGGGACGTCGACCCGATACGCCCGGGGGTGGGGGACATGGACCTGGTGCGCCGTTCCCCCGGCCAAGGCCAAGGCAACTGTTTGAGCGGCCAGGCGGGGCTGACACGCCGCCATTGGTGGGGGGCGGCCCCTGGAGTGCCCCTGGAGTGCCCTGCTGAAAATAGCATCACGGACACGGACTCGACAGCACGACAGCATGGGCATCGGGCTGGGCTCTCTTCATCTCGGCCAGCCAAGCGGCTCAGTTGCAAACATGCAGACCCGAATGCGGCAACTGACTCCGTACGCTGTGCAGAAAAAGTAAATCAGAACAAGCGGCGCACAAAAGCACCCCGGGCATCGTACGCGAGAAGCCGCCGCAACCACATCCAGAATCACCACCTCGAGCAAAACCGCCTCGCGCCTCTCGCCTCCCAACACTCGCCATGACGGACGACCAGCCCGCCCGACCGGCGACCTTCAAGGGCTGCCTCGAGCTGGACGCCTTCAAATACACCAGTGCCACCGCGGAACCAACGCGTCGCAGCCCTCGGCGCGCAGCCTCAATCGCCATCCAGACCAGGGCCCAGCACGAGCGCCAAACCTCGTCGCCGCGTCCCCCAGGGTCCCCGCCACGGAAGAGGAAGAAGTGGGAGGCGGACGCGGACGCGGAAGAGGAGGACAAGAACGAGAACAGTGACAAGAACGAGAAGCGGAAGAGGAGCCGCGCCCGGCAGGCAACGGGCTACGCGCCGCCCTCGACATACGCCCACCTCCCGCTGCTCCCCGACGCCATCGCCCACAACCTCCTCGTGCTCTTCGTCGGCCTCAACCCCGGCATACGGACCGCCATGACCGGCCACGCGTACAACCACCCGTCCAACCTCTTCTGGAAGCTCATGTACTCGAGCGGCGTCACGCCGCGCCGGTGCCGCGCAGAGGAGGACCGGGACATGCCGGCCCTGTACTCGCTCGGGCTGACCAACATCGTGGCCCGGCCCACGCGCAACGGCTCCGAGCTCAGCAGGGCCGAGATGGACGACGGCGTAGCCCTCCTCGAGGACAAGGCGAGGACGTACCGCCCCGAGAGCGTGTGCGTCGTGGGGAAGAGCATATGGGAGAGCATATGGCGGGTGCGGCACGGGTCCAACGTGGGCAAGCGCTTCCGGTACGGGTGGCAGGACGAGACGGAGAACATGGGCGTGGTGGAGGGCTCATGGGGCGGCGCGAGGGTCTTTGTCGCGTCGAGCACGAGCGGCTTGGCCGCGACTCTGGGACCGGCCGAGAAGGAGAGCATCTGGCGCGAGCTGGGGGCGTGGGTGACGAGGAGGCGGGCTGAGAGGGGGGCTGCTGACGTGAAGACGGAGCGGGAGCTGGAGGCGGCAGAGTGACGGCTTGGCCTTTGGGGACAGGCCAGGCTGACTGGGGAAGCGGGATGAAAACTGCATGTAGAATGAACAGCGTGGCGTCGTGTGTTGTCGAGCGTACGAGACTACGGAAGACCGTCGCGCGGGCAGGGTGGTTGGATTCACGACCCGGTACGGGCAGTATGGGTATGAGTGGCATATTCAAAGGGACTACCGCCTGTCTACCGTTCTGCAGCATGATTTTGATCCCCCAGGGGCCGAGGACCTTCCCAGCTGTCCCCTTCACCAAAAGCTCATCTTCCTCTTGACTCCGGACGCCAAAGTAAACGCTCCATCGCCAACGCCCGCCCGCTGGTTCCCTCACCGTTCCAAGTCACTTGTGTTTTTTCTATGGGATTTTTTTTTCCCCTTCCCTACTTGCACCGCTTCTCGACGACCCCGGCGCCGTTCTCTTCATACTCCTTTCTCGAAATCCACATCTGGTGGAAAGTGCCCAGGCTGGCCAGGATGCTGCCGCCAATCCAGGCACCGAATCGTCGCTCGCTCGAAAGACCAGCTGCGTGGATCTTGACCTTCAGCCCGGGGTACATGGCTGTCAACTCATTGCTCAGGCGATCGTTGAAGCCGTTGATCAAGCTGGTGCTACCAGTGACGACGACATTGGCGAGCAGATTGCCGCGCAGGTCAACATCCACAGCGCCTAGGGAGGCGCGAATGAGTTCGGGAATGGTTTGGGCCTTGGTGAGGCGTTCTGACTCTGCAACGGCGTATCCGGCACTTTCATCCCAGAGGCCTTCGGTGACCTTGAAGCGCTGCTCGCGCCACATCTGATTGTAGCCGTCGGGCATTTCAAAGACACGGCCTGGCTGCGCCTTGATGTAGTCTTCGTTATTCGGGGCGCTGTATCGGCCGGGCCCGCGCCAGACCTCGACGACCGACTCCTTGAACTCGGTAAGAACCCGTTCCTCCTCGTAAGCGCGCAAGGAATCGCTGATCTGGAAGGGGAACTCCCTTAATCGGACTTGGGCGGGTGCCAAGGCGTCGACGGCGGACTTGTTCTCCACCATGTACGTCGGCGTCAGCTGGACCTTGGGCTCAGACGTCTCCCACATGTTGCGGATCTGAGAGGAGAGCCAGAGGCCGCCGGCCGGAGAACGCTGGATGGACCTTTTGAGAACCATGCCGTCGTGAATGGCGGTGACGGAGGTGTTGGCGCCGCCCACGTCAATGACCAGGGCGGTCGCCTTGCCAGCAGCGAATGCAGAGAGCACGGGGGTACGGCTCAGCCAGAAGGCAGGGCACCCCCAGTTCTCCATGATGACCTCGATGGCCTTCTCCCTCGACTTGGGCGTGTTCCACGGCGCTTCCGTCATCAAGAGAGGACTTTCTTGCAGGGGCTTTTCTTGGTTTTCAGCCTCGTCCATGGCTGTGTCACCGTCACCATCCTGCTCCTTGACGTCGTCGTTCAGACCGTTTTTCGAGGGCGGCGTCTGGCGCTCGGGCTGCAGGCGCTTGATGAGCATGTTCTCCCAGATCTTGGGCGCGACATCCCAGTCTTGGACGACGCTTTCCCGGTTCATGTAGTTGCGTATCTCGAAATCGGCGCGGGGGATGATGCACTCGTCGCCAAATAGGTCGCGCTGGGGTTCGCTAGTGACGTGACCGTAGAACGAGGGCAGAACAGACTTGGGCACATCTTCACCGGCGAAGCCTGCGCGGGTGCTGCAGTAGCCGGGGTCGAGAACGAGGGCGGACACCTCATCTGATGAATTACCATGTCAGCGATCGCAAGGGCAACATGGTTCGCGACGCAAGGAACACGGCTCTCTGCGTACCTCCACCGTAAATGTCGGTGGGTATTGCCGACGTGGGCAATGGCTGCTGGGCCATGATGTTTCCTCTCCGTGCTCGTCGCGAGAATGAGGCAGGATGGCCAATGGATCGAGACGGTGCGCGTGGCCTGGGAGAGGGTGCGAGACGGTGGTTGAAAGTGCGGCTTCGTGCGGTCGTGGATTGAAGGGTCGAAGAGCTCAGCAGTCAAGTGGGGCGGTCCAGGACGAGCCCGAGGATGCTGCTTAGGTAATGCGCTTTACCGACCTTTTTTTTTTTTTTTTTTTTTTTCCGCCCAACTTCTACCAGCGCCGCACGATTCCCCGATTTCCGCCAGCTCCCAAAGCAGGAGCTATTGTCCCGTGCCATCGCCATGACTGTGACTGTAAGTATCCCGCTCCAGTATCTGCGCTTGGTGTCCAATCCTCCAATCCTCCTCTTCATGATGAATTCGCATCTTCGCTTCAGAACCGCTGCGATTGACGTGGCTTCGGCCGCGCGTGATTATACAATGCCATCACCTGACCACGATACCCTCTCTCGGCCTTCCTTAGTCTTGACCAAGTATCTTTGGCCACTGGACGCGCGCTGACAGCCTCATCAACAGGTGCAATGAGACCTTGTGCGGGCCTCCGGCTGGCTGGCGGGTCGTCTGCCGTGTCGCGGCCATGCTCTGCCAGGGCCATCAGTCGGCTGGCTCGGATAGGTGGCTCTTCATCCTCAGATATTGCATGCTTTAAAACAGGAACCCGCGCCTTCTCCTCGGACTTGAACAAAAGGGCATCGAGGTTCACGGGTGCTCAGGATGGCAGCCGAGGTTTGTCGCCATTCAAGCAGCATCGACGAGAAGAACTTGGCCGGGACCAGCAGAGTGAAGACGCACTCTACGCCGACCCGTATCCCCGACTTGACCCCTCCACGACTCGGAAGAGCGTGCCAGAGTTCCTTGAGGACTTCGATGAGCAGGCGCCCAGTGGTCAAGTGACGTTGACAGGTCGTGTTCGTTCAAAGCGTGTAGCCGGCAAATCCCTCATCTTCCTCGACATCGTGAACGAATTCCAAAAAGTGCAAGTCATGGTCAACAAGAATCAATGTGTGGCAGAAAAGCATGGCCGCATACGAAAATTCTCCTTGTTTAAACATTTGATCCAAGTTGGCGATCACATCTGTACGACTCCCGTTGTGCCAATCCCTGCCCTCCCACTTTTGGCTGACAAGGTCTGTAGCGGTAACTGGTAACGCGACTCGTACTCCAGCCGGAGAGCCCACGCTCCAAGCCATCGAGCTCCCAGAGCTTCTGTCTCCGTCCATGGAGCAGATCCCTGAAAGGCTCACCGACCCCAAGGCGAGAATGGCCGACCGTCACGTCGACATGCTCGTGAATAGGGAAGTGGTTGACGTGCTGAGGTTGCGAGCCGAGATTACAAAGTACATGAGAGACCACCTCCACTCGAAACGCTTCCTGGAATTCCAAACGCCAGTTTTGGCTGAAAACGCCGGGGGGGCGGTTGCTCGGCCTTTCGTCACAAAGGCCACTGAATTCCGAGACAAGAACCTGGCTCTGCGTATCGCACCAGAACTTTGGCTGAAGCGCCTTGTTATCGGTGGCGTCGACAGGGTGTTCGAGATCGGTCCTGCCTTTCGCAACGAAGGCGTTGATGCCACTCACAACCCAGAGTTCACAATGTGCGAGTTTTACAGCGCCTACGCCAACTTGGCGGACCTCATCAAAGAGACGGAAGAGATCTTGCACGGTCTCGCCAAGCACACGCAGGAACTCATTGCAACCCAGCTCACCACACTTCCGGCTATGGAATTGAGCCGATTCGTCCGACCCTTCAAGCAGGTCGAATTTCTCCCCGCCCTCGAAGAAGCCACGGGAATCCGCTTTCCTAAATTATCCAGCGACGAGGCGCTACCAGAGCTCCTCGCCATCCTGAAACTTTCCGGCATCGTCATCCCCGGCGAAGTGCCCAACTCTCTCCCCAAACTGCTCGACCGCCTAGCGGCCGTGTATCTGGAGCCCATGTCATTCCGGGAACCAATCTTCATAACCAACCATCCAGTGTGCATGTCGCCGCTGGCCAAAAGCTTCCTGTGTCCCAAAACGTATCAACTGGTGTCTGCTCGCGCCGAGCTGTTCGTCGGCGGTCGCGAACTGGCAAACATGTACGAAGAAGAGAACGACCCTGAAGAGCAGAAGCGCAAGCTCGCGTTTCACCGTTCCCTTGTGAATAAACCGAATGGCGAAATCGGATTTGAAGCAGAAGCTGCCGCGGAAACGGAGACCACTCTCACGGAAGAGGTCGAGATGGATGAGTGGGAGACATCTCCGTTGGACCTGAACTACGTGAGGGCCCTGGATTATGGGTTGCCGCCCACTGGGGGCTGGGGATGTGGCGTCGAGCGACTGGTCATGCTGTTTTCAGGGGCGAACCGCATCAGTGACTGTTTGAGTTTTGGGACGTTGCGAAATGTCGTTGGCTTGTCCGCGGACGAGAAGGCTCCTGATAAGAGTGTATAGGGCTCGTACACTTTGTCATGACCTGGGTACTGCTTTTACTACTACTACTTCTGTAAACTTACGCACATGCCGTAGACGAGGCCACGTCGTGTTGGTCTCCATTCATAGAGCGTCTTGCTGGCCGGTCTGCTGCTCTGAACATGGACTGACTGACTACACGCGCTCTTGAAGGTGCACCGTTTTCAAGGGCTTTGAGTCACTGCATGCAGCAACAAGTTCCAACAAGCTAGACTGACGGATTGAGATGATGTGCAAGCACAGTAAATGTATGCTACCCTGTCGTGCCTTGCAGGCGCTGCTCGAGAAGGCATATTGCCCTTCCGCCGAGCTACAATATATAGACATAGTTTCTCTCAATGCGATGCCTAGATTTCATTCACCAACGGCTCAGTAAGCTGGAAATAGCTGCTCGACTCGCCACCCGTTTGCAGCCATGACAACACCGTCTCGTGATCCAGCCAACTTGGGAGCTGCTCACCGTCCGACGGCACACCCCCGTTCTTCACGCCCTTTGCGAATCCCTCATCCTCTGGGTCATCCTCGTCATCCTCTGACTCATCCTCGTCACTGTCGCCGTCTGAGAATCCCTCATCGTGGTCCGACACATTCCTGCCACTCGAGGCCTTTGAGAGATCCGTCTCCGACAAGACCTTGATGGCAATTTTGGCCGTCTCCTTGTGGAGAACAACGGCAACCTTGACAGGATGGTCCACCGGTCTTTGGAAGTAATCCGAGCTCCCGCCGCCCTTGCCCAGGTGAAGTGTGCTCTTGCACTTGGTGTCTCCCGGCATCAGGACCTCGAAGATGTCTACCTCACCGCATTCAGGCCAGCACAACCGGCTGCTGTACTGGCCTTCGCGGGCGACCAATTCGTGAAGGAACCACAGAGCGGGCATGTCTGGGTTGGCGCAACCCGGGTTCCCGGGCATTACGCCCTCGGGGCAGCGAGTGCCGTCGAGGGGCATCCTGAAGCGGAAAATAAAAACCACTGTGCCGCCCCTGAAGCCCTCGTAGGCGACGTTTGGGTCGTAAGAGAAGCAGTCACCGGGAGCGCATTTTTTCCCCGAGTAGATGATGACTTCTTTGTTGGAGGGGATGAGCATGTCCTCGAGGATCTGGGAGGATCTGGCACCGCCGTTGGCTGTGGAGTTGATGAACGAGAGGGAATTGCCTATGATGCTGGCGACTCATAATGAATCAGATGCTTTTGCCAATTTTCCAATGAGAGAGGGTTGCTCATGAGAGATGAATGCGAGGGTTGGCGTCACGGGTTGTAAACGTACTGGTTGAAAACCCCGGACCCCTGGCCACCGTAGTTGCCCAAGAACACCACGTTATCGGCAATCTGTTTCTCGGCATTGTAGTATGCGGTACGTACGAAGCCATTTTTCGAACAAGTAGAGTTGGAACTGTGCCCAAGCTTTTCGCCAGTAGGCTTCCTGCTGGTGGTGCCGACGGAGCCGGCACCAGTACTGGTACCAGCGTCAACTTGAGCAGCAGGAACCGGGAGAGGCTCAGGCGTGGCAGCAGCGCCGAAATAGTTGTTCTCCCATGTCTGAACCTTGCCGTCGATGGTGGCAGTGACAATATCGACTCGCTTGTCACGCTGAGCTCGATGTAGAAACCTGTGGCCATGTCCACGGGCCCGCCCAGCCTTTGTATAACCTTGGTCTGCTCGAGCTGTGGGATTGACCTCACCACGCTTCTTCCTCTTGCTTGGAGCGAAGCTGTAAAAGGCAAATTCTGTAAAGTCGATAGGTCCTCGGATGTGAATAGAAACCTTGCAAGTGTGAGAATGCTGTCGTTATCCAACATGTGTCCGCCACATAGTTAAGAGAATGGAACACCACAGGATGAACTGGACTACACCGACTTTGCCGAATGCAGCCAATGGTCCATTGTAGTGACGATCTTCTCGGTGAGGCTCTCCGTCCGGGCTGACATGGGTTATTTCCTTGTAAGTGCCTTCGCCTTGGACCCGGCCATAGACAATTTGCTCTACAGGATCACAGAAGTAATTGTTGTGTTCATTGACGGGCTTAGCCTTGCTGCATTGTTGAGTGAGGGCAGTGGCTAAGCCTGCAGAAGCCAGCAGCAGGGAAGCAGTGTACTTCATTTGACCTGAAAGCAACCAGTTTTTTATGGCCACGTCAAAAACGGTGTCACTCTTTTGTTGTTTTATTCTCAGAGGAACTATACCTTTGGTAACTTGTTTGTGTGACGGGAAGTCGATATGTGCCACCAACCAAATTCCAGGAAAATGTTTCCAAAACGTCGGTAAGAACAAAACCCAATCAATTGTAAAGAAATGAGAGAGTTCCTGAAAAAGGCAGAAATACAAGGAGCGGCTGGTGTAGAATGCCGAGTACTCTCTTATCAGGAAAGGTATCGATTGCGTTGACAAGAGGTCCCGAGCCCGGGACACAAACACGAGGAAAGACGAAGGGAAGAGGATCTTCCAAATACTGGGCTGCCCGGCAGAGCATACATATCATAGCATGGTTCGGACAGCAGGCAGCGGATCTGGGGCCGCAGACCGACAAGGAACAAATCGAGGAAGAGAAGCATAGCGCTTTTTTCGGCATTGAAGCTATAATACGACGTACCCTGTAAAATATGCACAGACTGTTGTCGAGACAAGGTAGACGGCCGGCGGGAGGCGGTTCAGTAAGGCACTTTTCTCCGTCCATCCGAGGGCCTTTGACCGTTACCATTCATTGTGAGGAATGATGGTTGTATTTTATTAAACCCGCTGGGCTCCTGTCGATTGGTTAGCGCTTCCCTTGCCAGGTCAGGCACGATGTATATAATGTGGGTTGCGTAAACCTATTGCATGCCTCAAGGATCCAGAACTGACCGGCCAAGAAAATGGCTAATTTGCACAAGCCTGGCCCAAGGCCTGTTTTATCTCGACTTCATCGCCTAGGCAGGGAGGGAGCCTGACCGGAGGTGAAACGACGTTTAGCTCGCACCTGGTCTTGCCGTATTCCCAGTTCGAGGGGTGGTGGCTTATTTGGTCGGCACGAACAACTCTTCAAATCATAAAAAGAGGTTCCAGCAAGCTGAGTGAATTTGGTTTGGAACCTGCGTACTGGTCCTTTTCCGTTCTGAGGGGGAAGATGGACATGATTCAACCTTCCATGTGCCGCGTGTGGAAAACTGATCGCTAGCCTACAGATTTGCGTGCGTTGGGCAGGAACGACTGGTTCCGACCGAAGGTATGTCCCGGCCGAGTGCCTTCTGTTGCCGAGTCTATATCTGTCTACCAATAAGCACGTAGTCGGTACACAAGCAATACCGTCGGTTAATACGTACCTACCAACTTAAGCACGTTACCTTTTCCTCTTAGTAAGTAGTTAGGTAGGTAGGTAGTCTAGCACGTGATGGTCTCGCACCTTCGCAGTCAAAGCCGTCTTGCCTCCCACTGTATGTACATGTGACATGTCAACGCCGTCCAAGAGTCCAGCTTGTCAGTCGGCAAACCACCAAGCTTCAAAGTCTCACATCACAAGACGCAGAACAAGGCACCGCACAACTGATCCAAGCGAGCCGAGCCGAGCTGACGCATTCAGCCACGTGGGGTTTCGGAACCGCCGCCGCCGCCCGGGCTGGAACCATCCACCGTCCCTTTTGGCCCCGTGCTGACGATCATCATCGAAGCCGCGTTACTCGGCAACGCCTTACCAGAACTACCATGGGGGGGCGCAGGGCTGTGCTAGTCTTCAATCAACTGGACATATAAGCAACCCTCCGTTACTCCTCGGGGGAATGCCCCATCTCCCTAGATAGTCGATGGTCGAGCTCAGGGTCAGGGCGGGAGCCGCCAAGAGTATACCAGCATGACGAATGCCAGAAAAAGTGGTGATGTGGAGATGTTCCTCGATATTGTCCCATGCCGCTTTTCAACCATCTACGTACTTAGCATGTATATAGTGCAGGGCACAACATGCGTCATGTGTACCAACGTACCGTGTACTGTTCTGTCTGCTTGTAAATTTCCAGGAGCAAAAAAACCACAGCCCAAACAAAACACACCGGACACTACAGCGCACATCACAGGCCTCATCAGCGTGCGCTGTGATTGACGCATTCACTCCGTGTGAGATGGAAACTGACAGGCCCCATCTCACGGAACCCACGGTAGTTGGCAGGCCAATGCCAATGCCAATGCCAAACACGACGGCAAACTTGGCATCGCTGCGGGAAGCACGCAGTAGAGTGGGAGTCTCGCAGCAACAGAGTCTCTCTCTGCATGCTGGACGTGCCTTCGCTGCTTCTCCGCAGGGACGCCGTGACATTCTCGCCGTTGCTACTCCGACCTGACCTGCTGCCTGCCTGAAGAGGGGGAAGAGGGCAGAAGAAGAAAAGTCGATGCCCTTCACATGTGTTGACACAATACACGCTCGTCTCGCAACGGCCGTGCTCGCCATCGAGTTACATTTGCATCATCGCCCGTGCCAATCCTAGTCCCCTAGCCCGTCCCACTCGTCGTCTTGTCCGGCGCCCTCAATCCTCTTCCTCCTGTTCGCATCGATCGCGCCCCGTCTATTATTCTCTTTCCTCCGCTCATAGCCGCTCTTTGACGTAATCTTGGCCTTGCTCCCGCTGCTGCTCCTCCGTGACTCAACACCTCTCTCCTTGAGCTTCTTCCTGTCCGCCTTGCCCACGTTGGGCAGCGCATCCAGCAGCCACTTCTGCACGCCTGCCTGTTCGCCCGTCTTGCCGGCCTGCTTGTCGCTTACGGAGATGACATTTGCTACCGTCTTGACAAACGGAATGTCTTCCTTGGTATAAAGCGTCACGGCGATGCCGCCCTCGCGGCCGGCCCGGCCGGTTCGCCCCGCGCGGTGCACGTAGGCGGCTGCCGAGCCGGGGACGTCGTAGTTGACCACGCCGTTGACGCCGGCAAAGTCCACGCCGCGGGCGAGGACGTCGGTCGTGATGAGGACCCAGATTTCCCCGGCACGGAACTTGCGCATGATGGTTGACCGGGCCGAGTCGGCGAGGGCGCTGTGCAGCGCTGCGATCCTGGTCGGGCCGCCGGCCTCCAGCGGGATGTCGTATTTGAGTTCCTCGTGGAGGGCCATGGCCCTGTCGATGGTTTGCGTAAAGACCAAGAACGGGGGCCGTAGTGGCGTGCCGGAGCCGTCGCTGCCCGCTGGGTGCAGAAGCTGGCGCAGGGCAAGAAGTTTGCCCTGCTCGCTGGCCGTGTACGTGAGCTTGTGCACGATGTTTGGCACTGCCGTGTCCTTCAAGCCCACGACGAGACGTACGAGAGGCCTTGGCGTGATTCCCAGGGCTTCCGCCCTGTCTCCTGACTTCTCGGTAGCAAGAGCTTCAATGTTGGAGCCCATGGTTGCGGACCAGAAGGAGAGTCGGAGTTCGGGGTTGGTGCAAGCCGTCCACAAACCCAGCGTCTGCTCTCTGAACAGCGGGTCCAGGAGAACGTCTGCCTCGTCGAGAATCAGCTCCCTCACCGTGGGCAAAACTTTTTGCGTGCCGTCATCTGCAGCAGTCAAAAAGTTCATTAGCAAGGCCGGGGTTGTGACCACAATGTCAGTCTTTGTCAGAGGATGGGGTTTAGATCTCCTCATCCTGCACTTCTTGTCGTCGTCGGACCCTGGCTCCTCCTCGTCTTCCACGTCGACGTCGAGCTCATCATCCGAGCTATCGTCGGCCAGGACCCGCTCCTCTGCAGAGAGTTGTGTAGTCTTCTTCATAGCCACAATCTTGACACCCGTTCCCTGGACAAGCTTGCTTCCCTCATTGACAATCTGATGAACCAACTCTCTTGTCGGTGCGACGATGATGGCCTCAAGCTCATGAGCACCTTGCATGCTTGCTCGTTCTCGTCTCCGTATGATGTTGCTGATTGCGGGGATGAGAAAGCTGATTGTCTTGCCGCTGCCTGTGGGTGCAACAGCCAAGAAATCAACACCCCGACCGAAATGGTCCTCGCTGCCGAGTGCAACCTCGGGGCGAAGCAGTAACGGGAGACTTCCCATTTGGACTTCTGTAGGAAGACGGTAGCTCTGTTGGACAAGATTCTCGGCAACCTGGCGAGGAATTCCATATGTCGTGCGAAGATGGCCAAAGGACTCCAAGGGCTGGGGGAACAGCATTCTCTTGTCGTCTTTTTTCTTCTGGACCACCGTGCTCTGCCTCTTCCTTGACTTTTTGACTTTCTTCGGTTCTTCGTGCTTTGAGAGCAAAGTAATCTTGAGACGGTGGGCCCGCAAAAGTCGTCGGCATTCATCCTCAGTCAATTTCTTTACGGGCGCAGGTGGCGGGCTGGGTTCCCGTTGGCTCTTTACAGCATCTGTTTTCTGGTTTTCTGCAGGCTGTGGCTTGGGTGCGAAGAAGTCGACAATGGGAAGGTCTGTAGGCACCGATTCCTTGGGCTGTTCGGCACCACGTTTCCGTTTCATGCCACGGATTTCATCGTTGTATAGCTGCGGGTTGGTCTTGGTGCCTGCGGAGGGCAGTTGAGTGTTGCAGCCATTAGGCCCAGCGCCCTTGGAAGTTTTCTTGGTTCCGCGGGACAAGACTTTGAGAATGTCCATGGCAGATGTGCACCAATGTGAACAAGCAACGCGGCACAGTGAAGGGTGGTGGTGCGGGTGCGTGATGGAGTTGGACACGAAATTTTGTGACGAGGCACGTACCATGGTAGCCTTGCAGCAAGGCTACGGTGGGGTGTGGGTCCACGGACCACAGATGCACGTCTGGCTGGACAAATATAAATTCGTGTTACTCCGCATATACAGAGTAATGCCTGCGCTATTCCTGAATCCATGAGCAGCATCCAAGTAGTATCCTAGACGAGTGTACCTGCCTTCTCTAGGCTGATGTCTCGCCGCCACCCAATAGACAGGACAGGATACACACAATCACACAAGTCAGCTATGCCTTGAGTGGATAACACTGTGGAGAAATACAAGGGCTGAAAATGTTAAATGTATTTATATTGAGAATATCCCCCAAGCTGAGTGTTGTGGGTTAAGGAATTGACAACTTTTGAAACCGTACCTTGTACTGCTTTATCAACAGCAAACGCCAGCAGAAAAAGACAGCACCAACGTCAAAGATGCCGTCCCGACGCAAAACTAATCCTCCCGGTCAAAGTCCTCCCTCCCTTCACCGTACAAAATCTCACACACCCCCGCCAGCGGAATATCCATGACCGCATCCGTCCCCTCATTCCAAATCTCCCTCCACCTCAGCTTCCCGTTGGCGTCACGCTTCCTCTCCCTCTTGCCGCTGCCCTTGATCCGCCCCTTGGCGTCAATGGCCGCCGGCTTGCCCGCGCCGTCCACAATCGTCTCCACGCTGCTCATGGGCACCGTCAGGATCTCCGTGTTGTACGCCGCCAGCGCCACGTAAATGTACCCCAGCATCATGACGAGGAAGGCCGGCACGGCGAGCGCCCACCACCGGTCGGGGTAGTACTTGATCCCGAGGGCGTGAAGGAACGGGGCCGGAACATAGGCCCAGAGCAGGTACATCAGAAAGGTGAGGCTGCTGAAGAGGTAGAGGACGAAGCCGTAGTATTCGTACGTGGGGACCTTGGGTGCGGCCCGCGGCACGGGCGCAATGTTTTCATCGTCTGACGGGTCGGGCGTCGTTGGCCGGGACGGCCTGAGGAGAGACGTGAGGGACGGCGACGGCGGGAGAGGGGTTGGTGGTCGGCCGTAGAAGGGGGGAGCGAAGTAGTTCTGGGAGAGTGGCCGGGGGGGGGAGTCGTGATCCGAGCTGGACCCGGATGAGAGGCCGTCGGACAGGTAGTCTTCGTCTTCCTCGGATGACATGGACATGGCCGGCGTGACTGGCGTGAATGCGCTGACTGTGCGCGGCTGCGCCGCCGTGCCGTGCTGGATGTCTTGTCAAAGGATGCGGTTGACGATGGCTGCCTGGTTTGGCGTTGCGGCTCTAGGAATGTGGGGAACGTGGAGATGGCAGGTGTACGCAGGTGGTAACGTAATACACTAGCTGGTAGTACTAGTGATTTTTATTTTATTTTATTTTATTTTTATTTATTTTTTGGACACAAGAGAGCGGCTACAAAACGGTTCAGACAGAAAATAAAAGCCATGTTGATGCAAACCACTGCCATACTATTCATACATGTACCACAAATTCATCCAAAAATGCTCCTCAAATGCATCGCCATGTCGTCCTAAGGTACATTCCATCATTTCTTCACCCGTCTATGGGACATGTGTACTCGCGCCCACCACCAACTCCATTCTCGTGCTTCTCTTGCAACGAGTCCAGACAGCTCTGGTGATAAATATGCCGGCAGGCTAGGACAACGAGACGTCCCAGAGGAGCCTCTATGCCTGCCACTGCATTGTCCGACTCGACGAGCGCGCTGGATGGCCCGACATCCAGGCTCTTTCCCTTGTCCTTGCCATCCGACGCGCCCGCCTTGCCTCTGGCTTTCTCTGCAGCACGCGTCTGTCTCTGCTTTCGCGATTCATCTTGCGCCGCCTGCCTCTCTTCCCAAGCCTCGAATACAGAGCCGCCGGCAACGCCAGGGCCCCAAACTCTGCGGCTGCAAGCTTCGCACGTGGAACCTCGGGGACGCCACCCGCGTTGTCTCAGCTGCACTGACTGGTTCACGTTTACAAACAGGTTTCGCTCCAGAAGCCGGTTCGACAGTCGTAGAATTGACTCTTCATATGCATATGCCGCGAAAATTGACGACAACACGCTGCGAAGATCTGCTAGGTTTGGCGACGATGCTGCAGCATCAGCAAGGAACGCCCTTAGTATTCTCAAAAACGAGACATTGTTTCCCGCGTTCGACAGCAGGTTCGGTTCGGTCTGAACGCGAACTGGACTAGACGTTGCTGTGAGCAGTGAGGTAAACGTGTGTTGGACAAGCGAACGAAGAAGCGTCAGCGGCTTCTCATCCTCGAGAACTGAGCTCTGAATCTGTGCTGAAATCATGGGTGATAGCCGTTTCGTGATCTGTACACAGGCATCAATCAAGCCGAGCCACAACGCTTCATCTGCAGATAAATCATCTTTGGCAAGCGCTTGTCCTTTTTTGACAACGCTGACTCTTTTCGACGTCTTCGTCTGGCCCTGACAGAGCCAAATTCCAACATGAACATAGTTTTGCAGTTTTTCAAGCATCGCTGCTGCGGATGCGTCGGCATCTACATCATCCCGAGAGTCTTTGCATTCGGTCAAAAGACCTTGCAGTGCCGATTCCAACGTGAATAAATGCTTGATCAGCCGGTCCATGGCTTGGTTGACCTGGCCATCGCGAGCCATTAGAACGACAGCTGCGTCAACCACACCGTTTTCCTCCATAGTTGGAAGTAGTTTCTCAAGCCGCAAGTCGGTTGGACGCATGGCTTCAACAAAATCGGAAACGTGAGACGGGTTGAATTTGCACATGAGCTGTACATATCGCTCGATTAGCTCTTGGTTCTTGACGTCTCCCTCGTCGTCGCCTGAGCTGCCTGGCTCCATCAGGGCCTTTAAATATGAGTGTTGCAATGCTGCGTCGTCTGTGACAGAATCAATTATACTCTGATGGACCCACGTCGGTTGCCGTGCAAGCGCCTGGGCGGTTTGCTCGGGGCTGGTTTCGAGCAAGTCTCTTGCGTGCTGTTTGATTATCTGCCGTACCTCCTCTACTTGTCGGGTATCAAGCCCCTTTTGCGGGCGAAGGCAGTCCGCGATGCACTGAAACACAGCCTCTCGGTCGTCATGGTCGTCGAAATAGGTGGCAATTAGCTCCCCATACCGTTTTTCAACACGAAACACGCGCTTAAGGATTCGGTAGAAGCCGGCTTTCTTGAACAGAGGCATGAACGACGACATGTCCGATGGCTGGTATGCAGAAAGTAAATATTCGGCGCTCAGCTGTGCGTCCTCTGCAAGGTCGTCGCCGGGATAGTGGCAAAGCCCTGTGAGAACCTTTGAAAGGGCAGAGCCAGAGAAGAGCAGATACTGTTGAAATTTGGGCAAATTTCGAGCGATGAACATGTCGAGATAGATAGTATCTTCCGGAGCGAACTCATCCTGGTTCATCACATCGAGCAGAATTGACACCACATACTGGCGGTTGATTGTCATTCCGAATATCTGTTCCTCAGGCATGTCCACGTGGTGTCCTCCGTTGACTTGGATCTCCGAAGAATCATTCAAAAAGGGGTCCTCAAAGGCTTCATTGAGTGCGCTGAGAAAGCTTGGGGCGTCAAATTTCAAAATCATTCTCAGGTAAGGGAAAGCAGGTTCTGACGCGTCGCCCGGCCGTGTGATGAATTGCTTTTTGCTGCCCCTCGGCCACTCTACTGTCGTGCCGGAAAAGAAGAACCAATAGATTTCCGCCTTTGCTTTGTCTGCCGCTTCCTCATCCATCAGTTTCCCAGTGGGATATACTCTACCCGTCAGAGTGTATGAGAGGTACGGGAATATTTTAAGAGCGTTGACGCTGAAATAATCGTCTTCGGTCGTGGCGCCTGTGTCTGTTCCATGCGTCATTAGCGGCACTAAGAGGCTCAATAGGTCGATCATTGGCGTGATATAATCGTTGAGCGCTTGGTTCCAGACGTAAGTCAGGGCATCGTACAGACTGTGCTGCTTACACAACACCGTGATCTGGTCAAGGTCCAAAGTTGCCGTTTGCATGTGACAAATCATTTCTTCGAGTCGGCCTTCCCACCCCTTGGCCACGAAGTGACTGACCATGTCTTTAACAACCGCTGGCGGAGCGACCGTGATTGTCCCTTCCAAGATATATGGTTCAAGCGCCTCTAGAAAGAGTCCACCGACGTCGCCGTCGCTGTACCATTCGTACATGTCTTCGAATAAGAAATAAGGGGCTTCGATAGCTTGCGATGCCGCGAAACAAGTCTCTGCCAACTCTCTCAAATGACCTGCCTCGTCACCTCGTTTACCCCGTTTCTGTCTTTGAGTAAAAACATATTTTAGGGAAGCTGACATTATCTCCAGTATCTTGTCTTGGACCATCATATGCCGTAGTGCGGCATCCTCAGGAAGGCCAACGGTAAGTTTATCGGCGTCGCCGGTATAATAAGAAGTTGCCAGCCTGATAGCACCGATGTAATCTCCGTTCTCCATCATGGCAATGAGACGATCGGCCCAGTTTGACAGCGCTCCTATAGACAGCTCGTTGAAGCCGAACAGAAATATCCGCCCCTTGTAGGCTTTGAAACTCATGTAAAAGGCATCAGCCACCACTCCGTGCATAGTTGGATCCTCCTCGTCCAGTTGTTCCACCAGGCTGTGAAGTTGCGCTGAAAAGAGATCCTTATGATATATGTGTTTCTGTAACAAGTCAAATGCCTCAGTCATCCGCATGCTCCTGTCCTCCAATATGATAAGACGTTGTGAGATTGTCAGCACAGCCAAAACAGATCGACTTAGCCACTGGACCGCGGCGACAGCCTCTTCGCACTTCCACCTGCTTCGCGCCTTGAACTTCAAGGCAGGTGGTTGATCTACATCAGCTCCATACACCTCTTCAACATCGAGAACAGTCAATACGTTTGACCAGCAGTAGACAAGTTTTACCGGGGAAATATCGCTCCCGGTGTGAGTATCGGGAGTTTTTAACTTGACAGCAGGGAACCACGCAAGGCAGCCGCTCATGGCGCTATGTGCTGGGACATCTTTCGGCCGGGCCGATTTGTGTTGGGTCTGGGCAATAGGGGTGGTCGAAACAATGACGAGGAGGTATGGCGTAAGCATAGCGGTAAGCCCCATGTTATCCGTTGCTCGTTCGACGTTTCCGAGGGGCAAGGGAGCAAAACCGAGCACGGTGCTCGGCTTAAGCGGCTTCCCAGCAGGAACGACTGCGTTCGGATAGCGACCCAGGACTCGGGTAGTTTTCACCGTTCGTCCAAGCGCCCCAGTGCCTCTGGTTGCCAGATGTGAGAAAGCCATCCCACGGTCATCGGCTGACACGAGAGCTGTGTGACGCGTGCCGAGAAAGCCGAGGTGGACCACGGCTGCATTGGGAACGTGTCCGTCTGCTGTTCGGTTTTCCACTTGGGTCTCGTCTAGGTGCGGGATGGTGAGGAAAGGCCGTGATGCTCTGCTAGTATCCCAGGTGAAGATATTCCCATTGGCATGCCCTCCAGCAACGGTAGTGTGGTCCGCTGATATAGCCATGGCCGTGATTGCCCCAGACTCGATAGCTAGTTGAGGTCAGCGTTCCAGGGTCGATACTGGGCAACACAGAGAAGCGCGTACCTTTGGTTCCGGGCCCTAGTATCATTTTGAGATTCTGATTAAAATCGAACACTAATATTATACCCTTGGAAGTGCCCAAAACGATAGTCGCCGATACGGCCAGAGTGGTTGGGGATCCAAAATTTCGACGACCAGCCTCGGAGAACGCTTGAGCATTCAACTTCCGTAATCTGGTCCATCGCACAACTTCCCACGGCGGTGACGGAGTGTCCGTCTCATTTTGTTCTAGCAGAAAGTTGGAGCTGAGGGATGCGTTTCGACTGTGCGCAGTGAGGAAGGCAGGTGATGATGGGCGTGGAGTGTTGGACGAGGGCGAGGATATGCGGGATTGAAATCGACGATCGAATGGCCTGAATGATGGGGATGGACTGCTCAAACCGGGTCTCGAAGCTACTGAAGGTAGAACACTGCTGCTTGGCGACGACATGTACGAGCCCTTTACGATGTTAGCAATGATGCTGATTGAATAATCATGGCCGTGCAGCTTCGCCTACCTGTGCGGAATTTCCCCGGCAGGAGGTAACAGAGTCGACGGGACTACCAGCTCGCCGTGGCAGCGAGTCCACCAGGCTTGCATCAATTGAGCTCACTTCGGAAGCATTTTCCTCGTTATTCGGCAAGTCTCGACGATTGTTGGCCTGCTGTAACTCGGTGCCATTGCCAATCTCCTGTCCCTCGAGGTGGGGGGTGTCGGAGTCTACATCTTGGTCATGTGCTATTTTCTGCTCGTCGCCGGAGGTCTTGTCTCCGAGGGGAGACGTATCTTCTGGACCGGACATTGTTGTGCGGTTTCCATTACATGGTTGGGTTTGCGACAGGCTGGAGCTTTACGCCGATGGGAGAGCTGGATGAGCTTGTGATCGGAGCTGGGTGCGGACTGCCTCGCGGGGAGGTAATCCGGTTCGCGGGACCCGGGAGGAGCTGCAATAGAGACGCCCTGGGCGCCGTGTTAGAGTGGCAGGTTGAGCCGTATCTGCTTTGGAATTGGATGTAGACGAGACGCATGGCGTTGTGTTTGCTGACGACAGCTCCAGACTCCAGACCCGGAGACATGAGACATGCGAGCGGTACGTATCGGAGCCCAGCTAGGTGAGGTAACGTTATAACCCTGACCCTATCATGAGGGGAACGGGCCGGGGATTTCCCGGCGCAGTCACGGTCCACCTACCCTGTCCAGACTCGGAGTAACTTATTTATTGACATTCTCATGCCTCATCACCGAATGCGCCTATAGCCGCAGAAGACGATATTAAGTCCAGGCTCTTGCAGTAGGAAACTCGTCTCCTCGACCCTTTTGCTAGACTGTCAATCTCCGAGTTCGATCCATTTTCGTAGCAGGTAGGCCGCTTTCATCTCATCTTAGAAAGCTGACTCCTGGTCATTGGCCCTTTGCTCACCATCCCACAAGCTTCCAACTTGAAAGCATGTATCGACAGACACAACTTGCTCTGATGCTAGCCTGATGGCTCCGGAATATCAAGAAGCACGCAATGCGAGACGTCAGGCATATTACAATTTTCTCGACCTTTGATGCAGCGTGGGATATATCCCCATGTCCTGGCAAGCCAGCGACTAGAAAGCTGCCTTCCAAGTTCCAGCAAAGCAAGCCAGCCTTTGGTGATTCCTGAGGCAAACGGTCGCTGACGGATGGTGACACAAGATCTGACAAGGGTCTGGTCTGCCCTACTCGAGCGTTGCTCAACAAGCCCAACATGCCCGGGGAGGATGCTATCTGCGGAACAACTATCTGGCTGTCTACTAAGTTTTGTATGGTTTGGGGGCATATCCGTGATGCTTGAAACTAGCAGTCGGAATATCCAGTCCAGTAAACACAAGTACGCGACTGACCGGTCAAAAGCGCAGCGTTCTAAGTTACCGTGTGAAATGCCATGTCGTCCAACCCCGAAAGCAGCTAACTACACCATTGATTGGCTTGCGTGACATGACGGAGCCGCCCAACCCACACCCACTCACTCTACTTGTACCTACACCACAGCCAGGCCGACTCCGCTCAGACGTCAATCCCGCAACATCAACCATCCCAACTTCAACGCAACTCCAGTCTCATCACCACCAAAGCTGCGCCGCCCAAACATGCCGTCCATCGGCCCCCAGCTCCCTCCCTCGCCTCACAAGCGGAAACGCTCCGCCTCGCCCGACGGCCGCACCTCACCACCACCCGCGAGGCGAGCCCGTCCCAGCAACAGCAACAACAACACAGACGAGATCAACCTTTCCGACTCCGACTCCGTCTCCTCCTTCGGCCCTCCCGCGCCGCCTTCAACAACCACAGCCCCAACCAAGCCCTGCCCTCCCGCGGACAAGGACTCTTCCGACGCCCACTCCGACTCCGACTCCGACTCCGACTCCGACTCCTACGGCCCATGCCTCCCAACAGCAACATCCAAACGGCCAACCATCGGCCCCAGCCTGCCGACACCCGACCCGGCCCTCCAAAGGGACAGCTGGATGCTCGCGCCCCCCTCCTCACAGGGCTACACGGAGCGCGACCCGACGCGCATGCGCAACCGCAAATTCGCATCCAAGCCAACACCCACCGCCTCCACGGCCCCGTCGTCAATATGGACAGAGACGCCCGAGGAGAAGCTCCAGCGCCAAAGAGACGCCCTGCTCGGCCGCAGCACGGCAGAAGCACCCCTCGGCGCAAGCCCAACCCAACACACCCAGCGCCAGCAGGATCGGGACCGCAAGATCGCCGAGACCATCGAGGCGCACCGCGGAGACAGCCTGTACCAAGAGCACGCGCGCAAGAGGAAGGCGGCGCCCAAGACAACCCGCGACGGCGGCCGCGGCGACGACGACGACGACGATGACGATCCCAGCAAGAGAGCGTTTGATCGGGAAAAGGACATGGCAGTCAGGGGCAAGATAGGCGACAAGGCACGGAGAGAGCTGATTTCCAAGAGTGCCAATTTCGGGGGCAGGTTTCAAAAGGGTTCCTTTTTATGAAGAGGGGGGGGGGGCGTGGCTGCGAGGCTACGAGAGACGCTGGAGAACTCAATATCGTGACGTGACGTATGAGCTGGGAACGGACAAGCGGCGGTCAACATGCCAGCTATGGACACCAGAGATAACCACACTACCCGAGAAACAGTGACACGTTGACGCGTTTGCAAAGTACGTTTAATCAGAAATGTACTTCCATGGACCATGTACAGCCACCAAATATGCCATATATAACCGACCAACTCCGCCGCTGCAATAAACATTGAAATAACAAGGCTATCGGCAAGAATTCACCTCCATGTCCCATCCTGGCGCCGTCATGCAAATAAGACACAGCCATTTCTCCCAACCGAGGGCATCCACTTCCATCGTGCAGAATCCATCTCGACAGGGGGGGCAAAAAAAAATTTGGGAAAAAAATTGACGTGTCACGTCGTGGAAGGCCTGTCCATGAAATGCTTCGCAACACTCCTCTCACGTCGGCGTGTTAAGCTAGCGGCCCAGTCTCCGTCCAACAGAACCGACAAATGACATCCATATACCACAGTTTGGAACAGGTTGACCGTGGCTCCTATAGTATGATGCCTGAGATTATATATACCACACAAATACGATGGCGTGGTCGCCCCAAGTATCGATTCACCCTGAGGGGCGCCAAGATCGATATCCATGTAGCGGGGGGTGGTTGACTGGTCCCAATCATGGGGCACGAAATACTACGTGTTAGTATGTATTAGACTCAAGCGTTGACGCGAAGCCCACATCGCTAGCTGCATCACTGACTAGCAGCTTGACGGGCGCCAGACTCTAGTTGTGCCGGCGTTACATGCTCGGTCGTTGCGGGAGGTGATGAGGGCTGCCGGTTCCTTCGTTGGCCAAACGGCAACGCCGAGCGAAAGGATGACAGCATGCCACCACGGTTAGGTTCAGACGGCGTTGTAGTGGCTATGCCGCTCTCCTGAGGGCTCGGTCGGGTCCGAGATGGTCTGACCCGTGATCTGCCGTCACGGCCACCGCGCATAAATGAGACGTCTCGAGATGATCCAGTATTGTTGCGGAACCAGGCCGACCGGAGACCGCTTGGCAGGTTGAGGAGGGTATTGTTTCGAGCATCTAGTCCGCCGCCGTTACTGGCATTAGCATCGCCTTCCTGGTTGGGGCGAGGCTTCGGCGTGAAGTAGTCTGCTTTGCAGAGAGGGCAGCAGGCTCGCCTGCTGGTCAGCCATGGATCGACACAAACAGCATGGAAAGCGTGGCCACAGGTAAGCCCTCTGACATCGTCATCATCTTCCAAAGTATCGATACAAATGGCACACGAATCGCCGGGTGTTGTGAGACTTTCGGGCGGCAGGGCGGCATCAATGTGTTCGTCATCGTCGTCTTCAGTGGACATTCTACGGAGCAGGACTGGTCTGTCTTGCTGTCCGCCCGAAGTCTGTGCCGTCGGTTCGCCAGTCTGCTCTGATTCTTGTCTTGCCTTTTTCTCGTCGTCCATTTTGTTGACATCGGCGGCAGTGGCAGCTTCGGATTCATCAATAGTATGAGCTTCAGTTGAGACGTGGCTCTTAACAAGTGCCACATCGGGGAGAATACCATCGGCATCACGCAAGCTATTTGCTCGGCTTGGCGGGACAGAAACTCCTCCAGCAGTCGGCAGACCCTCCCTGGCTCGTTCTGATACCCAGGTTTTGTACTTCATCATGGGGAATTTCTCGTTTACTTCGTCCATGGTCATCAGTTTCTTCTCGCGACGCCTGCGCGGCCGGTGGACGGTTTCGAGAGTAATAGGTTCACCGTCTTCATTGTTCATTCTGGCTCGGTTGCGGGCGTTATAGCGGAAACAATATTTGACACCGACAATGATCCTGAGTATTGTAAGCACTCGCCATGTGGCACCAGGCGCCAGCTTTACCCGAGCAGCGGGCACAAGTGGTAACGAGGAAACAAAACAACAGCAGATCATGTCCGGTACACATCAGGTCCAAGGGTTCTCACCAAAGATTTGTAAATACAACACCGAAGCCGAGGGCAACGAAGAAGAGGAGGGGCGAGCTAGACCCTCCATTGCCCGAATTGTCGTTCCTTGCGGGCGTAGTAGTAGCGGGAGGGATGATGCTCGACGTTGGCGACGCCGTGGGCGACGGGGTTGATGCCAACACATTCGTATTCACTTGTCTTGCAACAAGAAGGGCAGCCTCGCCCAGCATCTGCTCGATGACGGCCATGGTCACAAGTGAGCAGAGAGTCGCCGATGGTAATCTCAACGTCAACGGGAAGGGATGGAGGAATTCTAGGTCGGCATATGGAGGTTGTGAGGCAACAATCAAGGCCGCCGAGGTATTTCCTCGAAGAAACCCCAGGTTCTATCTCCAGCGGTACCGCTGAGGCGGCCAAGTCCTCTTTTTTTTATTTTTTTTTTGGACGCAGGGTCTGCAGCGTGCGAGCGACGAGAGGTGGAACAGGATCTGATATGGGGGCCAGGGGAGATAAGACCGAGTCGCCCGCGCAATGCAAGTGACGGAAAGCGGCAGGTCAATCAATCGGCACGGCAGGCGGAATGAGGGACGGGAAGCGTTGAACGGCCGGCGTCGCGACGTTGCGGTTGCGGGCCTGCAACGGTGGTCGATGGGATGGATGGATGAAAGACGATGAAAACAGAGGCGTTGGAGGTTGAATGTCGGGACTGAGCCGGGGGTGCAAGTGGGTAAAGAGGAGAGGCGAAGCGGAGCCAAAGCCAAAGCCAAGGGGCTGAAAGTGCGTGCCATCAACGGCACAGCCCACGCCAGTCCGGCGTGGCAGCGAGGCGATGGGGGTCAAGTCATAGTCGTGTGGTAACATTGACCTGTGCTTGGACCTCCCAGATGTTACTCACCAGCCGGTCAAGTCGGGCTAAGTACTTAAGTAGTCGACTTGCCCCGAAGTACCGAGGTACCCGACACTTGGGCCTGCCAGATGGTTCGGACGGGTTCAACGCAGTGGCGGAGCGCCGCTTGAGGGGCGCGTGAGTAAGCAAGCCGTTTCGGAGTACGTAGTGACTACGTGCTACTCCGTAAGTAAGTATGCAGTCTGGAGTCTGGCCACGCCCTGCTGACCCTACTTTACTTACTTACTCAAGTACATGTTTTCCGGAGTGGTTATATTTGGCTTGCCAGCTTCGCGACACGAGGCTCGGCCCCGGACGGAGTTCAGCTGCCCAGATGGCCCAAGATCAGCCCAGAACCAAAAATTGTAGGGGCTCCTGGGCAATAGCCAGCGCCGTCATTTGATCCCTGCTGTTGACACGGGCCGACTGGCACCGATTGACTGGTGCTGTGCTGTGCTGGGCTCAAGGGCTCCGCAGCCCGCAGCCGCAGCGCTTGTACCGGACATGCTCGTGGCCTCGAGTGCCGGCCTCGCATCCATGATTAATTAATAAAACAGTTCACCCGGCGTGGAGTGGCCACACCGTGATGGCACTGTGACGCCGGGGCACCGCCGGGCACACATCTAGTTAAGTGAAGTGCGGCGTGCAGGCAGGTCGTCAGATGTTGGAACTCGAGGACGGCCAAGTTACTTGAGTAGGTACTTGGGTTCCCAAGTACTTCCTGGCACACAGTAGGCGAGGCGCTAGAGCATGGCAGATGCACTCGCATCCGGGGCCGGGTACTTACTCCGTACTTCTGAAACAACCATCACGCGTGGACCCGCGGCCGCCACGCTCCCTTTGGTGAAAATACCCCAGTGCGCCGTACTGCCGCCAAATCTAAAGACATGTCATCACCACCACCGCCAATCCTTGGTACTCCGCGCCGTGGTGCTGAGGGCGGAAACGCACTTCCTGTCCGGTCTCAGCGCGCTGATGGCTCGCGTGGGGCACGGGGAGCGTCCTGGCAGCCCGCACGTTTGATTGGTCGCTGCGACTTACGCCGCCACGCTCTCCATGCATCCCCTGTCGGGTTCGTCTACCGCCGTTCCTGGAAGGGAAGGGGCAGGGAGGGTGAGGCTGCCTTACCGAATCTATTACTCCGTATTATTCAGCGTGTTGGCATCTTTAGTCGCTGACGAAATACGTGCTGGGAGTACGCAGTACACCAGGTGCTTCGTGGCATTTACAGTCAGCCGGACTGTGTCCGACGGGCTGTTGGATGTGCATCGCCGCTCGAACGCGGGGAATTGCCAAAGTCTGGTATTCCAGAATCATTCCATATCAACACTTTGCCCCAGCTGACAAGGCGTTCTTTTTCAAGTTGTAATTACATAAAGCACCTGGGTACGTACCCAAAGTAGATGTGCTGCACGGACGTTGTGCATATTTACTCCTCCATGAATCGAACGAAAACTATACTAGTATTATCTGATGCAGCGTCCTCCCTCCATGAAAAAGCCGATGAAGCGAAGCCTATTCCGGTCCGACAAAGTGGCTACCTAAGAACTTAAGTACTACTTAACTATTTAAGTACCTACTTAAGTACTCAAGTGCCTAGGTGCCTACGTGTTCTCCCACCGGGACCACCCAGCAAGCCGGCCTCAAACATTCATCATCGGTGTCAATGCACCAAGGCAAGTAAGTACCTGGTCCGGCTATCCGCGGGCTCTACCTAGATACGGGCACCTCAGGTTGCTCCTTCCCCAACTAGCAGTTTGTTCTTGCCGAAAGTGAGGCCACAATCCAACGAGTCGATCCCGACACATTCATCCGCCTTTCCGAAGCAGCCATCATCTTCACCTTCTCCCTGGGTACTTGAGCCAGCAAGCTTTTATCATAGACCCAAAAGAGTCAATCCTATCATCCATCATCAATTCTTTGTTTCAAGCTCCGACATCATTGATAGAAGCAAACTCAAATCTGCTGGCGTCGCCGCCGGATCCCAGGGTTCTCCATTGCCCCCCTCTTTTCCCTTCTCTCAAGATTCGGAACGCCCAACACCTCGACTCCGGGAAGGGCCAAGTTCCGGGAACAGGTGGCTGGATCTCACTCCAGGGCGGCTGTAAACGCATTCCTTTGCCACTGACTGTGAGTGACGAGCGTCTTGTACATATATGCTCCGCTCCCGCTGTCCCTGCTTTTAGGATAAAACCTTGACGACTGGGCCCGGGAGATTTGCAGGGTGTGCATTTTCCCATCGTGCGACTTCCCGCATCCGTTTTCTAGCAGTACGTCGACCAGGCGCGCTTGCCAAGGTTCTCGACACAGCGTCAAGCGAGACGTGATCTAAATACAGTTTACAGCCCAGGTCCTGCACCTCGCTACGCCTCGGGTGTAGCTGAGAGAAGTGTACATTCCAATGCGACGGTTTGGGGAGTTCGGTTGCTTCCAGACGCTGTCATGTAACGCCACAATATTAAATGAGCACAGGCTCACGGTTTTGGTGTCGGGCACACCAAGAGGCACTGCATCGCGGCGCACTGCATCGCAATCTGCATCACGTCTTTGACGCCAGGCGGCCCGTCCGCGTGCCTTGGATCACACATTTTGCCTGTTCCTTTTTCGCCCCAGGGATAGGGCGTGAGCCAAGTCGCCATCTTGTCTCATAATCTCGCGAGTCACGATTGTCACAGCTCACTCCTCGACCCTTGTCACTTTGGAAGGACGCGAGCATATGCCAAAGTTCGGACGCAAGCCCACAACTGGAAACGCAATGTGTTGGCCACGATAGCTTCTAGGCAGGTACGCCTTACGCCGCTTGGCTGCATCATGGCCCTGACAATTGCGCAAGTGAGCGTGGCTTAGCTCACCTTCATGCGCCTTTGACTCGAGCATGTTTTCCCCTCGAACCACCCACTGTCCTGGGCGGCGGTACCGAACTGGTCCGCTCGTGTCCCCGTCGCGCCACTCGAGTTTGGCAGTTTGGGTACTCCGTAGACTAGTTGGCTAAATAGCCTGATGTCTGATTAAATATTACAGATGCCCCGTCAGAACAGCAAGCGCTAGAGCAATGGCCCGCGACGGTGTAACTCAACGCGCCGCGGCCGACGACATGCACGCAAGTCTCAGAGCTTCAATGCCAGTTTGTTTGTGGCGCTGGCGTTGCCGCCGGAGTTGCCCCGATGAAGTAGTAGCCATGGATTGGCTCAGCTATTTGCTGTTGTGCAGAAATTCTGCAATGCCAATTGGCTCATGTCACGACGCTCTTTCTTTGCCAGTCGAAAACGCCGGTTCATGGGCAGATTACACATACCGCTTGCTGTGTCCGCACAGCCACATGCACCAACCGCAAGGCCAAGGTCGGGGGATCGAGTTACTCCGCACATGATGAGTTCGGGACGCAAAGTCGACCTGTCAAGGAGAGTAGTGCAATCGCGAATGCGCCAAGCAATCGAACCGTCGAGCGGGACATCAACCAACGCGCGCTATCATCCAAATTGTCCGGATGCCAGTTAATAATCAGAACCTGTATCCGGTGTATATGACCTCTCCATGCATTACCAAGCATAGCCTCCTCAGTCACCCAAGGCGCAAAAACATGGTCGGTCGGGTGCACAGTTGAATCCAGCCGGCCTCACTTACCTACCTACCTAGGTAAATATTATTGGGCTCAACCATGCGTATCCTCGTCCTCGCTGTGCGAAAGAAACTTGACACTGCGCTGGCTCCTCGGCATTGATTAATATATCCACCATGTTCGAACCATGAAGCCTCAACTGTCTAGCCCGCGGTGCTGTCCATAGAAGGTCCTCCTGCAAAATGCTGCTCGAGATGGAAACAAAAGACACGTCTTGTTCTGTCAAGAATACTGTGCCCCGTGATGAACCTCATCAATTCCTCACTTGCGTGCTGTTCCGCCAAGGTTCGAGTCTCTTGTGCGCGTTTCGATTCATTAGCCTTTTTGTTCTCGGCATTGTCATCTGTGGTCGGCAAATCGGCATGGAAATATGAAAGCTGGCTGGCGAAATGTAAAACGCCACCCTCGCCAGTCCCATGACACCGTCGAAAAAGGTGCGCTCCACCTGGCAGGCGTCATGTAGTGATTATAGTTGATTATTGTGAGAAGGGCTTGGACGATGAAACCCGGCGCTCATGTTCATTGAGCCTGCGGCGCGGCGGAAGGGAGCCACTCTCCCATGTTTACGTACAGATACAACGTTGGCCTCTTGATCAAGAGAGGAAAGGTAGAATGGATGAGATGGGGCCGGCCGTCATTGAGCGCCTTGGGCAGAGCCAGCCCATGACTGCCGGGACTCGGGCTTGTTTTCGGTCCCTCGTGAGGGTGCTGAACGTTCCTTGCTGCTTGTGGGTCCGGCCAGTCCTCTGTCTACATGAGAATTATCTAGATGGATTGTAGAAGCGATAAACGAGCTGATGGTTACCGTCTGGTATTGTAACTCGCAATAAAGCTCGGTCCTGCGCGTCGACAGAGTCTGCTCCACGGTCCAATAGCCCTCTTTCCAACAGAAGGGCCAAAGGGCACCTAAAGTCCACTTATAACAGTTGTAGATGTAGGCGTAAAGCTCAATCACATACAGTGACAAACCCAGCTTAAAGTCTTGCTGTCGGTCCCATCCACGCCCTTGTCGTCACCTACTTGGCAGCGCACACGAGCGTAGGAAGGCCATGATATGAGACTGACCACGGGCATCCAAGACCGTGCATAGATAGTACTGACGACTGAAGCCGCCGAGAACAGTGGGCTCACTGCCAGCTCAATCGAGTGAAAACAGCTCGTCACTCAGCACCAACAAATGCCGTTTGCAAGGACGGTGACAAGAGACCAGTTCGTACCGAAACTAGCCCGAGGATGAATTTGATCCAGCGCTTCGAGTCACGACTGACTCCACCGGAGAAGGGAATGGTCAATCGATTCGGCCTGCCTGCCCATCTAGCGGGCTACAATGACACAAGCAGAGGTGGGCTGAAGGCTGGAGAAGGAATTGACTCTGTACCTGCCGCTGCTTGTGGATATATTAGCTGTGATATAAAGCCAAGTCTTTCCCCAGTGGCCAGCCAGTTGGTTCACCAAAGCTTGTCACCTGCATGATGGCTGGGCAGGCGCAAAAACCAACGGGTCTGTGATGCCAGGGATAAAACGCGAGACAGGCTACGAGATGGGACATTGTTGTCTGACGACAGAGCATCCGTCACGTACCGTGGCGACCCGTAACTGGCCAAGCTTTCAGACATGCGAAAAGACACCTAGCATACGTGCTGTGAGAAACTTTACAAACGACGGGGGCAGATGTGGCGATGAGGTTTATCTCGGGGCAACCGGGACCCGTCCTCGGATTGCTGGAAATGTTCGTCCAGACGGAAGTCGAGACAGCCGATTAGGGGAGCTGGTGCCCAGGGGGCCGGCTTTCGTGCATGCGGTGGGTTCCTTGATTGACAAACGTCCTCTTCACGGGTGGCTAGTTGTCATGGTTCCGCAGATTGTGCAACTGTCGGGCTCAACTGCCACAGCCCAGCAAGCACGACGCTTCATTTCCGGACCTGAGAAACACCTGCGTCCCATCGAAGTGATTCGACTCTCAAAGGATTTCCGAATCGTCTCGTGGGGATTTTTTTGGTCCGTCGCGAGGACGGCTTCCTCTGCTGCGTGCGTGGCACGATGATTGATGGCCAAGAGGGCAATATGGCAACGATGAAAGACGTGTTGGAACCCCCGTCCAAGCATGGCTTGAGATTGACCGTACACGGGCACGATTCCGCTGCTCCGAGGTCCTCGGCGCTCTTGCTATAGCCTTGTTGGAGCTATTCGAGAGGCGCGGGCTGATATTCCTAGAGCCAACTCTTCCAGGATCTGTATCTGGTTCCTCCATGAAGGCGGGGACAACAAGACAGGCAGACGCTCATCATCTGTTGAAAAACAAGTCAGCAAACCCGCGGATACTGCCTCTCTCAGGAAAAGCACAGGGATGAGGCACTGTACAAGATGGAAACATGCAAGTTCTCCATGCCGTATTCAGGTTGCTGGTGCCGTGGACTTTGTGTTAGGTCTCTGCAACGGAGACGTACAAATCATCCGCGTTTCCTCTGGACAGGCTTGAAGTTTGGTTGAAACGTCTTTTGGCACCTCGGCCGCTCACCAGAACGACACGTATTCCTTCCCACTTGACCAGTCGATACCGACATATCTTCGATTACGTCGGGACACGGCCAAAGATTTTACACAGTTGCAGCCCCAAGGATGCAGTCTGTCGCGGGCTTGCTGTACCTGTCAGGTTCTCGGGTTCTGAAGGGCAGAAGACGAACCACCTAGCTTCCTCTAGGGTATCGAACAAATCTCTGGCCAACTCCCAGATGACTATTGCGTGAAGACGTGGGCAGCAAAAGGGTTGTTGCGCCGTGGCTGCTGCTTTCAATTTTTCCCAAATCCAACCGACTTCAGCCTCGGACAAGCCACCGTTGCGTTCCCAGCCAGACATCATCTGCGCCAGAGCAAGGTGTGCGCTTCGAACGGTCTGTGTTCGAGTCGTATTCCCACACAGCATGGTAGTCATCGCGTCAGCTTCAGTCCTGCCCCGACAAAAGCAGAACAATAGCCAGTCCGACTAACAAGGCAAGACGCCACGGCGGCCGCCTGATACTACCACATTAAGCAACGATGCTAGCTCCGATTCGAGCCTGGATCAGCAAAGGCCACGGCGACGTCTGACGTGTTGGCCGTCGTGTAACGGTGTTGTCGAGGACGGCTCAAAGTTTCTTTGCCCCGCGCGCCCTCCGCGTTGCCGATGTGTCGAGTGGCTTTGCCGCCGATCGCCCACTAGAGATGGCTGCCCGGCCGGAAGCCGTCATGTTTCATGTTGCATCCAAAACGATGCCGACAAGTTGTGCTGTCATTTATGACGGCTCGCGCAGGGACCCGGGGCGGGAAGGGCGCTAGTCCGCTTTGGTCCACACCAGAACCTCGGCGCGCCGCCAGACAAGAAAAAAGCTCGACGACTTCCGTCCATCATCATCCATCGCGGCATCGACGGGCGCAGGCGCGAGCGCGAGCGCATCTCTACCGAAAAGCACGCCCCTAGGCAAGCCGACAGACCAGGAGGGAACCAATCGCCATGCCGCCGACGCAGCTCCCCGCCTCGGGGAATCCCCTGTAAGTGAGCCGCCAGGCCGCCAGACGAGTTTTTGGCGCTGACGACGGCAACAGCGTCTTTTTCGACATGACACTCGGAGGTGAGCAGCGAGCACCCGGGGTCCAGCGGACGCAAACAAAAAGCCGCACGCCGGGCCCGTCGTTGGCTGTCCCTGTGCCGCCGTATATTGACGCCGTTTCATGACGGGACGTGACCAGGCGAGCCCCTCGGCCGCATCACATTCGAGCTCTTCAACGACGTGGTGCCCAAAACGGCCGAGAACTTCCGCCAGTTCTGCACCGGCGAGTCCAAGGACGCCCAGGGCAAGCCGCAGGGCTACAAGGGCTCCAGGTTCCACCGCATCGTACGTACGTCGGTCCGCTCTCGAGACCGAAACCCGCCCCGGCGCCCCCCCTTCCACCGCTAACCTGCCAGATCCCCAACTTCATGTGCCAGGGCGGGGATTTCCTCCAGGGCGACGGCACCGGGTCAACGTGTATATGGGGCCTCAAGACGTTCGAGGACGAGAATTTCAAACTTCGACATGACCAGCCCGGTCTCTTGTCCATGGCCGTACGTGCATCCCCCCCCCTTGCTGGCATGCATGGCAGCTTCTCACAACAGCGCGGTGGGCCACGTCTAACTCGGCGATTGCCCTGCAGAACGCGGGCCCCAACTCCAACGGGTCCCAGTTCTTCATCACGACGGTGCCCACGCCCTTCCTCGACGGCAAGCACGTCGTCTTCGGCAAGGTCGTCGACGGCATGGACGTCGTCCGCAAGATGGAGCACACCAAGACGGGATACAAGGGCAAGGACGTGCCCAACATGGACGTCGTGGTTGCCCAGTGCGGCCAAATGTGAGCCCCGATGCCAGACTTTCAAGGACCCTTTCTGGCCGTCGTGCATTGGGCCCCGTTGCAGACAGGGAGGGATGTTGGACCAGGCGAGGCCATCGTCCATGGCTGTGACTGACTGCTTGACTACCTTTGTCATCTGTCTCCCCGGGCTACGAAACGAGACATCCGGGTATTTTGAAAAATGTAAAATAAAAATAGAAAAAAAGAATAGACAAGGGAAAAGCAACCTCTTCTCTACCTCTGATGCGTGCCAACGTCAAAGTTTTAGGGCAGGACGAGACGCCCGCCTTACTTGTTTGTTGGTCTCAACCGAGTTCAATTTCAGACTGCATCCCTAATCTACATCGCTGACTGGGCCCGGCCCCGACACATGTTCCCTCAGTGCTCTTCACTCACTCCCATTCAACCTCGTCTTGTCCAAATGTCAAAACTCTATGTAAAAAAAGAAGAGTGAAAAGAAGGCACCAACATATACAAGCCAAAATTGCAATGTACTACCCATCCATGAAAAGGCACGACATCTGTCACCTTGCCCGTCGCAGGATTGATAGCGCTGCTTCCTTTTACGCTCGGAACCGTCCGACCCAGCGCCGGTCGTAGGCCGCCGTGGACACTGGCTTAGCAGCAGAAAAAGTGCCCGTCGGCAAAGCACCAGTCCCGGAGACCGGGTCGGCAGTGACGAAGAAACAGGCTCCGGCGGTCAGGTGGGTCGCGGGTTGCGGCGGAGCGGGTTCGGACCGGCGAACCATTTTGTGGTCGCTGTCGCAGACGGTCCTGAAGACGGTCGTGACGAGCGTTGTAGGGGGCACGGTGATGACTTCCGTGACGGTTGCGACGCCGTCGGTCTTGGCGGAGCCCGCAGCAGCCGGGGCGGATGTGGAGGCGGGAGCCGGCGCCGGCGCCGGCGCAGAGGCGGGCGCAGAGCCCGTGCCGCTGTTCGTGGCAGCAGCAGCACCACCACCAACATCGACCTGGAAGTTGTTGGCCATCTGATCCTGGACACCCATGGAGTAGATGTTCTGCTTGGGAACCCACGCCTCCTTTCCGGCGTCCTTGCCCGCAAATGCCTTTGGTTTCTCGACAACCTTGATGTCAATCACGCTGGCGTAGCTCTCATTGTGGCCAATTGCCTCCATGGTCCACCCATTGGGGACCTTGTCGCCGCGCATAAACGACCCGGCCCACGGGTAGAGGCCATCCGTCGTCTTGTCCATGTCGATCTTGCTGGGGTTCAGAGTCGGCCAGTCCCAGTACCAGTAGATGGTGTAAACGCTGCCGGGCTTCAAGTCGTCGGGGAGCTTCAAGTCGGAGTGGCACGGCAGCTCCTGCGAGTTGGTGGCGCCGTTGTCTTTAAACTTGGCCACGCGCTGGTTCGTGATGTCTGCAGTGTTGGGCTGGAAGCACTGGCCATCGTCGTAGTTCCTTGTTGCAAGGAGGGTGCCTCTCTTATCCCCGCCAGTGCCGTCCCGGTTCCAGAGGAGGTGGACGTCAAACAGCTTCTCCTTTTCCTTGGGCTGGGCGGTGCCATAGAGGTAGATGGTACCGCGGTTCTTTGGCTTGTTCGCCTGGTTCTGGGGCAGGGTAACATGCCCGTTTTCGAAGTGCACAAGGGCGATGTGGTCTCCGGGGGCGGCCTCGAGCAAGGGGTGCTTGGGTTTGTCCTCGTAGGGGAACTTGTTGATGACTTCATCGCCGCTGTAGGCTGGTGATCCCGGCTTTGGGAGCAGCCACTGGGGAATTTTATCGTTCCATCCAGCATCAGAGCGAGGCTGGTATCCTCGTGGATAGCCAAGCAGGCCGATCATGGTGCCGTTGGGGGCGATTACGGAGGCGAACTCTATCCATGAGTGGGCAGATGCAGAGCAGGCGAGGGCCAGGAGGGAACCGAGACGGCTCGTCTTTGCGCGACGAGATTTGAGGCTTCCCATCGTGATGGATTTGACGGGATGTGGCGCGACTGCGGCGGAATGTGACGAGGGTGTATCCTGAATTTGGTATCTTTCGGGGGGGGGGGGGGGGAAAAAAAAATAGGTTTCTCTCCAGGAGAAAGTTGAAAATAGAAGAAATCAAGAGAAACCGGTGTATAATAGTCGGCCCAGAGGCTATTTATTTCCTCGCGGCAAGAATCGAAAAAGTCAATTGCGTACAAGTTAATCAAAGTGATGAGAGAAATGGTCAAGAAATGATCCAAGATTTCCGTCGTCGGCCAAGAAGTAGTAGTAGTCGGGCGGCGTACGGTACACGGCTGTTGTCGATTCGATTGTGCGCTCTCTGAACACCAGATGAAGAGGTGAGTGAAGAGGACAAGAAAGTGGCCCAACAAAGGAGAGGCGAGGGCGGGCAAAAGCAAGAGAAAGAAAAAAAAGGCTCAGAGTGGTGTGTTTTTTTGTTGTCGTTGTCAGAACACGCAAGTGAACAGCCGGCCGTCGACAGCTGGCAGATGCACCGCCAGCTGGCGGTTGGCTCGTGTTTGCAAAACCCAAAGCAGAGAAGTGGAAGTGAATGGGCTGGGAACTAAGCAATTGCGCAACTATGGTCTATGTGATTGATGGATGACGAGTGACGCAAGACTTCTGTTTGTCTCGTGGACCATGAATGAATGGCTGGCGGAGAATGAGTAATCGTCGTGCCTGAGCTGGGCGGGAACGCTGGTGCATGCACGAATGAATGGGAAGCGAAAGCCAAGCAGAGAGAGAGAGAGAGCCAAGAAAGTCGTCCGCAACCAGAGCACAAGGAGGCGAGAAAGGACGAAGAGCTCGGCGAGTTCAGTCGGCCATTCACCGTTGATATCTGCACTTTGGGGCCCTTTTCTCATCGTTACTATTTTTTTTTAACCGAGCCACGACGACCATTGTATACCAGCGAGTCAAGAGGGTGGACGTTGAGAGGCATAGCCCGATCGAAACCCGGCGGGTCAGACGGAATCCCCAGATTGAGAGGGAAATAGACTCTGTTTCATGGAAAGAAGAAGGCAGTTTCTGCATGTTGGCCCGGCCATCGAGACACTGGAGGCAGCGTGACGTCCTATCGATGTCTCGGAAGATGGCAAACGGGGCCCAAGTCCAGACGAGCCCCATGGAGCGGTGGCGGGGCTGGGGTTTGGGGTTTGGGGTTTGGGGTTTGGATTGGAGATGGAGGATCGACAACTTGTCAAGATAGTTTTCGTTACCGTTTCAAGACTGCCGTTTCAAGTCTCGAATGCTGGTGTTGATGTTTGAATCGCGTGGCCGTGGTTGTGGCTGCAGGGCTGCAGGGCTGCACCATCGGCTGCCGGGTGCTGGCGAGCCCCTGCTGGCCAATCAGACCCCAGGGCTGGCCTGCGGGCTCCACCACGCGCCTAACGCTGCAGCCGTTGGCCCTGCACCGTTGCAAGCCCGCGCCTCTCCCGGCCCACGACTGGCTGTCGTTCGTCCCGTGTCAGCCGCCTCGCGCTTGATGTGGCCTCCAGACTCGAAAGCGGCAGAGTCGCACGTCCTCACTCACGTCTTCATGCCTTCATATCCTCGCATCCCCATGCCCTGCTCTCCCTGTTCCGGGCATGTCCATCCATTACCAGCCGTCGAACAAATACTCGATACTGCCCTGCCCAGGCCGGGCCTGCTGTGCTATGCCACGTCTCGCGTGTCTGCAGCAATTTCTTTCGCCCATTGTTTCCCTTTCACAAGCACCCGCCCACGTCACGACACGACATGCACGACGCAAACGTGCTCGCACTCTCCATCACACGGTTCTTTGTGCAAATCCTTGTGTCAGAGCAGGCGCCGGCCGTGCCTGTCTTTGATCGCCGTTCCTTTGTGTTTTTTCCCTTTCTCGTTGTGATGTTGTTGTCATTGTCCTTTTCTTCACGCTGGTGTTGCGTAAGAGGAATCCGAAACGGCAGCACCAGGATTCTGTACTCGTGTGTTCCTGAAGACGGACCATCTTGTGCATGGCGACAAGTGTGCTTGTGCTGTGCAACATGACGACCTGCGGCGTGGCAAACAAGCACAGCCTTTGAAACTGCCAGAAGTTCGCCTTCTACTCTGGCAATTCCCGCGCGAACTGAACAACAAACAAGCAGGGCTTTTACCCAGACCCGGCGTCAACAGACAAGCAGCAAAAACACCCATCTAGATGCCTGCGTCTACCTGGAATAGTCAGTACAAGCCCATGGATGGGCCATGGGCGAGAGATTCGCCCGAGCGTCACCACCGTCCAGTCCAGATCCATCCATCTCACCCTCACTCATCCGACCCAAACACCACGGCGAGTCCGTAACACGCGGCGTGGGTTGCCAACGCAGTCCCAACTTGCGGTGAGAATAGTCCATACTATCCAACCCGCCCAATTTCCGCACATACCTGCTCCGGGAGGGGGGGCAAAATCCCCGTCCCGCACCCATCACCATCACATCACAACCATGACGACAGGCAACCAAGGCGAGAACAAGCAAGGCCTTGACTAAACAACAAGGATGGCATACTAGTTGTCCTCTTCTTCCAACCACACGTCACAAGGTATCACCAACCCCCCCCCATCCACTCACAGCGTCAAGGTCGTATCGGCAGCGCCGCTCACATACCTCACCTCTCCAAGCAACCCCGTCGGTCAGTCGCCACCACGACCAAAATAAACATCAACATCAACATCAATATCGCTCACAATCAACACAAAAGTCCTCGCCCCGAACAAAGCGAGCCATCTCCAGCCAACCCGTCCAATGGTCAGCTGCGCCGCGCAGCCTCAACCCCCTTCCCCTTTGCCACCGCCCTCGAGAAGCCAGCATTCCTCACCGTCACACCACGTCGTCAAAGAATGCAATTGTCCAGGACAATTCCAACCGGCGCATTCTTGCCGGACCCCGAATTCCAGTCCGTCATTGTTTCCCCGTCCCGCCCTGTCTCGCTCGCCCTGCTTCCTGCTCGTATTGTGCTCGTCGGCCATTGTTCCAACGCGGCACAAGAATACATTATACTGCCACCAACTTTTCACAAATATACACGTACACGAGCCGCGCACGTCAATGGAGCGTGCATCCAAGGAGGCGAGCGCGACGCGTAAATGACCGCCACAGTAATCCATGTCGCTCCCCGCAACTCCAGCTTCTTCTTCGTCATCGGCTCCGTACATGTTGGCCTGCCTTCTTTCTTTCTTTCTGTGTTTCCTTCTTCCCTCCCTCCCTCGCTCCCTTGGCGACCTAGACCAGGGCAGACGGGGAGGAAGGGGGGCGTGGTCCTTTTCCTCCGTGCGGGCGGGTTCCTGGTTCCTGCGTCGGCTCGCTCCACCTGCTGCTGAAGAATATAAAGTGGCAGTTACGTAGTGTGTGTACCAAAATAGCCTTGCTTAGAGGGTGAGGGTCAAGGGTCGCGGGTGTCCCCTCGTCCACGAGGGCGTGGAGATAAAGCCAGGCAGGGAGCTTCAATATTGAGCTTGAACTTGTCCTTCACTCCTCTCCTCGCCAAGCTGGCTGAGCAGACTCCCCGGGTGAGTCGCAACGTCTCAATACCTCGCCACGCGACGGCGTCGTCTTGCCGACTACGACGCGACCATTGCACGTCACACTTCACACACCCGGCCGGTACGCGGTATAAAAAGGGAAAAAAAAAAAAGGACATGTTGGGCAAGTGGATGTCTTTGAATTGCAGCAACTAACAACAGTCCATAGGTCTAAGTATGTGGTATTATTATCATGATCCGTCAAAAGAAATAGAAGTGTCAAGAAATGTCCCCCCCTCCCCTTTTTCCTTTCAAGAGTACTCCTCCAGCGCCAATGGCCAAAATGTCCCCTCCAACACGTGAATTAATCCTTTTTGACATTTTTCCACTTCTTGTGACACATGCGTCTCTATGCCAGATAGAGCACCCTAACATTAGTTTTTTCGCGTCTGTGCTCGTCACCATCCAGCAGTGACTGGCACATGAACGTCCATCGTCTCCCTCCGTCTCTTGGCCGGTCGAGGGCTGCCACCTCGCTCGTGGGAGCTGGGTGCCGTTCCTGCGGACAGGGGCCACTGTGGAGGAGCCCACATGGCACCGTGGTGATCTCCCGCATGGGATTCAACCTTGGTATTTGGTCCCCATTCTGCCGTGGCGCTTGCTGGCGCCGAAGCTGCGGACCAGCCGTCCAGGGCAGACATGTCCCATCCTTGCATGTTGCCGGTGTCGACGCCGGCGTTGTCGTAGACGACTTGGTTCGGTAGTTCGAGCGACGTGGTGGCCGCCATGTATGAGTTGACGGCTGAGCTGATGGGCTTCACCTCGGAGAAGGACTGCTGCCCGTCGAAGAAGGACTGGTGGCTGTTGCTGTTGTTGCCGAGCGTCGTCGTCGCCTGACGGTCGTGTTGTTGAGGCGGACCGCCAGTCGGGGGGAGGAATGCTACTCCATTGTTTGGTGCCATGTTGCCATCAAACGAACCACTTCTGGTGTCGAAGCTGGCACTGCGGGTGTCAAAACTCCCGCTCCGGCTGTCAAAGTTTCCAGTCGAGTAGGCCGGCGGCAGTGTAGCCGTCGGTGGCGGCGTGGCAAGCCCGTTGGAGAAGGAGTCGAAAAGCCCAATGCTGTTGTTGTTGCTGCTGCTGCTGTTGTTGGGAGTTTGCAGCGGCGGAACGTGCGGCACGTGAGATGCGTTGCTGCCGTGGTCCCACGTGCTGAAGGTCTCGTTCATGGCCGCCGTCAAGTGCTGGTTGATGGTTGGCGTCGGCGACATCAGAGCCTCTCTGGAGACGTTTGCCGTCGGGTAGACGAGCGCCTTCTGCTGATGGTATCGGGACATGGGGTCGTTGATGGTCAACCACCGCCAGGTGGTTCCGGCGGGCTTGAAGACGGGATGGTACTTGTGCCACTGGTTGGTCGTGTTGAACCTCCAAAAGATGACGGCCTGGCGAGTCCACTGCGTAGAGTCGGGCGCGCAAGACCAGAGCTCCTGGTACATGGCCACCTTGCAAATCAAGTCGCTGCCAGTCAGCTCTCGGCGGGCCCACGAGGCAGCATCGCCTTCGTCCTCGGCGCGCTTGCGCTTGCTGCCGGATCGCTCGAGGTCCTTGTTGCCCTCGCCGTCCGCATACTTGCGGCGCTTCTCCTTGAGGCGCTGGTGCTCGACGTCGGGATACTGCACCGCCATGCTGAGAATGCTGGCCCACTCCACCGCAGGGAAAGGAACGTGAATATCCTGACGAGGGCGGGTGTGGCACTCGCAGTCCACCTTGGAATCGCTACACCCACGGCGGTGGATTCCGCTGTCGTTGGTGTAGACGCCATGCTTGCCCTCGTCGCTGTGGAGCTCGGCGGGCCTCGTAAGGCGTGTGATGCACTTCCACCGATGGTTCTGCAGAGCTGGCTGCGTGATGGCGACCTCGACAAACCCCGTGAGCTCCGATCCAGAGGGGAACTTGGCGTGCTCGTGCAGTTCCAGCGTCGCGCACATCTCCAGCAACAGGCACTCCTCGTCTCTGGACGGAAGCTCAAGTGTCTCGTACATGGCGGGAGCATCCTTTTGCCACCGGCGGGTGACAGACTTGGCGCAGGCCGACGTGGTCCGGTCAAGAGATCGGGTGTACTCGTGCAAGAGGACATCCTTGCCCAGGACGTTGGGGCTGTCGTCACAGTTGGTGTACTTGTTCAGGTGAGGGAAGGACGCCTGGTCCAACGGGGCGTCATGTGCATCATAGGCGACGTCGTCCCGAATCTTGATATCAGAAGACGACACAAAGATTTCACACGTCTTGGGCCGTGTGCAGATGGATGACTGCAGGGCCAGGAGCTGGGAGAAGTACTCATAGTTGGGCTTGACGTCGGGAACTCGACCCTCAGCCAGGGCTGTGAGCACGGGGTTCGACTTGAATGACTCTTGCTCTTCCTCGTCATAGTAGTCGTCGGAATTCGTTGAGCCCGGCTCCTTCTTCTCCTCTGACGGGAACAAAAAGTGGACTATCGTGACGGGGGTCAGTATTCCATGCCTCTCCTCGCCAAGAATGCAGGCCAAGCTTGACGCATAGACTCACAGCAACGAAGGTCTTCAAAAAACTTCTTGACCACTTGCATGTGGCTAGACACTTGCTTGCGTCCCATCTGTTCGATGCTTTCGTTGCTATTGTCGATGCGGAAAATCTCCTTGCTCCCCAAGAGAGCAACGCAAATCACAAAGATGTACTCGCTGATGAGCATGTTGCGGCCGTGGAGTTTCCCTCCCATGGAGAACTTGCGGCGGCCCATGTGAGGCATGAGCAGTACAGCTGGCGAGAGCTATTAGCAGGCTGGGCTGGGCTGGGCTGGGCTGGGCTGGGCCCCCGGGAGGGGGGGAGGTTTTGGCAAGCATCACGGAGCAAGGCAACGACTTACAGTCGACAAAGGCATCCTCGAGCTCCGGCCGACGCCAGACGCCGCCCTTGTCCTTTTGGGTGTCCTTGTGAGCTTGTCTGTTACGATACTGACGGAAAGCCGGCCAGAAGTAGAGAGGATTGACAGAAGTCTTGGGCCTTCTCTGATAACGAGCCTGCTGACGAGGAGTCGGGACTCTGTAAAGGCAGTCGAGTGATTGTGAAGGAACCATGGGAGCATGCATGGATGGTCCCAGGGCCACTTGGTTCTGATAACAAGAGACTAGACCATTGAAGCTGTGGGATTGAGCATTGCCAGTGGACTCTCGAAGAGGCGGTCTGCCATTATGGAGACTACGTCTCGTATCGACATAGTCCGGTGACTGTGAGTAACGCTGTGACGACAGCACTGGTCTTGGCTGAAAGAGTGAAGACATTGCTATAACTGCAAAGGCAAAAAATTAAACCAAAAAAAAAAAAAAGAGTGGCACGAGGAATGTCGATGAGACGCAACGAGCGAGAACCAAGCCCGCTGAAGCTGCAAAATGCCTCGGACAATGACAGCCCAGGTTTGAACGGCAGGATGAAGAGCGAGTTGAAGAGGACAAGATATGTAGAGAGGAATTTTGGGATGTGGAATGATGGCCTAAATGTATGATCCGACGAGAGTGATGGGTTCGACTGGAACGAAGCTTTATTTCCCGGGAGGATCTAAGACTGTATAAATCCAAGACTTATAGGTGGAGGACGAAGAGCTCCAGCGGACCATGTTGACAAAGGGTTGACAGCGCTAGTACCCATCTATTTGGCCCCTCAACCTAAATATCAAGATCTATCTACAGAACGCCCAGCAAGGCAGGGGAGAGGAGGGATGGGATGGGATGGGATGGGATGGGATGGGATGGACGAGGAGCCGGGGGTGGTTCGGGCAGTGGGGGATGGGGTCTTGGACGGTTCGTCGCTAGTCGGCGTCGGCATCCATGCCCATGCCCATGCCCACGGACGAGAGAAGAGTGACCTCGGGCCAATGAAGGTCTTGACGTAAAACCCAACGGGCACATGGTAGCTAAAGTGTCTGCAGCGTCCGGCATCGAGGGCGTTGGGACGCAAGGGAGGGTCGAGCGGGTCCGGCACACCAAGGCCGGCCACGGCCTCCCAGACAGAGACAAACCTTCACGGGCGTCATGGTTGTCCACACGGCGCAGGTATGCGAAAGAGATTAACATCAGACAGGCAGACATCTTGCACAGCCTTGCGCTCCGACGTTGGAATTCCTGGTCTCGTGGAGTCGCCTCCGTCAACACGCCATGTCAGTTGTCGCCAGAGTCGCAACTGCTCGATGCCGTGCGATGCGATGCGATGCGTGCGCGCGCCGACTGCCCTTCCCAAGGGAGGTCGCCGACGAAGGAGCCCGGGCTAGTGCACGACAGGGCAGGAAATTGGGCAACCGCAGGCGCTGTAATGTGCTGAATTATTAACGGCCGGCGGCCAAATAGAGCCGCTCTGCCTCCTTGTTACACTGACGACTAGCCGTCGAGCTCCTCCTCGTCGTTGCCAATAGTGACCCTTTTCCTCCCTCCGCCAGTGAGTTGCTGAAGGGCTACTTTATTGACTTGGCCCCCTACTTTGCGCTGCATCTTCTCGATCTCCTCCTCGGCGTCGACGGCCTCGGCCTCTGCAAAGTCCAGTACTAGGCGCCGCCCGAGAAGATGAGTGTCCTTGAGGGCGTTTAGTGCGTTCTCCGCCTCTCGAGGACTGACAAAGTCGGCAAATGCAAAGCCTCTTGCGGTAAAGTCAGCCTTCTTCGGAACGCGGACCGACCTGAGCTGGCCGTACGTCCCGAACAGTGACCTCACGTCTTGTTTTGTGGCTTGAAAGGGCAGGTTCTTGATGACGATCTTGGTCCTTTGCGCCGCCGCCTTTTTCGCTCGATCATCCCGCCGTCTGTCTTCGGCCGCATCTTGGCCCTTATGCGACGCCTTCACGCCCAGAGTGTGGCCATCCAGTACATGCCCATCCATCACCCGGAGAGCTGCCTTGGCTTGGGTCTTAGATCGAAACTCTGCGAAACCAAACCCCATGCTAAGCGTTTGGCCGGGTTTCTTGGGGTCCATTTTCGTTTTGACCCTAGCTGACACGAATCCGTCGAGAGACTCGAAAGCCTCAGCCAGCCTGCTAGTGGTTGTGGCAAAGTTTAAATTGCGGATAAACAGAGACGTCGTTTCCATATCATCCGCCTTATCACCGCCTGACAACAAGTCACTGACGGTAAGCTTTTGCACCCCTGTTGCCTGTTGATCGGTTGTCCGGCTGATCTGCTCCGAGATGTCTCTTCTGAGCAAGTCCTTCGGTGCCTTCTCCAGGAAGAGTACACTATCCTTGATTCGTCTGTATGCGAGCTTACCAAAAGCGGCCTTGGCATGGTTTGCATGTGCGAACTGGACAATAGCGATAGTACCTGCAGGGGGCATGAGCACCTCGAGCACTTTTCCATGCTCCTCAAACATTTTGCGAAGTTCCTCCATGGTAGTTCCGAATGGAAAGTTCTTTACCAAGATGGTGGTATCACCCCGCCTCCGCGACTTGAAGGCGTCCAGGTCCACCCCATTGGCAGCAAAGTAAGCCTTTGTCTCCTGTATGACTGTAGTCTCTGCGATGGCCTGCTTGATGGCGGCATCGGCCGATGTAGGATCGAGCATCTCGGATTTCGAGACACCCAGCCGGCTCGCAATGGAGGCGTTGACAGCATCCTGGCTCATGTAGAGAGAGTTCCAGTTAAAGCTGCTAGAAGCTGCCTCTGCTTTCTTACGTATCATGTTTTGTTTCTTCAAAGGCAACTTGGATACGGCAAATTCATCCAATCCCTGCTCTCGTTTCGCGCTGGCTGGAATGATGTGGAGGATACGCCCTTGGAAGGTTACCCCATCCAGTTCCTGGAATGCCCTGACGGCGTCAGACGAGTCTGCAAAAAGAACTAGAGCAAAACCCTTTGTTGCCCCAGCAGCAGTCAAAGGTAAATGGACCTGGACGATAAATAAAAAGAAAATTAGCTTTCTTTTGGGTCCCAGAGGTAAAAGTGCTCAAATGATCCAGCGACGCTGTGTATGAATAATCAAGGCATAGGCTCAGAAAATCGAAGCATCTACTAAAATATTCGCCCAGGTTTCACATCATATACCGAGGTATAAGCTGTCCCTATCATGGGGTTCATCATTGCGGCCTTGCAGGGAGGAAGTCATTGCGAGTTGGGGCAGGTCGGGGGTGTTTTACCAACATACCTCTAGGAGTGTGCCAAACCTGTCGAACGTCTCCCGTATATCATCTTCAGTGGCGCTGTAAGGCAGGTTCCTGACGAAAAGCCGAGACGTGCGATGGATGGTTTCAGCAGCGTCGTCCGTCACAGTCTCCTTCCTTGTCGCCAAATCAGCAGTTGTATTGGGTGTCACCTCATCGGAGGAATGCGACGACAGTCCGTCATTCTCCGTGTCTTGCTTTGTCGTACCATCCACCCGGCTGAGCACTGCTCTAGAGGCAAGGTCATCCGGGTCAGCTAGGTCCAGCAGTCTGTTGGTCCGAGATCGCAACCAATCGTCGTCGGTCGCGCCAGCTGGTGATGGACCTTGGTCGGTCATCTCTGAATCAATTGCCTCGACCTTGTCCTCGCCAGCCTCCTCGAACGTAACTTCTTTAGAAGTCTTGACATCCCGAAGTGGTGGTTGTCGAGGAACATTGTCTGACTTGTTCTGACGGGACTCTATCCTTCTCGACTTCTCTTGTCTCGATGGGACTTGTTCATACTCGTCATCGCTTTCCCCCTCTGGGACACTAAGCCCTCCAGAATTGAGCGTATTATCTGCTGCGACTGCAGAATTTGGGTCATCTGCAACAGCGCCTTCTCGACCAGACCTCATGACCTGCAGAAACTCCCGCAGCTTCGGGTCAGCGGTTTCCTGTTCCTGTCGCTTTCGCTTCTTCGGGTTTACATCATGGTCAGAAGTTGAGCGTGCAGTATGATGTTCCGGCGCACCAAAGTTGCAGGAACCATTGTGTCCTTTTCTCGAGGCTGGGTCTGAGATCTAACATTCCATTAGCAACCGGTATAATGGATGGTAAGCAACGCGAAACAGGAGGAGAAACTCACGGGCCGGGCAGTCTCGACTGATATCTTAGACATGCGGATGTATGATCGATTGAAGTATTTGACAGCACCAGCGGCATCAGTCGCGCTCTTGTAGCCCACGTATCCTATCCGACGCTGGGCTAGCAGTTTGACATCGGTGATCTCTCGATTTCCAGAAGAGAAATGTTTACGGAACTCGGCCTCCGTAATGTTGGGCGGCAGGCCTTTGATAAAAACTCTAGAAGAAGACATAATGAAGTTTGTCGTTAGGCAGAGTGGATGTCAAGTCATGCTGTTCGTGTCTGCCCGCAGACTGCCTGTTGATGGTGCTCGGTGAGAGAGGGACTGAGCAGTGGGACAAGAAGAAGAAAAAAGTTGAGTTCTTATCGTCGTCGCGTATCAGCACTTGAGTGCTTCCCCTTGGTCCGTGCGTGCATGTACCCTCCCCTCATTCTAGACTTACCCTGCAGCTTCATCGAGTGTCCGTCATAATGGCGTGTCGTGATCGGTTGTCCTGGAAAAAAAAAAGAAAGAAAGAAAGAAAGAAAGAAAGAGCCTGCACAAATTTTTGTGAATCAACCTTGGCATCAAGCAGCTTCTGTCGTGATTTCTGTGATCAATATCCCCTCGTGCTATTTTTCTGTGAATTCTGAAGCGCTGTCTGATTTATTTGTCCAGATCCACGCAGGGCTGTCATTTTGCAATCGGCCATGGAGTGTCCCAAACAAAATGCCGACCAGAACGGAAGTGGAATCGTACATAGCGCCACACCTCTACCGCCATTAAGAGAGAGAGCATTTCTAAGTATGGGAAGCTACGATAACAGGAAGTACGAGGATTAATAGTTATCTTGTTTGACGAAGAGCCGTGGATTAATTTGACATGAGATCAATTCTTAATAATGAATAACGACAATTGACGTATCCACAAAACGGTGAGATGGCCGAGTTGGTTATGGCGTCAGGTTAAGGTTATCTTAACAGTAATATCCTGATGGAGCAATCCTCCTGGGTTCGAGTCCCAGTCTCATCATCATTTTTGCTTCAGTCCCTTTGCTTTTACTACCTCACCGACGATACGGAGTACACCTACTTACTGTCTTTCGTTTGATGTTTTATTTTTTATGCGGTCATACGGAAGCATCGCTTTTTACCTAGATTTTCGGGTAGTTGAAGTTGTGGGCTGCACAACGTCAATATGTGCAGGCAACTATTCTCTCGGGTTGTTTGTTATTATTACGTCACAACCTGGTAAAACATGTACTCAGTAAAATTTATTTACTATTGAACCTGTAACGAGGACAAAATAAGACCAAAGGGATGCCAATGCGTCTTAATGAACAGCATCCTAGCCACCTAAGTAGCCTGCACATCCTCCGCTCATACCATTGTACTTTGTGGACAATAAGAGGTTAAATTAGCCCCATATAGTTCCTGAATACAGAGTCTAGAGGCCTTAAGACGAACAATAACAGGACAAAACCCCACAAAAGCTGTGCCTCTTCTTGGGGGTCACCTGCATTATATTTTTGGTGTGCGCTTCCCTCCTCGCCATAAGAAAGAATAAGAGCCCCTGCCGCCGTCAATCCCCATTGGTGAGATGGCCGAGTTGGTTATGGCGTCAGGTTAAGGTCACCTTAATTCGATCATCCTCCTGATGGAGCAATCCTCCTGGGTTCGAGTCCCAGTCTCATCAGCACATCTTTTTGCCAGTCAAGATTGTGTCTCCCTTTGTCTCTTGGTCTGGTATTGGCCTCAGCCCTACACTGGAGTCCAAGACTACAGTCCCCTCCTTACCTTGCTATGTACACCGTTTTACTTTGCCGCTGACAGAACACGCGACGACATCGTGTCATTGGCGCCGTTGATACACCCGCGGCAGTTGTCTTGTTTACCCTGGTGTGTTATGGAGGCCAGGAGCTACGCAGCATTTCGCTCACTGAGTTGTGGAGGACGTAAAAGGCGTCCCTGGTGTCCTACTTGGGGGTGAGAGGGAGGCAAAGTTTTAGCAAGGCACCTTGCTTTAGAAATATATGCCAAAAAAAGTGGCGTAGGCATGCCACGTTTTGCGAAATGTGCTCTGTGTTTCTGTAGACGATACTGCTTCTATCGCTGGTGAGTTCTTGGCTGTGATCGCTATCCCGAGAACGCTCATCTCTGTCAGTCGCGACTACTATCCTGAATTGATGAACCTGTCCATGTTGAGGTTGTTGGTTCCCTTTTTGGCCCATGTTACTGCCATCAGTCCTCCCTGGGCCACGAAAAATGGATGAGATGCTTCACCATTTGTCAGCTATGTCTTTGGGCAGATACCTTGGAGCGGCTCAGTTGAAGACGCCGGTTTCTGGCTCTACTTGCAGTACCATGAGCAGAGGACAAGTCGTGTCGTGTCGTGTACCGATACCCTAGGCGTATTCAGAAGCACAAGTTGCATGTTTCTTCGATTTCGAATCTGCGTTGCATTGCGTTGTTCAACCTCACTTGCCGGCATATGATCTGACTCATATCATTGCTGGAAACAGAAACAGGCGTCTCAACACGCAGCCGAGAGCTGAGAATCCCTTGGCTAGTTACCTACTGAAGCAGGGACTTGGGAAGGCGCAGAACCACGAATGTCAATTTGTCTTGGAACCGGCTGATGTATTAAAATCTTTCATGTTTTCGGAAATTGCTGTTCCGCGCCTTGTGAATAAAACGACGATGAAACAGGACGCCAGACTAGACCAACTTGTTATTAAGAAGATGTAAGGTTAGGTCTACATTAAGCCAATGGAATAAGAAATCACCCGAAGGGCCAAAGAGACTTCAATGTTCGCTTCATAGGGGTCAATGATGTCAAGCACTCACGGCAAAGAGGGTGATAGCTTGCGAATGTCCAACCAAGCTCCGGCACGACTTGGGGCGAATATACCGGACCCGACCCGACGCTAACCTCACCCAATGGGATCAAAGCAATATGAAAACGTTCAAGACGGTCTCGAGTCGTCCTGTATTCAAGTGCTTCAAGCTCTTGTAAGCGGATTGGCCGTGCTTGAGCCATCGAACGGCGCCGAGTCTCAGGAACGCCAACTCGACACTGGCAACTATGGAGCCAAAGAGCGGCGAAAAGAGCCCTGGTTGTCTATGCCTCGACTTCCCATCGCCGAATAGGCACACCGACAGTGTATTGACTTGGTGTCGACGACATTGATGGCGGAGCAACAGCAAGAGTTTGTCAAACTTGGCGGCGAAACTTTGGCCAAGTTCCTCAATAATTGCAAAATGTCGGAAAGGAAACTTGTCCGTTTCGACGAGTGTGTTTCTGCTCCCGTGATTGCTGAGCAGACGTCATGGCCAGAGCTAAGTCGTGCTCGGCGTCTCTATGCACGCTTGCCTGCTCTGGCTGATTGCACCGCTGGCGTCGCCTCGTCTATTATCTCATGACTTTGCTGGAACCCAGAAAACTGTTGTTTCAGCAGTATCGGCGGCGTAATCGGGAGCGGTGGGCAAACTGGAAGACCAAATATCAACGAAGCCCTGGATAATCATGCTTCACCGTGTCAGACTTTCTGAAACGCTTCGTCCAATGAGCGTCCCGCAAGACCTGCAGTGCGTCGGGCAGTCCCTCGCTCGGATTACAGAAAAAAGGCACAAGCATCATCGGGGGCTTTTTTGCGACCACCATTAATCCGTGTCTCGAGGCGATCGACATGGTGTTGGGCGCCGAGCAGGATCAGGATCAGGGTCTGCACACCAAATAGGCTAGCGCAAGGGATTAAGTCCGGCTTATTTCCACCAACCGGTCTTGAAGGAAGCAGACTCAGCATCACATTTTGAAACGTCAACCGGCATCATTATTCCTGGAAGTCTCGCAGCTACAACGTGCAAACGTCTGCTTGCATTCATCCATGTCATATGTCATGTCTGCAGACTGGTTGGGGCTGAGCTGACAGGCGCCACCACGTCATGGCCGCTTACGAGTTGCGCCGCTCGGCGCAAAGCTTCGGCGCTGTTTAGCTCAAGGTCAGTTCTGTTCTTGGGTCTGGAGAAGATGGAAGCTAACGAGTTGTAACCAGGTTGGGTGTACGACCGGAATGACCGCGTCTTCGCGTCTTCGCGCCCTCGTCTTTATGGTTCTCCGAACTCTATCCCGCGCAAGATGCCACGAGTATTTAATCCAGCAGGCGCCGCCGCCACCAGGACAAAGACGCTCATGACCGCTCCTCCACACTCCAAGGACTCGGGTTCCAGCCGAAAAAAAATCAAAAATAAACCAAAATAAAAACACAAGCAACTTTCCACTTACTCACCCCCGGGGGGTCCGCCTACGCAATGAGCAAAGTACTCGTCGTCTTCGGAGCCACGGGCAACCAAGGAGGATCCGTCGTCGACTCGGTCCTCGGCGACGCCGCCCTCAGCCAGGAGTACAAAATCCGCGCAGTGACGCGCGACACGTCCACACCGGCAGCACTGCATCTGCAGCAAAAGAAGGTCGAGGTCGTCACGGGCAATGCCGACGACACGCCGTCAGTCGAGAAAGCCGTCCAGGGCGCCCACACAGTCTTCTTCCTCACCACCACCACCTATGACGACAAGCTAGAGGAGCGAGAGGTGTCACAGGGCAAACGCATCGCCGATGCCGCCGTGGCCGCGGGCGCAAAGTACCTCATCTTCAGCACCCTGCCCTCCATCAGTGAGAACTCGGGCGGCAGGTACAACAAGGGTGGACATTTCGACTGCAAAACCCAGGTGGAGAAGTACATTCGCACGCTGCCCGTCAAGAGTGCCTTCTTTGCGCCGGGCTGCTTCATGCAGAACCTGGCAACCAACATGCGGCCCAACGCCACGGACGACGGCACCTACGTGCTCGCCAACGTGGCCTCCCCCACGACGAAGCTGCCGCTCATAGATATCACAGACACGGGCAAGTACGTCTCTGCAATCCTGGCCGACCCCGACGCTTTTGAGGGCAAGGTCCTGTGTGCGGCCACGAGGCTGTACAGCATCGAGGAGATGGTGGGCATCATCAGCAAGGTTACCGGCAAGACTGTTCGCCACAGGCAGCTCCCGGAAGACGTGTTTCGCCAGCACATGCCTCCTACCATGGCGGACTATATCGTGCATATGCTGCTGTACATACAGGATTTCGGATACTACGGCAAGGACACGGAGGAGTTGGTGGCCTGGACGGCGCGCCAGGCTCGGGGCAAGCTGCACAGTTTGGAGGATTATCTGGCAGAGAATCCTCTAGAGCTGAACTGAACTAGACCCGTGTCGTGTAATGAGAGTAAGAACTGGTATGCGAGAAAAACTTTTTTTTTTTTTAAACAACAGCCACGACTTGTCGGACCGGAGACTGTGCCCTTGGTCGTTTGTAGTGTTGATCGACTGGCGTACGTGAGAAAAGGGTAGGAAAGGGCAAGATGAAATCGTAGGTCGTGAAGCGTCATTGAAGAATGACAACGACGGGGAGAAATTGATTACACAAGATTGAAGACGACCAACCCCCACCCTCAAGTTCCCAGTCCAGTTCCCGCCTCCCGCCTGCCAGCTCCCGCCTCCCAGCTCCCAGCTCCCAGCTTCCGTGTGGAGACGTCCGGTGTCAATGTCGGGGGCCCTGGCCAACTGATGGGCAACGCCAACTCTGAAACTCCAAGACTTCGGTCCTCGTCCCCTTTACACACTCCCGCTCGAAACCTTCATTCAGTCGACAACACGACACGCAGCGCGTCACGTCTACCCCGCCGACCGTGGTTGACGATTCAACATCCAACGCCATCCCGACAGCCCGTCCGTTTTGCAACGCCCGTCCTACGCACACACATTTCAGCCAGTGTAATCACATAAAAGCAAGGGTCAGTGCTCGATCGTCAGAGTGTGCCCGGCCCGTGCATCAATCACCCCTTGACCGCAAGGCCTCTAGAAATGGCCATTCGGTGCTGAGACTCTCCTAGCCCAGGAACCTACACGCAACGCAGCACAGCACGTCGTGACGCAAGAACCAAGAAAGGAGGGGAAAGAAGAGGCCCAGAAAAGCACGCCGACTTTCCCACCCCGTGTCGAAATGGCGGACAAGCAGGCAGAGACTCCCACTGCCCGGGAGAAGCTTGAAGGTGCGGCGAAGCTCGTCCCCGTGGGAGCCTGAACTGAACGAAGCGTGGTGGCGCGGAGAAGCGGACGCAGCTAACCTACTCGCAGCCCAGATCAAGTCTGCCGACATGGTGAGGAGCGGCGAGCGGCGAGCGGCGAGATGCGAGCTGACGGGTGCGAATAGACCGAGGACATGCAACAAGAGTCGATCGAAGTCGGTACGTCGCGAGCCCCAAGTCGCACGGCGCACACGGACTCGAGCTTGCGTTTCTTCCTTTACCAGCGTTCGGGCATGGATACTGACCACGTGCAGCCCAGGAGGCCATGTCGAAATTCACCATTGAAAAGGTATACGAGACCGAGGAGGGATGCGTGTCCATCGAGTTTTCATGTCGTTGATACGTAAAAATGCACAGGACATTGCCCAACACATCAAGCGCACAGTTGGTCCTCCCCGGTGTCTGCTGCTCCTTAGCGACGCTTCTCTCTGACGATGCACTAGTTCGACGAGCGGAAGGGCCCAACTTGGCACTGTATTGTTGGCCGCAACTTTGGCAGCTTCGTAACCCACGGTCCGTCATGACTCCTGGTCAATCCTGCTCCCTCGTTCGTCTACAACTAATACGCGGCAGAGACCAAACATTTCATCTACTTCTACCTTGGTCACTGTGCCATCCTGCTCTTCAAGACGCAATAATGACTACGTGAACGCGACGACGACGACGACGACGACGACGACGACGACGACGAGGCAAATGGGCGTCTTGAGTATCATGCCGCTCCGCCGAGCGTTTACGATGGACAGGAACCTTGAGTTTCGGAAATGGCTGAGCGGCTGCGGTGTGGAACATGCGTGTGTGTCTGTGAGTCGGGAGCTGAACGGGATTGTCAGATTAGACGGCGGGTTATTTTTCCCGCCACGTATCAAAAGAGAGGGGGAGAGCGGGAAGAAAGATCCATTTGTCTCGTTCCCACGGGAGTCATGGGACACCATATTTTGTCCCTGTGCTGTGCTGTGCTGTGCTGTGCTGTGCTGCTCCGCAATAATGGTGGTGAACTGGTTGCGGCGGAATGATTCGGACATGCTTGGCTTTGCTCCCTACCTCTTCCTTGCTTCTTCTGCTCTTTGCCCTCTGGCTGATGTTATTGCTAAAGCACCGAGCGGCTCGTTGGCCTTGAGAGGGCCTCGACATTCACAAACGACTTGATGCCAAGCAGGGCTGAACATGTCAAGCTTATTGTCTCCTCTAGACCTGGCCCACGAACAGCGGCGCGATATTTTCAACTACTGCTTATCCGTCGTGTCTGATTTCCAGACTGTTTGCTGCCATGCTGTGGCGCACGGGTGGTAGGGGAGTTGCAGGAGGTCGCGAATCGAGCCAAGGTACCTGCATGCTCAGCCGGACTGTTTTGCAATTCTGGTGGCTGCAGTCTTGTCAGAATGGCCTGCAGTTCCCCCGAGTTGATGCCAACGCCGGGGCAGCTCGGATGTTCTGTCGCGTGAATCAGGCCACGGGGCATGACGTGCACGGGCAGGCCTTGCCGTGCTCGCTCGCTCGCTCGCTCGCTCTGCTCAGCGGGTTCTGCATCCTGCGACATGTCTCTTGGTCCGCATGTCTGTTTGCTCTTCTAGAATGGGCACTCCGTAGAGTGGACTGGATTGCAAGGCTGGGATCAAGAATCCTCGCCGACGAGGCGCCTTGCCGCGTCTGGGACTGCAGTCGTCGTCGCACACAGACAGATGACGGATGCATACCGTCGGCAAGGCGACAGATTCGTGAGCCAAAGTCCACACGCCCGCGCGGCCATGCGCGCGACAGGCTCGCTCGGCTTCTCAAGATGCCCATCTCGTGGCCCGGCACCGGCTTCGCCCCGAGAATAATATAGTGACAAGACTCGTCGCCTCACGCCTCACGCCTCACGCCTCACGCCCCGACGCAGCCCGCTCCACTCCGCCGACGTCGCACTCGTCGGTGTACAGATCTCAGATGCACCCAGCCAAGCTGCACATGCACAACATCAACCCGTACTCCGAGGTCGGGCCCCTCTCCAAACCCAGGGCCTTTCTTAGGACAGTCCTCGAGAATCGCCTGGCCATGAGCTCGGCGGCTTTTCTTTTCGCGTGCCGACCCATGTTTGCATCATCACCCCGTACATCCCGATTCCTCACCGACGGCGGCATACATGACATGTATGGCTGACTGCTGGCGGGTCGAGAATCAGCGAAACATCCAGCAGTCACGGAGAACACACCAAACTTACGCCTTCTCCGCAGTAACAAGAGAGAGCACTGTCCAAGTGCCGTCCTACGGAGTAAATGCTTCGCAAATGGTGGGGATGACACGGTAACTACGCATCGATGCAACATGTCTGTCGGGCGGACTCGGCACGGAACGGATTGGCCGACACGGGTCTTTGCTTGCTCCCATCGTCCAGGGACAGGACGGCAAAGGAGTCAAGCCAAAACGTGATACATGACAGAGTTTCTTCTCCCTCTCTGGGCATCCCACGGAAACCTGTTTATCCCCGCTGGCACGCATCGTCTTGCACGAGGTTGACCATGCCGCGGGCAAGCCGGGAAGTAGGATAGAATATCCCCCGGCATTCGACCTTGCTTCTGGTGCTGGTGGCCTGCTCCAAGGAGCAAGGTCGATTTTCTCGAGGATAAGGAGTACCGAGGAGGGACTCGGTTGGTTGTATGCAGTATGCAGCTTCCAAGGTCCGGATGGTTACCAATCAGCCTTGGCTGGCTCGAGGCGACTAAGAAACGCATACTCCATACTGACCAGACGTTTTGTACCAAGTGCGGACTGCAATTTCGCACCCGTCATGATTCCTCCTCTTCCTGCCCTGGTTTTCCCCCGCCTTTGAGACGTCTGGGACTCTGGGGTGGGTGGCATCAGGAGAAGCCTCGACAACATCAACAGCCGCATGCAAGCATGCGGCGTGCGACATGCGGCATGGCGCCGTCGAATCTTGCCGACCACGCCGTACCATCTGGAGAAGAAGGTGACTGGCGGTGGAACAGTCGGGCCAACCAGTCGAACTACCTTCCTGCCGGGAGAAAGTGGTCAATAGGCGATGGGTGAGGGGAGGTAACCAGGCCTCATGTTCTGTTGACGGGTTACCACTTTACAACTGTGGCTTGCCGTGATGATTTGGTGGCGGGCGAACCCGGCCGCCCAAACGAGAAAATAACTGAAGGCTCGACGACTCGACTGTGGGGACGGCGACAGGACAGGCGAGGCAGGCAGGTAACCCTTTGGCCTCTAGACGTCCACGTACTTGTCCTACGTGAAGACGGTGAAGACGAGTGATGACGGCTAATGATTGGGCTAATGAGTGGCCGCTTTGCCCTGCTTGAAGCCGGCGCTGACTCGGTACATGCGATGCGACGGCAAAACTCCATCGAGCCCAGTGAGGATGAGCTCTGGAAAGGCACCAGGCCAGGCCAGACCGGTCTGCCGCCTTCTTGGGCCCTGTCTGCTCTCTCCCGCAGTCAATGCCTTCAAGCTCACCAGTGACGAGCAGTGCAGGACGCCTCGCCGGCCTGGAGTAGCATGCTCTGCAGCGGCTGCGTCCCGACAGGTTGGAATCGCGGAGTCGGTGGCCCAAGAACTGACATGACATTGACATTGATGAACAGTTGCAATGCTCCCGCCACAGCGGCGGCCAGGTTTTGACACGCAAGGGCGAAGGGCTAGCAAGGGAAGCAAGTGCTGTGCCGGCTGGAAATGTGAGACTTGACGGCATGGCATGTTGGTGTGCTCCCGGACGGAGGAGTGCGGAATGTGATCAAATGAGAGGCAGCAATTGTCCCTCCAACTCAGCTGCAACCCCTCTTGTTCTCTGCTTTCTTGTTTCACGGGATGCTCATCCCCGGGTCTCACCATCTCCGTGCTGTCAATTAGAGGTACGTAGTTATGTATTGCTATTGGCTTGGTGTCCGCGGCGCCGTCCTTGACTCCATGTACATGCACCGAGGTTGGTGGTTTGGTTTGGCTTGGTTTGCTCGTCTACAGCAACGTCAACAGACAAACATGAAGAAACAGCACATGTTCGTTGCCGGCTTGTCTGCCCTGCTCCCCTTCTCTCTTTTCCCATAGCCATTTGCGGCACGGAGCACTCCGTATCGTCATCATGATTCGCCCTGTCCGTCTACCCTTGAGCTTGTGCAACATTGTGTACGTGGGCCCCCTGGTGGCCATCTTGTCGGACGGTGAGATGAATGTGGAACAAGCCGAGTCGTCAGCAGAATCAGATGTCTCGAATAAGCTTTGAGCTGCAAGACCGTGTGCTGCATTTTCCCGGTACTCCGTACGGAGTAGAGCAATAATAAGGGCGCCCTTGCAAAGACAAGACTAACAGAGCCGGGCGACTTGCCAATGCATATATAATATGTATACCTTTCTCATCTTGCGAAGAAGACGAGAGTACTCCGTATTCGGCGTAGTAGGACGCTCTGCGTCTCTTCCTGCTCTGCTCTGTGCGGCCCGCGATAATAGCTAGCCACGGTTGTCAGCATCTTGTCTTGCTTGACAATCTGAACCCTTCTTACTAGCATCGTCGCATATTTTCACGTGCTCCGACAATGTCAATCAATACCTACCTACCCAAGTAGGGAGCACTCCGTAAGAGTTGAAGGTTGAAATGCGATCCTCTGGACCGGTTCCGATGCAGGCGGCAATACGGACGGAGTAAACGACAACATTCTTCTTCCCCCGGTCAGTCGTGCAACGCCCCTGCCATTACTGTCAAGCTCGAGCGTATGGTGCGTCGGGTCGAGGGAGTGTTTGAGACAGGTGCGACAGCCAAACCGAGTTCTTGGGCGTTTCAGGCACCCAGCAGGGTCCTGTCATCTTCTCATAGTACGTAACTTCTCCGTATTATTTACTAGCATTGGGTTCCTGACTCCGCTCCGCTTACGCACCACCAGAAGTTGGGACACAGCAGAAAGGCCGCAGAGAACAATTTCGTCCTGTCTATTGCTGGAACAATGACCTCGGGCCTGCCAGCCGGGCAGGCAGGCAGCTTTTGGAGTCGCGCTGCTCCGTACTCCGTAATCTGCACGGACATGCATATACATACTGAGAGGCGAAGCGTGTTTTTGAATTTGGCTGGCTGGCGACGGGTAAATGACCCTGAACATTGGTTCGTGCGACTTTGACTTTGGACTTTGGATCCCGAGGTCCCAAGTCCATGGTTCTCCCTGTACGCCATGCGGATCACGCATCTAGGGCAGGAAACGGGCTTCCAAGGCAACACAAAACAAATCACTGGACCGTCTTCACGCGAATGCTGGGTTGTTTTATTCGCAGGATCTATAGCTGTGTGCCCACGAGCTTGAGCGGAACGAACCAGAGGTGATCATGGCAGTTGTCACGGGCGCGATCATGGTGCGTAGCACAACGTGTTTCAATTGCCTGAGATCGGTTGGCGGGCACGGGCAGATGACGAGCTACGTAGTATCGGAAAGCTGCTCGACCCTGAAGAGAACTCCATCGCACCTGCTGCAACGAGCTGCATCTCATGAGACCCGAAACGAGCAGTGATCCTGGAAGGGGGATGATGGAGTGGGGGGCAAGTGCTGCATCTATCGCAGGCGTAATAAGAGACAGGCATGCTGATAACGTGACCAATACTCCGTACGGGAGGACATGTTTGCTTTCTCCAGGAGCACGTGTTTCAAATCTCACGGCGCGTTGCTCGACACGTCCGGACGTGGTCAGGGCCAGGAAATCGTGTGTCAATCGTGCTTTGGGAAGGAAATCAGGCGTAGGGACCATTGCTCATAATTGCCGAGAGAAAGAGAGAGAGGGAAGGAGTACACGCAAGGAGAACCTAAAAGGCGGGGTGACTTGATGTTGTACATTTGAGAATTGACCAAAAGACAATGAAAACAAAAAAGCAACAACAACAATGGAACAAAAAAAAAGATGGAAAAACAAGACAGAAAAGAAAAACAATGCGGCCGACGACAACAAGGTTGTCCCTACCTCGCTCAAAGTTCCTGCAAGGGGTCAAATGGTTAGTCATGTCGGCAACACTCCAGGATCTGGTGGAGCTCGGCCCTGTCGAGAGATTGGTGCAGTCTGGTGCAATCGAGGCAACCACGCAGGACTCGTTACTGCCTCCAATGGGCGCATGAAGTCAAGTAATTAATTTCTGGACCTCCACGCTCACAGGCCGCCGTTTTTAGCAACAATGTTTGCCAGAGTATTTGCAATCGCAATGAGGCAACTGCAACTGCAAGTGCAACTGCAATTGCCGCGCCTCGAGCATCTCGAACATGTCCAGCTCCTCAAGTACAGTGCAAACACGACGTGCGTACGGAGGGAGGTACGGAGTACATGCGGTATGGCACTTCCCTCCCGCTTTGGCAGAGTCACAGCACCGCCCCACCGATGAAGGGAAGATGCGACTTGGCAGAAGACCCTGGTCCGGCTGCAGTATACAGTGTGGCATGGTCTGTTCGCACCAATCGGCCCTCCATTCGTCGATGACGAGCACAAAGGACAAAAGGTCGCTTTGCTGCAATCAATCCACAGTGCAATTGCACCAAAATAATAATAATAAAAAATAATAAAACCCCAAAGGGAGGAATGGGGTTATTTCAGCGGGAGAGGCTGGGGCGAGTGACCACGAACTCAACAACTTTACTAGTGCTGGTGCCCCGTGGACCCACGACTTGAGCCCAAAATAGGCGCAAGCCTTGGCCATATCACCTCCAATTTGACCGGCCAATGCCGATGGCAATTCTGGGGGCCTGGGCCGGTCTTCGTGTTTGCTTGCCCGCGCATGAGACGAAGCAAAGTTGTTCTCGACACTCTATTGTATGCATAATACTACTAGTACCCGAGTTTAGTTATTTGCCTCTGGACAGCCTGCCAGCGTGCCACAGTGGGAAAACATGCATCCACTCCCAATCTAGCATCTGGGTACGTAGTAACGTTAGTCCGTCCACAGGAACATGCGGGCAACGCTATTAAGCGTCGCGTAATTAAAACAAGGTCTGCGCAAGTAGATTTCACCCCCACCTGCCAGTCCCGTACGGACGGACGGAGCACCCAGTAGTACTAGTATTATCCCAGCTCGGCGGATTTGCTGTGCTTTCATGTATTACACCGGCAGCATGATTGGGGCAAGACTCCGGAGTACGAACTGGCAGCAGTCAAAGCAGTCAAGAAATGCCGCCGGTAGAGGTAGAGGTGAGTGTTCAGAACAGACTCGTGATCGAGGCCATTGCTGATGAGGTCCAGCTTCCAAGGTGCCGCGGCATGTACCCATTTCTGCTCCTCTCATACACTCCCAAACCCACCAGTGCCACGGATTGGCGAACTAACTTGGGAGTCCTAGTAACGATTCAATAGCACATCCATCGTGAGGGCAATCCGCACAGAGAGCCGCCGTATTCGTGGAGGGAACACACATACACACACACCAGCTAGCGACGCCACAGCAACATCCAGAAAAGCGTATTGGTATCGGGGTGCCTTCGGTCCACGGAAGGCTAGTAGTTACTAGCTGGAAGGGCCTATTTGGGATGGTAGCTTCGCTTTCTCGTGCCGATGACTGGACCGGCTGGGATGACTTGTCTCACGGTGTGGATGACGGATGACGGATGATAAGTCCTGCGCGATGGGGAGCGGGCTCCATTGGTGGTGCGACCTCGTGCCAGGTTGGGATGGTGATGCAACCTTGGCTTGGATATCTGCGTGCGCATTTGCGCATTCGCGCGTGCTGCAGGACCCAAGCAGGCAGTCAAGAACGACCACGACCAGACTCAGACTGGCACTGGATGTGACCGGTCTTTGCGTCTTTTGTAGTACAGTATGAACCCGCGGCGAGATGTCGAGGACCGGTTGACTGACGGCGGTGTTTTGCGGCATTCGGAGCGGACATTCGAGGCGAGCGTCCTCGAGCCCGGGGTCAATTGGACTTTCTGCGGAGCACCTTGGATGGTGTTGTCAACTCCGTACTCCGGCTGGTACTTCCTACTCCGCGTCAACTGGTCACTGGTCCCCTGCAACACCGAAGCACGCAGGCTGGAGGCGTGGTGTTGTTTGACCATGGGCTGCTGCCTTGTAGGTTACGTACTTGGTAGTCTTGTGTCTGCCGAAGAAGGAGGGGGCCAGCAATCGGCGCCGTCTCGCCTTGCCATGCCACGCCACGCCACGCCACGCCATGCCATGCCATGCCATGCCAGGATAATGGATATTGGACATGAGCCCTGCCATGCACGACCTGGCCTCACGGCACAGAGTATTATTAGAGATGAGTTTGCTGCGAGGTCGTCAACGCCGTGAAGCCAGCGAGCCCGACCCGACGCCTCTTGCACCTTGCTTGCCTTGGAGCCAGCCGATGCGACCAGACGCCACGCCCGGACGACCAGTGCTTGCTTTGCTAGTGCTGTCTGGCGTGCCTCCAGCAGGTACTTTTCGGCGCTGACCGCGCACGACTACCTCCAGGAACTTGAGCACTTCAATGAAGTACTCACTCAAGTACTTACTTAAGTACCTACCTACCTAGGTACTTAGGGAGGCACCCAAGCACACCGTACCCGTCATCGATGGCATCCGCGTGCTGCCCTCCGAGCCATGTTCTGCACCTGCGTCTGCACATCTGCGTCTGCACATCTGCGTGTGGTCTGCGGCGGCTGCTTCGCCTTGGGCATGGCCTGCATTGATCCCCTGTCCCGCCCGCCAGGGACCACTGAGTCCCAGGCGTGGTGGACTTGACCTCTCACTCACGCACGCCAACTGGTCTTTGTTGTCGACGGGCCACGCCCACGCCCACGCCCTCGCCCACGCCCACTGGAGGTACGGGGTACTCGCAACGGTACGGAGTACCTCAGCACAGCGCATGTTGCAGACCCAAGCACGTGTACTCCGTGCTCGTATTCCCTCTGCACACACGCCACGCCTGGCGCCCCTCTGCGCGGCTCCTCCGCCAGACCCATCCACTGCTGGACCTCTTCCGACGTCTGCTGGAGCGAGCGAGGTCCACTGTCCAGATGTCCCCAGCCCACCACGGGTCCACATCCCCCGTCTGGTCCCCGTCAGCCCGCCCCCCGTCCCTAGCTCGGTGTTCCGCGCTCAATTAGCACTTTGAGCCCACCCGGGTGGCCACCTGAGCAACCAGCTGTTCCTGTCCTCCCCAACTCCAGCCCTAACCTAATCCAGCTGCCCGTGCCCGCCCGTCGCCCAGCGTTGAATGCCAGTGCCAGTGCCAGCGCCAGCGCCAGCGCCCAGTGTCAGTCAGTCAGTCAGTCAGTCAGTCAGTCAGTCAGTCTGGTGCCAGTGCCGGCGCCAGTGCCAGTGTCAGCGTCAGCGTCAGCGCCAGCGGCCGCCCAGCCTTCGCTTCGTCCCTCCTCTTCCTCCCGCCTCGGGACGCCATCAGCACAACCTCATCTTCCCTCTTTATTACCCTTCCTCGTTGTTGTCCAATGTGCCCTGCACCTTGTTGGATACCGCACTGTTTGTTTTGGCCGTTTTTGTTCCGATCCATTCTCATTGTGTCCATCTCACTCATTGCTGTCCCTTTGGGGACGCTGGCCGTGAATAGCCTCTGTGCCATCCGTCAGCCGCCTGACCTCGTCCCGACTGCCCGAGCGTGTGATATCCACGGCGGTTACGAATACAACGAGACCAAAGTCGTGTGCAGTGTATTGTGCCATGTAGCTGACCGCCACATCGACACTCATACTCGCCAGCTTCATTGCAAGAAGCTGTTCCGCCGATCCTACTCGACCTCTGTACTTGCGTTCCGCCTCCATCGACTTGGATCCCTACATCGAAGCTTACACCTCACATCCCACCACGACTAGCAGCGGCCCAGCGCCGCTCTACTGCGGAATTGCTTGCCCAAGGACTTACGAAATCAATATCAAACGAACAAACACGGTCTCTGGACGTGTGGGCGTTGACGTCCGACATTCCACCAAGATGACTTCCCTCAAGGTTCCCGACGGCGGATGGATGCTGGCAGGCTCCGCAGACCAGGAGTCTACGCAGCTGCCTCAAGCATTCGTCGTCAACTTGTCTGATGACGTCGTCGAGCAGATGATCCAAAGCGCCCGCATCGGGGACGATCTCGAATTGGAGTTGGGAAAACGCCCTGTATGTTTTCCCCCAACCTCAGAGGCCAAGCTTGGTGCTTCGGAACGTCGTAAAACGTTCCTTGTCTGGGCGAGTGTTGGAGAGGACCACGATGTGATGAGGGCATCTTTAGCCTTTGTTTCCCTCAAACTGTGCCGCTTGACCATGTCATATCTTTGTGCTAATGGATTGATGCAGATGCTACATTACGGACCCAATACGCATCGAATACCGGCTCCCGAGGAGGAAGTCCCTTTCGATCTATATCTCACAAAACCGTTTGAGTCGACTCGCCGTGCTGAGCGACTACCACATGCGGGATCCGTCTTCATCAAGCCCAAGCCCCTTCGCGTCTCTGGAAAGCAGGGTGTGCCGAGCACGAAGGAAGTCGTTGCCGGCAAGAAGCCCTTGTCCAGCAAAGCCTCGGCGGCTTCTGCGCTTGATTTTGACATTGAGGCCCTGCAAAATGGGCTGGCAGCTCATGATGCTGCCCGCGACCGGTAAGTTACAAGACTCAACGATGCCTTGATGACAATGCTGACGATCGTCGCAGCGCTCGTGTCGTCGAAAAACTGCCCACCGGCAAGGGCGCTACCAAGACCAAGAACAAGGTCAAACCTTTGGCCAATTACGCGTCTCCCCCCAAGTCAATAACAACATCGCCGGCGTTGAATGCCACCCGCTCGCCGAACCTCACGCCGCAAGTGTCAGCCTCACAGCAAGTCATGGAAAGGAAGAGAGAGCAAAGATTTACGTTGGTCCACGAACTGGCGGTTACGGATCGAATGACGGACTATTTGAAGAACAAGTGGACTGGAAAGGAGGAAGATTTTCGGCCAACTTTGGAAAAGATGGCTGATTTGAGCACCGATTCCAAGAAATGGACTATGAAAAAGGCATGCTGGAAGGAACTTGACGTTTGGAAGTACGACTACGGTTCCCAAGACGACCGCCAGACAGCGATTGACAATGCTGTTCGACAGTATGACAAGCAGCGGCTATCATCCTCTGAAGTTGAGTGGCAACGCTTGTTGCCCAAGGAAGAACGAGGCAAGGGGAAGTGCTTGAGTCGACTGCAGGCCAACTTGGCAAAAGGTCCCGCGCAAGCAGCAACGAAGGCCAAGGCCGACAATTCTGGCCCCAAGGACGACACGGATGGTGTCGAGAATGATAAGACCAAGTACGGGGGTGAAGGCATGTCTCGGTCTAACTCGGCTTCGTTGCGAGCCAAGTCAAACAAGCTCTCGGCCCAGGAGGCTCAGACTAAAAGACTGCTCAGCAATTCGAAATCCACAGCCGCCGCACCAAAGACGTCTCCTTCCAAGGCCAGAGCGGCAGCCAGGGTCGAAAAACGGGTGCTTTCTGCAGCCATTATTGAGAATTCAGACTCATCTGGCGACGAGGCACCCATTGTGAAACCAAAGCCGGCGCCAACTCAAGGCGGTAAAGCCAAGGACACTGTCATTGTGAACACTCGACCGTCGGCACCAGCAAGAGAACCTGTCAGGAGGCCACCTGTGAAGCGGGCGAGGGAGGAATCCGATTCGAGCTCCAGCTCCGGCACGCCTTTGTCGAAACGCATCAAGCCGAAGCAACCACTGCCCGCCCCCGGTCCCAGGGCGGTCGCCGCGAAGGGCAGTCGGCAACTGCAAGCCCGTGCAGCGCCGTCGTCATTCAGAAGCAAAAACACGAACAATACGTCTCCGACAAAGTCGTCACCGCTTGCTTCGTCCCCACCTACAAATGCATCAGACCTGGGCGAGGAGCCACCGGTTTCAAAGAAACGAAAGGCAGACAAAGAGGAGAAGCCAATATTGGCGAAGCGTCGAGCTGTCCAGAGTGTGCCGTCTGATGTCTTGAACAAGGCACACAAGTTCAAGACGTACTATCAGCAATATGAGAGCTTGCACTACGAGATTACGGCGCTCGACAACCCACCGCACGAGAAGCTCGCCAGCCTGCTAGACCTGCGGGACAGACTGCAAATCATGAAGCGCGAGATTTACAAGCAATACTCTTCAGAAAGAGAGTGAGTGAGTCTGTGAGGTTGTCTTTCCTTGATGGAAAATTTTTTTTTGTTTTCAAAAGCTTCTTGAGAGCTTTGATTTTTTCCCTCTTCATTTTCACGACATTGCATGCTCGGCCTGGGATGGAAGCGATATTTTTGTTTTTTATTCTCTTTTGACATTTTCCCGTCATTTTGACCGACACAACTGGCGCACACAGGATAGCGGAACTTAGCATTTGCATCAAGGGCCATGGATTGAGGACCATTTGCACACCCATCCAGCAGGGGTAGACTTTTGGCAGTAGCAGTGGCCGATACGGAGGCAATCTGGGAAGGCCACCAAGGGTGAAGATGAGGGAGCTAAGGGAGAAACAAAACCGAGGGGACAGGGCTGCTCGCGGAGTGAATGAGGCTTCGTGTGTGCATGCATGCCCGGGCGGGGAGTTTTTAGGGTTTCTTTTTCCATTGATTTCCTCTTCTTCATTTTCTTCATTTTTCTGCCTACTTTTTTTTTTTGATACCACAGCCTGATACAGGCATAAATACAAAAAGTATCGCGAAATAATTGATGATGAATGCGTGACGTGGGGTGCTGCCGCGGGCGGGTAGCTGGCGACTGGTGCAAGTAGCGCGTGCGAAAGGCCAAGTGCAGACGCGGTTGTTTCAATCCCCATCGTCCGGATTGTGGTCTGGTCGAAGACGTGCAGCGGCTGGCCTATGGCTCGACAGCGAGGCCCAGCTGTGCGGTGAGGCAGCGGCAGCGGCAGCGTCAGCGATGTCGAGCCGAGTCGACGCAGTTGGTTGCAGATGTTTCGGAATGATGCTCGGTTTCGGCGCCGACGACGGTGCACGGGAGGCCCCGTGCTTGGCAGATGCTACGTAGGTGCGCACTCTGCTATGGGTACGTACTTGGGAAAGAAAAGAGACAAAAAAAGAACAAAAAGAAAAGAGGAGGTGTGGACTCCGGGAGCCGCGAGCCGCACGCCCGCGCGCACGCACAAAGAAGTTGGCGAGCGGGCTTGAGCCCTGGTGCTGCGCAGGCAAGGTCGTAAAGCCGCGTCTTGCACAACCGCCGCTTGCTCGTTTTTCTCGCCAGCTTCTCGTCGGCTCCGGACCGGGCCGACTCCGAGGGCTGTGGTCTGCTTTGGCCAGCCACGGCCGTTCCTTGAGAGCCTGTTTCTTCCATTACGACCAGGGCCCGCACGACGAAACAAGCAGGCCGAAGCAGAGCGAGGCACGGAAAGGGAAATGGCCTCGCTGGACTTGCCCCAGGTCTATCAAAGGCCTGGCTACGACACACTTGTCGCTGCGCTGCAGGGCCTTGCCCTCGAGCCGCCGGCGTGGAACCGCAACCGCCGCCGGCAGGGGGGCTGGTCGGCCCACGAACAGGAGTCGCTTGCTGCTCTGCGCAAGCCCGACGTGACGCGGTACATTTCCACCATCATCTCCTCGCCGCTCGGCTGGATCCGCGACGAGGAGCAGAGGGAGACGCTGTGGGATCTGGCGGCGCGGCGCATGGCCGAGCGTTGCGGCCGCGCGGCCATGGGCGACATGGTCCGCAGGTGGCCGTTTGACGCGACGCCGGCGGCCGACGGCGTGGGCGCGTACGAGCCTTTCGAGCTGGTGATTCGGGAGCCGGCCTTGACGGGGGACTCTCTGGGCTTCAAGACCTGGGGGGCGTCGTATCTTCTTGCTCACCACCTGCCCGCCCTGGGCGCCACGACGCTTTCCAGGCTGTTTGACGAGTCGTTGCGCCACGACGCCCCCGCCGTCCTGGAGTTGGGGGCCGGCACGGGGCTGTTGGGCCTGGCCGCCGCCGTGTTGTGGAGGGCGCGCGTCTGCTTGAGCGATTTGCCCGGCATCACGGGGAACCTCGAGAGCAACGTTGATGCAAATAGGGCCGTGGCGGAGGCCAGGGGCGGAACCGTCGACGTCGGCGTGCTGACCTGGGGTGGTGGTGAGGATGAGGTTGATCAAGCCTTGTTTGGGCTTGGGCATCAGTTTGACGTACGTCCCTCTTCTCCTTTCTTTTACCATTTTTCGTTTTCACCGTCTGGAGCCCGCTGCGAGCACGCTGGCTGACGGCTCTTCATGGCAGATTGTGCTGGCTGCAGACCCAATGTACGACCATGACCATCCGGCCCTGCTGGCATCTGCCATTGGGCGACATTTGGCCTTGGGCACGGAGTCGCGGGCCGTGGTCATGGTGCCGCAGCGTGACGGCGCGACCATCAGGCTTCTCGAGGCGTTCAAGCGGGCCATGCTTGCACTTGATGGCCCCCTGTTCTGTGTCGAGGAGGACGAGTTGGCGGGCCAGGATGATTGGGCTGGCGATGATGACGAGGGCTGTGTTCGGTGTTGGCTGGGAGTCTTTTCACGCGTCAGCTCGCCGGCGCCTGTTTGATGTTGTTTTGTCTTGTCCTGCTATAGAGTAGCTCGGATGTGGGACGGGACGGCCTTGGATTTGAACATGAGCGCCGGCGACACTGGCGACGGACAAACATATCTCGCCTCGGGCTAGTCTCCTTGACAGCAGACCTCGGACCGGCACCAACATAGAAGCACATCATCTGTGTTTCGGCGCCAGTTTGCCGTGTCATTTTGCGAGCGAGTACACATGACAACGATGACGGCGGCCCACAGATGACGTTTCACACTCACTGACACCCACGTTTCCGTGAGGGCTCCAAGCAGAAGCAGAGACGGATTCACTGCACATGATGTCGTGAATGGCACCCCAGCTGGGTCTTTGCCGCTCTCTGCTCCCAGATCGAGTGCCCAGTGTCTCGTACCATGTCACAGACCTCCAGAATAGAGCACCCGTGCCCCGACGCGAAACTGTCATGAGAAACCGTTGGCTGTGGAGGGTACTGTCTCTTTCGGAGCATTCCTGTTGTTGCGTTGCGGACGTGGTCTGGACCAAGGCTCGGCAGACTACGCTCGCCAGGACTCTGCGGATAGAAGCCGGCTCATGGCTGGCACGGAACACCAATGTTCGCCGCACTGGGCGCAATTTGACTACCGGATTGGGTCGTGTTTTATCGGCTGCAGAGAAGGAGGGAGCAATTGTCACTTTGAAAGGAGAATACCCGGCGGCAATTGTACTTCTGCGTTGCGCCGTACATCTGGCACCCCCCGAGCGAGTTTTACCGGAACAGCATGGCACCAACCAGATACTCGAGAAGAAAACCATGTGAGTAGAGTATCGAGGTTTGTTGTGAAGGTGACACTTTGAGCCAGTGAAGCAGTCACACGGCAGGGGCCCAAGTGAGAACGTATAAGGAGCACTTGCACGGACTGAAGAGAAAATCCGCCTGCGCGTATCGGTGGCCGCATCGTCTTTTGCGTGAATCGAGGCGCCGTTGTTACATGTAGGCCGTGGTGCCCATGTTTGTTCTTTGTTTTCGCCGACACTTGTCCGTTTGGCCTCGTGACTCTTGCCTGGGTGTCGTGACGCAGTCGGACTTTGGTTGGTGCTGTCGATGAAATGAGGCCTTGGGCCCGATTGCATGCTGTGGTGACTTGCTGATGATAGCGCTGACAGGCAAGAGTCTACTCGCGTTCTCGTGTTTCATAACTGTATACACGGAGCTCTCCATCGTGGCGGCGCTCTGAGTTTACAGTGACGACACTTCGACTTGCTGGCATGTCCGTGGCATTAGACAAATCGTTATGGACGCGCCAGTTTGACAGCGAGGCTGAATAGCCTAGGCATACGCTCCTTTCCCTCGAAAGTTGCATCGTCGTTGATGACGTCTCTGAAACTTGATCAGTTGAAAGTTTAAGATCCTTGTGTAAGCCTCGTCGGAATAAAGCCTCCACAACGAGCTGTCTTGAGCCCAAGTCCAGCATCCAACCTCGCCCCCTTGTGGGACGCCCACTGATCGGCAATGTCGCGAGTTCTATTTCGACACGAGCTTATTCCAGTCGGTACGTTTAAAAATGAGTGAACATCTAGTCTTGTAGTGGTTGAACAGTGAGATCACCGGGTATTACCGCAGCATGCAGATTCTCGCCGTTGAGGTACGAGCCGTTTGTCGCCTTTTTTTTGTACCTCTCCTTACGGCGTACGTCGATCCGGCCAGGACTCAACGTCGCCGTCAAGGCTTACAATAGTAGGTGCTCACCAGCTGCCTGCCAAGGCCGAGAGTTGCTGTTGCGAACATTTGCTTGGAGACGCAGAGACTGCCACGACGACTTTCGAATATATACATGGTCATAAGAATTAAGACTGAGACACAGTGCGCCTTTGGGTTTGTAGGATCCGTTCTTGGAAACTCTTCCGCCTTGATATTTTCGGGGCCCTAATACGTTTGAACGCTTGTACTTGGTCGAGTTGTTGAATTGGTAATTATATGAGAAGGAGTAATGACAACCCGCCGGACTTTTCTCGTCGAGCATTGCTACAACGCCGTTAGAGCTATTGACAATAGTCTGTCCGTTTAGAACATTGCCGGCATCAAGACGCCAAATACTTGGCTCACCAATATTTTTACAAACCTTTTTGATGAGCATGCATTCGACATATAGGAATGAAAATTGTGGTGCTTGTCGACAGTATGGTCTTCGTTCGACTCTTGTCTGCCCAGACAAAACCTCAGGACGGCAGGCCAAGGCTTTTGAGCCAAGGTATCAAAGACATCCCATATCGACTTCGGTGGTATAGTAGGATAGAATAGAACTTTACCGCGTCTTGATACCGTGACAGCCGTTGTGTCTCCTGTTGGCGACGTTGGGGACCTTTACGAGCCAGCGGTTGCTCTCGTCGATTCGGGACGATGTGCTAAGCCACGATTTCGGTCCGATCTGGACAGAGAATCAGGCTTTTACGTGTGGAATCCGCCAGCAAGACGTTTCAATGATCCAACGGCGTTGGTTTTCTTGTAATGCCACATTGCGGACGTTGAGAGCAAGTCGAAGACTGGACCATGGCACATCTGGGTTTCCAGGGACGGGGTCCGCAGGACGACCACGCCACCAGAACAATGGGACGAAAGTTGGAGCATCTGCAAGGACATTGAATATATATACGGCATCATTGATCCGTCCTCTCATTCCTGATTGAATGTTCAGTGCGTGGCTGGTAGGTGACGAGGACTTTGGCGTGGTGGAGCAAAGAGCGACTGTCTGTCTCTAGCAGTCGAAAAGGGTCAAAGCTATTCGATGTTCGTCAGCGTCAAGGGCGTAAAAGCTCCCGCCTGGTGACCTGAATCTCACCACGTATACGAGGACATGGAGCGTCACGGCTCAGGAGCGCAGAGCATGCCGAGACACTCGCATGTTTCTCAAGAAGCCGCGCCAAAACGAGAGCAGGACTACCCGCAAAGGAAGAAAAGGCAACTTGCGCTTCTTTTGGCCGGCGAGAGCCCCATGCGAGGACGAGGACGAGGACGAGGGCGAAGGCAGAGACAATGTGCCATGGCTTCAGGCAGCCGACGGATGACACACGCAGTGAACAATGAACAATGACAATGAACAATGAACAATGACCAGACGCAAACACAAGCAGCACTGAATTGTCGCCGGAGCCTTGGAGCCTTGGAACTCTCTCCGAGTCGTCTTAGTCATTGGAATTCGCAGCCGTCAAAACTTGCCAGCTGCTGCTGCCACTGCCCACGGTCCTGGGCTCTATTTCTCCTGGTCCCGCGTGTCTGTCTGCTCGTCTCCCGCAACAACTTGACTTGTTCTGGTCATTAGTCATTGGGCAACTCGCATAAGCAAGTACATTACATACGCGTATGCGAGGCTGGTCATGCTTTTGTCCCGTCGTCTTTTCCTCTCTCACCGTCCCCGTCTGGTGTTTAGCTTTCATGCCCACCCCCCCAACAACATCCCAACTACGCCTCCGATTCCCCTTTTGCTTTCCTACCGGCCTTCTCACATGCGTACTACCAGCTCCCATCAGCAAATGATCCATCACACGTCTCTCTGTCATCGCGCCACAAAGCATCTGCACCGTCCGGACCTCAAACGCCTCGACTGGGTCAGGTTCCAAGTCGCATATATGCGTCATGGTCGACGTGCCGCCCGCTTCACCACATAGTGATTATTTCCCTCTCCCCGAGCCAATGATGCGGTGGCCATGGTCATCTTTTCGGCCTGCTCACCTTCACTGACTTTTCATACTTCTCCCAAGGCCCTCCTCAGATCACCAACGATCGGCAAAATAACGTGTTCGCTCCTCCTTGGGGCGACGACAGCACACAAAACTCATCCGTGTCATCTTCCGAACTTGAATTTGAGCCGTCTCTGATGGCACCCGATCCCAAGTGAGTCTGCGTGTTTCAATACAATCTGTGTAAACAAGCAATCTTGCGATGCCGCCAACTGGCCTACCTACAATATATATACACACATATATTCTCGCCCTCTTTTGCACAGGCATTTGTGTCTCGGCCAAGTTTGCCAAGAAGCATGCTTGATGCGATTCCTCTTATATCTTCCCGCCTCAACTCTCGACATTTTTGCACTTTCTTCATCTTTTCACTTTTCACTCAGTCGCTTGTGCGCCTCGCCGGAGCAGCCATCTCGATTGCCTCGTGACCTGTTGGCGTCAAACAGAAAAGACTACCAAATACCGAGATGGCGGGTTCTCAACAGTACAAAAACATCGAGATACACTACGTTCTGAAGGCTATTCACATGAGAATGCCGTCCGACTGGGTTCGCATGAGGTTCGAGCAGCGCTTCAAGCGCAAGCTCACCGAGAATCAACTCCGTTACTTGAAGAATAAATATGGCAGAGATCCCCGCTTCGGGTAAGCTCTATCTCCCACTGGCGGTATTCTGTTCATTGTTATCAATCACATCCTCAAGCACATGCGTCCGTTTGTCTCATTCCTCACACTCCGTCTTGATGCTGACCATCCCCTTCCATAAGTACGCCTGCTGCCAACAGCACTTCTACCTTTGGAGCTCCAAACCCGCGTGTTGGACCGGGCTACTGGCCGGCTGACGATATCCTGGCCATCGACTACCATGCTTTCCAAGAGCGCGGCGACGACGTTGCCGAGCCCAACCTTCGTGTTGTTGCCCCCATTAATGGCATCGTGGCCCCAACTCCTTCTCCCGTGGCTCCTCATGCCCCTATTTCTCGTCCAGGATGCCCAGATGGCTCTGAGATAGCTGGAGCCCTCAGCGTCCATACCACTTCCGTGGCCGGTCAGAAGCGCACGCATGGCACGGATGAAGATGAAGAGGCAGAGGTTGACGGCTTGACCGAAAAGTGTGTTGGTCTGTCCTAATGCCTTGGAGCGCCCGAGACTAACCTTGAGCCTCCTCCAGTCGTCTTCCAAACCTCCATAAGATATGCCGCCTCCATACCTCGGTAGGCTACACGGACAATTTTTCTCAGCCGGAATACTCTTCTTCTTTTTCAAGTGCTTCTTCTATCTACGAAAATGGCACAATGTTCTCCAGTGGCTCGACTCTTGCTCCTTCTCATGTTGGATCAGTCCCTTCATCAACTGTTCACATTCCGCAACCTCCAACATTCTGCTTGAGCAGTCCAGTCCATGCCTATGGATTTGGACAGGCGAACCAGCTGCAGATGAACTCTTTCCCGTTCACGCAATTCCACTCCATGGGACAGGGCGTAGCCAGTAATATGTACACTGGCAATCCTACCTGCCAAGAGGGTGCAAACGGAAATCTGTCGGGTCTCGCAAGACAAAGCGCTCCAAAAAATATAAGGACGATTCCATTCTGTCACCCAAATCTCAACTTTTCCTTCAATAGCAGTTATGGTCAGCATGTCTCCAACGACGAGAGCATTCCTGGCTATAGTTACCAGCACGGCCCAAAAGGCCTTTTTGACCACCTTGGCCGGAACTCTGCCACGTCAAATCCATGGGAGTTCAGCAGTGGCATGGTTCACACATCTATGGACCTTTTGAACTCGACACCCGCTTTCATTGGACTCAATGACACACCAGTTTTGGACACACAAAATTATCAACCGCATTCTAGGCTTGCCGACCACTCCCCCTTTGTGCCCATTTCGAAAATGCCACAGGCGCCAGCGATATCTTTCCAACAGATCAACAACCAGGTTCTCCGGAGAATATCCCCTGAAGGGCCGGCCAAACCAGAGCCCGAAAGTTGCCGTAGGCCGAGGACGGGACTCGCCAAGGATGTCCTTGATAACGTGACATCCAAAGAATACATGGAGCGAAAGCACAAAGACTGCATTGAGGACTTATCTGTCCATAGTACTGATGCGGACATTCTGGATTTCAGTTCTTGTTTCCCTGCGCCCCCTCAAGACTCTTTCAATAAGGCTCTCGGTATCGCAGACCCAGCCACAAGTGTGAGCGCCCCTACAGCCAAAACTGCTTCTTTAGATGAACTGAATGTGACGGAAGTTTCTGATCGTGATCGTCCTACGACGGCATCAACTGTCTCGACTGATGAAACTTCGGTTTCCCGGCCGAGAGAGCCTACCCACACGGGCAAGTTTCGTAACAAAAGCAGGCTTGAGAATAAACGTCCCGGGGATGGCTCCACGCCCGGCACGACCCAGGCTGTTCTTGGAATTTGCGGGGAACCAGGAGAAAAATGACCAGACTTTGCTTGGTGTATTTTGGTGCTGCTCAAGCGTGGCTAGGCGTGCCACGATTTGGCCCATTTCTTTGCCCCGATTGCGACTTTTTATCTTTTCACGTATATTTGACCAGCACTTGAGACCATTTGACTCCACTGGGGTCTTCCGTGGTTTAGATATTCGTTGCCCTTGATATGTCAATTCGTTTTACCAGTGACTAAGGAATGGATACCTCTGGTTTTGAGAAAGGAACTTGGAATTATTTTGTTTTGCATTTTCGCTAAAAAGCGAAATGGGTTTTATGAATTCAAGCTTAGTGAGAGTTTGATGGTTTTTGACGAGGCGCGTGAGAACGGTTGTGGGCCCTTCCGAGTTGGAGGAACTTTGCTACAAAGAAAAGGAACTAAAATGAGTATAAAATGCGCAATTGACTAGATATTGTCCCTGAGATTTAATACGCCTCTGAGAAATCATGAAAGAGAGGTTGATTGAAGCAGAGCAACACGATAGTCTAGGCCTACGCAGCAATGACTCCCATCCCCGCCTAAACCGACAGAGATAAAAGGGGCTAAAGCAAAGGAACAGAAAACCAAGTAGAAGGAAGGGGGTATCTCGTGCGATGTGACAGGTTTAGTTGAGCACCACATATCGCTCTTTTGTAAAGCTCTCCGCTTCGACAGAGAATTGGCCTTGGTCAGAAAAGGAAAAGAACAAAGCGATCTCGTCTCCAATCAAATAAAACCATAAATGCTGAAAGTCCAACTCGTAACTCAAACTCTAGACCGAAATACTAACATTCCTTCGTGATTCAGCTTCATCAAGGGAAAATTGGAAGACAAATTTAAAAAGATCGCGGAGGTAGGCATATCGCGGTGAAACGTTGCTCATGGCCAGGACACTCTTCGCCATGTCCTGAGCTACAACCCGTTTCCCACGCACTGGCAAGGGTTGGTTCCGTGGAATGAAGTTGTCTGATAGAACAGAGCTTTTATATTGTTGCAGAAGGGTGGCATGACTAGACAGGGAGCCGAACGAGCCCGCGGGTAGCCCTTGAACAAACTTGAGGAATATTATAGACTCTGATTCAGCCTCTTGGGCAGCTTCTCGATTGAACCCCATGTTCATAGCCGCTCGGAGGACCAAGACCTTTGGTCTTGAGATGTTGGGATCTTCCGTCGCGGTGGTTTTGGTTGCTGTACTCGAAGTTCGATTACTACCTCGCGAATAGCTGGACATGTTGGACGTGTTACTCGACCATCTTCCCCCGAGATCCGTGTCACTGGGAGCCCCGAGTACCATAATGTTGGGCATCTGAGGAGATTCACTTTCCGGTGAGATAGGAGTATCTTCGAACTCAGTGACAGGAGTTTCCGGCCCGGGTGGCGGCTTGCGTGGCCGTTCCTCTTGATGACTGTTTTTAACACTGGCCTTTTTTGAGTGCAACGAGGAGCGATTTGATTGTCGGCTTTCTCTGCCAGATTGCTCAACAGGTTGCTGGGAGAAAAAGCTCGTTTGGCTTGGTCTAGGGGTATTCCTGTCAGGGCGAATCTGGGTCCAACCGTCTCTGAAAATGTCACAAAGGTCCCAGCATGCTTGTACAGCAGATCCAAGTAATTCCTCATCCACCGGGTTTCCATCCCGCTTGGTTTGACGAAGACTGAACAGCATTTCGGCCAAGGCCCAGCATGTGCTGAGGAGGTGATCAGTCTCTTCTGCCAACTCACTACGCTGTCTCATCAGGCGATGGCAAAGTGTGATGTAAAAGTCCAGGGTTCTCTCCCTGAACGGTTCTGGGAGCTTCCTACTATCTTGGGCGCTGTACAGGCTGCATCACCTATGTTAGCTACAACGGCTTCTCGACAATCTGTCACAGAAGTATCTTACTGGTTGTTCAGCTCAAAGCTCACGCGAAGCACTGAGTCAGAAGTCTCGTCTTTCTTTTGACGGACATCAAAAAGAGCTTGACAGAAGTCTCGACACAGTTCCAGGTTCGTTCTCACATTATGAGAAGCCAGATCTTCGTCTTGGTTGTCGTAAAGGCACTGGCATAGCTTCCAGCAAGATTTCCAAGCTTTCTCATAGGCGTCTGGCGTGCCAGAACTGTAGAATACTTGTGCTCTGTGGATTGCACTAAGGCTAGCCAGCGTGTTGCAGAGCGTCCAACACTCCTTTAGCGCGGCCCGCAGAGCTGTGATTTCATCATGAACGGGCCGTAGAAATGGATTAGCAGGATAGTCGTCCTCGGCATCGTCGTCGTCCACTTCAGCCTCAATTTGTTCATCGATCTCTTTCTGCTTGTAAGCTATAGAATCTCAACGGAAAGCTTGTGAAAACATACTTTCGAGACTGCTAGTGCTACTGGATCTCAACCGGCCCCCATCAGCTAATATATCCTGAAGATCCTGAGCTCGGGGAGTTGCGCTGTCATTGCTGTATCGAACGGGTTGTACATCTGTCGAAATAGGAGGCCGAGGAGGATGTGATGTGGGCTGTAAGCAACAGCGGGTTAGTAGCCTGTCTAATAGATCGACTGACCCATTGGCTTACCTCTTGAACAGAACTCTGGAGTGCGGAAGAGTTTTTCTCCTCCCCCCTGGGCAAGGACCGTTCGCTAGGCTGGCTTTGTTGAGCGGTGGACTCTGTTGAGGTCTGGCAGATGTTAGCACCAAGCAATTCTCAACGAAGAATGCATCGAATCCACGAAAACCGAAGCACCCACCCAGCTAGCAAAGCTCTCAGGTGCATGAATGACTGAGACGGCTTCATCACCACTTGCCTGCCGAAAATTCTCGGACAAATTTGTTGAGAGCACGAGAAGCTATCTATAAGTTACAAAAGGACTTGACGCTTGATATGTGGGCGACGTACTTCTAAGCGTTGAGACTCATCTTCAAATGATGTCTGTTCTACCTCTTCTGATGCATCGTCCTCAATCTCCGTGGTTTCTGTCCCATTCGAGGTCACGGGAGATGGTCCCACGATGTCACTTGGGCTCAGAACGTTCATAGAGTTTGAAGACACGCGGTTGATGGAGTTTGACCGCAGCATGACCGAGTCTGTTACAGGTGGAAGGGAAGAGCTGATCTAGGAAGTTAGAAGACGTCATGCATAGGTCAATGGGAAAGTAACTTACACGACTCTGTACGGCGATGGTAGTCCTTCGGTTTCTGGCGAAGCAGAAATATCACCTTCTTTATTTAAAGGAAATCGCAGGTTTCCGGCTGATGATCTAAGAGGTGCTTCAATAGCCATGATTGTGTTGGAATGAATGCACGAGGGATCGACAGAAGAATCGGAGGCAATGCAGGATGGGAACAATAGATATGAATCAAAGGGCTGCATTAACGTGATGTAAGCCTGCGGCGCACTTTTCTTTCACATGCCTCGGCGAGCTGCAAGTTCAGCCAGTTCAAGAACCACAGTGAAGCCGAAGCCACAATGAAGTGAGGTATGCCTCGCCGCCGAACTGTCTTAGACCGTGGGTCAACGGTGGTTGAGACGAGGTGATCCACGAGGCCACAAAAATCGGCCTGGCTCACCGGCAAGCTTCCAGAATAGAAGCGCCAAGAGGACGTCCGGCCAGATATTCCTCCAGAGGCAGGGTTGGGAGGATCAGTGTCGAGAGTAACGAGTGCGCGGCTGTGGTTTGAAAGAGGCTTTCGCGTAATGAGTGGTCACGGTCAGGTTGGTTTATAGACAAGGGTGACTGGACCCCATATGTATGCATCCAGCTAGGCTGCAGTAGGCTGAAATGGCACCCCTGAGAGCTCTTCTGCTATAGCGGTACGTAGCAGAACATGGCCGTTGCTTGTTGGAAGCGCCAGGTTGTCGGTTCAACCTGCGCGGATGGACAGGTCAGTGATCGAACCCGGCGAAGAATTGAAGAAGAAGCCAGAAACCTCCAGATATCATCCTTATGGGCTACCGGAAATATTTGAAGTGTCCAGCCAGAGTATAGGTCGATAAGGGTGTTTTGGTACTCTTGGCGATGGCTAGATCCATACATGAAGAGGCTTGGAGCCTTGTGAGTTAGGAATCGTTACCTTGGCGATAACATTGGCTTGAACTAGCAAGCTTGGGCCCTACAATCTGGCAGGCAGATCCCCATCTTTCAATGGACTATACTCGGAAGGTTTTCCGGGAAACATTGGCAGCTCGGCGGATGATGGCAGTCAACTCGAGCAGAAAGACTGTTGGTCAATTAATGTGAATCGCAGCACCATGAGAGCGACAAGCGTCAACCAGAGCATTCGAGTCGCATACGCTATGCCCCAAATAGATGTGAGCGTTTTGTTCCCACAAGCAACGCGTAATGAAGAGCGAAGCTTCCAACGGGCAAAGCTGTCTGGCTCTTCTCTTCTCGATCCAATCTGGTGTGGCATCCAAATCAGCCTAGGTCCGAGCTCTTTTCGCCATCGCCTCTTACCGCAACGGCCCAGAGCTCTCTCTGTCCCAGCCAGTCACATATCGCGTTACTCGTGGTTGTGGAGGTTGAGGACGGGCCCCAATGCGGCCAACGCGTGGGGCGCAACAGGCCTCGGCGCTTAACTCTGGCGAGTAGGTTGACGGCGGCTCGCTTCCGGCAACAGGTGGCATTCGTTGACAGACATTCCCATCTTTGAGGGGTGTGATGTGCCGGGAGCTGGCTCCATCGTCTTGCATGCTGATGCTGATGCTGATTGCCCGCCTTTGCCCTGCTCATGTGGGAGACTACCGTGCTTATGCCTCAGGTATGCTTTGTATGCCATGGAGGATTCGTGACGCGAAACCTCTCGGCAGCGTGCAACATGACGGGCGGCTTGGGAGGGGTGTCCGAGATGATATCAATGGACCTGTTTCGTAGCTAGTAAGCACCTCTTGCCTGTCTTGGGGTTCTGCAGAGCGGAAGCCAACATTCTGGTCGGGCTGACTTGTATGATATCTTGACCTGCCAAGTTCTTGCCTCGCAAAGCATCCAGCCACGAGCTCGCAGCGCTTGTGTGACCGACGCGCTCGGAGCATAAACTGGTCTAGACTGGTATTTTGTGGTATCTTGACGGGTAACATTTGACCTTGGCTGCTCCTGTTCGAACCACGTCTCAGCCTTTGGAAAAAAGCACGACAACAACCCAAGGCGTGTCATATCCACCGCTACTCTGTACTGGCAATGGTAACTACTGCGTATTTGTCGTGGACGAACCCAAGACGTAGGCTTTCTTGGGCTTGTTTCTCAATGGCTGGTTTGGTCCCAAAGATCTGGTCACGGCGGCTTCGACACCGAATCAGGTCTGGCAAGTGGAGCCACAGACCTGAATGAATGACTGGGGGATTGAAATGCCTCTGGAAACAAAGTCTTCTCAGCAGAAAATAGAGTCGACACCGTTGGCTCAAGGCGATTTTGCGTGCAGGTGAGTAATCTGAAAAGGAGGCCATGCCAAGTGGGGAAGTACAAATTTTGGAAGTTTGCAATGGGAAGGAGCAGTCCCCATGGGCCATGGCAACAGCAAGGGTTGATGCGTGCGAGTCTCCCGGGTCCTAGATGAGATCATTATCAACGCTTGCCGAAAGAGCTCGCTCGCTCGGACTGACACATCCTGGCAAGCCATGCGCAGTGCGTCCAGCCTCGATGCGTGGTAGCTGGATGACCGCAGTTACTTGATGCCCTCGCAAACAGCCAGCACACCGTGAACACCGCAATCCATGGCTCTATGCATGGGTTCCACGGCAGCCAGCTTGATCGGGAAACCAAGTCTGCCCGAGCGGGAAGTTATTGGCTAACGTAGCCGCGATATGGCCGTCAATTGCAGACTTTGACCTCTCCAGTCCTGCGCGACGCTAATGACGGCCTGATCAATGGTTTCAGGTATGACAGCAAGCCAAGTTGAAAGCATTGCGTCGTTTGCCGCCATGAGCTTACACTAATGCGGATACGATTTATATTTAGCATATTCTGGACCGAAACACGGAGCAACTCGGCAGCTGGGAAAGATAGCAGGCCTGTCCTGAAATTGTATTGCGGTTATGAAATACAGCGTATTCATAAAGCCTAGTCCTGAACGCGCTATTGGAGACTGGTCTGATGCGTTGCCGGAAGCCGACACCCTGCTTAGTTCGTGTCGTCAATATGCCGCAATTCAATCAAGTATGTTTTGGCTACCATGAATGATGTACTTCTGGCACACACAGCGAGCTTGCGACTTAATTAAATGAGGCATAACGTACGTTGTCCAAAATATCTCCATTCACCACTATAACACAATGTGCGAGTGCACACTTGGCGGTAGCCAAAATCCCTTCCTATGGCATGGATCTGAGTAGCAACGGGTAAGTATCTCGATAGTTGCCGATGTGAGAAATGACCAGAATCACGGCCGGAGAAGAAATTCCGCTGTTGAGTTACTCTGCTCGAATACTTTGGTCATGAGTACTCGATGGATTCACGGCTTGACTTTGGCCAGAGTAACGGTGACCTGCTATATCTGGCATCCCGAGCTGAACATGGAGACCAGCCCAAGAGGAAGTCGCACAGCTCAATCCTTTGGTGTGTAGCGAATAGGTATTAAGATGACAACGAGTTGTCTCAGGCAACAGGTCATATCCCAACCGTCATCCAGTAACACTATTGACCAGAGTAAAGATTTGAACGAGTATTTGTCAACTTGAGTCTCTTGAATGGGTCCTGATGAAAAATCGGAAAGTGAAACCTTTTCACTGCTCGGTAAATACGACAGAAAGATATGGAAACTTGTCTGAGTTCTGTGCTTCTGAAAGGAGGCCTTGTCCAACGACCAGGGTCGGAGACTTCAATAGAACCAGCTCTTGGCAGGGACCTGGCCGTATTGGACTTGACTCTCGAGAGGCCCGAGAACAAGCTAGCTTTTAATTTTGAAATATACCACAGTATGGCCTCACCCAGCGCCAGATCCAGCATCAAATCAAACAAACGAAAAAACGACCCAAAAACGCCGACTTATGCACTCGTTGACAGCAAATGATCCAGGCTCATGCCAGTTCGTTGAGTCGTTGCTTCTTCTCGTTTCGGCCGTCTGGCGTGTATCTAGAGGAATTTACTTAGCAACCTCCATATGGGAGAGACCAGCTCGTTTGACGTACTTCAACAGTTTCTCGATGAGATCTACGTGGGTCATGATCATGCGACGGCAGCAGTAGCGCTTCAGACCAAGCTCATCCATGGCGTCACTGGTAAACAGAGTTAGACATGTGTGTTTTCGATGGTAAATTGCCCAGTCAGTGCTTACCCGTCGGTTTTCTTCGGATCCGCGATGAGTTGGAGATAGCGTTCCCAAAGGTCCCCGGTGACCTGCAAACATTAGTAGCGGTAACATGTGGAATTTTCGTAAACGCGCACCTTTCCGCAAGAGAAGCACCGGATAGGAATAATCATGATAAATATTTTTCCTTTCGTAGCTGATGCTGGAACAAGTGTGTTTGTAGCCAGATGGACAAAAGGTTTGATCGTGACAAGGTTCTTTAGCTGATATTATTGATGGAAGCTTGTTCCTGAAAATGGCGTAATTCCGAGGTTTTGCCAGATGTCTTATCTTATCGGCAAAAAGTCCATTGGCGGGACCAAAATTTGTGTGCTAGCGCAGGCCCAGGCCGACTTTGTCGATGGGCTCAAAAATTGCCTGTGCAACGGCCCTTTGCTTCACCTGCCATTTGTACATTCAATACGTGTCTCGTAGATGACATCTGTGACGATGACTGGGATTAAGGGCCCTCGGGCCAAGGATGATAAAACAAAAAAGCGAAAGAGGGACATAAATGAAAGCGACATCAGATCGAAGAGACATAGACAACAGAGCCGAGAAGCCAAAGTCAATGGCGACGACGTGCGAACGCCGCCAAAATTGAAGCAAGGAAAACCCAACAAAGAAAATCTGGCCGTAGGACTCGGTGCTTTTCGTCAACAAGAAGTGATTCGGCAGTCTGATGATGGAGAGGCTGGCTGGCGAGTCTCAAAGCCCATGGGCGGCCGAATGTTGGACATTGATCCCATTCTTACGGAAGACGAACAGTGAGACACTCTTCAAATGATGCATCGGCTTGCTCTAACTCCTCGACAGATACCTCATCCTGACGTACAACACCTCTCTTCAAGTATTCAACGCCAACGACTCCCTTCTTGTTCGACGTATTCCAATTAGCACTCTCGACACGTCAGCTTCCAAGGGCGCAACTCCTGCTCATATTGTGGCAACTCGTCTGTCGAAACATAACACTCAGTTAGCCTGGGTGGCATGCTCCGATGGGAACATCTACTGTGTTAATTGGACGCAAGGCGACATCCCGACCCCGGCGTTTCAGACATCTTCAAGTACTGCGAAAGCCTTGGCGGTTATACCAGCGGCCTTTACTGAACACAAAGAGATCCTCTTGGTCGCGGAGTCGGAAAAACCGAGCCGCATGGACGTTGTCGCGTACCAATTAGTCGACGGTGACAAGCAGAAGTCAGCCAGTATTTTGACTCTCCAGAAGCCAGGATATGGCCTTCAAATCCTTGAGACCAGTGACGACGGCCAGGTCATTGTGGGGGCATTCCAGGATCGACTGTTCCTAGCAACTGCCTCTGCAACCACCGCTGAGAATCTTGACCAACTGCGATACGAAACGTTCTCCTTCGATTCTCCTGACCTCATCACATCCATCGACATGAGACTACATCCACGGTTCTCAGGGAACAAGAAAGGCCACGTGGGGACAGATACAGCTGTTGATGTCATTATCGGCGGTGCTAGGGGAGGCATTTATGTTTACCGGGATGCTTTGTCCCATGTCATGTCTGCTGGAAAGGCCCAATTTGTAAAGGATGGAATTCAAGTACAGAAGTACCACTGGCACCGTAAAGCCGTCCATGCAGTAAAGTGGTCAGCAGATGGTAAATACGTCCTGCGCTCATTCCAATCTGGGCTCACCGCTTACTTATTTCAGGGAACTATTTCATATCTGGCGGTTCTGAGAATGTTCTCGTTATTTGGCAGGTTGACACATCGAGGAAAGACTTTCTACCTCATCTGTCTGGGAGCGTTGAGAACATTGTGGTCTCACATACTGGCTCCTCCTACGTTGTCCACTTGGATGATAACTCGGCAATGATCTTGTCCACTGCTGAAATGAAGCCTACTGCTTACATTGCCGGAATTCAGTCAGCGGCTGTCGACGTTTCAGAACCAAAGGACCTACTTGTTCGACGGGTGTGGAACATATCAGAACACTCACGACGACCCATCCCTGCTGCTATTAGGCCTTCAGAACCATCAAAATTCTACGTTTGCGTTGGCAACGGCCGCCAGGAGACCTTGTCAGGAAACCTCTCCATGCCGTTGATGCAGTCTTTTGATTTGGAGTCATTTACTAGCATTTCGAAGCAAGCGCTGGCACGAACACAACCCACAGATGTTAATCTCAGCAGCAGAGGACACCCAATTGACGAGCCGATTGTTACAAACATTGCATTCTCCGGAGACGGAAAGTGGCTTGCTAGCATTGACGAGTGGAAACCTGCGCCCAGAGACGTGGAAAACATCTCTCCAGACCTGAGAGTTCAGTTCATGCGCGAGAGGCACGAGATTTACCTCAAATTTTGGCAAGTTCGAGATGGTGCTGAGTCGATGGATTTGGTGTCCAGAATCAACGCGCCTCATTCTACCACCTGCCCAGAATCAGTCCTAGACTTGGCATCTGATCCTACGTCAAACTGCTTCGCAACCGTCGGAACTGACGGGATTATACGTCTGTGGAGACCGAGACCTCGGCAGCAGAACGGGGTCGCTTTGAAGGACGCGACCGGTCAGGATGCTGTGTCTTGGGGCTGCGTTCAAGTCATTGGTGTCGGCGACGGCACTGGAATCGAAAATGGCACAGACTTTACGGATCCAACCCAGCATGTTGAGGTCCAGGGCAGAGTTGTCTTTTCAGAAGACGGCTCCACGTTGTTTGTCGCTTTCGGGGCCGTTGACTCCGGGGCCATATACGTGGTTGACGTCGCGTCTGGGCAAATAGTCAAGACCCTTGAGGGGCTGTGGGATGGCAGACTTCAATCTCTTCAGGCCCTAGGTTCTTTCATTATCGTCTTGTCCAACGACCTGAGGGTGTATGACGTCGTTGGCGACGGGCTACAATATGGAATTGTAGTGCCCAAGCTTTACGGAGTCAATGAGCTGCATCAACTTGCCGTTGACCATACCTCGGGCCGCTTTGCTGTCACGCTCCCTATCGGTGGTGCATCGAGCATTGGTGTCTTCGACCCGGAAGATCCAGAGCCTTTGCTCGTTAGGAGCACGCCGCATAGAATTGTGAGCCTTGTGTCGGCCCCGGGGGCAAGTGGATTCATTGCACTTGACGACGCGGCCCAGGTCTGGGTAATTGCCGAAGGCTCTGACCCGTCGTCTATTGCAACGGTTCAGCCACTACAAGATCTCCAACTGGACGGCTGCTCCGGGGCTGTCGCCACAGACACGACGACCGCAGAAGTACTCGAGACAGATGAAACGGACGCTGCCAGCGAAGATGACACGGACGACGCCAAAGAGGCAGACGACGACGTTGACATGGGCGACGACGATGAAGACGATGCTTACGGCAGTGTCATACCTCAGCAGTCGTTGACGGAAATCTTTGACGCGGCACCCGCATTTGCCGCCCCATCTATCGAGGACATGTTCTACAAGGTGACGGGGCTTTTGGCCAGAAAGCCTGTTGCCGAGCAATGAGGGGGCGTCACTGGGAGCATTTTGATGTATATACAACGGAGACGTATGCACAAGGCGCATTTGTCATTTGTTCCTGGGAGAGCCAGCTTCGGGTATGACGACAGCAATATATACTGTACTTTCCAACCGAGGTCAATGCAAAGTGAACTGAGATGACGTGAAAGGATGCAACTCGGGGATCCGATCCCCCCAGTGGTCCGGCAGTGGCGCTGAAAAGTGGCACCCGGGGAACCGAATCCCGCCAGCTCGACAGAGGGGTCATGCGATTACGCCATTCCTATTCTCGGAGCACGTCAAGAGAGCGCGATGGGCTGCACCGCCATGCCGAGCGTCTTGCTTTCTGCTACCGACTCACCCGTCCGGCTGGCGAAAGGAGCGGGAGCAACGCCCTCGGTTATATGTCCAGACAGTGCGGACGCGACACAATGTCATTCACTTCCATTCCCATCCTCGATCTACAACTCGCCCAGGACGAGGCCACCAAGCCCGCGTTCCTCCGACAGCTGCGCCACGCCCTCCTAGAAGTCGGCTTCTTGTATCTCCGGAACGCAGGCATCCCAGACGAGCTGGTCCAAGATGTCATCTGCAAGGGCAAAGGGTTCTTCGACGTGCCCCTCGAAGAGAAGTAGGTGCTCATCCGCTCCCGTACTCGGAGCACGGCCCCGGGCTAACACTCGCCAGGCTCAGGATCGAGATGAGAAACGCCAAGTCATTCCTGGGGTACTCTCGGCTCGCTGCCGAAGTCACGGCCGGCGAAACCGACCACCGCGAACAGATTGACCTGTCCACCGAGCATACTGTGCCGCTGCCGAGCGCGCCTCTGTACCACAACCTCCTGGCGCCTAACCAGTGGCCGGACGAGACGTACGCGCCTGGCTTCCGGGCCACGTACACCGAGTACATGAGGCGCATGGGCAGCATGTCCATCTACTTCACGTCTCTCATCGCCGAGGCAATCGAGCTGCCTAGCGACGCGTTCAACAAGTACTTTGACGAGGACCAGCAGCACAAACTCAAGATAGTAAAGTACCCTGACATGGGGGAGCTGGGGGCCGAGGGTGAGGGCGAGGGCCAAGGGGTCGGGCCGCACAAGGACAGCATGCTGACGAGCTACCTGCTCCAAGCTACGCCGCACCGTGGCTTGCAGGTGCAAAACGTCCAAGGGGAGTGGATCGACTGCCCGCCGATTGATGGCACGCTGGTGGTGGCGATAGGGCAGGGCATGGAGGCGTTGACGCAGGGCGTCTGCGTGAGCACGACGCATCGAGTGCTGTCGCCGTCTGCCGGGTCCGGGGCCAGGTATTCCATCCCATTCTTCCAGGGGGCCAAGCTCGACGCCGAGTTTGACGATTTGGAGACGGTGGGCGTGGGCAAGGTGCCCGAGGATGTGAAGGAGCAGAGGAGGCGGGTTGTCGAGCGGTCGGGCGGGAGGATTGATGATGTCGAGTTTACCTTTAGGGCGGGGGCGGCGGCCAGGACGTTGGGCGAGGCTACGCTGAGAAACAGGGTCAAGAGCCATCCGGACGTTGGGGAGAGATGGTATCCGCACATCTTGAGGGCCATCAGGGAGGAGCAGGCTGCGGCAGCCAAGAGGAGCGCTGCAGAGAAGGGTTCAGCTGCTGGTGCTGCTCCCAGGGCGGTCGAGGCTCATTGATGGCATGCGTGGTGGATTGCATGTGTACAAGGCGGGATGTGTGGGAGGACGCGGCGAGCAGACATACAGAACGTTGATCTCGTATAACAAGGTGCATCACAGGCCATCACCGTGTCGACAACTTAGTACTACGTCCTCCTCTGTCCACTGCCGCGCCCACCAATCTCCCCTGGTGCGGGGGCCAGTGCTAAGTGAATCGTGTCTATGCTTTTTCGCTCATCCCCTCTGCCCCAGACTCCTATCGACTTGCACGACGGGGAGCCTCGTCTGAAGACGGCCCAGCCTGACGAGGGCGACTATAGAGTCTTTCCGGGGAAGCAGGCGCCGATGTCCTTGCTATGCTTGTTGGTAGCATGTTCTTGCAGCCTTTGCGCGAAAGAAGGAGACGTTAGTTGACAGCGTTTGAAGATTGAACGAGTCGATGCCGGAGTCGGAGGGAAGAAGGGACGTCGATACGTACGCAGGGCCCTTGGTGGTGGACAGGAAGGTAGCCTTGCAGACCTGGCATTGAATATTCATGGCCTGCTGGTTCTGGAGAGAGCACATATCGGCGTTAGAAAAGGAGAGCGTTTTCACGGACAGGGCAACGCAAGGGCGCAGTGACATACGACTTTGAGCTGCGATTTGGCAACTTTGCTGTCCTTGGCGTTGCGCTCGCGCTTCTGCTGCGCCTTGGCTCCCTAAGCGCCGAGTCAGCAAACTCGTCGTGAGAACCCGAAGCCAAGAGGCATTCTCGCATACGTTGCCCATTTTTACGACGATACCTAGGGAGATGGAAGCAGGAGAAGCCTAGGCAGTGTAGACGGGGTGATGGATTAAAATATGCCGAGACCTCGGGGAGTGTCGGTGGAATCAGGAAGAAGTCGAACGGCGACAAGGCAAAGCCCCAGCAGAGTTGGTGAAATGACGCGAGATTTCGGGCTGCTGTCGAAACCTGGACTGTGCTCTAGCTATTGACGAGATGGCTGGCAGGATATAGTCGAGTGGCGAGGTTGTCGATTGTCGATGATGGAAGTGCGCGAGAGAGGAAATCAAAAAGGGTCCGGGCGGCATCAATTGATGCTAGTAGTACGGAGTAGTCAGTCGCTACACCAAGACACCACATGCAGCAGACGACATGTGGAAAATTTGCCCCGCCCTTTTCGGCCACCCACACAAGCGCACGTCCACGTCCACACACATTATGCATCACAATTTTACACACTCGCTTGACGACTCCGACTGCAAACGCCTACATACCTAGGTACTTGAGCCCGGCTGAGGGTTGCAGTGCAGCTACCCTTCCTTGCTCGCCCTGCAAGCTCACGTCTTGCGAGACCACACATCGAGGCGGGAGATCGTCGTGTGCTTGTTTAGCATCCGTCTCCGCACGCAGCACGTTTTATTTTCGGTTGCAGCACATGCAGGACCAAGGGTCAGAAGGACGATCCAAAGGATTGGTGGAAGAAAAGACAAAATATGCCATCCTACTCATGGACATGTTTCTTGCCAAGTTCTTGTCGGGATGAATGCCTGCCACAAGGCTGACCTGGTGAGACACAATGACCATGGATCTGCGGCGCAAGAGCTCGATACATCTTCCCGGACCATTCCTGGATGCAAAACTACGCGCGCATCTTGAGATGCTAGGTTCCCACGTCGCCCCTACATGCGAGCTTTTGGGAATACCACGTAAACAGCCAATGGATTGCTTACTTGTTTGCATGTGCTAGATGTTGCAAACAATGGCACACTCCCTACCCATTCTCGAAAACCTAGAACAACGTCATGATGCTCATACTCGCCGCAGTGGAGTCGATGGCCCTGCTAATCAGGGGAATCTAGGCTGAGCGAATTGACGACATGAGGTTACACTCGTGCAAGACAGACCCGATCCACCGGCTCCTCGCCTTGCCTGCTCTCATTTGCGTGATATTTCGAATTCGGAACGAAACACAACGCCTAGGAGACGCGCGGCGATCCCTCGACACAAACAATACGCCCAGAAATGGACAAGTGCCTAGCTTCAGGCTAGGCGCACTTCATTGTCGGCTCTCTAGGAGAGGGTCATGGTGAAATGTCTTCACATAGAGTTTTGCCTTGAGAACACGATGTACTACGAAAGAGAAGCCTGTGTATCTATGATTCAACGTGCAAGACGTCAGACACTTGTGTTTCTTGCTACTCCAACTGCTTTTGCGTGCCAGTAACCCATATAGGGGAGAATCGAATACAAGAAAAAGTACATAAAGAGCCACGACACCCCCCTCACAGTCATCTATGCTCTCTCCGTCCTACTTCTTGTCAGTGATACTTGCATATGAGGAGATTCTCATCAGCGTCATTACCACGCCAGACGCCATGGTTCACTTGACCGCAGCCGTCGCGTCCCTCCTAGCAGGCATAGCCTCTGCAGGGCCAGCGATGACTGATCAATCTAATAGAGGCATACGAAACATCAGCTCCAAGGTTGCTGCTGCCGGTACCAATTTCTGGTACGCTGGCATGGACCACGCCGGGAACGCGCGTGGCTATGCTCCGGATCTCGGGAACGATTTCTCTTACGACATCTTCAAGTCTGTAAATGCTGGAGACGGAGGCGCCATCCAAGACGCAATTGACAGCAACAACGGCAAGCAACGACGATCCAACTGGTGGGCTTCTCAGCCACGAGTGCGTGCTCGCCAAACCGAGGGAGGGCTCTCTACTTGTTATGATTCGATGGCACTAATGGGTACGATACACCTCTTAGGTTGTATTTCTCCCCCCCGGAACATACGAAGTTGGGTCGCAGATTCAGATGCGCGTCGGCACTGTACTCATGGGAGACGCCACTAATGTAAGACGAAGACGGTATTGCAACGACGACGCAAGTGATGTTTTCCCGGCTGACTTGACCCATCCCCTACCAGCCACCTACTATCAAGGCGTCCAGAAATTGGCGAGGAGAGCGATCACTCGTCAATGGTAAAGTCATCAAAAACCAGCCGATGAGAGAGACATTGCTGACTGACAAAATCCATGTCTTTGTTATCAGGCCTGGATCCGCGAACTGAGGAGCTACCCCATGATGGCAAGCTCCACGGCGAGCTTTCATTTACAGTTGCCTTGAAGAATTTGATTCTAGACACGACAGAAATTGACGGAAGTAAGTCTACTTTGCGGAACCTTTTTTATAGACAACACTAATCAACGCCAGGCTCAAACTTCAACGCTGTCAACTGGCGTGTCGCTCAAGGCGCACACATGCAGAACATCAAGATTATAATGCCGACCTCTGGCCACGATGGCGGCCACACTGGTATCTTTGTCGGGCAGGGCTCCTCCCTCGGTGTATCCGACGTCCGAGTTGAGCGCGGTTGGAACGGAATCTGGCACCAGGCGCACCAGCAGATGGCGTATAAGAACATTGAGTTCTTCCAGAACACCCGCGGCATGCAGATTAGTGGAGGCAACGTCGTGACCATCACCAGCTCGACGTTTGACACCGTCTACCAGGCTGTTACGCATGACGGCGGTTCTCCGTGGGTAGCCATGGTTGATTGCAAATCCATCAACTCTGGAGTCAGCTTCTCGACGACGCAGTATCCGTCTCTCCTCATTGACAACCTGGAGAGTGATAACGACGGCACTGTCGTAGAGTGGCATAACGAGCAAGTTCTTAGCAGCGCCCGGCACGTCGACCAGTTCACCTACGCCAACACGTACGGCCAGCGTCCTGTCTACGGCCCAAACAAGGACGGCTCCAGCAAGCGCCCGGCCGCTCTCGTGCGAGCTGACAAGTACCCGTCCATCGTCGCGCCCAACTACGCCGACAAGACCACTTCCGACTTTGTCAACGTCAAGGATCCCCGGCAGAATGGCGGCCACAAGGTTCTCGGCGACCACACCATTGACGAGTCTGCTGCCCTCAACCAGATTCTCAAGGACGCCGCACAGCAGGGCAAGATTGCATATTTCCCTTTTGGAAAGTACCGCGTCGATTCCACACTCTTTGTCCCCCCCGGCTCTCGGATCATCGGAGAGGCGTAGGCCACCATTATGGGAAGCGGGAGCTTCTTCTCCGACGAAGCGAACCCCGAGCCCGTTGTGCAGGTCGGAAACGAGGGCGACGTGGGCGTCGCCCACATCCAAGACATGAGAATCACGGTGGCCGACAGACTGCCCGGCGCCATCCTCACGCAGGTCAACATGGCTGGAAACGTTCCCGGAGACGTGGCCATCTGGAACTCCATGATTACCGTTGGCGGCACCGCGGGCTCCGACGGCATCAACAACCACTGCTACGACAGCAACAATGAATGCAAAGGCGCCCTTGTCGGCCTGCACCTCGGCAAGTCGTCGTCCGCCTACGTCGAGAACACCTGGGTATGGGTGGCCGACCACAACTCCGAGGGAGGCGGCGGGTGTGCCATCGCGGCCAAGGGCGGCGTCCTGGTCCAGGCCACAAGGGGCACATGGCTGCACGCCCTGGGCAGCGAGCACTGGTGGCTGTACCAGCTCAACCTGTGGGAGGCCAGCAACGTCTTCGTCTCTATGCTCCAGGCCGAGACTAACTACAATCAGGGCTCCAACGCGCCGCAGGTCCCGCCTGCGCCGTGGAAAGCCGACGTCCAGGGGTGGAACGATCCCGACTTCTCGTGGTGCGGCGGCGGCGACAAGATTTGCCGCAAGGGCTACTCCAACTACATTACCGGCGGCTCCGGCATTCGTCATTATGCGAGTGCTGCGTGGGATTTCTTCAGCGGACCCGGCTTTCAGGGCTGCGACGATCCTTGGAGATGCAGCAGTACGTTTGACGCAATCCTTTTCTTTTTCGTGTCTGTTGAACTTTGGAAAAGTGTGCTAAACTCGTCCTAGATGTCATGCATTGGATCTCGAGGCAGCCGTCTGATGCCCAGATGTTTGGCGTGTGCTCCAAGTCGGCGGCGAATGTGCTGCGCGAGGCCAACGGGAACTTGATTCCGGCTCGTCCTGATTTTACTGGAGGCTGGCCTGGCCAGGGCTCGGACCTGGGTGTTTATAGGAGTTGACTGATCGAGGCGATGGATGAAGCGTTTCCAGTCGGCGTGTCTTGGGGAACAGGAGTGGGATACGTGTTTGAGCTTTTCAACGTGCATATTGAACTGTTTATATGTAATGGATTGGCAAGCAGGTGAAACCATGCGTCTATCTATACTGTGCCCTTTAGTCCCCTTGGTCCGGCGCCAGCAATCGTACTGATTTTGCGTACGCTATTGTTACACGTCGCAGAAGTGCTCGTGACGACGAAACTGACTGAGATTAGACTGGCCATGACTGTGAAGACGAAGCGGACACTCTCGCAAGGAGCACTTGGCTTGACAAGTCCGGCAAGGGGGATCTAGACCAGATCTGCCGGCATCGCGTTAGATGCATTATGTAAGTCAAGTTACGACTTGTGCCCACGGCCGCTCATTGGCCATTCAAGTACGGAGTATGGGCAACCAGCAAACTGTCAGATATAACGTAGATGATACTCCGTACCAAAAAGCCTTTTTTGAGCTACAAAAGAGAGAATTGTGTGAGTCGTATAAAAAGGGGCGCTCGGCTCCACGCTTCGTGTGCGCATTATCCTAATTCCGTGCGCTTACGTAGCGTGGGTATGTTACGGTATGCCTTGCCGTGCGACACAAACCGCCATGTCCACCATCGACAACTCCATCTCGTGACCCAAAAGCCAAGCCTCACCCAACAAACCCAGCACCACCAGCTCGCTCGCCCGCCGTCACTCACAACATGTCTCCCGCCGCAGAAACAATATCCAAGCCCGAATTCGCCGCCCTCCTAGCCGCCTACCCAGCCCTCATAGACTCCATCCAGGCCAGAACCAGCACGTACAAGTTACAATCAACCCGTCGTCATCTCCCCCCCCCGAAACTAACCATCAAAATCACAGCATCCCGGAAACCTAACCAAGAGACCCTCAAAGACCTTGACACCTTCCGCTACCACCGGGCCCCGCTCCTCTTCAGCCAGCAATCCCAGCAAATGACCCTCCCACACGTCCAACGCCTCGTCGAGTGGAAACTGTGCGCAACTGCCGCTCCCCCATCCCAATCCCCTCGACCCATCCATCCAGCCAAGCTGACAAGTTGCAATGGCATCCCCCGCCCGCCAGCCGCCACGGCAAATTCCGCCCAACCCTCCAGTCGCTCATCTCGTCCAACGCGCCCCTCGCCGCGCAGCAAGCAATCTCGTCCGCCGTCAAGCTGTACCGGTCCAGCCCGCAGGCCAACGAGGTCCAGCCGGCCCTCGCCGCACTCACCCAGCTCAAGGGCGTAGGGCCGGCCACGGCATCCCTCCTGCTCAGCGTCCACGACCCCCAAAACGTCATCTTCTTCTCCGACGAAGCGTACCGCTGGCTCTGCCGTGGCGGTGCCGCCGCCGCGCCCATCAAGTACACGGCCGGAGAGTACGCAGAGCTCAGCCGGCGGGCAGACGAGCTCGCGCGCAGGCTGGGCGTGTCCATGATTGACGTGGAAAAGGCCGCGTACGTCGTCGTCAGAGGGGCCAAGGAGCGCGCCGAGCCTGCATCTGACAGCAAGAAGCGCGCGGGGGAGGACATCGACCAGGCCGCGGAGGAGAGCGCGCGCAGACGGAACACTGGCCGGGCCGGGATTCCCGACAAGGCTGGGCTGCGGAGATCACAGAGGCACAAGACTTGAGCTTGAGCCAGCTTGGGCGACGTCGACGCTTTTCAGCTTGCTACCTAGCTTGCGCTGTTTTGCAGGCCTTCCCCGACCAGCTGCCCGATAAAGTTAGCTATGAAGCTAGCCCAGAAGATTTGCTAGCCAGCCGTTAACTAGCCAGCTGGCCGCCGGACCGCCGAGCAACTAAGAGGGCAGCTGGGCTAGCTGTTGGGCCCTAGCTACGAGAAATACAGAGGACTAGGGCCTAGGTATAACTAGGTCTGGGCTAGGCCTAGCTAGCAACGCTAGGAAAAGGCCCGCTAGAACCCCCTTGCTAAAGAGCTAGAGGCTTTAACTGCAGCAATAAAGATCTTACAGCAGCAGCCTAGCTACTGATATAGCTGCTAGCCTGCACTAAAGAGCTCTATTACCTAGCTCTAGCAGCTCTCTTCTAGCTATAGAGGCTATACTAGAAAGCTCTAAATTCTAAGATATAACCTACACTATATCTAGGACTAGCTATAGCAACTTAGAGGTAACTACAGCGCCTGTAATGGACTCGAGCTGTAGGCTCGAGTGGGTACAAGGCACCGTGTCGGTGCCTTGTCGGATACGCTTCGGATGCACATCGGACCTACGTGTATATAATAGGCGGAAAAGGGGGGACAGAGAGCTTCTTCTTTCCCTCTTTTCTCTCCTTAAGTTTATAGTTACTACTAGTAACGCTTACACGCAGTAGCCTGTAAGGCCAGTCCTTGACAGCGCCTCTAAGATAAGCTTTAGAAAATTATACAGCAAAAATCGCACTAGCATTACTATAAGTAGTAATAATAGCGATATAGATATAGAGCTCTCTAAAGCTAGCAGCTGCGAATAGCCTTTTTTAACTATTTTCAGCTTGTCGGCGGAAAATCGCTAGGTCAACTGCACCACGCAAAAGTGGAACGCGCTCCAGCAATTAGAAGCGCAAATTGACCTTTTTATACTGCGCAGTCACACACAGTCGCATGCACCCTTTTTTCTGCTGACACTTTTTATACATAATTACAAAAAAGACTCTCTCTTACTCTATATATTATATATATAATAAAAGAATCTTAGCCTAGCTTCGCTCGGCATTCTAGGGTTACTACACACTCTTGGGTTAGGGATAGGGTCGAGCGCGGAACGACATTGCCATGGCCCATGGCCGGCTTTGCAAGCACTACAAAAGGGCGTACGTAGATAGGTGTCCGGGACAAGATTACTGACGAAGCGTAATTGTGTGCTCCTGCCCTGCAACTCGCAACTCGCAACTCGCAACCCACGCGCCATGTTCCCAAATCCCGCATCTCTTTGCTGACTCGACAGCCTCGACGGGAAACGCACTCACCAGGCCTCAGCCGAGCACCAAAGCAACAGTCCTCAATAGCTCGACAAGCCAGCTATTTTCCACCAGCTGCTCAACACGCCTCCCTCCCCTTCTCCCACATCACACCACATCAGGCCTCGCATTTTCGTCATCCCTGCACAACCTCATCACTCACAGCAGGCCTCGCTCAGCAAAAGACTCATTTCCCCTTCTTCCCCTCGTCGACCTGAGTAGCCATATACTTGTCGCTCAGCTCGTCATAGCTCCTGTGCAAGCCCTCGCTCTGCTTCTTGAGCGTCTGCAAATCCTGCTCCTTCTTCGCCAGCTGCTTCTGCAGCTCCGCCACCTCGGTCGACTTGTTCTCCTTGTAGTTCTTGTTGCTCTCAAACGCCCTGACCTTGTCCTCGAGCTTGATGTTGTCGATGATCATGACGTACGTGCGGTTCAGGATGAGGGAGAGGAACAGGGTAAACCCGCAGAGGTACATGTTTCGCTGCGAGTAGAACTTGCGCGCCTGCACCTCGAGGCGCTCGTGGCCCAGAATGGCACTGTGCACGGATCAGGATCCCACGTTAGCCATCGGTTCCATCTCGGACTCGTTTCTTGCCCAGCCAGTGGGCGGATGACGTCAACGTACGCTCCCTTGGACGTCTGGTCCGACGCGGCGACAACCTCCAGCTGCACGCGGTACACGCGGTTCACGCTGTCGATGAACAGGACGAGGATGAAGACGAATGTGATTTTGAACCAGTACATGACCTGGGAGATGACGGGGTTTTCCGAGATGAAGCTGCCGTCGCGGTCGCGGTCAGTCAGTAAGTAATACGTGTGGGTACTCGCTGCGAAGCAAGGACCACGGAACATGGACGGAGGGGGGGAGGGGGAAGCATACGTAAAGACCTTGCGCTTGGCCGTGTACGGAAGAGGAACGAGGAGGAGCATAAAGAGCACCATCTCGAGGACGAGGAGGAAGAAGACCTGCAGGCATGTCAATTGACTTTGATGCGAAGTGCGGGCGGCGGGGTTCATCGAGCTCGGCGTACAATGGAGTAGTAGAGCGTCATGGTGGACGTGTTGTCTGTTTGATGTGGCCGACTCTTTTGGGGGCGGAAGAACAGAATGACGGCGCTCGAGTGCGTAGGCGGGTTGCGAGAGACGAGACGAGACGGGAGTGAGGGAGAAAAAGCAGTCCGCGTGGGTATTTATGAAGCCTGGCGGTGGTGCGAGGGATGCTGTCAAGTTGCCACATGCGGGTTTTGGATGGAGGAGAGGAGCCAGGTCGGAGACGGGCAGTCGGACGCAGTGACTGGCTGACATGCGCCGCCGGCAGAGGGGATAACGTCATTCATCCACCATCCATCGCCTCCCGGAACCTGTTGCTGGGCAGCGGGCGCTACGGACCCAGACGGGACTACGGGTGGACGTGGACGCTGGGCTCCGGAGCCAATCAGACCTACTGTGCCCGAGGCCGGCACACAGACCAACCAACGGGCTGGATGACCTGCGCTTCTCTCGTCTCGCCGACATGCACGTGCACGTGCACTTGATAGTCCGTCAACTGCTCTTGACATCAGTTGACATTCGACGTATCCGAGCCCGACGCCATTAATTTTACAGATGCCCAGGTATGTAACACGTTTCTACTCGTAAACATGCGCCGTGCCATGCCGCCTCCCACCCACGGTTGCCCATGTCATGTCTGGTCCGCTCTTCCGCAAAGCCCCCTTGCTACTTTCCCCTGGCCGCGCCAAAGTCAGTTCCAGACATCGTCGTCTCGAAACTTGGCCGGCGGCCGTCTGGTCCTCGACGCTCTATCTCTTCGCTGCCGGACCAACACGTCCTCATCGTCGTCGTCTTCCGCTGCCGCCTTCGTCCCACTGCCCCTCAACGGCGCGTTAGAGGTGTTGTCGTCGCTGTCCGCAATCTCCATCTCCGTCCTTTCCGACTTCCTCGTCACCCGCTTTGGTTCTGGTGTATTTGCACGTCTCGCTGATGCCAGGGCTAGTCCTGGAACAGAAACGACTACGGCCGTTGTTGTCGGTGCGGACGGCTTGTCAGGACCTGCCTCGCGAGGAGCAGCGTCACCCGCTGCCGTGGCGCCGTCAGCGCCCTTGCCCTCCGACGCTGCCGGGGGCCTCGGCACCGGTCGTGGGTGTTTTCTAGGCCGTCCGCTGCCCGGTCGCGCTCCGCCCCTCTTGCCCCGAGTCTTCTTTGGCTGCTCCGTCAGCTTTGTTGGTGTCTCCGCGCTTGTCCGCGCCCGCCTGCGTAATCTCGATGCCGAGCCCGGCTCCTCCGAGCCTCGTGCGTCTTGCTCGCCGGTGACGGCCTGAACCGAGCCCGCCCCGTCATAGTCGTCGTCGCTGTCACACGGCAGCCGCCGCTTGCGCTTGCGTGATGGAGACCCCGGCAGCGCTGGGCGCACTGGGCGCACCGGGTCGATAACCACAGTCTCCAGCGCGAACCCGGGAGGCAGGTCTCGCTTCACTCGCGGTCGGCCCGGCCGCCGTTTGCTGTTCTCCGCCCTCGTGGCCTTCCGGGCAATCGTCTCGGGATTCTCGGGTCGACGCGACTTTGCGGGTTTGTTTTTCGTCTCTGGCTTGGCCGCCGCCTTGTGGTCCAGTAGCTTTTTCGTCAGGTTGGGAAAGTTCTCGCCATAATTGAAAAACAGCTCCTCCCCTGCTTCAATGTCTCTGATGGCGGTGAACTTGATGCGATACTCCCCGTTGACGTACAGAATTCGCGGCGTAATGTTGCACCCGCGGTTGTCGTGTTCCGACGCGTGGTTGATGTAGCGGCTCAGGTTGCCGTATATGGCGGCGTCGACCCATATGCCTTCGTTTTCTAGGAGGGTAAAGACATAAGACACATTGGACTCCTCGTCAAACACGTCGCCTCGACGGGCCTCACGTCGTACGCCTTCGTCGTGCGTAATCAGCTCGCCAACGTACTCAATGATGAATTCGTCTTGGGCAATGTCTTCTGCCGTAAAGAGGCCATATCCAACGCCATCCAGCTGGCTCTGGCCCAGAAGCAGCGGCTTTCCAACCCCCCTCTGCAAATCACAGTTCTGGCAACCTGTTGCGTGAAGCTCTGCGTCATCTGCGTTGAGAGGGTCGGCGCGCTCCAGCGCGCCGCATGAGACGCAAAGTTGAGGGTCGCATTCGCGGTTCAACTGCACGCATATGCACGGCCTGTCCTTTTTGCTATCTTGACAGTTTTTGCCTTGTGAGTGACACGCACACCCGGTAAACTTGTACGCGCAGCTGTCCACCGTGCACCCGCAAAACTTCTCGCAAAGAACATCGGCATCTACACAGGTACAGACGCCGGGCACACACGGGCCTTCGTGAGAACAGGGCTCCAGGTTTTCCCGCCGCTGGTGGGCGTGGCTGGTTGTGTGGTCTTGCCAGTCTCCCAGCAGGGCCTTCCGTCGTCGGTCATACCACGGCAGGTTTTTTATCCTCGGTGCGTCGGGAGGCTCCGGTTGAGGCAGCGAGACCCCCATTGACATGAACTCGGCGTGAACCTCATCGCAATGCCGGTTCAGAAATTCAGCGGCCAGACAGATGGGGTCTCCTGTATAAGTGCTGTGACTGGCCGTCGTAAAGATTGATCGCAAAACGATCCTCTCGTCCTCCAACCACGCCCGAGGGTGCAGATGCATGCGCGCGTGGTCAGTGGTCCTCTGGTAGCACTGTCGCCGACACGGCTTGGTGGGCTTTGCACCCTCGTGTCCCCTCCGGTTGCGCCTCTGCTTGAGGGCGTCGGAGAGGTGCGAGCATGACGATATGGAGAAGGTACGCTTCATGTTTTTGTTGTCGTACTCGCCATGGTCGCATGAGTGACTGAAACAAATCAAGCAGCCCAAGATGCAATATGTAGCTAAATTGGACTCGGCCAATTCGTCCTCGTCCTCGTCATGAAGTTGTGGGCTGGTGGCGTCCTTTGCAATCGGTTTCGAATCCATAATGTTGTCCACAGACTCGTCCATCATCAACACCCTCCGAAGCTCAATCTGTTTTGACGCTGGCTGGCTGGCTTTGAATACCTGCTGAAAGGCATCGGTAAACATTCGCGCCGCCTTGTTGGCGCCCGGCGCTGCATTCTCAACGTTGCGATGAGAATTCAAAATGTCCGACTTTTGCTGAGGCGTGATGGCGTAGTCTGGTTCTCGGGCGGCCATGTAGCTGATCAGTGCCGACTTATCGCAGCCGGGGATGGCCATGTCTTCTAGCCAAGTATCCAGATACAGCGACACAGTGGCAGCCCTCTCGCCCTGGATGGTCAGCTGCTGCTTGTCTTCGCGGTTCATAGGCTTGAATCCCGACTTGAGATCAATGTCTTCCAGCTCCTTGAGCCAAAGATTGTACTTGGTCTCTTCGGAACTTTCCAAGTCCCGCAGGTGCGGCACAAAAGTAAGCATCGTGTTGGGGGTGAGGACGTTCTTTTTAATTTCGACGTGGTGGAATCGGTAGGACGGCACGCGCTCTTTGTTCGTCTTGGTGCATATTGGGGTGTAGTGTCCCTCTCGATGGTCTCGCTTTCCTTTCAGGTGTTGCTATGGTGAGGAGGGCTGGTCAGTAGTTGGCCACGACGGGCAAGAATAAAGCGACCATCTGCTTGTTACCTTGGACTTGATCCGCATCGTGGTGCTTTTCTTCTCGGTAAAGACGGGGGTGCGTATGTTCGCAAAAAGGTCTCGTCCATGGTGAATCCTCTGTTCGGCAACCTTGGTAGACTCCAGGATGTAGCCGGTGAGCTTGGCATGGCCGTCTTTGACGTCCTGTCGGTAGGCATTCAGCTGGTCTATGATTTTTGGTATGGTCCACTCCGCGTTGGAGTCCGTCTGAGCCTTTGGAGTCGTGCCATTGATGGCGGGCGCTTCTGATCCAAGACGCGACGGCGGCAGTGGCGGGGGAGGTGTAGTCTGTCGCGCCATGGTGAAGCCGGATCCCAGGGAATCATGACCCAGATGGGTGTCATGGACGCCGTGCAAGGCGAACAGCGAAGACTCGGTCGCAAGCGAGGCCGGAAGGGACGATTTGCGACCCGAAAGGCCGGGGGCCGCGTCCAACTGTCGTCGCAGCGGCAGCGGGCTGATCGGGGTCGTGGCTCTGCCGAAGGGCGAGTGGTGGCGACTTGTTGGCTTCCGAACACCAAAGGCCTGGAGACGGGACGTCAGCTGTCCATTGACGTCGGGATGAGTGTGCGTGTCTGGGCTGCCCGTGGTTGACATGTCGAAGGCAAAAGACAATCTGGCCGGGTCTGGGACGACTTAGCGGCGGCGATGACTAAAGCTCTCGCGTGTCAACGGGCGTCTTGTCTGTCTGCGACCCGGACCCGGGGAGGCATCTACCGCAAAACAAAACAATACACTCAAGGCTTGCTATGAAGAGGGACGGCCGGGTATTCAGCTCGTCGAGGCAAGGTGCTGACGAACCCATGCTATTCACGGTCAAGGTGCAGCCAGCCGGCCAGCCCTGACGCGCTGCGAGGCGGGATGGGATGGATGAGACGAGACGAGACGAGATGCGCGCCCAGACCCTCAGCAAGTCTCTGGTAGAGAGGACATGGACGGCCAACACATCACGAAGCAACCCGTGCCACGTCTGCGACAGGCTGAGGCGAACAAACACGCACGCGAATCCAGGTGTAGGTGTTGTGAGATGGCGTCAACTTTTTCACCAGCCAAGGCCGAGGCCGAGGCCAAGGAAGGCCAGGCTGAACGAACGAACAGGCAGGCAGGCAGGCGCCATGGGCCTTTGGGTTGGCGGGTTGTCGGTTGCGGCCCCCACCAGAAGCCAGGCTGGCCAATGGCCAATGGGCCGGCTGGTCCTGTTGACCTCGACTTCTGACGCATGTCGGCATTTTGGACTTCCCTGGGCATCCAACGTCATCAGTCATGCGCAGACTAGTCCGTACGGTCCACGGTTTCCCATTCCCACATCACGAACCACCTGGGTTGTTCCGCATGGCGCACCAAATGCAGGGACCTGTCGCCAGTCCATTGCTTGTCATTGTGACAGTGACATGGCTACGGGAGCAGCAAAGTCGAGGCAGACGGGCAGGGAGTGGTCACCAACTTGCTTGGCTCGTTGGCCGCATACTCCGTACAATGCATTGTTGGGGATCAAGCCTGAACTACGCAGTACTCGGAGCCAAAACTCTCTACTCCTTGGTTGACGCCTCGGTTCCTGGCCATCTTGCCGTGCCGGCCCAAGGCTCTTTTCCGCTTTGGCTCCAATACTTGACAATCACGTGTTGACGCCAACAAAAACTCGCGTCCGGTTGTTGGTTGTATCGCCATGACGTATGATGCTTGAGGCGTGAATTCATCCCATGAATGCTACCGTCGCTGGTGGGGCTACGGCTCAAACGCTCAATGGTTCCCGTTCCTGTTCCCACGGAGCAGCATGATCCGTGGATGGCAGCGGCACGGCCGAAACTTTACTTGACTCGGGTCTCTCATCAGCATCCGTGATTCCATGTTTGTCTAGAAGGGCAAGTTAAAGTAGCCGAGCCAAGGCACACAACGGGTCAGGGCGAGGTGTGGAATCCCCGTCCGCCTTCGCTCCCCATCTTGGCAACTGAAGCCTGGAGATACAGGCCGGAGGGTGGGCAAGTGGGCTGCACATCCGCATCCGGAATGGGGCTATGACGACGATGATGAGGTTGACGATGATGCGGATGATGACACATACCCGGCTAGTCACCACGTCTCGGGTCGCTCTCAGCCACAAAGCCATTGAGGGTTGGGGACCCCAAGCTTGCTTCCTGGCGGCTAGCCAGCGTCCAGGAGGAGAGGAGTCCAGGGCCTGAGACATACATGCCTGCAGCCTGCACAGCCCTCTCGAGGGCTCGCCAGACTCGTCAAACGCCAAACGCGTCGAAACCGACTTGAGGCGCCCGGGTAGTTAGGTAGTGAGTGGTACACGCGGAGCTCGAGACGAGATGCGAGGCTGTGCGAGGCTTTGGGCCATGGTCATTGGTTTCCTTTTGCTGTCGGAGGTTCCCTTGCTTGCTGGATGGAGCCCGGAGCATTCTTTTGTTGGCGTCGAGGCAATAATACTAATCGCTGGTGCGCCGCAACGCCGGCTGGTTAGCTCGGCCGGTTTGGTTGGGACGTGAACTAACCTGAGGAACACTCCGCACAGTTAGCCAACGCCCTGGGCGCCTAGATAGATGGTTAGCGCGTCCGCTACCCGCGGCGGTACAGGACAGCGCGAGAAGATGCAACACGTTCGAATTGTTGATTGATTGATGCCCGCCCTACCTACCGGTCAAGCGTGCCTGGGAGCGGCCCTGTGCCTACGGTCCAGTTCGCTCTGATTGGCCCCAGCGGACTGCTCCACTCGCCCGGCCCAAGCAGCCCACTTCAGCACAGAGCTCTCGGAGCCCACCCAGGCCATGATGACGTCGCCAAAGAAACCACAGCTCCCTGTCAGCCGCTTGCTTCGGTCTCCCCCCCCCCAAATGACGCCCTCTCTCATGCTCTCCGCATGAAACCACCACCACAACTTGGCCACCACTTCAGGCTCCATCCATATAACCCTTTGCCATCTCGCCCTCCCCGTCGTCTCTTCCATTTGAAACCTTTCCATCTCTGGCTTTTTATCATCCTGTCTTATCTTTCTCTTATCCGCTTGGCTACTCCGTACAGAGCCTCCAAGCGCACCTGACCGTGACTGACTACCTCGAATCACTCGCATCGCTCCCGTCTCGTCGCCGAAATGCATCGCACCTATTCTATGCGCACCACTCGTGCGCCCACTGCGTCGCAGCTGCAGGCACGCCGATCCACTCACCTATCGACAATGACACCTCGAGCCAATTGCTTGCTAACCGCTCCGTCCGCAGAGTCCGCCTCCTCCCCCTTCCTCCACCAAATCCGGTCGCTTCTTCGGAAAGGGCAACTTGGGTGCGTACAACGCAATTGGAGCCGTCAAAGCTCCACGTGTTTCTCAGACGAGACCAGTCCCACTGATTGTTTAAATACATTTAGGCCATGCCCTGCGCCGCAATGCTGGTGGTGCCTTTGGCCCCGATCTGGCCAAGAAGCTGGCGCAGCTCGTCAAGATGGAGAAGAACGTCATGCGAAGCTTGGAGACCGTCGCCAAGGAGCGCATGGAGGTTGCTGTAGGTCCTTGCTCGCGCCCACTATCCGTCTTGGCAATCTTGTTAACAAGCTTGTCGCGTTAGCAACAACTGTCCATCTGGGGCGAGGGTGGCGATGAGGACGTTTCCGACGTTACCGACAAGCTCGGGGTATTACTCTACGAGATTGGCGAACTGGAGGACCAGTATGTCGACCGCTACGACCAGTATCGTATTACCATGAAGAGCATTCGCAACATTGAGGCTTCTGTTCAGCCTAGTCGAGACCGTACGCTGAACCACCCTGATCAGCTTTACTGCAAGCGCAAAGAACCTGCCGCTAACACGTACCAGGCAAGCAGAAGATTACCGACCAGATTGCTCAGCTCAAGTACAAGGAACCCAATTCCCCCAAGATTGTTGTCTTGGAGCAGGAGCTTGTCCGTGCCGAGGCCGAGTCGCTCGTCGCCGAGGCTCAGCTCTCCAACATTACTCGCGAGAAGGTCAAGGCTGCCTACACGTACCAGTTCGACGCTCTGCGTGAGCATAGCGAAAAGGTGGCCATCATCGCCGGCTATGGCAAGCACCTACTTGAACTCATTGACGACACGCCCGTCACCCCCGGCGAGACCAGACAGGCATACGACGGATATGAGGCTAGTAGGGCCATCATCCAGGACTGTGAAGATGCCCTCACCAACTGGGTCACAGCCAACGCCGCCGTATCTTCCAAGCTCTCCACCCGGTCCCGTACCCTGTCCCAGCGCCGCCGCAACAACATCCGTACCAGAAACGAGGGCGGCCATGACCTGTCTGCCCAGGACGCTCCTCTGAATGACGGCGGCTCCTGGATCGGACGCCACGGCGCGGAAAGCGAAGAAGAAGAGGAAGATGAGGAAGAGGCTGGCAGCGACATGAACGCTGACTCCCGTGGCCGTACCAAGGAAGCCCTGGCCGCTTAAGCAGCGCCGCCACCTCAAAAACAACACCACGCACACAAGTATATACATACACAACCTCAACCCCCATTTCAATAACAACAACCAAGGGGTAATTCTTTGGAATCACCACACGTCGGCAGCAGCTCGAAGGGACGCCAAAGATTGCAGCGATAGTACGGTAATTATTTCAGTGCAGGCTGTGTGGCTCCACGAATGGAGTCGATGGCAGGTTTGGATGACGGAATGATTGCGCGTTAGATGACTTGGATATCCTACGGGAGTAGTTTCTGTTATTAGTGTACTCTTAATACCTTCCCCCCGCGTCCCCCCCCGAACCATGTCGAACCGTCCCGAGTGTGAGGCCATGCTCACGGTGTCACTTGGGTTGACTTTTTGTCGTAAGAGATGGCAAGTTGTGTGGGGAGAGCGGGGGATCAATTCCATGTTGCACAACTACTACGTACGTACTACTTTTCCACAGGGGTCACATAACCCCGAGGCCGGCGACCTGGCTCGCAAACTCCTCCAGCTCCATCCTGGCGATGTGACGACCGGGGACGACGACCAGCCCCAGGTAGCGAGACGTCCCGTCCTGCGCGGTGCTACCGTCCGGCCCGTCCACCAGCCGGGGGGCGCTGGGCTGCCGGTACTCGTATGTGTTTGCTAGCACGACGTTTTTGTCCTGTCGTGACTGGTCAATTCGCCTTGTCGGATCATGGATGTATGGGTGGAGCGGGCATGCTGTCGGGCGGCGGTGGACGTACCGCGTCGGTGCATTTGAACGTGCCCCAGAAGAGGCGGGCGTCTGTGGTGTGCACGCGGAGGGTCTTGTTGAGGAGCGACGAGAGGTATGCTTGGGCTTGGGGTTGGTCCATGGTGAGACTTGTGTGTGTGGTGTGGTGATTCGATGGTCATTGCCGTTGGTGATGACTGGTGACCGACGCTGGCGAGTCTGGGCAAGTGGGGAGTGGTGCTTGGCGGCTTAGTAAGCCGTCGGGTGGTCTGTCGCCACTGATACTCCGTACTGCGTTTGTCAACACCTCGTAGACGTTGACGCCGACGACACCAGAAGATGGAAGGATTCAGGCTGCGGCTGGCTGGCCGATCCTGCAGGACGCGGTCTGTTGGCTTGCTTGCAAAAGCACACGGGTAGCTGGTACTTGTGGCATGTGTGGGTATACTCTTGCATGCAAGATGCCCATGGGGGAAGCCCGAGTGCCGCGGCATTGATTCCGTCTTTGGTTTCCCTCGGAGCGTGGGCACTGGGTGAAGAGAACCAAGTGTTTTGACAAGGTCATTAAGCTTGAGATTATCCGCCCTGACTTTGCTCATCAATATCGACCCCGGCCATCGTCTCCCCGTGCAGCATAGCAAGCGTTTGCGTGTCGACGTTGTGCTTTGATGCACGCAGAAACAGTTCAAGTCGCCCGTCAGAGATGTCTTTGGTGAATGTTGCATTCCCCTCATGTCGATGGGCTTCTTATGGGCAGCGTCGCGAAATATTCCCTCCTCGGTGTCACCAAAGGTGTCGGTAGTCTGCAATCCCTCCTTTCCCTTTCGGCTTCGTCTTCATTTCCGCCAGAGACTGGCTGACACAAGTTCGTGTGGGCGATGATGGATAACACACGACAGCGATTCAGGCGTGGTGTCTAGACTCGGTCGGCAGGCCCCGTGGATACGATGAAAGCTTTGCCGTCCTTTGCGACGAACTGGGGCGGAAAGACTCCTTCCGTGACTGATGCACCGAAGCGGCACACACTCGTCCCGGAATAGCTTTCTCGGCAGTACTTGTCTTGGCGGTAACTTTTATAAGCTTATCTGCGTAGATTATGCCGAGTCGTAAGACAGGTTGGTGATTTTACGCATGAGGCATGAGGCATGAGATCGAGACACGAGACCACCCGTCGTCGCACCAAGACACACACGCAGAGAAAGCAGGGAAGGGACCGAACAAGTGTGATGAGTCAAACCATGAGTTTTCTGATGAGTCTGGTGCCCTTCCGTGACAAGTTCCTTGCTTCTGCCATATATCACACGGCAAATAGGCGCGTGATACTTGGCCACGGTGTTTATCGTTGATGCTCACCGGGATGATGCAGTATCAATGCTTGCTATAGCGCGCATCGAGCCTTTTACCACGCCGTATGGGAGCTTGCTCGTGATTCCTTGGCTGAACGAAAAAGCGCAACCGTGCCGAGGAGGTCTGGCCATGACCAGAAATTGGTCAAGGACACCACGGGGTTCACGTCCACCTCAACCTCGCCTGTTTGAGGCCCGGCGCCAGACGTCATGCGGGATACTCTGTAAAACATCAACCTGGCAATCTATACAGCTGGCGGAAAGGCCGTGAGTGGGGAGCAAGTCCGAGTGTAGAATATAGATGCCCATCCCACTCTCAGGAGGAGCCGGGCTTCGACAAGAAGGAGCAGGTACGCGGCCAATTCAAACACAATGGGCAGTGCCCATCGTGTCTTCCGGCATATCCTTCTCCCGGACAGACAGCAGACATCCAATCCATGTTACATTGATCCCACGTCCGTTTTATTGTTCCGTGCATCGTGGTATTGAACCGCTCGGCGTCGCATTGGGCCGAGGTGTCCGGGTTTCCGGTTTGGCGATTCTAGACTTGCCTGCGAAGCTTTGCCGCCTCACGGGACGGCGGAATACGGGTATAAATAAGGAGCCGGCTCACGTCGTGGTAGTTCCCTCCTCCTCATCCTCTCTTGCCACAAGACGACAGCAATCACCTCCGCCGCCGGCCACAGATCAAGAGTCTGTTCTTCGAACCAACCCATAGCAAAACTCGACTTAATCAGAAAAGATGAAGTTCTTCACCTTCGCTCTGGCATTTCTCGCCTCTGGCACCTACGCCTCCGTTCTGCGTGAGCGCAGCTCGGAGCCCATCAAGACAGTCGTGACCGACATCACAAAGGATATCGACTCCCTCGCAGCCGTAGTCAATTCATTCCCCGCCAGCGGCAAAGGTTCCATCCAGAGGGCGGCCGTGAAGCTCAACAGCGACCTCACAGAAGGCACAGCGACTGTCGAGTCCTCCGAGAAACTGACCCCCGAAGAGGCCTCGGGGCTCGCCACCGCGATCCAGGGTCTTATCCAGAAGACTCAGGACCTCGCCAACCTTTTCAAGTCCTTCCGTCCGGCGGCTGAGGAAGTCAACGCCTGCGTCCTTGTCTATTCCAATCTCCAAACCACGATCCAAGAAGCCCGAGACTTCATGAGCGCGGTGGCCTCCAAGATGCCGGCAGAGGCCGAAGCTAGTGTCGCCGACAACGTCCACAAACTACTAAGTGTCTTTGAGGACCTCCAGAAGTACTATTCTCCCGAGAACTGCAAGAACTCTGACGGTAGCGCCGCTCCCTCCAACTAGGCCTACCATCGAGCAGGAAACGGGGGTTCCATCGACTCGGCTGCAACTTGTGCCCTTGCCGTCGCCGTGGCGCCATAACAACAGCGGCAGCGGTCCACCGGTACGTTTGCAAAATGGTCGTTGCCGGTGCTCCTGTGTGAGCGGCATCAGGGAAGGACTCAGGATGCAAGAAGGGCTTGCGTGGATGCGGGGATCGAAGGAGCTAGCCCTTTACTCTATGAACGTCTTGATGAAATACAAAAGTTTTCTTGTTTCATGTAGCCCTGCTCTTTTGAGGTTCTGATTGCTTTCTGCGCTTTTGTCAGCGGACGTTTCCGACTCCACTAGACAGGGTTAGCCCGAGCTAAACATGACATCTGCGTCTTGATACATGGTATCAATGTGTATGTAGGTACGCAGGCCGATGCCAAAAAGTTTTTTGGCTGTTCTACAGTCGTACAACCACCTTTGTGCGTAAACGATGCTCCGTACTCCTGCTTTCAGTCCTCCTGGACTCCAAGTCTATCTCCCGCGGCTCTGGTTGACATCGAGTCGAGTCTCCTGCTGCTAGTTCTACTAGCAGATGGAGCAAAGACGCTTTATAAGGATTGGAAGCCTAAAAGTAAAGTAGAGGAACAACAGCATCATGTTTACAAACTGGAGAGTCACAAGGCGCGATTGTCAATCATGAGAAAGCATTTAGAAAGGAGAATTGTCGGGCATTATACCGGGACGAATTCGCACGTGACAAAGGGTGAAATTACAGACTCAACGTCCGTCAAAAACACAAAAGTCCATGTCGCTTGTATTCTTTGCATCTCCGAGTTGTGTGCTTCTCTGCCGTAGGGTCCGGCTCCCCAGTCCCTCATCACCCGGAGCCTTGCCCAGAGTACAATGCGTCCGACTGTGCGCTACGTCTGCGCTGAAGCTCTTGGATCAGTCACCCCTGCACCAGCACTGCGATATCATGCTGGAGGAGAAAAACATTGAGCGCTATTGGGTCGACCCCTATGCGTCGTGGAGGCCCGGGCCGTTGTGGCCAACGTGTGTATCTCTGGGAGCTACCATCCGTGGGCGAGATTGGAAAATTCGGACCAAACCGTGTAGGACGATGTTTGCGGATACACAGGCCGCAAGGGCATGTGTGGCGTTTAACTGAGTCGACGTTTGCCGCGCCATCTGTTGAATGCTGAATTGAGCCAACGTGCTCCGAGCCCTCGGACGAGCCCTCGTCACATTTACCGACATTTTCAATTGTCCGTCCTCTTGGAGATAATATCCGTATCGCTTCTAGCTACCTTCTGCTCCCAAAGCGTAGCAATTTTGTCCTCAATGCTTGTGTCGTCATTTTTTTAACAGATCCCAAAACACGACATCCGTTGGACACTAACAAACGATAGGGGTCACAGGCATAGGACCCGTGGCAGGATTTACAGCGGGACAAGGTCGCAGTTCTGGAGCAGCACCATGATCCCGGTCAAAAGAAGTCCTTCTGTACTGGCAACGGATCCTAGGCTTCATGCTCTGGTGAATATACCTAGTCTTCCGAGTCTCGAGGTTGAAATAAAGTTGGAAGGACAACCAGGGACTCTGGGGGCGCCTTACCAAAGAGGGTAAATAGTGGAGCTTCCCGAACGGAAAACTGGGCTTTGAGAAGGAAGGGGCAGGCAGGCCATAGTGCTTTCGCCATTTGCTCAACATCTCAGGCTTGTATTCAATGAGAAGAGCGTTTTCCTCAGAGTGCAAGCTGCGCTGGCTGTGCTGGCTCTATATCTCGCTTCGTTGGATTGCGACAAGGTTGCTGCAATGGCAACGCCCGACCATGTAAGCGCCAAGCAGATTAAAAATACACAAAGGGACTTGACTCGTAGGGACTGCTCCGCAACGCCTCGAATCAATTGATGCTGACTCAGTGTTCCCGTTCCTCCTCCCTGCGCGCCAGAGGCTTTTGAATCTACTTGTGTATCTGCTTCGTGATGGGCCGGCTCTTCCCACGGCAGCAGTGGCAAGGCCAACGCGTTGTCCCCGTAGCAGGATATGTAGGAATGGGACCAAGACGGTCCAGCGCAAACAGACCATGGTGTTGATGTCAATATTTCTTCAAAGATTATTTGTCAGTATGAGTGCAAGGACGACTGTATGGACTTGGAGATGCCCTGCCACCCCTCGCGTCCCCTTATCGAGCTGATAGTATGAACTGGATTGGAGTTGTGAGAAAGAGGGCTTCTTAATGAGCGAAACCCCGACATTGAATCGTGCGGCATACATCCGGCAGTTGGAGAGCAGAATAGGTCTGATTGAGTTCTAGTTCTTGACACGTCGAGGGGAGAAGTAATACTTGCCGTCACCATGCCACTAGTCCTGAAATCTGTCAGTCTACCGTCTTCCGATCGGAGTTTGACTGTGCCTAGAGTCTGGACCTGACGCGCGGGCGAGTAGGTGTACCCAAGGCTGTGCCTGAGACGCCTTCATCTCATGCGCCGCAGGAAGCGGTATATGAGGAGCTTTGCTGACACTCATGGCCGGCATGATGGAATTCTTGAATTGCACAGCAGGCATGGCGTGTTTGGTAAACGCAACGAAAGATTTGTTGACCAACACTATCTCGGCTCGGCAAAACAAATTGCCAGGCATAGGACAATAGGAAGTAAGTAGTTGAATTTCCAGCTTCTGTGGCGAGATTGTGCTAGGCTTCTCTTAAACAAAAGGAGAAAAAAACCCAAAAAAAGAAAGAGAAAAGAAGAGCAAGCATGTTCAATTGGGAGAAAGAGAAGCATAAAAGCGATAATTATGCTCGCTTTCTTCTCGTCGTACAGCCCTCAGTGATTTGAACCACGTTTATCCTCGCTTGCTAGTACCTAATGAGCTAGTAAGGACAGTAAATTAGGTCTATAACGATATTCTTTATAAGGCTTTTTTTATTATTAAAAAGCAACTATTATTAAGATATAACTATTATAGAGCTTATACTTTTAATTAAATTTACTAGGAAATTATACTTAAGAATATTATAAAGTATATATTAAGAGATTCTGATTTCTTTACTACTTTATAAGCTTCCTTGTCAAGGACTGGCCTTACAGGCGACTGCGTGTAAGCGTTACTAGTATTAACTATAAACTTAAGGAGAGGAAAGAGAGAAAGGAGAAGCTCTCTGTCCCTCCTTTTCCGCCTATTATATACACGTAGGTCTGATGTGCATCCGAAGCGTATCCGACAAGGCACCGACACGGTGCCTTGTACCCACTCGAGCCTACAGCTCGAGTCCATTACACTTCCTACTGTAATGAACTAGCCCTATTAGGCTATAGCGGGTGCTAGCGGCGGTCGTCTCGGTGGTTTGCCGGAAACCTAGCTATTGAGCCAAAAGAGTACGTAATAATCAAGCTTCCCTAAGCTTGCTCAATCTGGCACTATATAGGTAGGTCAACGAAGAGGTAGGCTATGTCCCGCTTGCTAGGTTGAGCATAGCTTAGACTATAACACCTAGTAGCTGAATAGTATTATATCGCTTAGTAGTTATAAGCTAGCCTCTATCAGGCTTAAAATATTTATCTATTATAGTAGCATTAAAGTTTATAGTGGACTAACCTTATAGGCAACTATATATAAGTATTACTAGTATTAACTATAAACTTAGAGAGAGAAGAAAGAAAAGGAGAAGTTCCCTAGCCCCCTTTTCTATGCTATTATATATATATAGGTCTTAACACACATCTTAAGAGTATCTAATAAGGCACTAATATAGTGCCTTGTGTATACTTAAGCTTACAGCTTAAGTCTATTACACTAGTAACCTAACTATTAATAATTTACTAGGGAAAAACCTTAGATAACTATAAATTATTATAAAAACCTAAATATCGCTTAGATATAGGATCGTTATAGACATAGTTTACTGTACTCCGTACGCTAGACGTGAAACCGGTCTAGCGTGGCGGCAGCCTGAATTACTGCCGCCAGGAGCCGCCGGGACCCACAAGTCAGCTTCAAGTGCGTCAGAGACTCTGAGTCTCAAAATTCACGACCGCGACAACGACTGAGTCATCGGCAACCTCGTCATATTCAACGACCCAGAGACATGCCACTTGTGGCTACGCTCTCCCCATAGCCATGGAACTTGACTGTTGCACAATCGAAATCATGCCATTAACACACCAAAGCTAAACTGAATCAATCACCGCCGGCAGAGCCCCGTCGCCATGGGTGTCAACGGCCTCTGGACCGTGGTGCAGCCATGCGCGCGTCCAACCAATCTCGCAACCCTCAATCGCAAGCGCCTGGCTGTCGATGCTTCCATCTGGATATACCAATTCCTCAAAGCTGTGCGTGATAAAGAAGGTAATGCGCTGCGCAACTCCCACGTCGTCGGCTTCTTCCGCCGCATATGCAAACTCCTGTGGTTCGGCATCCAGCCTGTTTTCGTCTTTGACGGCGGAGCACCGGCCCTCAAGAGATCCACCATACAAAAAAGACAGAGGAGGCGCGAGGGCCGAAGGGAAGATGCCGTCAGGACTGCGGGGAAGCTCCTCGCTGTGCAGATGCAGCGCATCGCTGTTGAGGAGGAGGAAAGGCGGAGGAGAGTTGACGGCGGCGATTTTGCCGCCAGAGAGGACGAGGCTTTACGCGAAGAAATCCCCGATGCAAGTAGGATTGCCTACGCCGACGAGGTTGGCATGACGCAAAAGGAAAAGATGCAATCTCGACGATTTCACAAGCAGGATGCCTACCATCTTCCCGAGCTTCAAGATGATATCCCGTCCACGGGTAAATCAGATGACCCGCGAATCATGAGCATCGACGAGCTAGAAGAGTATGCGCGTCAGTTCAACAATGGAGAAGACATTAACCTCTACGACTTTAGCAAGATTGACTTTGATGGCGACTTTTTCAAGAGCCTGCCGCCTCCCGATCGCTACAATATCTTGAATGCAGCGAGACTGAGAAGCAGGCTTAGAATGGGTCTGAGCAAGGACCAGTTGGACGACATGTTCCCCGATCGCATGGCCTTCTCGAGATTTCAGATTGAACGCGTCAAGGAGAGAAATCATCTCACCCAGAGGCTGATGTATGAGGTTGGCATGGTTGGCACAGACTTGACACTCGGCGTCAATGCTCGGGTTGCTGGAGAAAAGGATCGCGAGTATATCCTTGTTAAAAATGAGGGCGTCGAAGGTGGATGGGCTCTCGGCGTCGTCAGCAAGGAGAAGGACATAGGCGAAGCCCACAAGCCAATCGACGTCGATGCTATTCAGGTTCATTACCAAACTAAGGACGAGCAAGATGCCGATGAGGATGACGATGTCTACTTCGAGGATGTTCCCATCGAGGGGCTCAATAGACTGCCGAAGCCAAAGCTGTCTTCCACGGCGGCAAGCTTACAAGCCGCGCAGGACATTTCTGAACGGAGACGGCAATATTATGACAGCCGAAGGGGCAAGCCTGCAGAAGACCAAGACATGGAAGGCTCACTGTTCGTCGGAGGAAATACAGGCGAAGACGTCCCCGTCCTTGAGAATGCCACTACAGAAGACCGACTACATCCTGAGGAAGAAGATGATTTGAATCGCGCGATTGCCTTGTCTCTGGAAAATCAGCATGACTTGGATGGCGGGTCTGAGGACGGTGGCATTTTTGAAGATGTGCCGGTAGGTCACCAACCTGAATGGACTCAAAAAGCTGTCGACGCACCAAGGCCCATTATCGGCAGGGGGGGCTCAACGATTGCCCACATTGTCAACAATCGAGCGAATGCATCCGTGCCTAAGCGCAATGAGGGAAAGAATACCTTGGGTAGCGACAGCGAGGATGATATGGAAGCTCTGCTGGCCAAGTCACGAATGGCCAAACGACCTCAACCGAAGCCAGTCTTTGAGAATAAGAAGAACCCATTTGATGGACCACTTCCATTTCCGAAGCTGAAGTGGGGTTCGTCCTTGTTTGCAAAACGGTCTGCTCAGACGGATGCAGCCCAAACCGATGAAGCTGAAGCCGCGGGTAAGAATGACATTGAAGATGACATGGCTGGCGGGTTTGAAATAGTGAAGCGAGTTGACGATGAGCCGGCGCCATTGCCACCATGGCTGGTTGATGACACGGACATCAGGGATTCGTTGAAGAAGCAGCAGGCTGCAGAGCGGGAGATCAATGCCGAGGATAAAATGAGGGCGGAAGAGGAAGAGCGTCTTCGACGAAAGGAGATGCATCAGGGCACGATTGAGATTGACTCGTCGTCCGACGACGGAAGCGATATTCAGATTGTGGAGATTGCTCCTTCGCCGACGCCAGCAGCGAGCGAAGCGGACGAGAAGGTGGTTCCGGCACAAAAGTCGGAGGCACAGGCACAAACCTCCCCAGACGAGCAGAAGAGCACAGCGGAATCCCCAGAGCCAACTGTTGAAGATGCGGCGCCGCCGCTGGCTGCTGAAAATCGACTATCAACTGAACCTGGAAACAAATCCGAATCCCCGGAGCCAATGTTTGAGGACGTTTTACCAACAGAGCCAACCATGACTACTCCTCCTGGCAAACCAACAGAGGTCGACTCGTTTGAAGGCGTCCAGCCTGTGAACCCGCCGGCCTCGAACCCCGCTCAGCCGGCTACAGAAACCGACGATCCCTTCGCCGACGTCGAATACGAAGAATTCAGCGATCCTGAAGACGAAGAGCTCCTGGCCCAAATGGCCGAAGAAGCCGAGGAGCATGCCCGCTTCGCCAGCGAGCTCAACAACAAATCCGCCCAAGAGAATCGCCAAGACTACGAGAAAGAGCTCCGGCAGCTCCGTAACCAACAAAAAAAGGACCGCCGCGACGCGGACGAAGTCACGCAGGTCATGGTCACAGAGTGTCAGGCCCTCCTCCGACTCTTCGGCATCCCCTATATGACGGCCCCCATGGAGGCGGAAGCCCAGTGCGCAGAGCTCGTAAGGATAGGCATCGCGGACGGCATCGTGACAGACGATTCCGACACGTTCCTGTTCGGCGGCACCAGGGTGTACAAGAACATGTTCAATAGCAACAAGTTTGTAGAGTGCTATATCGGCACAGATCTCGAAAAGGAGCTGTCCCTGTCACGACACCAGCTCATTTCGCTAGCGCAGCTCCTTGGATCCGACTACACGGAGGGACTGCCGGGTGTAGGCCCCGTCGCGGCCGTCGAGATCCTGTCCGAGTTTCCCGGGAGAACAGGCCTGCAAGACTTCCGCGAGTGGTGGACCTCTGTGCAGGCACAGTCCCGCCCCAAGGAACAGGATGCGTCGTCGCCGTTTCGCAAGAAGTTCCGCAAGGCCCAGGCCACGAAGCTCTTCTTGCCGCCGGGCTTTCCTAGCCCCGCCGTGTACGAGGCGTATCTCCATCCCGAGGTGGACGACTCCACCGAGCCGTTTCAATGGGGCGTGCCTGATCTCGAGGGCCTGCGGAGGTTCCTCATGGCGACTATCGGGTGGAGCAAGGAGCGAACGGATGAGGTGCTGGTCCCCGTGATAAGGGACATGAACAAGCGCGATGCGGAGGGCACGCAGAGCAACATCACAAGGTTCTTTGGCGGTGGTGTCGGTGCTGGTGCGAGAGAGGCGTTTGCGCCGAGGGCGAACAGGGTCAAGGGGAGTAAGAGGATGGCGGCTGCGGTCGAGAAGTTGAAGGCGAACGCCGGGGAGGGGGCGAGCAAGCGGCGGAGAAGGGATGTTGTTGACGACGACGATGAGTGACGCGGGAAATCATGTGGTTGTTGTGTCTCATAGCACTGGACCAGAAGCACCATGGGACCGGCCGCCTGCCCGTTCTCTTTGAAAGGGCTGGGATGGGAATCGTCAGAACTCTTTTTCGCTTCGTCTGGGATCTTGAGCGGTTCCATCACGTTTCAAAGGGGCGGGAAAATGCCTTCAAAGGCTGGACAAAGGTGAGACATGCTCCACGTCGCACGTGTCCGACCTTGGACCGCACGTTCATCTAGTGTTGACATGATTTAGATTTCGACATCCATATTTTCATTAAACGACGTTTTGGAAACCGTATCGAGCCACTGCAGACTTCCCGAGACAATCCCCGTCGCCTATCAAACAGCCTGCTCATGATCCAAGACATGACAGCTTACATGAGTCCAGTCCTTACATGCGCAGAGACTATCTGGTCGAAATTGTCAATTACGTCCCGTCCCGGCTACCTATGGCCCAGTCCACAGGCAGCGAGCAACAACCCAAATGAGCCGGCTAGGAATTTGTACATTGATACCCAAATGCCGAGGGCTAATCCACAGACAAAGACACGCAGGCTTTTCGCCGCGTGTCTGGCAAGACCATGCAGAGCATGATGGACAATTGCCTTTGTCGGGCCTTGCGAACGACTGTGGTGCTATGGCATAGCTGTGCTGCCCACCGACTCTACAACAAGAGGCCTTCGTCTCCGCTTCTGATTTAAATGGGCTGCTCTCCTCGAACTCCTTTTTTGGGCCATTTCCAAAAATAGCCTCAAGGCCCTTGCCTGAACGGAACAAGGTACTCTAGTCACATTCACCAGCGTCTTTCCGAACTCTTGCACAAGCTGGCGCGCATTCTCAACCACCTCGTCGGCACAATCCTCACTCCCTCCCGCTGCCACGCCGGCGTCTTTCAGAATCATGCCTTGCCACTCTTCATTCCAAGCCCTGATCGCCTGGGCGGCCTTTTCGCCGCGAGTTCGGATATTTTGCGCAACCAGGAAAGACGACGCCGTTTTTTGATGACTTTTCTCGGGCTTGAAGAGGCTCACCTTGGAGAAGCCTTTGAAGCACTTGATTAACAAGGCGGTGTCTAGCGTGTCTAGCTTGCGCATTGACACGACCATGGTCCCGTTGTCCTTGAGGTGCTCCATGCCAATGACGAGCTCAGCTAGCCTGAGGCGTCTGCAATCGCGGCTCTTGTTCCATGATCCTCTGATGTTGGATTGTCCCGGCTCCTTTTCGGCCGGTTGCTCGTTTCCCTCGGACCCTTGATTTGACCTGGCGCCTCTCACTGGTTTGGAGTGGCAGAATACGAGGTCATATAACTCGTCAGTCTCGAGCAGCGTCTCCAGCGTGGGAGGTTTCGCCGCTGGGTGCTTGTCAGGGATGGCGCTGGATTCTCCCGGGTGTCCTGCCGGCTTGCCGACATTCTGAAACACCACACTCAAACGTTTGTGTTTGAAGAGAACTGACGGTCCCCCTTCTTCTGACGGCATCGAGATGCCCTTGACCTTGACGTTGCCGCAGCGATTCAGGACGCTTTTTGCGAAACCGCCCTGTGCAATGCCCATGTCCAACACAGAAGGGTCGCTACTTGCTTTGAGGATTTTGAATATCTGCTTGTAATCATTCAGGTCATTGCAGGCCTCGTAGTCCGCGTCGAGGTAGGCTTTCTGTTGTCGCGTCTGCGGTTTGACAGTTTTCTGAAATCTTCTGCGTGCATATTCTTCATCTGCAGCCGTATCCTCCGAGACCTGTCTCTGGTTAGCGAAGGCTGGGATGGGGGAAGAGGAGAGGCAGCCATTGACGAAATTGTGGCAAACTTGTATTATTACCTCTTTGCGAATCTCACAGAGCTCTCGGTACCTGGGACTGTTCTTCTTGAGATAATCTCTGAGGACCTGCTCGGCTGTGAGAGCGGGCTGGGCGCTCTTTTCTGCCGCTGTGCAAGGCGGAACAAGTGTACCTGTCTGGTCGGACATGATGAAGGAGGCTGTCGACGAAGCCGAGGTGCTGAAGGCGTGTACGTGTATATACAACCCGGTACGGACTGATGTTTACTTTTCGAGGTTGAAGAGCGGCCATGGCTGGAAGGCGGAGAGCCTGGATTTAATACATGGCACACCTGAACTTGGCAAATGGAAGTGTTTGCGAACACATTCTGGAGATGTATGGCTTTCCCTTGTGTAGACATATTGATAATTGTACGATTGAGCATTGCTGCAGGCCAAGGCAGGCCAAGGTTGTACCAATAACGATGAGCACGAAGCCACACGGACGGTTGCGTATGGCAAAACAGGGGACCAGCTGTCGTTTGCCTGGTGTTGAAAGCCAAGTCGTGAGTGAAGGCCCAAGTTCGAAAAAGGTTCGAGGCGTCATTTTGGCCGGTCACGATTCACGGGTCGTTCACGCACCGAACTTGGGAGTGGTCCTCGGGGTCGGCTAAACGTCGGCCGAGGCAGAATCGTGGCCGGGGTTCACGACTCCACACAAACGGCTCCCGGTCTCTGAATCCCACACGATGGGGAAGAAGGAAGAGGGCCGGACGGCAAAGACAATTGCTCTGCACCCCACGAGCACCGCCTGCCATCGCTCCGGCCGCAAGCAAAGCCACGTTTTGAGCCTCGGAAACCTGCCCACCACCGCTGGGCCAAGACCGAACCGCGCGCACACACCTCAGCCCATCGACGCCGCGCACAGTCATCGACCCGTCATTGTCGTCGAACTGCCATGGATCAGCGAGAGCTCGAGTCGCGCGTAAAGGCGCTGACCAAGTCGGTTGCCGCCAACGAACCCCCCGAGACCGCCATCAAACTGCTCGAGTCGCTCAAGAAGGATGCCAAGCCGACCGAGGAGATGCTGAGGGTACGTTTCGTCGCCGCCGCCTCTTGTCGCTCGCGAGCTGGGCACGCCGTGGACTTGGCCGTCAGCATCGTGCTCTGCCTGCTCGCTCCACGGAGGCTGCGCGCAGACCCGTCACGTCGTCCCGTCCAGCAGTGAATGACCTGGCGTCGCTGTAGCCACCTCGTACTCCTTTGTCGTGGACACGTCTAACATGGCTTCTCCAACAGGCTACAAAGGCCGGTGTCTTCGTCGCAAAGCTTCGGGCGAACCCCAACAAGGAAATCGCCCGATCAGCCGCCGAGCTCGTCATCAAGTGGAAGAAGCTCGTCGAGCAGGAAAAGGCCTCAAGGGCGCAGCGGCAAAAGATGGGCTCGCCCGCATCGGCCCCCGCCTCGTCGCCCGTCCTCCAGGCCGGCCCCGGCTCTGGCCCCGGCGCCAAGAAGGCCTTCACCGGCGACCCGGAGAGGCGCAGCTTTGCCGCCGACGGCGTCGAGCTCAAGCGCACCGGCTCTGGCGTCCGAGACAGGTGCATCGGTCTCATCTACAACGGCCTCTCGTACAGGTCGACCGAGTCGGCGGACGATGTCATCGCCAGGGCCGTTGCCGTGGAACACGCCGTCTTCGTCGAGTTCAAGGAGGACGAGGGCGAGGGGTACAAGAAGAAGGTACGGTCTCTCTTCGCGAACCTCAAGACCAAGTCCAACAAGGACCTCGGCAAGCGTGTCATGTCGGGAGACATAACCCCCGACCGGTTCGCCAGGATGACCGACGAAGAGCTCAAGAGCGAAGACCAGCGCAAGAAGGAGATGGAGCTGGAAAAGGAGAACATGAAGAGGGCGCAGGTGCCCATGGCCGAGAAGAGCATCAGCGACAGCCTCGAGTGCGGCCGTTGCAAGATGAAAAAGGTCAGCTACACGCAGGCCCAGACGAGAAGTGCTGATGAGCCCATGACGACGTTTTGCGAGTGTATGAATTGCGGCCATAGGTGGAAGGTATGTTGAGTTGCGTGACGAAGCAGTTCCCCCTCCGCCTCCGTCGCCCTTTTTCTTTCTTCTTCCTTCCCCGCCTGAAGCTGCTTCATCCATGGGCTGACATTTTTGCGACTAGTTCTCTTGAACGTGGATCGCGCAAGTCCGCTTTGGCTGTGCAACATCTTTACGCAAATGGGGGACGGGAAGCACGTGAGGCGAATCCTCGGGTCTGGAGAGGCTAGCGTTTCTATTCGCTCTATAGTTTTTTTTTGTTTTTTTTTACCTCTCCCTTTTTTATCCCCCTCCTTTTTATCCCCCTCCTTCTCGGGGTGTTGGTTTGCATTTAGGAGTGCGGGTTGTCTGCGAGATGACGATGTAACCAGGCCGGGAGTTACAGGTTTGTTATACACCAGTTCAGCCGTATTTTCTCTTACTTGTTCTTTTTTCTTTTTCGCCCTTGTTTCATTTGTACATGATGGAGCGGGCGGGCCTAGATTCAACAATCCGGTCATGTTAGCTAGAAGAAGTCGGACGGACAGTTCGGGCAAGGGATCCGTCAAAGGCGTCGAGAGTTGCTCTTGCTAAACGATGAATACAGCAAGTGCCTAGAAGTTATAAATATAAATATCAAGCCCGAGGTGTGCGCCAAGGTCGCCGTCGCTCAATCTACCATGCCGTCGACGGGACTGTCTGCAGATTAGAGATTTACTATACCGGTGCCAAGATGTGTGTGGTGACCATTGGGGCTTTTCTCATTTCTCCTGCCCCGTGATGCCCAGCTCGCCAAACAGATCCGACGCCTCGTCGTCCTCGAGTCCCATGTCCTTGATGCTCTTCCAGAACTTGCTCAGGTGTCTGGTGCCGGAATCACAAAGCATCGTGACTACTCTGCTGCCCTCTGGCAGCCGCATGGCCGCGACCACGGCGGCCACGCAGTTGACGCTGCTGCTGCTCCCGACGAATATGCCGTCTTGCTCAACCAACCACCTCGCCATACGGCGGGCCTGCTCGTCCGTCACCTTGACCGCGTCGTCAATCAAATCCCGGCCTGCTTCAAAGTTCTCCGTCACGCGGTTGATGCCGATTCCCTCCACCACGGAATCGACCTGCTGCCGCCGGCGGGTGCCCTCCCTCTCCGTGTGCGAGTACATGACGCCGTGCTTCACCTTGTTGAACAAGCCGCTGCCCTGAGGGTCCGCGAGCACGATCCTCACGGCGCTCGCCTTGGCGTCGAGCTTCAGGTACCGGGCCACGCCGGCTATGGTGCCTCCGGTCCCGGCGCCGGCAACAAAGGCGTCAAGACGGCCGGCCGTCTGTCTCCAGATTTCTGGCCCCGTGGTGTCGAGGTGCGCGCGCCAGTTGGCCTCGCTCTCAAACTGGTTCGCGAAGAAGCCTCTGCTTCCGTCGGTCGAGTTGGCCGTGTGGGCGTCTGCCCGCCGCCGGGCCAGGTTGACAAAGTGGTCCGGGCTGGTGATGGGCGCGACGGCAACGCGCTCGACGGCGGCGCCGAGGTGGTGCAGCAGGTCCGACTTCTCGAGCGCCTGGTCGTCGGGCATGCATATGTGTGCCTTGTAGCCCCTTGCGCGGGCCAGCGTGGCCAGCGAGATGCCCGTGCTGCCGACCGTGCCCTCGTAGATGGTGTCGCCGCGGTGAGGCACGAGCAGGCCCGCCTCCTCGGCTTCCTGGATCATCTTCAGCGCCACGCGGTCCTTGGGGCTGTTGCCGGCCCCGTTGAGGAATTCTGCCTTGGCGAGCACGACCCGGCCGGTTGCCTTGGACAGCGACCCGATCTCGATGAGCGGCGTGTTGCCGATGCAAGCTGCGATGCCGGCACCGACACCGGGCTCTCCGCGGCTCGGCGACGGGGCTGGTTGCGATTCGCGGTCCTCTAGCTTGACAGGTTGGCCCCGGAAGAAACTGCTTCGCCGGCGGTCGCCTGGACGGGCTCGCGAGGAGCGGCGCGTGTGCTGGAAGCGGTATTCGAGGTCGGGATACAAGTCTTTGAAGCCGAGCGTGACGAGGATGCCCGCTGTGAAGGCCAATGCCACGGCTGCGGAGCCGTAGGCCTTGGGATGGTCACTCAGTGACATGTTCCGCGAGTCACGGAGTCACTTCTACAGACCGTGTAGATTTGTCATGTCGCCAGAGGGTGGTTGTTTTTTGATCTTGATTTTGTTTTGTCGTGTCTGTGCTTGATGTCATGAGAATGCGCACCAGCGAAAGCTCGAGTTCCCGCCTTCCTTCCCAATTTGGGAGCGCACGGACTCTGGAGTGCAGCCAGCCACTCAGATGACGGCACAAGGCGCCCAGGATCCACTCCATCCTGGAGCTTTCTCGCAGCACGAAAACCCAAACTCGACGTTCCCGAGAGCATCACGAAAGCCCGTGACGAGGGCTCGACTGGCATCTCGCCAGCCATGGACTCCCCCATCGTGGCCCAGCTCTTCCGGAAGCTCTTCCATAACCGTCCTGCAGGATGTCAAGCGCGAGCACGTCAATTGCGCCGGGGACTCGCTGCGGCAACGGCAACCCCGGGCACGTACCGGCACCAGCAGACCGCGTCGTACGCCACGCGAGCCTCACGCGACCGCGGCATGAAGTCGAATGAAAGCCGATGGCAGCAGAGAACAAATCTCCTGCCCGAAGACAGACGGGACGAGTTTGCGCAGTACCCTTACGTTTCCGCGTCGGAGCTGAAGCGGCGCAAGGAACGGCCAAGAAAGGTCAAGATGGTCCTCCGCGACTTTATCGAGGGTAATCGCCACCAACGTGCCGGGTCGTGTTTTCCCGCAAGCCCGGCGTGCTGTACTGACAACTCCGCTCTGACTCTGACCAGACAGCCTGTACAATCCCTCGTACGGCTACTTCTCCAAGCAGGCCGTCATCTTCTCCCCCGGCGAACCCTTCGACTTCGCCAGCCTCCGCGACGACCTCGCCTTCCAGTCGGAGCTGGGCCGCCGCTACACCTCGTTCGAAGACCACCTCGACGACACCGAGGGCGAGAACCCAACCCGCCAGCTGTGGCACACGCCCACGGAGCTCTTCCGCCCGTACTACGGCGAGGCCGTTGCGCGCTACCTCGTCACCAACTACCGCCTCACGACTTACCCCTACGACGACCTGCTCATCTACGAAATGGGCGCCGGCAGAGGCACCCTCATGCTCAACATCCTCGACTACATCCGCGAGGTGGATCCGCAAGTGTACGCCCGCACGCGGTACAACATCATCGAGATATCCGCCAGCCTCGCCTCCCTCCAGACCAGGCGCCTCTTGTCGACGGCCGAGTCGCGCGGCCACCAGGACAAGGTGGACATTGTGAATCGCTCCGTCTTCGAATGGGACCAGTACGTCCCCTCGCCGTGCTTCTTCCTCGCCATGGAGGTCTTTGACAACTTCTCCCACGACTGCATCCGGTACGACGTCGCCACCGAGGAGCCGCTCCAGGGCCACGTGCTCATCGACGGCGACGGCGACTTCTACGAGTTCTACGTCCACGACCTCGACCCCCTGGCCGCGCGCTTCTTCCGGGTCCGCCACGCCGCCACGGGGGGCGACTACCCGCGCCCGTACGCCACGAACCCTGCCCTCAGGTGGCTGTCCGGCAAGATGCCCTTTGCCGCCAACCTCTCCCGGGCCGAGTACATCCCCACCCGGCTGATGCAGTTCCTCGACGTGCTGGAGGAGTACTTCCCGGCCCACAAGCTGCTCGCCTCGGACTTCAACTCCCTGCCCCAGGCCGTGAGGGGGCTCAACGCCCCCGTCGTGCAGACGAGGTATCATCGGAGAATGGTGCCCGTCACGACGCCACTGGTGAGTCCGCCCGTCCAGCAAGACCCGGACGTAAAGTGCGCCATCCTCGTGTGCATGCCGTGCCGTGCCGTGCCGTGCCGTGTGCTGACAAGGCCCAGGTCCACCAGGGCTACTTTGACATCTTGTTCCCCACAGACTTTCGCATCGCAGAGGCCATGTACCGCGCCATCACGGGCAAGCTCACACGCGTCATGGCACACGGCGACTTCATGCGTCGCTGGGCATACGTCGAGGACACGGAGACGAGCAGCGGCGAGAACCCCCTCCTGACGTACTACAGGAATGCCAGTGTCCTCGTCACCGTCTAGGATTGCATGTCCCGTGGACCAAAAAAACACCATACTGGACACTTGTGCCATGAGAATAAGTCAATCGAATAAATAAATGAAATGAAAATCTCTTCTTCTCGCCGTGACGCACCATGCAAATCTAATCCCAAGGTATTCGCCGCCTCCCCGTACTTTTAAACAACTCGTCCGTGGCATTGGTAAATACACAGGCGCCCACGGTCCCATGAACAAGATAAACAAAGACACCAACACCCGCAATGCTTAAAGTCTCTCCACGAGCCACTTCGTCGCCGCGTCGACCGCCTCGTCAATGTTCTCGGGCTTCGTGCCCTGCCCCTGGCGCGTGGGCTCCTTGCCGCCTGACCGGCCGCCCAGCACGTCTGACACCACCGACGCCCATTGCTCGGCGGTGACGCCCTTGGACGCAAGGGCCTACGCGGCGAGGAAGAAGAAGAAGAAGAAAAAGGTCAGCCGCGACATCCATCCAGTTAGTTGACTTGACTTGACTTGGAGAGGGAACCTACAGATCCGACGTAGACGCCGTGCACGACGGCGCCTTCTTCCCGACTGCCTCCGAATATGTACACCGACTTGGACTTGTCCTTGGCCTGGAAGTGCTTCAAGACCTCCGTCAGGGCCTTGACGTTGGCGCTGATGGGGAGACGGCCGACGTAGTAGTCGGCGTCCTTCTTCTCCTCAAAGTGCTTGACGACGCAGCCTAGCGCGGCGCCGGCCTCGGCCTTCTGGCGCTTCTTCTGCTCGGCGACGACGGACGTCGCAATCTTCTGGAAGCGAGCGTTGAGCTCGTCCTTGGTCAGCGTGGAGATGACGAGCTGGCTGAGCTCCTGGGAGATGAGCTTGACGTGGGCATCCTTTGCCGGGCCAAAGGGCATGGCCTCGAGCACGTCTAGCTTCTTGGAGAAGTCGGCTGCTTCGCGCTGCACCTGGTGCGCCGCCTCGCCCGTGTACGCAATGATGCGGCGGATGCCCTTGGCGATGCCGCTCTCCTCGACGAGAACGAGGTCCTTGATCAGACCGGTCTGCTCGACATGCGTGCCGCCGCAGAACTCGACGCTGTGCTGGCGCCACTCCTGCTTCTTGGGGTCTTTGAGCAGGGTGTCGACGTCCATGCCGATGGAGACGACTCTCACGGGATTGGGATACGTTTCGCCAAAGACGGCCCGGACGCCCTCGATCTGACGCGCCACGTCCAGGTCCACGTCTTTGGAGAAGATCTTTGCGTTGCGGCGAATGTATTCGTTGCTGAGGGCCTCGATCTTGCGGAGCTCCTCAATCTTGACCTGGCTCTTGTGTGAAAAGTCGAAACGCAGCTTCTCGCTGTCCACCAAGGAGCCCTTCTGGTTGACGTCGTCGCCGAGAACCTCCCTGAGGGAGTGGTTCAGGATGTGCGTCCCGGTATGGTTATTGCGGATGGGAGAGCGACGAAGCTCGTCGTACTCGCAAATCACCTGGTCCCCCGTCGACAGCGCACCGTACTCGACGTAACCGCTGTGCAGAATGAAGCCGCCGTAGTTTTGGACATCCATGACCTTGAACTCGGCAACGTCGTCAATCACGATTCGGCCAGTGTCGGCAACTTGGCCGCCAGACTCGGCATAGAAGTTGGTCTTGTCCAGCAAGACACCAACGGCGGTTCTCTCAGGCAGGTCCTTGGTAGAGGTGTGGAACGTCTTTCCGTCAAAGATGAGCTGAACCTTGCCCGTGCTGTCGCCCTTGACAAACTTTGCATCGTCGTCTGTTCGGGCAACCTTTTGCTGGTCGAGGTGGGCAATCTGGTGAACATCAAGCTTGGCAAACGTGTCGACGGACGCCTTGACAGCCTTGCTGGCTTCGCGAGCCTTCTCCTTGGCAACGTTGACCTCATTCTCGTCAATCTCGAGGCCACGCTCCTCGGCCATGATTTGGGTCAAATCAACCGGGAAACCAAACGTGTCGTACAGGCGCCAGACAACATCGCCACCAAGTTTCTTGACACCGTCTTTGGCCGCCTTGGCCGCATACTTTTCAAACTGCGCCTCACCACGGTCCAGCGTTCGGGCGAAAGCCTCCTCTTCCTCGTCGAGAATTTCCTTGATGTCGAGCTGCTTCTTGACGAGCTCAGGGAACTGGTCGCCCATGTGAGAAACAAGAGCGGGAAGAATTTTGGAGAAGAAGCAGCCAATCTCGGCATTGAGGTACTTGCGCGCATACCGCACGCCTCTTCTGAGGATTCGTCGGATGACGTAGCCGCGACCGTCGCTGTTGGGGACGGCACCGTCCGTAATGGCAAAGGAAAGCGTTCGGATGTGATCTGCAATCACCCGATAGGCCGTGTCGATACCATCAGCATCGTCCTTGCCGTACCTATCCGAGTAGGGCCTCACGCCAGTGACTTGTTGAATCTGGTTGAACAGAGGGGTGAAGCAGTCGGTGGCATAGTTGGAGTCGGTCTCCTGGAGAGCGGAAACCATTCGCTCGAACCCCATACCGGTGTCGATGTGCTTCGCGGGCAGCGACTTTAGGCTTCCATCCTTTTGGCGATCGAACTGCATGAAGACGAGGTTCCAAACCTCCACCACCATGGGGTCGTCCTTGTTGACAATGTGAGCCGCATTCCGGCCACCGATTTTGTCGTAATGGATTTCACTGGAAGGTCCGCAGGGGCCCTGGTCGCCCATTTCCCAAAAGTTGTCCTTCATATCTCCGGGGACGATCTGATCCGCAGGCATGCCGATATCCAGCCACAACTGCTTGGCCTCCTCGTCGGGGGGCAGGCCAAGCTCCTTGTTGCCCTCGAAGTAGGTGGCGTACAGTCTCTTGGGGTCGAGGCCGTAGACTTTTGTGAGAATCTCCCAGGCCATCTCGATGGCCTCCTTCTTGAAGTAGTCGCCAAAGGACCAGTTGCCCAACATCTCGAAGAAGGTGTGGTGGTAGCTGTCCTTGCCGACATCGTCGAGATCGTTGTGCTTGCCGCCGGCACGGATGACTTTTTGACTATCGGCCGCACGCTTGAGGTTGGACATGGGATCGGACTTGTTGATGGTGCCGAGGAAGATGGGCTTGAACTGGTTCATGCCCGCGTTGGTGAAGAGCAAGGTCGGGTCATCGTAGGGGACGACAGAACCCGAGGGCACTGCACGACGTCAGCGTGGTTTGCTTCAACCGGTGCCATGGCGGGATGTGACGGAAGAATTTGTGTGCTTCCAATAGAAGAAAAAAGGGGGGGAATAAGAAAACAATACAAAACAGAATTCAGGCTGTGGTTGACATGGCGCAGCAAAGTGAATCGAGGAGGGGCAATTTGTTTGCGTACCGATCGTGTGGCCCCGCTTCTCCATGTAGTCAAAAAAGGCCTTGCGCACCAGCGCAGACGGCCACTTGAGCTCGCTCATGTTGGCGGATGATGATGATGATGATGATGGTGGTGGTGGTGGTGGTGATGATGATCGGCGCAGCTCGAAAAGTGCCACGGCCGAAGTGTGCAGTGATGCCGAGCGTGTCGCGCGAGACGTGTGGAAGCCCGGTGTGCGGACGTGGGGGGTTTTGTAGAAACTTCTACAAGAATGAGTCGAGACAAATGCGGAAGGAACCGAAGGTACAAAGGGGCCAGCAGTGCCAACGTCAGCCGCCATCGCCGTCGCCGTCAGCTTGACCATCCGTCTGACAGCGCGAGAGCCGCCACCGAGACCGACAACAAGCATCTGGCCTGTCTATTCTCGTCAATCAATCAATTCGTCAGTCGCTAAGTCAGTTTTGCAGTCGATGAGCTGCCACCCCAGTTCACCGGAGTCATCAGACAGTCAGGCTCGACTCGCTCTCTCTCGCGCTCTCTCTCTCTTTCCGCCGAACAAACGCCTTTGTTCGCTGTGCAGACGACGCTCCCGGCACCCATCAAGCAAGCCGTCGCGACAAAGAAAAAGATAAAGAAAATAAATAAAAATCTCGCCGGTTTCGCCAAGGCGCACCCAGTCCGCATCGGCGCCCTGCCTGTCGCTCGGCAAAGCACCTCGAACGTCCCCAAGAGCCAAGTTTCCTCATCGGCCGACGGACCGAAAGGCGTGCGTGCGCGTGGCGTGGATGCAAAGCAGACGCCGCGTCGCGCCTGTGCAGCCGTGCGGGAGGAGGTCAAGGAAACCGCAGGTCGTCTTCTTCAAACGCGAGCACGCAGCGGCCGCTGTTGAGGCAAATCAGGATGATGGTTCAGGGGAGCCCAGCCCACCTGCTCCCGCCCCATTTCGCCGCGTCGTCCGCCGAAACCCACCCCGCCCCAGGCGCCAGCCGCGCTGTTCCAGGGGCGCTGCCGCAGCGCGACGGCGGCAGCAGCCCCAGCGACACCGCGATGCAGCCGCCCTCGGTCCTCGGCAAGAGGAAAGCAGAGACGCAGGATAACGAACGGCTTTCCAAGCGCCTCAGCCTTCTCAATCTAGGTACGCGCCCCAGCTGTCCGAGGCAGTCCGCGTCTTGTTGCTCCTGTCTAACCTGGCCTTGTTGCAGAACGATCCGGCAACAAGCTCTACGTGCCCGTCGAGACACCCCATCTACCCGCGTTGCCCAGTGCAGCACAAACTGCCTCCCAGCCCTTGGAGCACATGGAACTGGACGACTCCAAACACAAAGTATACATTTACAACCTGGACGACGAACTATCTTCCGAAAGCAGCGACGAGGAGGGAAGGCTCGTCTTCCTGCCTGACATCCGGAAACACCTCCGCGAAAGCCGCATCCCCAAACAAGTCCTAGCCAACAGGGACGGAGAGCTCGCAGGCATGCAGCTAGTCCTGTACAAGGAGCCCGCATCCTTGTTGGTGCCGGAACACAAAGACGGCGCACCAAGCGCCGTCCTCGAGGCGAAGCAACGCATCAGGGAGAAGCAGAAGCTCGACCACAACGGCGCCTCAAGTGCCACCACCAGCCAAGTCGCTGACGAAGAAGCAATGGACGTGGACTGACACCATTTTGCCTCCCTTTTTTTTTTGTTCTTTTATTGTCCTTCATCTCGGATAACAGGCGTTTTTTTTTTTTGGAACTCATGCCACGTGTACATAATATGTTCTTGGTAGCGATTAATGTAGCGTGCAATATGGAATTTAAACTCCCCCATGTGTCCAATTTCGCATGCCGAGTATCCCAACAGCGCAGCCAAGGCCACGGGCATAATGCCAACGCTGCAAACAGCACATACAATCTACCAGTCGTTCTCCCCTCCGCCCGAGTCTGCCCACCTAAACGTAAAATCCAGCGTCTTGGCCCAGCAGTAGACACGCCGAAAATGAAAAACAGCAGCAAGGTCGTAAATCAAGAGGTGGGCCTAGGTAAAAAGACAAAAAAGACGTAAGAATGCTAGCGACCCAGAGGCGGCCCCGGAGGAGGCGCATACTCGGGCGCAGGATTACTCTCGGGCACCCTATGTGTCGCCGTCCGGTTCTGAAGAGGATCGATCTTGGAACCGCCCGGCGGGCCCGAGTACATGGGCGGGCGGTTGGGATCGTACGCCGGCAGAGGCATGTCGTTCATGGGGTAGACGTTTTGGTGGCCGGTTTGCTGGGGCGGGTAGTAGGCGAACTGGTACTGCGGCCACTGCTGAGGGTAGGTCGGCTGGTAGGAGCGACGACTAACGAGACACTGCCGGCCGGGTCAGTCAGTCAGTCTGGTTCTGGTCGTTTCCAGCTCCGATGCGGACACGGAGAGGGGGAGGGAAGAGGGGGAGGGCCGCTGGGCCACGGCGCAGGATGATGCAATGCGTACTCGGTGGTAAGCCAGCGGCTGGAGGCCCTTTCGGATGCGCGCCCTGGCGTGGTAGTACCCCCCGATGAGGTAGCCCAGGATGAGGGCGAAGATGACGAGGAAAATGACCCATCGCACGATGATGCCGGTCTGGGTGGAGGGTTGGTCAGTTAGCCTGGTGCGCGCCGCCGTCAAAGGGCCAGTCTGCGGACCTTGGTATGCCACCACGGGACGTAGAAAGTGTCGCCGTTTTCAGAGATGACGTCTCTCGCAGCCACGGCCATGGTCGCGTCACTTTGTCAATGTGTTCAATCGGCGGGCGCTGGTCGCTTGCTGGAGTCGAGGGAGGAGGGGGGAGTCTTGGGTTTCCGCCGGCGATGGACAGGAGATGAAGGATTTGTAGGGTGAGGGCGAGGGCGAGACGAGACGAGACGGACGTGAAGGAAGGCTATCGCAGGTTCGTTCGGCTACAGAGTCATATCGAGGCGGCAGCACGACGCCCCGTCCCCGAGTGGCTGTGCGGTTGCTTTGGAGGCGGTCTCTGGCACTCGGAGTCGCAAGATGAGAGGTGTCTTGTTTCACCCTGGGCGACGGCGGAAGTGCGAAGTGCTGGCACCACTTGTGGGGCGGGTCACGTCGACTCGTTAGTCAGATCCGTAACGGACAAGTTCGCTTCAATATCCGTGATACCAAACGACGGGTACCCATGAGATGGATGAGTTGTTATTATCCACCCGGCGGCGGTGCCTCTTGGCATCAAATGGTTGACTTGCGACGACTCGAGGTGCAAAGTCGGCTCGGCGGGCGGCTGTTGGGCGATGATTGGGAGGCCCATCAGTTGACCGTGCGTCAGTCCTCGACACAGTGTGTGGTGGTGACCTTTTGTGTCGAACGCGAATCGTATTCGAGGCTTGGATTGCCAAGAAACGCAGTGCACAATTGCGGTCAATTACTCCGTGCCTGATTACCTACCTAGGTACTTAATTACTGCCTGGGTACCCGGCAAGACGTGCGTGGCCTCGCCAACTTTCCCGAGGCTTATATAATCCTGCCTGAAGTACGTACCTACTTAACAGGTACCTAACCTATTCCGACTTGAGTACTCCGTAGGTACTCCCGAGTCCGTACTCCGTACAGAGACCAGAGACACGCAATCGCCATCTCGGCCAACCCTAAAACCTAATCTCCAACCAGACACGTCTCGCATTCAATTCATTGCTTGCACCCGCCCACACGGTACTTAATGTCCGCCAGGGTGAAGGGTGAAACGGACCTTCGGAAAAGTCGGCTCTTGCTATCAACCGCTTCTACAGAGCACCGGCGCGGGACCTCTACCAGTTCAAAGTTTTACTCCAGCAGCCTTGCAGGATGCTCGTGCTATCCCCCCCCCCCCT